CAACATCGGGCCAGCAGGTGAATTCAATCACATACCAACACAGTATACCCTATAGGGTACTGTACACTATTGTAACTCCGAATGGCGATGCGCGCACATGAGACCCAAAGTCAACCTTGAGTTTAGAGGACAATCGCGGACGATCTGCCGTGTGGACACCGCCAAGATCGGAGCCCCGTACAGATGACAGATGAACAGGGATGGTTGGCCTGGTTCCTGGATGATTGGCGGCCGATCGTCGTTGTCATCGACGAAGCGATCGTCATTTATCTGATGGCATTGTAATGCAATATTGAATCGATCCGCGATCCATTGGGGATATCAGATGTGGTGCGATAGATATCTTTCCGATCGCTCACCCACTGCAGTTGCAGTGTACACAGTGGGCGGCCGCACGAGGTCTGAACAATCTCGGCTCTTGCCCACCTGCCGGCAATTGCGTCTGGGGAACTCGCACAGATGATTTCTCCGACAATTCAGCGGTCGCCGTCCACCACAACCCTGACCGCCCTTTTCCCCGTCTGGAGAGGTGTCCGTTCTTACCCTTCCCCCCTCCGTGCTTCGGTCTGACAGGTATTTTGGCGCGTGCCTCGGAAAAGGCAATTACATCGCAGGGTGTATTGGTTTCTGGCTTCCGAATCTGCATAAGCCGAGCCTGCACTGTCTGGGCGACCGATTTCTTGACCCTCGCAACGCGTCATAAGAGGTAAAATCATGGCATCAGGAAAAGGGGGCCTACTGTTAGTCCCTGTGCCGTGTGATCCCTCCTCCCCTTCGAGGCAAGAAGCGGTCAAAAGCGCAGGCCATGTCCACATAGGCAAGATACACGAGCCCCACCTCTCCCGTGTTATAAGCTTGGGCCTCCGTTTTCTTTCGCGATGGAGTCGTGATGGAGGGTGGAGGATGGTTCGGAGATACACTTTGCGGATTCGCGATCTTCCACACCGTAGTTGGGTACCCTGTCCATCCGGCTCACTCCGTCCTTCCCACGACGGTGGATGCCAACGGTCGCCCTGCCTTTCAGCCATTCTTGGGTCGTCTTTTCCCCTCCCTGGGGGGAAATGTCTGAGATACTTTGGTTTCGCCGTGATAGGTGAAACCGGGGCCGCCTGCGACAGTCTCCCATCTCCATTCCACGGTCACCGAGGACTAGTATTGGGCATAAATTCTGCCCATACCAAAAACCCATCTGGCTGTTGCTTCACAAGAGACAAAATTATGAAATGACGCAGCCAGTGAGTCGAGTGGGCCAGGCAAGGCGTAGAAAAAGGGGGCGCTCAGACAAGACAGTGCTTGTTTCCGCAAGTTCGCGCTTGGGCTCCAGCCTCGAACGGGGCGAGGTGAAATTGCACTCCATCCGGCCCTTGTCCAGACGCACTTTCGCTCCCTTCTAGAACCACACCGGAGTTGCTCCCAGAGAAACTACTGCTCGACCTCACCGTATTATTTCCTATTTCGTGCCATCGCAAAGGTTGAGTGCCCATCAAATCGATCGTTGCCCGACGTAGTACTCTCCGAGCCTTTTGCCTACAGATTTTCTCTCTCACAACCTCATTGGTTTCTCTAGTATACATAGAGGGTGTGCTCCGAGCCGCTCATGTCCCACTCGGTGCAGTTACCTACATTCATTCTCGTTGTATGGTCTAGGGCTCGGGAAGGAAATGTACTCGGAATAGTCGGACCTTGACCGGAAGTCAAAAGTCAACAGTATATGCAACAACTAGTGGTCAATAGTACAGAAGAAATTGGAGCAGAACCACGAATTATCACGAACTATCACGAACCCCAACTATCCTCACGGGATTGCGGGACCCACGTTTTCTCGAGAAACAGCTTCCCAACTGCTGGTGACCCATGGACACCGCGCTCCGAGTTACCGCATGCGGCAGATTCACTGCCGGGTCTCACCTGCGATCCAAACTTGCACCGGGACACACCAATTCTAAAATTGAGGGTCCCGTTTGAAGGATGTTCTCTGCTATTTGCTCGGTAGATTTTCTGGAAACCCGCGATTCCCATGGAACCGGAGGCCGTGGCGGCGCCTTGGATTGCGTGCAATGCGGAGAAGTCGATGGCGACGGCGACGAGGAGGATATCAATAGGGCAGGGGCGTGTCCGTCCGTGGATCCAATGCCACAGGGTGATTTCCGACTCTCCGCAGTGGCGGTGGCTGCGTGAACCTATTTGCTACGCTGCGACTTGTACCCATGGCGCTGGGAGCTGGAGATATGTACATACTGAGAGAATGGAGGAGTCGGAAGGGTATACCTTGACGCCCGCAACGAGTAAAGTGCAAAGTTTAAAGGCGGAGGGGCTTCTTGGGCTTCTTCAGCCTCCCTCGGCTTCTCAGATTCTTGTGATCGCGAAGCTTAGCGGGGAGGACTTCGTGTGCGTCGGGGACCTTGGCATCGGGACTCCCCACCTGTCCACCCGGACGAGATTCGTACGAGAGGACTCGTCCAGGTACGATGTTCTATGTGATGATTTGGAGCTCCTCTAGAGGCAGGACTTGGAGAGGCCATGCCCGGCCCTCCTGTGATGTGTCCGATTCTGGGTAGCGCTCGCATCTGCCGCGCTATTGCAGGAGCCGCGCCGCTAATGTCCCATGGCGGGATGCGCTGGTCCGCCCTCTGACGTCGTTGTTCAGCTGAGGCCTCGAGATACGAGAAAGGATGGCTTCCGGTCGCACGGGTACTCCGGACTGAAGACCGGTCGCATGGTTCAGACTCCTGCAGGACGAGTCTGCATTTCATCATGTTCGTGGGTACGAGATCGTGCACATCTACATGTACCATGTATATACAGCACCTGTGAGATGTATATTTGCAAGCTCGAGCGAGAGTAGGGTATTTATTATTACATACACAGAGCAAGAACACAAAGTAATCGAGATCTGAGTCCTAGAAACTACGTACACTAGTATTGTATGTACTACATTCTACGTAGGACAGCATCTCCGACCCTCGATCGCGGATAAACACTCCCGACCAATGTGCGGATCAAGATTGACTCGGTGGTCGACGTCCATCCTCCACACGCTGCGGACTGGGTCGGAGGCTGGAGTCAGGCTGGGACGGGGACGGTGAGTGGACTCGCGGCTGGGACGAAACAGGGGGCTTGCGCGTGGGTGTCAACCGTCGTCATCATGCACATATTTGCACACTGACGGGAAATTCCTCGAGTCGGAGGAGAATGCAGGCGTCAATAATGTTCAGGCTATCGAATCGATAATTCTGTACTGCTTTTTACTTACCCTAAGGTACCGTACCCTTAGCATTGTCGCGACAGCACGAAGGCATGGAGGCCAAACCCAACCAAATAGTGTGCAGTAAGGTCGCCCTTCCACGCTAGGCCTAAGCTGGCCCGTGTCAAAGAGGCCCCTCCCTCGCTATCCCACATGCAGTACTAACTGTCCTGGACATGGCTGAACGCCCTGCGTGTGAATCGTCACAATTCCTCTTTGGCTTTTCCATTTTCCCTTTTTTGCCTTTTTGCCTCCAAGAGGGTCTTGCACCTGCGCCAATTAGGATGTAGGGCCAGGCTGGTCCCCGTGGGCCCCTCCCACATTTGGGTTTGCCTTGGGAGGCGTAACCCTAACCCGGGGGTTAGTTCAAGCTTCCTTCGATTCTGTGCCAGCAGCGATGCGGAGGGATCGCAGAAGTCTGCTGGTGCAGCAGCAGCACGATAATGTCTTTCTGTACTAGCTCCCGCAAATTCTCTCGAGTCCCTTCGACTCCAATGTCATGATCACTCCAGATTTAGCAACCCCCCACGCCACGGGTATACCCTTTGACGTAGAGGATCATCATCCCCGCCGCCTTGAAACACCGTCAGGGCGAACCTTGGTCGCTGCATCGTGAGTTTATTTCTTGGCGTCCCTTTTCTTTTTCTCCTTTTTTGCCTCTTACAGCCTAGCGCCCCCCACAGACACGGCACAGCTGGGCCACTCACAGCCGTCCCGTGCTGTGCTGGACATTCCCTTCTTGCCCGCCCCTAACGCTCCACTTGGAGAGCAGAGTTGTGTGTACTACTTCCCCCTCCCCCCTTTTGGGTATTGGGTCAGTTTGGACTCTGAGGTCACCGACTACTTTTTGGGTCCCATGATGGTTCCCCTTTTCGTGGTTACGTGCTGCTGGTTCCGATCCCGGAGTCGGGAACTTCTGTGGTTTGCTGGTTACTGCCAGTGATGGTTCGGATTCACTTTCTGGTTCCTCTGGTGGTTTCTGGATGGAACGGGACCTGGAGACGCCCTCACCTCCACCGGGCACAGCACATTCTTTGCAGCGCATTTAATGGAGGGGATTTTCTCTAGATCTTCCATTCCTCAGCCTAATCAGTGTAACTCAAATGGAGTTTTATTGAATTCACCATCGCGGATTTTACAAAAACATCCGAGACTATCACATCTGTCATGTATACTAATACTACTGTTTAAGCGTCAGAGAAAAAAAAAAAGAAATAAAATAAAAAGGAATAAATCCAAAAGAAAACAGAGAGGGTCCGAGGAACTGGTTCCCGTTCGAGAGCCACTTTTGGCCCTAAGCAATGCCTCCAATCCTGCATGATAAAAATAAGAATAATTATTTGTATTTGGGAGAATGGAACCCAGGGAAAGGTAAAATTACAGTATTGTTTCGAGGATCTGCAACCGTCCCCGACGGCACGTCGTCAGTGGCACTTGGAGTATCGTGCCTCACATCTTATAGTATTTGTCCCTTCTTAAGCTTCGCCGATCCCCTTCCCCAGACTGCTTTTCTCTTTTCTCCTGTCTGCGCGGTTCTCTGCACCAAAATTACGAGTGATCTTCGGCTTATCACTTGCTCTTTTCACTTGCTTCCTCCTTCCCTCGCACTTCCCTCCCCCGGATCATCACCAGTCGATCTTTCCCAACCTTCTGCTCCAGCAATCTCCCTGGAAGGGCCCTTGCAACAAAATAACCTCCCGATCTGATTCAACTAGGCGCGCGTATCGCACGCGAACCCGCGACACCCCTATCCTCCATGACGATGGTAATGGAAAACCAGAACCGCCAGTATGGCGGCATGAGCTTCGACAATGTCTATCACCATAATCCACCGCAATTCACAGACCCGTGGGCCGCCGCACACACCTCTTCGCACTCGACGCCGCCCGTCTACGCAACCTCCATGGGCAACAGTGCCAGCATCCCCGTGAAGGAGGAGGTTGGTCGCACCGCGCCCATGTCCATGCCCTATCCCAGTATCCCTGTGTCCGCGCCCTCGCTCGTCCCGGGCAGCAATTACACCACCTCTGGCTATGGTGCCGAGGTCATGGGCATGCAACACGATGTGCCGCGCACCACTTTCGAGCAGGCGCCCGCCTATACCACCGCGCCTCCCATGAGCAACTTTGCCCCGCCCAGCTATGCGCCGGTCAGCTATGCCCCAATTCACCCGTCGCAGCCCCAGGACGCTCGTCGCATTTCGCATTCGTAAGTGTCCCCGGTCTTCAGCAAGCATCGCGAGAGTCGCAAGGCTAACCTTCCAATTGCAGAGATGCTCGCGTGGGCTCCTCCCAACCACCCGCGCCCACTCCCACTTTCGGTGACGCGCTCGACGCCAGCCGCGGAATGGTCGCTCTCAGCCAGGATCTGACTCCTCGCAACATCTATGGACCTCGCGGTGCCCGGGGGTCCGCCGATTCCTATGGCTTCCCTTCCACTCACTCCTCTGCCTCGTCGATCTCCTCGGGCGGCAACTACCCCTACTACAGCGCCTCGGTGGGCTCCGTCGACTCCTCCGTGACCGACTACAGCTCCACAACCTCCGAGTCTTACGAGTCGCGCACTCTGCCGCGACCGGCCAACCTGCTGGCTGGCAGCGCGCCCCCGGGGCCCCAGTCCATGATGAGCCAGTTTAGCTCGAAGATGCCCTCCAACACCCAGAAGAAGCACAAGTGCAAGGTCTGCGACAAGCGGTTTACGCGTCCGTCTTCGCTGCAAACGCACATGTACAGCCACACTGGCGAGAAACGTGAGTGATCCTAGCATGCCCTTAAATAAACCCGAGGCAGTGTACTAACGAATTTCACAGCATTCGCGTGTGACGTGGAAGGTTGCGGGCGACACTTCTCCGTAGTCTCAAACTTGCGACGACACAAGAAGGTCCACAAGGGCGAGAAGGACACCGGTTCCCCAGACGAAGACGAGTAAACATGACGCCCTATTTACTCTGAACGACCTTTCGATTCTTCTATGAATGATTCTGATCATTCTTGCGCTCTCCCTCTCCCTCCCCTGCGCGATGCGAAAAAAATTCCACCGTGCCAGATATCCCTCCCGCTACCACCGTCCTTGCCATGAACCAGGCACCTATATTGACTGGTCGTGATACCAGGCAACTCCTTGTACAACAGCTTGGACCTTACCTACCCACTACCTTCCTACACTTCCTCATACGTCCCGACCGCTTCTCTCGATCGAGTTGCAAAAGATACCTCTTTACACCCACCGGACGGTCTGTGATCCTACGGTGGGATTTTCTTTTTTTTTTTTACTCCCACCGGATACGGTACAGGGGCTATGGGAAGGGAGAGCCTTTCTGATGCCTTTTTTTTTTTTTTTCCCTTATTCCCACGTTATGACCATAGAAGTACCGGCTGGTTTGCGTTCCTGGTTTCTTTCTTTCTTTCTTTCTTATTTCTTTCTTATTCTTTCGCTAGACCTGGGAGTCACCTTGTGCTTTTTTCGATACCAATGGGCTTGTGATGATTCAATGCTTTTCTTTCTGCGATATTTTCTTCGTGGCTTTTTTTTTCCATTTGTCTCACCCTTTTTCACTTCTTTGCACCTCCACAGCAGGGCATTTTGTTTCTTCTCTTCTTCTCTTAATATTCTTCACCTTGCATCTGTCCTCGCATGGTTTAGAGCCTTTTTTTTTTTTTTTCTTTGTCTGCTGATTTGTGTCTGCGAATATCTTTCCGCCCCTCATGGCTGGCTGTTTTGTCTGTTTGAGGGTTGCCTCTGTTTCCACCGGGTCTAGTCTGTTTCGATCATGCCCAGCATGCTGTTTGGGATTGGTGTTGATGTGATACCCGTGACATCGGTGCGAGAGTTCTGCTTTTACTACTTTTCGGTGATCCCGGTGGGCTCCGCTGCCATCTCCGACCCCCGGTGTATTCCCCTACAGTCGCTATAGTAAAAAATATTGTCTAATCAACAAATAAGCGCTTCAAAAATATCTTTTTTTTGTAGATTTCTAAACATGCGTATCCTAGCATCTAGTCTCGGATATGTCTCTATCCTTCCCCGGTGATACTATTCCAGGCATAAAGTGAAGAAGTGTATACATTTACAGCCTGGCAGCTCTATCAGAAGCCAAAGTCTCCGCCGCTGCTCGTCCAGCACGTCTTCCAAACACCGCACCAGAGGTCAATCCACTACCACCAGGATAATTATCATGGAAGAGTCCACCCAGCATCTCCCCAACACAATACAAACCCGGAACCTCTTGACCCGTCGTCTCCGACACAACAGCAGCCGTCTCAGGATTCACAGCCAACCCTCCAAACGTAAACGTAATGCCCGCCGTGACCTTGACAGCGAGGAAAGGAGCACGATCAATCGGCAGCGCCCAATTCGATTTCGACACCGCCAAGCCCTGCGTCGCCAATCCATCTTTGACCGCTGGATCCCAGTGCCCCGGCCTCACAGCCGCATTATACTCAGACAATGTCCTCAAAAACGTCTCTCGACCAGTTAATCCCGCGTCAACACACCGATCCGCTAATTCCTCCAGCGTATCCCCGGTCAAATGCCTCGTCACAGAAGCCCTATACTCCTCCGACCGAAGCCAAGGCGTCGTCCGCGCATCCCAAACTTGAAACGCGACCTGGGAAGGCTGCTGCAAGATCCGCCGTCCGATCATCGCATACGTGTAATTCCGCATGTCGGACCCTTCATCGACGAATCGTTCGCCATTCCGATTCACCATAATCCCGAGCGGGTATCCTGATTTCGTGAACTCGTTCGAAACCCCTCTATCTCCCGCGTGCGCCGGGGCATCGGAGTCCCATGCTACACTGTGGCAGCCAGACCAATTGCCCACTGTCTTTGCAGAGACGTCTCGCTGTGCAATTTGGAGCAGATCACCCGTATTATACGGGGTTCCTCGAACGCGGGCTGCGTCCCAGCCTGGTCCGAGGTATTGCGCGCGTAGTTGAGGGTTTGCTTCGAAGCCACCGGCTGCGAGGATGACGGCCTTTGCTTGGATAGTAGTCTTTTGACCTGGGAACTGGGAGTTCTTGTTGCAATTGTTGACTGCACGGTGGATGACTTCGACGCCGGTGATGGCTTCAGATTGCGGGCCTGTGAGCAGCTTCGTCACGGCCGTGTCGAAGTACACGCTAATACCATTCGTCTTCGCAGCACGCAGATGGTCTTCAATAAGCCCTTTGCCGCCATTTTCCGTTTTCAACGCCAGTCCGCCCCAGAACTTGATGCGATTATCTACTTCGTAGGCTTGGCGGTTGAAGGATAATTGGAAACGAATGCCATTCTTTGCAAGCCAGCCAATTGTACTGCGTGAGTCTTGAACGAGGATCTTCGAGAGAGCTCGATCCGTACGGCCATTCGTCATGCGCTGGAGGTCGTGCATGAAGTCTGATTCGGAGTAGAGTGGCATGTCGATTCGATTCGCTTTTTCGGGACTGGCGTTGTTGACTAGTGGGAGGAGATCGTTGAGGCCATTGTGTGCAGTGCGGAAGGCTCCTGCGGTGAAGTAGCTATTTCCTCCTGCCCAGGCTGAGGGGCATTTGTCGATGATTATCACGTTAGCTTTGGGGTTTGCTTGGGCTGCGGAGAGGGCGGCCGAGAAGCCTGCGTTGCCACTGCCTATCACGAGGATGTCGCAGGATGGAGGGGGTGACATGGTTGTTGAGGATAAGGTCAATAATGCATAGAAGCAGGCAAAGGTTCCGAGAGACTTGAATTGCTGGACTGGCGTGTGCTATATAGGAGCTTCATGCGTGATGTTAGGGTTGTCGGAGAGTTATTGTCCGAGTCGCATCTCCGCTCTCCCCGCAGGCGTGGGGTCAGGCTCCGCCGGCTGTAACTGTGGGTTTTCGGGCTCATGCAGGTTGATTTCGTGGAATGGGATATGCATGGGAGAATGTAGTGTAACAATGGGGTAGTCAACTCTGCGATAGGCACGTGGGAGCCAGGGTCCGTTGAATATGCGTATCAAGGCAATGCGATCAACAATCTGCAGCTCATAGTTGATAAGATAGAGAGCTCCTGGCTGCCACAATTCAATTGTACCAATGTGTTGCAGAAGTTGACGATGAAAGGATCGTAGAATCTGACGTGTCACACTACAAAGTGTGGAATAAGTCGTCAAAGGCCAAAAAAATACGGGTGACAATTATGATACTAAGTTGATAGTCTAAATTGCTGGCTCAATATCCAGCAGTCCAGCACCGCTGTGGACAGCAAATGCAGCAGAAAAAACTAAAGCCACCCAGAACGCCATGATTTGTGATGATTATCCATAATGAGAAATGATTTCGCAATGTCGATGATTATAGAGCTGTACAGCACCAGGCGTGTCCTAGCTCTTCCTTGACCGGATGGGGTTGGGTCTAAATGCGGTCTAGCTTGGCTCGGTTCATGGCAATCTGATCGTCGACATAATCGCTCTGTGGACAAAATTAGTATGATACGTAAGAAAACAAAACAAAAGCATGGGCACTAACCTTGCCTGTGATACGCTCCAAGTGTCGGTTCTGCTCGTCCAGCTCCTTGCCAGTAGCCTTGGCAAGACCATTCAGCCGGCCGGCGGCACCACTAAGCAAATCCAAGTTCTGCTCAATTTCATCTTCCATGGCCTCGTCTTCGCTGTCGGCCTCGAACTGGTACTTGGCCCGCTCAGTAACATTCGCCTTCTTGCCCTTGCCCTGCTTGGTTGCTTCACGGTCGATGTCCCGAAACACGCGCTCCATACGGGCGTTTGTCTGATAGGCCTCCGAGCGAGTATCGTCGCGAAGGCCACGCTCTTCGCGGTGGGTGTTGAGGATCCGCTCGTCACGCTCACGGCGGCGCGAAGCACTCGTGAACGGGTTGGAAACATGGACAGCGAACATGCTCTTGTTGAGAGTCTTCAGTTCCTTAGCCTTCTCCTGAGCAAGGCGACCCTCGATAGTGGCCATATCCAAGCTCTTCTCTGCTCCGTGAACCATTTCGCCCTGCGCACCAAGACGAGCCAGAGTGGAACGTCCAGTCTCCTCGGCTTGAGCCGCCGCACGCAGAGCGTTCCGTGTCGAGGCAACATCACCTTGTTTCACGAAACGCATCTCCTGCTTGATACCCTGAATGTGCTCCTCTTCCTCCTCCTCGGCCGTCAGTTGCCGTTCCTGGTAGGTGGCCATGCTGTACTCATTGCTGCCGCCACCATAGTTGCTAGGCTGGGCCGGTTGGTCAGGCGAGTATGGGGGAGGGGGTCCGCCAGACTGAGGCGTTTGCTGCGACCTATGGTTGGAGCCTCCAAACAGTTCATTCCGTGCGGCATCCGCATTGGGATCGTTGGGATCAGCGCTGCCGAGTCCGCCATAGCCTCCGGCGCCATATCGCGAGCCGGACGCGGGACTAGCGCCAGCGCCAGAACCATTGCCAAATCGATCACTGCCGTATCCTCCCTGGTTACCGTAGCGGTTGGGCGCATATCCCTGGTACTTGTTGTCGGATGGGATGGCGTGGGGTCCTCCTGCGGGGGCGGGGGAGTTCATGCCACCCGCATCACCGGCTGGCAGAGGAGCTGCACCGATGCCAATCTTGGCCTTTGTGTAGGGGTCGATGGGGATAGGCTGAGCGTAGGGGTTGGCGGGCGGCGCGGGACTCTTGTTCTTCGATCGACCGAAGAGGATTCGGCGGTTCGACTCGTCGGAGTCGCCGTCTTTATCGGATTTTTTGAAAAGGCCCATGATGCAGGCAGGTATCGGATAATATGTCGAGCAGTGTCGCTGTGAAGAATCGATTCAGAAGGAAGAGTTGGAGCGGATGTCAGGAGATAATCTGGCGGGGGATTTCATAGACGAGAAGAAAATGTTTCAGTGTTCAATGGCCAGCGCTTCAGGGGAGCTGGCGGTAGGTCGAGACCGGTGGTGCTGCGGCGGTATGACGGTGACGAGCGGTGGCACCGCCAATTGAAGGCAAATACGGTCATCTTACCTCATCCATACGCCGTACCGCTGACTCAGTCGCACTAGCCCGAAACAGCGAGGTGTGCGACTTCGCCTCTTCGCTATTTTTGTCCTTTCTCTGCTGCCTGCCTCCGCCACGCACAATGGCGCCCCAGGGAGACGCCGACCATTGCAGAGACAAGGCCCGCAGGGACTTGCTGGCTCTGCTCGAAGGCGTGAGTGTTGCGTGCATGCTATCCTGAGGCCTTTGCTAATGGTGCGCAGGCTCGGGGCAAGAAAAACCTCGTCATCAGCCAGGAGCTGGCAGGTCCGGTTGGCCTGTTCGCCAAGTTTTCCGAGCTTCAGCAGTACGGTGTAGACCGGGTCTTTTTGCTGGAAAATGCAAACATCGACTCGTCTCAACGCAATGTCGTGTTCCTGGTTCGTGGTGAGAAGGCTCACCACGTCCGGACCGTTGCAGGTACGTGGCATTTTCGTGTTTATTTTCGTCCTTGTTGTTATTTATCCGCACCACCCCGACACGCATCGGACATGAATTGGGACTTCAGCAGTTAGGCACGAGCTTTTCATCTCTGTTTAATCGGTTGTGGCTTTGGCCGACGTTCCCTAGATTGAAATTCTGGTCATTTTTCGCTCATTTATCTGGCTTTCTTCAAGTTGCTCGCCGATCGAGAGTCATCAGATTGAGCTAACATCCATCTTTTTTAGAACAAATCAAACGTCTTCAGAACAATGACACGGAACACGAGTTTTCCATCCTCCTCTCCCCTCGACGCACCCTCGTAAGCAACACCGTCCTGGAAGAAGCCGGAATCATTGGAGATGTCAACATCGCCGAGTTCCCACTGTATTTTCTCCCGCTGGAACAGGATATCCTATCACTGGAACTAGATGATTCTTTTGGCGACTTGTATCTGGTGAGTGTCTCTTCTTCTGGGCCAATTGAACTTCAACTGACAATGTCCCAGAACAAAGATCCCGGCTGCATCTTCCACGCCGCCAAGGCACTAATGGGCACCCAACAGAGACATGGGTATTTCCCTCGCATTGTAGGAAAGGGCGATAATGCCCGACGTCTGGCGGATCTTCTGTTGCGCATGCGAAAGGAGCTCGATGCTGAAGAAAGCTCTGGACTCGTCAACCCTTCTGCCCGAGGACTTCTGCCAAGCGCGGATACGGAGAACCTGATTATCATCGATCGTGATGTCGATTTTGGAACGCCACTATTAACGCAGCTCACTTATGAGGGCTTGATTGATGAATATGTGGGCATCAAGAACAACCAGGCAGATGTCGACACTAGTGTTGTGGGCCAGAACTCAGTGTCGCAGTCCCAAGAGTCGTCCAAGACGCCCCAACAAGCCAAGCAAGGATTGAAGAGAAAGATTCAACTGGATGCATCGGATCAGTTGTTCAATCAATTGCGAGACGCCAATTTTGCCATTGTTGGCGATCTCCTCAACAGAGTGGCTCGTCGCTTGGAGAATGAATATGAGACACGTCATGCGGCCAAGTCAACCAACGAGCTCCGGGAGTTCGTCAACAAATTACCGACTTACCAATTAGAACACCAGAGCCTTCGGGTCCATACTAATCTTGCGGAGGAGATCATGAGACTTACTCGCTCCGAGACATTCCGAAAGATACTGGAAGTGCAACAGAGTAGTGCAGCTGGTATTGACCCTACCTACCAGCACGAGAGTATCGAGGAGCTCATTGCACGAAATGCTCCTTTGAAGAACATTCTTAGGCTGCTGTGTTTGGAATCATGTATGCACGGTGGACTTCGTTCCCGCGATCTGGAGTACTTCAAGAGACAAGTTGTCCAGGCCTATGGTCACCAACATCTCTTGACCTTCTGGGCACTAGAAAAAATGGAGCTCCTGCAACCCAGGTCTTCTGCTACGGCCATGCTTCTCCCAACGTCCGGTGCACAGGCTGGCACCAAGACCAATTACGGATACCTTCGCAAGAATCTTCGTCTGGTGATCGAAGAGGTTAGTGAGAAGGACCCCAACGATATTTCATACGTCTACAGCGGATTTGCTCCCCTGAGCGTACGGCTGGTCCAGTGCGTTCTGCAAAAGCCTTACATTGTCTCCCTCATCAAGGGTGGCACGCCTTCAGCAGCTGCCAACAATGCCAACACGGCGTCTCCCGGCTGGCTTGGATTTGAAGACGTGGTCAAGAGTGCTCGTGGTACAACATTCAGTATTGTTCAGAAGGGTGACGACAAGGCCGTGCGCGCCCGGCAGACGATTAGTGGTAATAACGGTACCAAGAACGTGTATGTCTTCTTCCTAGGTGGAATCACTTTCACCGAGATCGCTGCTTTACGCTTCATCGCTGCCCAGGAGGCACCGCGTCGGAGAATCATCATCTGTACCACAGGCGTGATCAGCGGTGATCGAATGATGGACGCAGCCATCGAGAAAGGCAGCTTCGCCAAGGCGGAGTAACGTGAAATATGCATGCATCATCTCGAGTCTAGCGTTTACCTGCAATAGTAATTTATGATACCACATTTTTAACATGCATTCTTTTGATGACAAAGTCGTCCCAACTCAGTATTTGAAACCCGGATTGACGCCCATCAAGCGACCCTGGTACCGCTCCATGAGTTCTCCCAGTCTGACCATAACGCCCGCAGCCAGCGTTCGCACCTGCTCCTGTGGATCGGCAGTGGAGTTTGCTTTACCACCAGAAGGCATCCGGTCGAATACTTCAGATGCCCATTCACGTAGCTCGATCACTTGAGATGCGTACTCATTGACCAGGCGCTCTTCGCCGTTAGACCCAGTGGCAACGTTAAGATCCAAGATGGCGAGGAAGAGATTCAGCAAAGCTGCGGCGACGGTCGGCTCACTAGACACAGGATTTGTGTGTAAGGAAAGGAGAAGCGAAAGGGTTTCATGGGTGAGACCCGGTAGGAACGGAGTGTGCGGGCCAGCTGTAGAAACAATGAGAGAAAGCGTCTGGATAAAGAGGGTGAGGATGTGCGGAACAAAGAAAGGGTTGTAGGAAGGAGAGGATGATCTGACGCTTGCTGTTAGTATTCACGTATTCAAGCTGAGAAGGGAAGAACTCACGTGGAGAATTGTAGCATCATGATTTCGAACCTCCCCTGAAGAGGATAGAAAAAGCCCTCGGCAAGGACTTTATGGAGATCTTTTACCATTTTCTTCTGTCTCTGGGCATCACGATCCTGGCGCTTCTTCTCGACCTCCATACGAGACGAGAAGGTCCGTACCTTCAAGGCGTTGGGACCCGACATTTCGTCTGCAGCGTTAGCTGCCAATGGTTGAAGCGAAGTACGTGACATCTCTCTTGTCAATGTCGCAATTGGAGACTCGTTCTTTGAATCCAAGAACATGGCTTCCAAGGCAGGAGACAAACGCTTAGACGGAAAAGAGGTATCCTGCAACTTCGGGAGACCCAGAACTTGAGCATCTTCCTCGCCATTTCCAGCTACTTCGCGGGTACTGAGACCCAGGGCTGTGAGAACAGCTGACCGTTGGACCTGAGACAGGTCGCCATCGAAGAAGATGGCAGTAAACCAACGACCCATTTTGAGAGGCTGAGAAACAATCAATGCAATCATACTCTGGAGGCGCGACTCGTGGAACTGTGGATGACTATTGTCATTGTTAAGCCCCACTATAGTCAGAGCCAATTCCTCGACTTGCTCGGCGAGCTCGCTGCCAAAGCCAGTCTTGCGGCGGATCAAAGAGGGCGCAGTCGAAATGGCGAGGTGATGACGCTCGACATTTTCTGTATCTCGTAGGTACGTGATAAGATCCCGGATGTATCTGAATTTCATTAGCTAAGTAATCTCTCCGGATTTTGATGGCAAAACTCACACTGGGGCTGTGGGTTTGTTCCGTTGAACTAGAGTTGGGTCCTCGTCGTCGTCCTCGGCATCCTCATCGGGTTTATCATAAGGCATGAGATCTTCATCTTCATCAGTTTCGTCTTCGTCGTCGTCGATTTCCTCTATGGCAACAATCTTGCTAGTTTGTTGCTGTCCCGGCGCGCTGCGGGCTTTTTGCTGCGGGCTGGCTGGGGCCTCTGTGCTTTCTCTTCCGCTTTTGTCTGAGGGTGCTGGAGCACTTCGATGGAGGAAAGTGGTCCAACCTTGTCTTGCACTTTAGTGAGACTTAAATACCAGCGTGCTTCCTCATTCCGCATTTCTTCGATATCGAACTTGAGCGCCTTTTCTGGCTCTTCAATGATCTCTGAGATACCGGTACCAACAATCATGCCGAGGAATCGTGCTCTGTTTGAAGATGCCGCAAGTCGGGTAGATACCGCATTGAGAAAGATGCCCGTGCGTCCAACATCCTTGACGAGGGATGGATCGAGGCCTCTCAAATGACCAGCAGTCAGAAGAATAAGCTGTGCATTTGCTGCGGTCTATCAGCCATTCTGTTATTCTAACATTATCCTTGCTGAGACCGACATACCATTCTGGGTGATTATAGGAACGTGTTTGATGGAGAACTTGTCACCAAATTGCTCCAGGCTGCGCACTAGTAATGATTTGAGTGAATCTGCAGATATCGATTAGCTTTGTGATCTGTTTCCCGGATCCTGCGATATCAACCCACCAGCCGAGTCACGGTATGTGGCCAAAAGGGCCCGGCGCAATCCTATGGTTTGTATTGAGCCGCCCGTGCATTTGCAAAGCCATTCTGAGATCTGATTTTTCAGGGTTGGGCGACCGTCAAGAAAAGCAGAACACATCGTCGCTACTCCTGTGATGATATCATTGCCCGTGGCTGGCTGCTCGTAACTCTCGGAGATGGTGTCGGAGAGATAGCGTTTCTGTATATCGCGGAATATAGCTTCTAGCAAAGAGAATTGTTCCGACTGTTTGAGGTTGTCGAGGAGCAATCCGAACTGTCCCACGATTTGCTGGTCGAGGAGAAGAGCTGTGTAGATTCCTCGAACAAGCTGGTCTATGAAAGATTCAGTATCCCAATCGATGCATGATCGAGCTTTGAAGTCGAGCCTCAATAAATCCCCGGAAACAGCTTACCAGAATAACCAAGACTTAAGCCACGGCCCGTCAAAAAGGCAGCAGAGCGCCATGCTTCCCTGTCATCTAAGCTGAGCTTCGAAGCTAGATGGGCGACACTGCTACCAAGCCAGGATGCATAGCGAGGCCCCTCTCCAAGCCATGAGATCGACGGTGCAATTTCAGACTCGGACTGAGTGGCAACGCCGATGGCTTCTGCGGTCGTTGAAAGGATTTTACCAGCGCCAACAAGAGACACAAACTCTCGCCACGCAACCTGCTGCTTGGTTTGGTTGTCGTAGACAGTCGCAATATCTGAGAAGATTCGAAATAAAAGGTCTTTCGGCTCTAATAAAGCAGCAAGAACCGACAGCAAATCATGAATAGCGAGCGAGTTGTTTGAACCATTCGCTTGTTGGGAATTGGCTCGGGCCGATGCTATAAGAGACCGCAACTGAGCAACCAAGGAGCCTAGGCCAGGTACACTGCTCAAACACCGCAGAATCGCTGCACGGGCCTTGGTATCTCTGATTCCTTCCTCTTTTGTATTGAGTGATGCCCAATGGTCCGGGATGGTGGTGCTGACTAAAACTTGGAGGACTTGAGCTGTAGTCGGGTTTGAAGCTCGAATATCGAGTCCTTGAGTCCTTCTTGATGTATTGAATGGGTCAAGTGCAGCAAGAACTGCGACGAGCTCTTGTCGGTCTGGGTGGGACTTCAAAACATCTATGATCCGATTCGGAGATATGTCGTGATTGAGGTCGATGACGGGTTTGAGGCCATCTCTGCGACTTTCTGTTTCAGCAGTAACCAAGGGGGTCTCTTGATCCCTCTTGACAGTCTTGACGGCGGTCAACAGGCCATCCATTTCGAAAGTCGTGGCATTGAGAAGAAGCTAAGTCCCGAATGTGTCGAACCCGAGCTTGTATGCGGACGGTCACGTGCCCCGCGTCTGTCCTGCCCACCGATGCCGCCATGCCTCTTCCATCCTCTCCACCATCACTCCCATCGTCTCGTTTGTGGGGGAAAGTTGGAAATTACCAGACAAAAATACAGCATCCCCAATATCTACACTCATCAGTGCTTGTCAAACGATCCCCGACCTCCCCAAAAAACCCATCTTAAACGCGAAGTGGGACTAGACACCCCAACTTCAGGACAACCAGCGCCTGCAACCACCCCCCCCCAACCTTTAGGACGTCTGTGATTTATCAGATATGGCTTCAGCAGACGGTGTCCCTGGGAGCGAAAAAGCTCGATGGTGAGCCATCTTCAAGGCCAACCAAATAGCTGAGTCTAACCCTACAATACAGGAAGCACCTGTATAAGGTTCTGTCCAAGCCTGGCCCTTACAGCGATGAAGACTGGGTCCCTGGTCAAGATACAATCGATTCTCTGGAATCCTCAAAAATCTTGTAAGATCAAACATGGCAGACTGCATGATACGTACTAACGTTGGACTCCAAGGGTGATGTTCGTCCTTTCAATAATGGCATTTCCCAGAGGCGGAAGAAGAGATTGACTGACCTGATCCTAGCGGCGCCGGCGGTTTAGGCTGTGAAATACTGAAGAACCTTGCTTTGTCTGGATTCAAAGACATTCATGTTATTGATATGGGTATGTTCTCCTATGCCGCATGTCGGTGGAATAAGCCTAATGCCACTGACAGATACGATTGACATTTCCAACCTCAACCGTCAATTCCTTTTCCGCCAGGCAGATATTGGCAAGCCCAAAGCTGAGGTCGCTGCTGCCTTTGTGGAGAAACGAGTCAAGGGCGTCAAGATCACGCCGTTCGTGGGGAAAATCCAGGATAAAGATGAAGATTACTACTTGCAATTCAAGATCATCATTTGTGGCCTCGATAGCATCGAAGCTCGTCGCTGGATCAACTCCACCCTAATTGGAATGGTTGACCCGGAAAACCCAGAGAGCCTCAAGCCCTTGGTCGACGGTGGAACGGAGGGTATGTTACCCACAATGAATTGATAAGGTACCAGGCTAACGCAGACTAGGGTTCAAGGGTCAAGCCCGTGTTATCCTACCAACACTCTCCTCGTGTATTGAGTGCCAGCTCGATATGCACGCACCTCGACCAGCTGTTCCACTTTGTACGATTGCTACGATCCCCCGCCAACCGCAGCACTGCATTGAATGGGCGCACCAAATTGCATGGCAGGAGAAGCGCAAGGATGATGCCTTTGACAGCGACGACATGGAGCACATATCCTGGGTGTATAGTGCCGCCCTGGAGCGGGCACAGCAGTTCAGCATCCACGGAGTCACTTTCCAGATGACTCAAGGCGTGGTGAAAAATATTATCCCGGCTATCGCATCTACGAATGCGGTGATTGCAGCATCCACAACCTCCGAGGTACTGAAGATTGCTACATCATGCAACCCATACCTTGAGAACTACATGATGTATGCTGGCGAAGAGGGTGTGTACACCTATACCTTCGAGGCCGAAAAGAAGCCAGATTGCCCCGTCTGTGGAAATCTCGCACGGAAGATGACCGTCGACCCGAACGAGACCCTGGAGGACTTCATTGATAGCCTTGGCGAGAGAGCAGAGGCGCAATTGAAGAAACCCAGTCTTCGGACGGAAAGAAAGACCTTGTACCAGCGTTTCCCACCTCAGTTGGAGGAGCACACAAGACCAAATTTGAAACTGAAGCTGAACGAGCTTGTCGACGACGGCGAGGAGGTTGCCGTCAGCGACCCAGCCTTTACTATCGACTTCCGCTACAGACTGAACTTCAAATAGGGCCGAGTTCATTATATATCAAACTCTGGCTGATACAATGGAATGAATTGAATGAATTTTTGATATTTAGCTTTATTGGACTCTCTTAGAATTCGTTTCCAAAGACAGGCTGCCCGCCTTCAGTGGTCTAACAGCAAGTGTGATATCCGGACTCCGGCCTCGTAAAGCCAACTTTCGACAGGACTTTTCGTAAATGTACAGCGCGAACGAAGCTCAAAATTTCCAACGCCGGTATAATGCATTATAAAAACGAGGGGATAGATGATCGACGGCTTTACGCCATGAGATCACTCAGGCCCCGCTTCCACCGGGTGCATTTCAGCTTGAGCACCTTGATCGCCTCCAAGAAGAGAGCATCGCTCTCAAACTGACCAGTGCTTTCAACATTGAAGATGAAGTGGTCACGAATACGGCCCAGCTTCACCTTGCCTTGAAACTCCTCGTGTCGCAAGCACTCGCGACTAACGGTATCGTTGAAAGCATCACGCACAACAGCCTTCTGTTCACCGGCGTGACCCTCATATCCACTGCCCTTCTGCGAGGCCTCCTCGGCGGTGACAGGCTCAAGGGCAATAACTCCCTTCGGGAAGCACTTGGCGAACTTCTTCGCGTCATCTCCAATTATAGGGCGCTGAATTTTGATGTCCGGCATGAGACGATAGGTGGCGGTCGCAACAGGCGAGAACTTTGCGTGATCGGCTCCTATGCCCTTCACGCAGTGAAGTTCCATTTCGATCTTTTGACCGGGACGCATCTTGGCGATCAGAATGTCCGGATTGACAGGCCGGATGGCACCATCACCGACGAAGTATTGATCCTGACGACCAACCGGAGAAAAGGTAAGATCTCTGGCGTAGACGTGCGCATTGTTGTAGAGGATACGCGGATCCTGCTCGTCGGGGTGGGCATTGGGATTCTTAGTGCATTCCACGTCAAGGTGCATGACAACGGTGTTGAAATCAGACGGCCCGTCTTCCTCGGTAGAATCCTCATCTTCAGATGGCTTGCGGTACCAGCGCATCCAGTTAATTCCGTCCACATTGCCCTTGAGCGGGATCAGACCCAGACGCTGGGCAAGTACCTCATCCTGGATAACGGATGTGTTATTATGAACAAAGACGTATTCAATAGCCAAAGTCGGGATCTCGGCCATCAGAACGCGGCGAAAGGCATTGGCAACCGCAGCGTCGAGGCCGATCAGCGAGAACGAGGCTTCGTGAGGGTCATTGCGGTGGTATTCGACCTTGAAGCCCTGGAGATCATATAATTGTCAGAACAAGACCTAACCAAGCGTCAAACAGAAGCGCAATTAGTACAAACCTCTTTGAATTTGTCAAGCGCCCAACCATGCGACTCTCCGGGCCAATGACCGGGGAAATCTGTGGAGGGGATGTTTGTGACAGTCTCTGCGTTGATGTCGATGATCTGGACAATGTGTTTAATATGTGGAGTATGCAAGAAAGACGAATGTACTGACACGACGACGCTGCAGCTCCTCCTGCGACGGGACAAGAGGCGCCATGGTGGGCAAGCTGGAGGGGACGGTGAAGGTGGAAAGGAAATTCGTTGATCGGCGATAAGAATAATTTCTCGAAGTATTTTCTGTATGCCTGAGGCATCCACCGGATCAGGCAGGAGCAAGGCCATCTATTCAGCGCAGCTAAGACACCTGAGGCAGTACTAAATTGGTAAAGAAACCAGGAGCCAGACCCCTTTTAGACTAGTCCAGGATTATGTGAGTGCAGTATAGGTGGGTCCCTCTGACCAACCACATCGCAGCTGATGACCGGGCAGCTCAAAGCACGTGACAGGCCAAAATGGAGCGCGACCTCATCTTCGTCTCTGCAGGTTCCCTTCCCGCCCAGCGAGCCCACTCCGCCTCCAATCCATTGAATGCGCCTGGTCTGAGGCCTAGATTCCTCACGTCACCCCCGGTCCTCTCCTCTCACTTTCCTCCATGGCCGCTTCCTTCGCCCGCCTCGCGGGCAATGCGCCCAAAAGGCTCTGCCTCCGCCCCTCCAACGTCCTCAACACATCTGTGCCTCGTTCCCGCTCGATTGCGACCACAGTCCCTCGTCAGCATGCCGACCCCACCAGCTACCAGGCCACACGACTGGTTCCGGCCGACCCGTTCGTCGCCCACATGGCCAACAAGCCGCCTACCTCGTCCCCGGATGAGGCCGCTCCCCTTGAATCCGAGACTGGAAGTCTGAAGGGCCGCAAGATTCGTCACTATACCGTCAACTTCGGTCCCCAGCATCCGGCTGCTCACGGTGTGCTCCGTTTGATTCTGGAGCTCAATGGCGAGGAAATTGTTCGCGCCGATCCCCACGTCGGTCTGCTGCACCGTGGTACTGAGAAGTTGATCGAGTACAAGACCTATATGCAGGCTTTGCCCTACTTCGACCGATTGGACTACGTCTCAATGATGACCAACGAGCAGTGCTTTGCGCTGGCCGTCGAGAAGCTACTGAACGTCGAGATCCCGGACCGTGCCAAGTGGATTCGTACCATGTTCGGCGAGATCACCCGTATCCTCAACCACCTGATGTCCGTTCTGTCCCACGCAATGGATGTTGGTGCTCTGACTCCCTTCTTGTGGGGCTTCGAGGAGCGTGAGAAGCTCATGGTAAGTGATGGGACACTCCCCGGGATATCTTCGGAAAAGGAACTTGTGCAACTAATGGTTATGTTATAGGAATTCTATGAACGTGTCTCCGGTGCCCGTCTCCACGCCGCTTATGTCCGCCCCGGCGGTGTCTCTCAGGATATCCCCATTGGCCTTCTCGACGACATCTACCAGTGGGCCACTCAGTTCGGTGACCGTATTGACGAGACCGAAGAACTTCTTACCGACAACCGTATCTGGAAGCAGCGTACCCAGGGCGTTGGTGTTGTTAACGCCGCTGATGCTCTAAACATGAGCTTCACTGGTGTCATGCTCCGTGGTTCCGGTGTGCCGTGGGATATCCGCAAGTCTCAGCCGTACGATGCCTATGACCAGGTTGAGTTCGATGTCCCTGTTGGTGTCAACGGTGACTGCTACGACCGTTACCTGTGCCGTATGGAGGAGTTCCGTCAGTCCCTCCGCATTATCCACCAGTGCTTGAACAAGATGCCCGCCGGTCCTGTTCGCGTTGAGGACTACAAGATTTCCCCTCCTCCTCGTGCCGCCATGAAGGAGAACATGGAGGCGCTTATCCACCACTTCCTGCTTTTCACCAAGGGTTACTCTGTGCCTCCGGGTGAGACCTACTCTGCCATTGAGGCGCCGAAGGGCGAGATGGCTGTTTTCCTGGTCAGTGATGGCAGCGAGCGCCCTTACCGCTGCAAGATTCGTGCCCCTGGTTTCGCCCATCTGGGTGGATTTGACCAGGTCTCTCGCGGTCACCTTCTGGCTGACGCCGTCGCTATCATCGGTAAGTATCTTTATACCCGCAGTGCTTCGATCCATGACACTAACATTATATCAGGTACCATGGATCTGGTGTTCGGTGAAGTCGACCGGTAAAAGCATCCTTACAACGCGATAATAAAACTTTCGAAAAAAAAGGAAGAAGACTTTGAAATGGCCCCCTTCTAGACGGCCTTGCCATTTAAGGGTACAGAAGCAGATACCAGTGATGCACTAACCGTCATATATTCTCTGTTACAACCCTTGGACCCCTTGACTCTGACCCAGGTGTACCAAATTCTCCATGTTTTCTTCTCATGGCGTTGTTCTATTATGTCCTGTCCTTCTCCTTTGTCTCTTGCTATTTTGCCTCCTACCTCTCATCAGCCCCTGTGTATAGTGAACATCCGAATTCTTCTGAGACATGCTTTCTACTTGATATATGTATACGACTTGTATGCTGTTTGTGGGGTGCAAACTACCGTCCAAGCGGAGATTGCTCTTGCAATATTTGACCTAAGCCGGGTTCCTTTGATGTTCAATTTTCCCAGAATTTTGACTCGGAATTCATCCCGATAGACTGCTAAATGGTCATGCGGAATTTTATTGTGCGGGTCATTGCTTGGAGTTCATATTTCAATTCGCGCTCCTCACTGCAAGCATTTTGATAGTGTTGTATCAACTTGAAACTGTGGTGCCAGTGCATTTGAACTCCCCGCGGAGGCCCCATCATTGGTGGGATCGCCTACATGTCTGCATCGAGCTAGTAGGGTGGGCCCGCCGGCACTGAAGAGTGGCAAATCGGAGACAACTTGAAGATACAACCCAGCGGCTTTCCATGTCATCACTCAAGAGCACATTGTGCCACACATGCAGTTCTGAAATCGTCTTCAGAGGACACTGATTCCTTGCAGCCGTCTGTCAGCATGTCAAGACCGCCTCAGAATGACGTGTTCATCGAAACTAGTGGTGACACTGACGGTCCCCGTCGAAGGAGGGACGGCTGCACAGAGTGTCGGAGAAAGAAAGTCAAGGTAATTACTTTTGATCAGTGGCGCGAGGGTCAGAGCTAATATGTGGAACTATTAGTGTGATTTGAAAAAGCCAGTATGCACGCGATGTACCCGATTTCCCAGAGGGTGTTCCTATGACTTGAGCATCGTTGCCCTTAGACCGGCGAAGTCACGGTCACCACAGACTATGAAATGCAGAGAGAGAAAATCTTCTTTGATCTTTCAAAATAATTTGCAGCTGGCACCGGCTTATTTGGCAACACCACTAGTTCATCAAATCCCGATCACTCAGTCTGTTTTCCTGTCATCAGATGAATCTAAATTCCTGATGCATATTTTTGGCACTCAAACTGCCAACATGCTGTTCCCAACAGCCCCCGATTACTTTCTCCGAACAATGATCAGCGCTGCTATGGAAACACCGCATTTGCTTTATGCGCTTTTAGCTATCGCTTGCAGTCACCACGGCCGTCTTGTTAAAGACTCGACTCCAAAGCCCAAAATGACCTGTCTCAAATACACCAACTTGGCAATATCCAATTTGCGCGAGACAATAAAATCTCAAGACCAATCCCTCAAAGCTGAAACGGTGACAACGGCAATGGTACTATGCACCAATGATGTCTGCAATGGGAATATGCAGGCCTGGAGAACTCATCTACGAGGTGTGCTACGCCTCTTGGCTGCACGTTTGGAGCACCAAAAGGACTTCGATGCCACCGAAGAGCCCTTTATATGGGCATTAACTAAGTGGTTTAAAACAATGGATATCATAGCAGCATTATCTGGGTTTGATGGAGTGTGCATCCATGACCCCGGGAATGGACCGTTGGATAAATCACCGAGTACCGAGAATGTCTATATCGATGACATTTGTGGCTATTCCTTGGTTTTGATACCACTTCTTGCACGAGTCTCTGAATTGGTCCGTCTTCAAAGCCTTCGACATGTGCCTAGCGGAATCGACTCGAGTAATGGACCATCGCTAGAGACGATGGTTGAAATAGGAGCTCTCGAAACAAAAATCCTCTCGTTGTCAGACAAAATTGCTCCCAGTGGAACGGAGGAGAAGGATAAGCACCTTGCTATCGAATTGAAAAGCACACATCTTGCTTTCGTGCACACAGCATTGCTCCATCTCCATCGCCGGGTCCAGCTGTTGCCAACACATCACTCTAAAGTTCGGTTGGACATCGAGAATATCCTTGACGCCCTGAACAATATTCAACCATCCTCACCTGCCAATATTCTCATTCTTTGGCCCATATTCAGTGCCGGCTGCGAAACTACAATTGTCACTGAGCGAGACATGATACAAGAACGGATGACCAAAATGCAAGGCCTCGGAATGGGCAACTTTACCAGAGCCCGGGAGCTCCTTCAAAGGTTTTGGGAATCTGAGAGTAACCTGCCTTGGGATATTTACTTTGCGCAGCATGGGCTCGAGCTGGTTCTCTTCTAGCCAACAAATAACCCACGAATCAATTGCATACTCATTACCTGGTGCTACTACAATCGCGCTATCTTATTGAGTGATTACTCAGACAGCCGCCAGAGGCAAATTTTCGAAATCCTCTTCCATGAACAGCCGAAGGGCTTGGAGTCCATCCACCAGAACCTGTCGATCGGGAACATAGCCCACCCGCACATAACCCTTAAAGTCGTTTCCCTCGCCAAAGCAACGACTTCCAGGTGCCAACAGTACCCCTTTCTTCTCCAACACCTGCTGGCAAAATGCCACGTCATCAATAGGGGTCCCATTCCTCATAAATTTGACAAAAGCAGTCGTTCCAGCTCGCGGGTGGAACCATGTCGCTTTTCCCTCATAGTCGCGAACGAATATGCCCAGATCATGCAGATTTTGTTGAGCAAGTCGAATGTTACGGTCGAGCAAATTATCGACACAGGAATCAGACAGTGCTCGTGTGGCAATGCTGTCATTCAGCTGTCCAACCGAAATCAGAGTATAATGTCGGACAGAGGCGCACGATTCGATAATTTCGGAGCTTCTGGAAGCGATCCATCCTAATCGAATGCCTGCTAGACTGAAAGCCTTCGACATCGAGCCCGTTGAAATAGCTTTCTCATATCCGAAATCCAGGATTGAGGGAGGACTTTCTGAGCCATTCCCAAGCGAGTGGAAGAGTGGCCGATACACTTCGTCGCAGTGAACGATGATATCGTGCTGCCGGGCGATATCCACGATTTTTTGCAACACTTCGCGGCAAAGTACGACACCGGTTGGGTTCTGAGGATTGCTAGAGGATGCTCAGCTGAGTTGTCGATTGGGCCAAGCCTCAATGAGACCAACTTACTTGATGATGATGAGCTTGGTATTTGGCTGAATTAGAGACTTAAGCTCCGACAAGTCTAGCTGCCAGTCCTTGTCTTCAGACGACTTCCACAGAGCCACCTCTGCACCAAGTGACTGTGGAACCGAATATAATTGCTGGTATGTGGGGTAATGGCAGATGACATGATCCCCTGGGCCGATGTGGGTATAATGAGCGAGAAAATTGGCCTGAATGGCTCCGTTCGCGACAAGAATATCCTTAGAAGACAAAGGCGCAGATGTGTTGCTAGAGTATAGCTTTGAAATATTGGATCGCAGGGCCTCTGAGCCACGAATAGCACCATAGGTTTGCTTCCGCGATGAATCTATCGCATCGGTTTCCTGGCCGGAAAATGTATGAAGGTCATCGAGCGAGACTGATGCACAGCAAGTCTCGGCGAGATTGTGCTTAGCACCGGTCTCATAATCATCCATCCACTTAACAGGTCAGCGTTAGATATCCTTCCTTGGTGAGGTATGCCTCTTACCCGTTCCACAGCGAATTCATTGATCTTGACCATCGTAATATGAGTATTTCTGTCTGCGGATGAATTTACTAGCGAAGCTGAGTAGAAAGAGAAGGAAATTTAAGAGGCCCATTCCAGCCTTTTATATTCAGTTTACACGCTAAGGTCACAAGGGCTTGAATGACAGGGTTGCGACCGTCTACCTAAGTGCTTTTTGTTCGGCTCGAAAGTTGATTGGCCAAATCGCCTCAACTACCAATTCGGGATAGACCAAGCCGAGTCTACCTCGCCCCGAATTCGTGCAGATAAAATGCCTATGTCAAACCAAATGTTTTAAATGAAAGTCATAGAAATTTCACTGGTTGGTCTACGTAGGCAGCGAGGTATTTGTAATTTGCCGAATGTTGCGCATTCATTAAGGGAATTGACACAGCCACACCCCTTCTACATCAGACCATACCCTCTCTGGCCTTTCAGATATTTGCTAGTTCTTCGGCTCGATGGCTTTTCGAGTAGAAAAATGTGCTTTCTGCTCTGCGGGGTAAATTATTCTAGCCCGAAGTCCATCTACTTGGCATTGTATTAGCACACCACTCTCGCCAAACAGCTGATCTCGTAGGTGACTGGGTAGGTAATTGGGTAACTTATAAGATAGGTGATTGAGCAATGAATCTGGCAATAGGTAGAATGAAGATTTCATGTTGTCAAGATCATAGTCAAGGTGGCATTTGGCGTCGAAATTGGCACCATGTTTGATCAAGGTTCTAGTTTGAATTATCTGAGCAACGCCATGACAGGATATGGTCTGGGTTAAAGGGGGTGTGGAAGCATTGGTCTCCTTCATTAAAGCATCCCTCTAAGCACATTCCCAAGTCTATCAATTCCCTCAACCAATTTCTCTCCATCCTCCCACATGAAGGAGAGCCTCAGTCGTTGATGTAAATCACTTTCTAGAGGATTATCCTCGGGGACTCGAAACAGGTCACCACATCCAAGCGTCAGGTTTTGCGATTCAAGCGCCTTTTGGCACACCCCAGCCGCGCTGAGAGGTGCGGGTATCTTAATCCAGATATAGTACCCGCCAACAATTGTATTGTGAGCAGCACCAGCATTAAATTGAGCACCAAGAGGAGTGAGATGCTCCTTGATCGCAGATGTGATCGATGCGTATCTTTGGTGACCTTCCGGGATTAGAAGCTCGGTGATATGCCGCTGTAGAACGTTGCTTTCTAGAAGCTCGTTGATAAAAGTCGACATTAGTTGCGAGGGAGCACCTCCAGACTTGGTTTGACCCCTTTGAGAATGTAAGTCATTGTACTGTTCTTTTTCATTGCGACCTCTCAACTCACGCATGTGAAAGGCCAAAGGTGAAGTCCTTTGTTCCTTCGGCCCAGCCAACGCGACATCCTGGACCGATGAGCTTGCTGAATGAGCCATTGCTCACGACATTTCCAAAAGAATCCACTGCTCCTTCTAGTGTACGATCAATGTCCACCAGGCGTTGCAGGTCCTTTCCGTTAGAAACGGTGCCTGAGTTCATATCCCAGCAAAGAAAGTCGTAAACATCGTCGCATATGATGAGGGCATCGTATTTGCGGGCAAGCCTGACAAGTGCCTTGCGTCTTGAAGATGTCATGATAGTCCCTGACGGATTCGCAAAACTAGGAACACAGTAGATAACATGTCTGTATATCTTCCTGTAGGACTTGCGAGGTTTTGATGCCTTGACAACCCATTAGCAATTTTCTCGGGTAAGCCCGGATGCGCAGAGTCCTTACATAGCATGTTAGAGGCATTTGGCTGCTTCCGCGATCCTCAAAATATCTCAGGGCATTTTCGAGAGCATTGGCATCCATACCCTCCTCGTCTTCCGGTATGCCTCGTAGCCGGCCATGGAACCCAGCGTCTTCGAAAGTTCGAAAGACAAGATGATAAGTAGGCTCCACAAGCCATATTATCTTTGTGTCGTGAGGATCGGTAAACACCTGCAGAATACTGGTCAAGTTTTGACTTGCACCACCGGTAATGCAAATTCGATCTGGGTTGATTGCTTGCGACGGCGTATAAAATTCCGAGAGCCATTTCGCTATATTCCGTCTCAACGGGAAATGCCCTTCGTCAGGCCCATACTCAAGACCGGGAATTGACACTGCTTTATTTGACAGGGCCTTGATCGCTGCATTTTTGAGATGTTCAGTTGGAAGTAGATCTGGTGCCGGCCATCCTTGAAAAAGGTCAATCGGATCCCGTGGAGACATTTACGCGGAAAGAAAAGCACCAGGCGGAAGCTGCACAACTTTGTCTTTCGTTTCTCCTCTTAGTTCATTGTCCATCTGAGAATGCAACATCTTTCGGTTTATATGCCTCCGACGCCTCGGCCTGTTGATCTATTAGACCCACCGCGCCCAGTCTGGCAACCCAGGCGACCTGGCGAATCACGGTACTGGGATCGCAAGCCTACCGAGTCAAACCTTGGGGCCACTCTCCAAGGCCAGCATGTTATAAAGCCAGACCCTTCGGTTCAAAGGGGAAACTGTTCGCGAAATCTACCCAATAATCTTAAACACAATAAACGTGAACGGTCTTGAATTTCGTTGATGTAAGTAAACCCGCTGAATCATGAATTCAAACGCCCTTGAAAAGTGCCTCTTTGACTGTCCCGTAATAACCTCAAACCAGCGCCAAAAATGCAGAAGCGAATTTCAAAGAAGTTCATGTGCAAAAAAACCGACTGCTCCCATTTACCATAACCATAGATGTTTCACCTCAAAAAGGGTGGGGCCCTGTAGAGCCCGGACAAGGAATGCCACCTCCACACCCGCACACCCGCACTATTCTAGACGTTGTCATCCTCGTAGACAAATGGTATGTCCCGGATACGGCGTCGGTTGTAGGCAACAAACTCGCTGTCGCCAGGGGGACGCTCATCGCGGGTGTTGGCCGTCAGCATGCTTTGAAGGCTCATGCAGACGCTCTCCACCGTTTGAACAGGAGACCAGCCGGAGTTGCTGAGGAGGTCAAGGCAGATGATTCCGTTGCTGTAGATATGTGGGTGCATGGGGATGGGCCGGGGGGTGTCCGAAGTGGCAGGTAGCTCGATGAATTGAACCTCGGGAGGTTCTGAAAATCAATAATTAAGCGAGATGGACAGAAAGGACGTCTGCGCATATGCAAGTATGGATGATAAACGTACCGATTGGGTATTTTTTGCTGAAAGTGAACTTCAGTCGGAACGTATGACCTTTGTAAATCGGGTTGTCGTCGAGGACTTTAATGTCCATCTGCCATTCCTCCAGGCTGTCGGACTTAACGATCGATATACCGGGCGGAACATGCTCTTGCATCTGAGGACAGGAAACATTTGTCAGCTATGTGTTGCTTTGTCGAGTTATTTCCGGAGAGAGCGCCCAGAGTAATAGGAGAAGTTACAGCGCGCAATACGCGAATGTCATACCTTAATGAGCTCCTATAATAAGAGTCGTGTTGGTAAGCTGACCTTGAGCAGGTTCGAGGACCAAGTCCTTTGCGGTGGATAGAGACTTACCTTGCTCAGACGCTTGTTGGCAAACGAGCTCGCCATTGCGGTTTTTCTTTGGCGGGCAATGCGATAACAAGCGACGGGTTGGGTCGAAGTATGACCGGACGGACCGCTTGGGAGCGCCGATGAGCGGAATGTGTGGCAATTCTCCGTCTTCCGGTAGCACTTCTGGGGGGAAGAAGCACGGAGAGAAAACAGTTGGCGAAGGGAAGCCGCAGGGAAGAGATGAAGTGGTACAAAGACGCGCCTCGAGGCGGGTGATGCAGGCGGGGGAGATAAGATTGGCACGTGACTGATGATGGCCCGATTCAAGGTAGTTAACTAACAAATATTCTACAAAGACTGGGAGGTAATGGTAGATCTCATTCAATTGATTGAAAGGATATGTGAAATAAAAAAGAGTGACATTAATTAATGGGTTTCTTTTTCCTATTCTACCGGACAGGCGCTGCTATGGAAAAGAACAATAGTTGACAGATTATGTGAAGACTGTATTGACTATGGGGAATCAAAAACTATTTCCAGAATGACGGCAAACTATGAGACATGAATTGGCATCAAAGTGGAGAAAAGAAAAGACAAGGTCAGGGAAGAACAGAAATCAAGCATTGGTTGCCTTTTCGCGCGCCTCGCGCTCGATCTTCTCTCGTTCCTCGTTCTCCTTGACCTCGCGAACCTTGGCCAGAACCACCTCTCGGAAAATAGCACCGCGAGCAATCTTGCTGAGACTGCGCTTCTTCGTAGTCGGGGCAGGAGATTCTCCCTCGCCATTCGGGGATGCACCGCCACTGGCAGACTCGGCCATGGCAACGGGGCTCGGGATATCCTCCTCGTTCTCGCCATCCTCCTCGTGCATCTTGAGCGCTTCGATGCGGTTGGCCAGCTTGACGATCTCGATACCGCGACGGAGACGGGCGCGCGCAATGTAGGCGCGGATCTCGGGCAGCAGATCGCGGTCGCTGGCAGATTCTCCGGTCAGCCACTCGTGCTTGAGGGCCTCCTCGGACGTAACCCGCTTGCTGGGGTCGGGTTGCAAGAGACTGAGAATGAAATCCTTGGCATCCTGTGAGACATCCTTCCAGTAGCGCTCGTGGAAGATAATACGGCCACCCCGGCACTCCTCGATCAGATCCGTCAGGTTCTCGGAACGGAAAGGAGAGTAACCGCATAGAAGTGTGTAGGTAATAACACCCAGAGACCACATGTCGACAGCCTTGCCATGACCTTGCTTCAGCATCACCTCAGGCGCAGCGTATCCGAACGAGCCGGCCATACTGGTCAGAACTTCGCTAGGATTTTCCAACATTTTGGCAATACCAAAATCTGCGAGGACCAGCTCTGAATCGGAGGCGCGCGTGAGGTATAGGAGGTTTTCGGGTTTCAAGTCTGCCTGGATTAGGAAATGGCCTAGCTTATAGAGTTTGGGTGTGGATGAGGCTCACCTCGGTGAACGATGTTTCGGCGATGCAGATAGTTGACGGCGTCGAGTACCTGGCGGATTGTTTGGGAAGCGTCCTTTTCTGTGAACTTTCCATAGTCGCAGATGCGATCGAACAGCTCTCCGCCAGTGGCAAGCTGTGTCACAATGTAGAATTTGTCCTGGATGGGAGTCAGGGTCTGTCCAGACGAGACTACTGACGAGAATGGGTGACTGTTACTTGCCTTGGACTCGAACCAGTCCACAAAGGAGACAATGTGAGGGTGCTTGAGCTTTTGCAACATCTCCAGCTCATCATAGACCATGCTCTCATTGCCGCGGACATTCTTCTTGAGAATGATTTTGACCGCGACCTTCTGGCCCATAGTGGACTCGGCCTCCCGGACGATTCCGTATGTGCCTGCACCAAGGGTGCGTCCGAATTTGTAAAGAGCTCTAGAACGCGAAATATGTTAACATCAGTATGTGCGGTAATGACGCCGAGTTCATGAAAGAAGGACGTACTTTTTCTCATAGCTCTCTGGCTGTCCAGACAGCTTGTTGAGCATGTTTGCGACTGTAAGAATTGCAGTCAGCCAGCTGTTCTTATATTCGAATGCAAAATATGGAAACGGATGGGTCAGAGCTGCAAGCCGGGGCTGAAGCAAAAAAAGGTGTAGTGGTATGTGTACGAGAAGCAGACCATAAGAATAAATAGTGTAGAGGGCGAAAGCAAGATCAGCTACAAAGCTTGCGACTGTCAAAGACCAGATGAACACGGAAGCCCTGAGCGCGACAGAGCACAATGCCCGCATTTTAAACATGCGTTACAGGCCGGTAGTAGCTCGGGTTTCAATGGACTCATTGAAACACGACCGGGGACAGCTCTCGCAGCTCACAAGCAACAAAAACCAAAACCGTTGCATATCAAATTGACTCACAACTCATTGTGCGTGGGGTAGGCTGCAGGACGAATGGACTCGAGGATGCGCCTGGCTCGAACGGTCGCAAGAGGCCCGTCAGGTAGCGACGCGATGGGCTGGTGAACCCCGCAGCGGAGAGGATCGAATAGCGGGGCAGAGGAGAGAGAGAGGGAGTCAAGGTCGTGGTTGTCGTTGCAGCGGGGAGGAGGTGAGAAAGTCAGGATCTAGCAGAACGGAGGAAATGGTGAGCAGGGAGTCGACAGATTTCAGCCTCGAGGGGCCAGGCGGGGGTCCAGGTCCAGTGGGCGCGCGGATCATGTCCGTGGCTTATAGCGATCAGGGGGCTGCTGGATGTATTTACCGGTCAGGGCTCGAGGCGCAACAGCAACAGCGCACAGCAATTGCTAGGAATTCACCGGAGGACAGTTGGTGACTGGAAGAGTGGTCGGAAAGCAACGTTGCGTGAGGAAAAAGTGTCAGGAGTGCAAATGGTTCTAGACGCGCGATAAGGCGGGCTTTGGAGCTGTAGGGTTTAGTGGGCCCTTGGCGGCCTGCGTGGCCAAACGGTTGCACCGCCACAGCTGAGCCCCTCGCACTTGGGGTTTGGGGGCCAGCGACGAATCGCTGGGTATGCCTCAATCGGGCAAGACGCTCGCTCTAGTTCCCCAGTTGCTACACAAGGTCAATGGTAGGGCTGTTTGGCGGAGTGCAAGGGCTACTACGAGTAGGTACCCGGGTACCTCAAACTAAGTTACTAGTAGTATGTAGTCGCTGATAAAGTACTACTACTAGGTATCCTTAGAACGAATCAATGAGAGCCAGAAGATGACCACAGCTTGTTTGAGGGCCAAGTCTTCCTGGATTGCTGGATTTAGCTGACTCTCCGTGTCGGGTGTTTTGATTTCCCCGTTGACCCTTCTCATACCAGCTGAAACACTCGGCCGGGCAAGGTTTTGTCTTTTCCCCTAAGGTATCTAAGACGATACCTAACCGTACTCCAAAGTGTTACCAGTCTAGCACGATACTTCAGCGCCATCGCTCAAGACTGAATACATTATACTAATACTAGAACAGCCCCAACACCATCTTAACCCTGCTCTAAGCTTTGCAGATCGGGATCGTCAGTTCTCGACGTGTCGAACGCGCATCCGCGGCTAGCGACATCACAGAACAAACCAGCCGAACCTGGAAACCAGCAAAAACAGCAGAACAGCAGAAAAAAAATCAAGAGACAGCCGTGAATGACGATGGGCAGAAGGGACATTGCTCGTAATCAAAATTAATCTCCTGGCTCGGTCTGATTTGCAGGTGGTGCAGGCCCCCACCAGCCGACGGGTTGCACGGCAGCGTCATGTGCCACGCCCAGGACGTCATAGACTTGCTGCCCAAGTGCATATAATATGATCAGTATCATGCAAATAACAATGGCACACTGGAGCAGGAGCAGATTTAAGAACAAAAAAGTTCATTCTCCGACAGAATGTTTTACTTCATTCTTTATCTGATTTCCCAAACCGTCCTGCTAGCCGCGTGGGTTTCGGGTATCTTGGATCCCTACCAGAAACGGCTCCAAGAAATTCTCCTGGACCAAATGGGCGAGACCAAAGTTTCTTATGGATTGAAAAGTGAGTTGTTTCACCTTCTTACCTAGGTACTTATTTCGCTAATAGTTTCCCTTTAGAGAGCTTAACTGCAAAGAAGTTGACCGAGGACGAAAATCTCAGCAAAATCCAGGATCAACTGGGCAATCAGCTTGGTGGTATTTTTGGCAAGGGCGGAATAGGACAAGGGCTTGGATCGGTCCTGAATAAAGGGCTCTGAATACTAGCGTACAATAGTCACTGTGTATAGTAGCCGAGATGTTCGAAGATACTGAATGAGAAAGGTCTTTTTTTTTTTAAATTTTTTCAGTATTTTATTATTATCATTATTTTGCCAATCAAATAAGAACTACAACAAACCAGAACGTGAAAGTATGGTATTAGGTAGGATGAGCATTCAAAGAAACCACAGACATAGATCTCAAACTTTGACTGATACACATTGCCCAGAATTGTCCACAATGCACAGACTTGTTCACATAACTCATATTTTCCAGAATACCTCACTGGTCGAGACATTGCATCCATCATCATAACACAACAATCCCAGTACTAACGAACTCCCTTACAGGCGCTGGGAGAATTGACCAGATGCCGATTGTTTCCCAGAGTTGTTCGTATAGCCCTATTGTTCACAACATCTCACTGGTCGAGAGTCATTTCACTCATCACCATAGCACAGAACTCCTGGTAGTACCGTGCTCCTTTCCAGGTGGCCCGAGGAGACCGCAGCCCGACCGTCTTCCATCCCTCCGAACGAAGACGGGCGATCCGCTCCTCTTTGGTTTCTTTGACAAGGATATTACCGAATTGGTCCAGCACCGGCTCCGCATACTTCTTCTCATTCTCATCTTCGTGAGACTTAATGGGGTCAAAGCTCCAGAACGAGATAGAACGCTGCATCTTGCGGGATCGGCGAGAACGTTGAAGCTCCGAGACATGGTCAACGTGTTCCTGGATAGATGTGATGTTGCTAGTTATCTGCGAGCGGAGTATTTCAATGCCGCGGTTGTATCGAACGTTTTTTGCCGCGCTGGAAGGTGTAATGGCATCGGCAGGCTCCACGGCGGGCTCCTCAGGTTGCTTGGTCTTCTTCGGAGGGGTTCGAGGAGCTGATGCTCGAGGGTCCGGGGTTGGAGAACTGGGAGGGGGTTTTCTGGCTCTCTGCTTCTGACGGTCGATATTCAGTTCACTAGCAGGGATGATTCTCAGAGGCAATGGCGGAGGTCTAGGCCGAATCGAGTTTCTGTTCTGAGAGCTGCTGCTGTCCACCTCTTTTGGCTTGACCACAGATAGAACAGGTGTATCACGAGCTTTACTGACACGCAACGGGGAGGGCATGAGACTCTTTGGCTTGACGGGATCTGGGCTTTCCTGCAAACATTTTCTGGTCGGAGAGAGTCTGATACGGAAAAGACGGTCCTTTTCTGCTCTAGTCGCGGGTCTTTTCGCAAGCGGAGACAAAGCGAGCGTGAATGGAGTCTGGAGCCTGCTCTCAGCGTCATCAATGAATACATCATCATCCAGGTCCCACATTGTGACATCGATCAGGCGTGTGATGCTTCGGACAAGAGAATCGCGCCCAGGAGAGTTGAAGAAGCCACCGTCAAACAAAGCCAGGTTTTGTCGGGGGGTACGAGGAGGAGTCGTAGGCCAACGCGGAGGTGGACTTGCAGGAGACTTTTCGATCTTGGGCAACTTGGGCAAAGGAATAGGCTGAGGTAAAGCGATGGCGCATTCAGCAAAGCAGTCGAGTGCCGTGTTCAACAACGAGATCTTGGTGCTGGAGTAGAGATGTGCGGTCTGGCCGAGAAGCTCGTAGGAGATTGCAGCGTAGAAGTTGAGGAAGACTCGTTGGACAGGATCAATCTGTAACATTATCCGTTAGGAGGGAAGCATGAGACTCGAGAGGGCTCGATAACTTACCTGAGACTTTGCGGCTTTCAGAAGGTCTGTAGCTCGCGTGGCACATTGCTTGTACTGCTGCTCAAAATACAAGCGTTTGACTTGGAGAAGCACATTTGTCCATTCCTTGTCGTTGCAAGGTAGCAACTGTTGTGTGGACGTAGGGGCGAAGGATGCGGGTGAGTTCTTGCTTGAGAATCCGCCCAGAATCATGGCGTTGACGAAGAGGACTGATATGGTTCAGGTGGAGGTGAAACGGTAGAGGAAAGGGAGGCACTGGTAGAGTACTGGTGGAGGGTGGAGTGTGGAGGGGACAGGCGAAGGAGAAGTGGAAGGTACCTGCGGTCTTCATCGACGCAAGAGGGGCAGCTGCCTGCGTTCCTTCGCTTTGACGCCCCCGCTGGTCCTTCAGTGCCTCTTTGGTACGGAAGAATAGTGATCCTACTGAATTTCAGATACTAATACCAATCTAAACTACCTTAAACCCTAAAGGGGAGAACTCCGTGTTGAACTATTTGCAAATCAGAACAGTTCGTATTGTTTGTCCACTCACTATGGTAATAACCCCAGGAACTCAGCGAATGGCACCAAAGACAAACATTACACATCACGCTACAAGTACTAAACCGCTTCAGCAGGATGGCTGGGGTCATTTGCTCTCGGCTTAGTGTTGGCCCTCGAGAGGGCCTCACCAGTCGCCGAAAGCGCCCCCAGGAAATCACCTAGTAAACGATCCAGCTCCGCTGTCACCACACTGTCGTTGGCGCCTTCCATGAGGCTCTCTGAGTTGGGTGGAACAAGAGCAGGAAAAGGAATGCTGGAATCGGCGTCTGCGAATGTGGTGGCTGTTGAGGAAAGATCATCGCGACGAGCGGTGTGCAGAGTCTCGAAGACAGGAGAGCCTGGCTCTGATACTTCGGTTGGGGTGTCACTAGGGCTATCATGCACTGGGATAGCAGTAGGAAGCGGCGATACATCATCTGGGGAATTCACATCTGACTCCTCTGGCTTGGGATCTTCTTCGTCTGGCCCAGGTCCCTCATCTGGTCCAGGCCCTTCATCTGGTCCAGACCCTTCATCTGGTCCAGACCCTTCATCTGGTCCAGGTCCTTCATCTGGTCCTGGTCCCTCGTCCGGCCCAGGCCCATCAAGAACACCCGCGGAGTCGTATTCCACATCCGACGTACTGTCCATCAGTGTCGGCATTTTTGCATCAAAGGACTTGTCCTGCGATAAAGCCTGGGGTGTTGTTGGTCGATCGAAGCGAAAAGGGTCGTAATCAGAATCGGACATCGTAGAGCTGTTCGAGGCTGAGGTTGATGGCCGCGAGGGCGTAGGCTCTTTTGTTGGCCGACGTTCTAGACTAGGCAAAGGTGCCTTGAGAGTATCATGGCGATCAAAGCTTGCTTTTTCACTAGCCCCAGACTGCGATGACATGACAGGGAAAGTCCATTCCATCGTGGCACGTTTTTCATCCTGGAAAGATTCATCCTGGATAGACTCGGGTGCTGGCGCCTCTTTTGCCGTTTCGGGCTCGCCCTCAAGTGGCTGCATAAAAGTGGGAAACTTCCAATCCATAGTGGGAGGTCGCGGCCCTGATGGTGGCTGGAAGTCCTCATTCTGTGATTCATTCCCATTGGTATCACTCTCAGAAGATTGAGAACTTATTTCATTGGGGCGTGGAATGCGTATGCTGGATCGGTTTGCACGAATCGTGTCGGCATCAGCAAGCTGAAAGGGCTGGGCGGACGGTGCACCAGCAGCATAATGAGAAGAGTCAAAAGAGCCGATGTCGATATCAATGAAAGTAGATGTAACCGATGATCGATCAGTGTCAGTGCGGAGTGGGAGGTCGGAGGTTGGTGGGCTGGGCTGAATCGGGACGAAGTCGTTTTTGGTCTCGTACTTATAGCTCGGCTTTTCTTCATCGAAAAGTCCCTCCATCGCCGCTGCACCACGGCGCACACGTTCATCGAAATTGGCCTTTTGCTCAGGGTCCATATCAGCTTCAGATGCATCTTCACTCAAATCATGCTCTGGCGTGGGAGTCGGGCTGATTGCCTCTTCCATTTGAGCTAGGGAAGCGGCAATTTGGTCGAGATCGATGACCGAGAATCGTCGTTCAAATCCATCCGTTGTACTGAAGTTCCAATCATCATCAGATTCCTCGGTAAATGGAAGCTCTGCCGCTGCGGCACCTCCTGGGTGAAACAAAGAAATCCGCTGTCCGCCCCGTTGAGACCACTGGTAGTAATTCCTAACAAGCTCACCAACATCTAATGTAGGATATTCCTCTTCGGTATCGGCGATGTAGGGGTGTGCTAGAATATCAGCCATTGTCGGTCTAGTTGCGGGATTGGCATCGAGGGCGAATGCAATAAGGTCTTTAAGGCCTTGGCTGTACTGGTCACTGTCCAGCTTGGGGGCATTCCGATTCAGCTGGCGTCCAATTTGCATGCGTTCCCGGAGTCCGGAGTTAGGAGGGTTTCCGGTCGCGAATTCAAAAAGGGTGCAGCCATATGCCCACACGTCGATCTAGAGAACGTTAGGAAATGTAAATTGAACAGAAGAAACAGACAACTTGCCTCGCTTCCGTAGTGGTGAGCAGGTCCTTTCATTGAGAACATCTCCGGGGGCATCCAATGTGGCGTACCAATCCACGTGGAACGTTTGTCTCGGCGTGATTGCAAAACTCCTGCTACACCAAAGTCACAGATTTCCAATCTCCCCTCCTCATGAATGAGAATGTTCGCAGCTGGAGCTTGTTAGCGGATAGCCCAATTCTTATTCGACATGGTTAGGATACCTTTGACATCACGATGGATAATTCCAGCTTCATGGATAGCATGCAGTCCGACTGCAAGTTCTCGTGCAATGGGAATAATGTATTTCTCTTCAAGCTTGTCACCAGTTGCTCGCATCTAGAACAAGATTAGCACGCTGCATCGGACTTGAGAAAGGGAAAGGGAAGATTACCAAAGTTCGTACACTGCCACCGGGGCAATATTCGCAGACTAGCCACAGTTGAGAATGGATGGAAATCGCTTCAATGAGTTCATTGATGTTCTTGGCGCCAGAATCCTTGACTTGCTTCATTACCTTTGTTTCGTGGATAAAGTCCTTTATAGACTCATCTCGAAAGTCCCGCAGTGACTTGTAATCTAATGAATCAATGTCAAGAACCTTGATTGCCACGAGACGACCGGAAGTCATCTCACGACCCTTGTACACACGGCCATAAGCACCCTTTCCGATCAATTCTTCGAATTCATAAGGTGGGATGTCCGACTTCGCACGGCGACACATTTCTTTGACGGCATGCCCTTGCTCTCGAGCTAATTTGATTGCCTCAGCCTTGTGTCTAGTGATCGCTGCCATGGCAGAAGATGGATCCAGGAAACGTGACCCGCGTGTATCCATCTTGCTGGATCGGCCCGTTTGGCGGGAGTTCCTGTTTGAAAGGATGGCAATCGATACAGCGTTGCTGTATTGTTGGTCTCACTCTTGATTTTCACCACCGGGCCCTAGTTTCTTGAATATGCCTGCGAGACGTGTCTTGAAGTTTCCAGTAACTCTTCTTTGAATTCGTCGGCCCTTTGAGAAGCGCCCCAACGAGACAAACGAGTCAGAAAAGTGACGTTTATAACGGTGCACGACAGGCGGTGACTGAGGGACTTCGGCCAGGTTCCTTCCCTGGTCACTTGCCAAATTAGCCTGGACAATGTTTCGATAGATGGTCGAGGTATCCGGATGATTGTCAGGCTGACTCTGTTGGTCTTCGCTTCTGTTGAGACCACCATCCGGGTCGAAGTTCCCAACCACCTGTCTGAAAGACTGACTGGGAGTGCGACCGGGAAACCTGACGTCTGAAGATGGAGCTGGATCTTCCTGGGCCTGCGAGAGGGAAGAGTGGAAAAGGGTACTTGGGGTCTCACCTGGATCAGTGCTGTAGATTGAAGGGCTCGGAGGCGCAGCGTCTCTATCGCTGGGATCCGAATCAAGATTTAGGAATGATCCTTGAAGGTTTTCGAACAGCTCGGAAAAAAGTTCGTCTGACTCGATGAGGTTGTTAGATGAGATGCGCTCCTCTTCGACAGCCGAAGCTGCGCCTTGAAGTGAGGAAAAGCTTTGAAAGGGCCCGTAATCCCGCGGTCCGATCCTTGGGAGGTGGACACGCGATGAGCTACCGGAGAGGGTTTGCAAGAACTGTTGCGAGGCTGTTGCCTGAGAGGGACCAGCCCTAGCTGCACTCCGCCGGAAAGACAGGTCACGGCAAACCTGACTCGGGGAGGTCTCTGTGTTGGTTGACTCAGGTGAAAGGTTTGGGCTTTGGAGTAGACGAATCACAAGATCACGATCAGCAAGCGATATCAAGGAAGAATCCTCGCGCTGAGTACCGCAGGCGGGTCTCTGGGTGTTGTGGTCAGCCATTTTACTACTCAAGCCTGCCTGTAGACCGGGAGGGTTTCAAGGTCAAGCGGATCAGGTCATGGGTGGTGAGAGTGATATGGATGTGAAGTGAGATGGGGGGAGAGCTCTGAAGCTCATGTGAGGAGCACGTTGGGTGGTGCACAGCGCAAAACAAAGCTTACTCACCTAGACACCACAGTTCGAGAAGTACTCTCGATACTCGCAGATCAAAGGGTCTCGGAGGGGGAAGGACCACAACGACGAGCCACCAGGCGCGACTTCGATTCTTCCTAGCGAGCGAGCGAGCAGTATGAAATGAACAAGCAGGTTCCAGCCAGATAAAATGCCCAATCGCTCTTGCCGTGTTTGTCTATGATGGCTGGCGAGTTCATCGACCGTGTTGGCGGTCGACGCAAGGCCGACACGTGATTTTTAGTGCCTGAGGCCAAAGTTACTGCCTGAATTATGTGGTGTGGAATCAGGTCGATTTTCAAGTCTCGAGTGATTTTTGTTCAACTCATGAAATACTGCTCACGGCTAACGAGAGCATACGACTAGTTAGTAGTTGGCAACTTGGCAGCGTCCAAGCATAAGTAGATTTCCTGGCCAATGGTAACTCCATAATGTCTGGTGAGGACCTAGTAGTCCGAGTAAACGGGAGAATCACAGACGAACTTCTCATTTATGATTCAATCGCGCATCATCTAATTTGAATTAATATCTATGGCCACCCTGTGGCATGCATGATACAGCGGATCCCTACCCTTGCCGTGATATATAATGTCATCAACCATGCCTGTAATGGAAATCCAGACCCGGAGGCTTCCAAAAATACCATCAAGTCCAAATGCAGCAAGTCTTAAATATCTCCAAACCCAATGACTTGTATTACAGCCCTAAGTCCCTCCCCTCAAATAAATATCTGGTCCATTCGAGATTTCACCTCCGCTGGTCACGGTGCCACCTAGATTGCGGAGCCTTGATAATATGACGATGCGAGGCGTATCGGGCATCATCATCGCTGTCACTGTCCATCTGGTCTAGGATACGATCGATCTCGTCTCCTGCATGGGCTTCTAAACCCCTTCCGTGGTCTCGTGATTTGAAATCTTGGCTGCGCAAAGATTCCCCATCCTGCGGATTTTGATTCTGTGGAGTTCCTACTCCATTGCTGTGGTTGTGGGAATACAACGAGGCATTCAAGCTTTGCCTTGTTGCAGGTGGCTGCTGCAACGGTCGAGGACTAGACCGGTACCCCGAGTTCTCAGGGCTGGACATAAAAAGCAACGTTTCGATGGCATCCTGCTCCATAGCAGTGTTTTCAGACTGGGTTCGTGATCCGTAGTAGATATTTTGAGACGATGTAGGTCCACGACTAGTCGGCAGGATGGACGGCGTCCCTGGTCCCATAACTCTTGGCGACGACCCATTGAGAGGCCGGATAATAGAGTGTTCTTGGTGGGAATGATGGCGTCGGTGGCGGGCATAGGGGCTGTGGTCGAATGGTTTCGAGGCCCAGTTCGGATTGGGTCGCCGCCGTCGGGTGTCTCCGACCGATGAAACAATGTCGGCCGGGGGTGCCAACTTCGGAATTTGCAGAAGTTTTCCAGGAGATGAGATTGCCGAATACGATCTATGATGAGAATGTTGATGGTTAGGCAGTGCGTCGGTAGATGACGGACGTTGGCCATTTTGTGCGTGGGGAATATGTGTTGAGTCTTGAGTTGATGCAATGCCATTCGAAGGGGTGTCTGGAGATGGCAGGTTTTCGAGCCCGCGAAGTGCTAATTGTATACTAGATGGTGACTGTCGTGATTTTTCTACCTTGGCGGCCGCGTATGACAGTCGTGTACGTATATGGACTGACAGCTAGTTGACTTTAGTGAGAGCCACAATGGAGCATCCGAAGGTGATCCTTACCTGGGCGATTCTGCTGCCGTGGGCCGATGATCCCATGCTCTTTGACCGACGGCGAGCTGCCCCAATGGTATCTGAGCTTCTAGAGGAAGCAAGTGTAGAAGAGATGTGTTTGATGTCTCCAGTTGCTGTTCGTTTGTGGCCCGGGACAAAGCGCGTACCAGCTCCTTGCGGTCGAGCGCTCGAATTTTTCGGTGACCGCAGAGGTGATATGAAGTCATCGCTGTGTCTTTCTGATTTCACTGCACTATTTGTTCCGGTTGCTGTCACGTTACCATTGGCTCGTGAAGTATGCAATGTTTCCAGAAGATCTGAAGCCTTTTGTTCTGTCCTGGGCATTCCCACGCTCCCAATCACCCCATACGAAGTATCGAGGTCCATAGATCGGTTTGAATCGTTCAGCGATGAGGACGGTATGCTCGGTAGGGAGTCTGTGAAAGTGCTCGCGGATTGCAGTTCTGGTCGATGGCCATCTGAGGTGTCACTGCCGTGTTCGGACGATTCGACATAGCTGACGTTCGAGTTACCCCGGCTATAAACCCCAGCCTCCAAGCAATTAACCTGCAAGGACAGAGGCTGTGGCGATCGTGGAACCTGGATTTCTGCCGTGTGGTTTGAATCTCCCGCGAGTGGTGTCGCGGTTTCCGCACTGGCCTCCGCATGGGGAACCCCGCGACTCGAGGGCACATTGTATATATCATTCATGGTCAGGCGAGGGGGACTGCGACAGCCTGAATCAAACGGAGAGCAAGGAAATGGCGCTCGGTACGCGCGACCAAGCGTCAATTGCAGAATGACGCGGCCGCGCGAATGATCTAAACACGCTTAAGGGCCTGCTTGCGACTAGTCACCGCATCGAGACGCACCGGTAATGTCCGACGCCGGGCGGCCAAAGGAGGACTAGAAGATTCGCAGTCCAGATCTGAACGCTGTCGAAGGCGGACGGGAGAATGAGAGAATGCAAAGACGCCGCGGTGGGTGTCAGGAGCATCTGCCCGATGCAGTGGCGATCGACCAGCACGCGCAAGGTAGAGCACGAGCGGCAAAACGGCGCACTGGCAGCACTTCACCCAAGGGAAATGCAGTCCGGTTACCCCGATAAAATGGCCTTTGACACACTGGCAAGGACAGAACTGAATCAATTACGGGAGCAAAAGACCGAGTCTGGAGTCAAACTGGAAGGAGCTTGAGCGGTCGATGGCGTCGTCTCGATCGGGCCTTCCTTCTGCGGCGACGCGTAGTCACGTGGAGCGGGCCATGGCCAATGCGGCACGCTGCGTATTTCTAAGATTGGACTAGTACTTGTATGTGATCGTTGCCATGTCCTCAGTTGTGTCCCATAGTGTGGTTTCGGTCAGAATAGAAAGAGTCTTTATTCCAAAGTCGTGCCGTTCAACCAAAGAAAAAATGTAATACACTAAACGCCCGCACCATGGACAGCGGGAACCTAAATATATTCCTACACTAACACTTTCTCACATGTCTACAATTGTATGCCCACACGGACTGGAGCCGTTACATGGGATGTCCATCTTATCATGTATACCGCCGGCTGAATATATGAGGAATGTGAAGCAGCTTGGTATAAATGCAATGTTCTACATTCAAAATGATTTGCCTGTTCATGCCAGGTGGTTGGATGTATGTACATTGTACGTGGTTTCAAATGTATTATGATGGCCTACTGCTAGTACGAGGTAGCAATGTCGAAGACACTTCCCTCAATCAAGGACAGCCACTCGAAGGATAGTTGCAGCTGCTAGCCTCACCACCGCCAGTGATAGAAACACCAGAGAAAGTGAAATCGGAGCAACTGTCCGAACCGCAGAGAATGTAATAGTCCTTGGCATCGTCAGTGGCCGTGCCCGTCACGTCAATGAAAGAAACACCAGCGATAGTAACACCATTAGTAGGCTCGCCAGTGGGGCCGCCATTCAGGTAATCTTGCTGGACATCAATACCATAGTCGGTGATTCCAGAGAGGGTGATGTTCTGGTAGGTAATGTTGCTGACCTGGATGGGCTGTCAGTATACTACTTTTTCGTGACTCCAAATCGAGCAAGGGTGAAACTTACACTGCCAGTGGTGTCGGAATTAGTCTTGATACGGCAGCCATTAGAGCTGTTCACCACCTGGGAGTTCTTGAACGTCACTCCATCCACGGTGTTGTTGCTTTTGCCACCAATAGACCCGATGCTCAGACCGTGGCCGCCAGAGCAGTAGAGGTTGTCGACGGTGATCTCGGTACCACTTGTGACAGCAACGCAGTCATCCTGGTTATAGACGGAGATATTCTCCAGGGTAACGTAGTCACTAGAAGAAATGTCAAAACCGTCACTGTTGTGAGCAGCCGCATCATCGCCGCTAGCACTGTTTGGCTCGTCTCCTGCAGAGTTGTCCAAAGTCAGACCAGAGATAGTAAGATGCTGAACACCAGTGACCTGGAAGCAGTGCACAGGCCAGTTCTTGATGTTGAGGTTGGAGATCTCAGAGTTGTAGACATGCTTTACCACAATAAAATGGTCAGGCCTAGCAAAGAAAGTTAGCGCCAATCGCGATTCGTATCTCCTTGTCAATGCGTACTTGTCCTGGCCGCCGTTGGAACCTTCGCCATCCCAGTAGGCCCCACCGTTACCCTCAATGACATGACCAGAGGCACCAGTGATCGTGATGTCCGTTCCGGAAATAACGATAGGATCAAATTCATCATCGAAAGTGTCTCCAAATGTCTATACGGTGTTAGAAATTAGTCCGGCAAAGGGTAGTGGATCTATCACATACGGTAGTACCTGCGAAAGTGACGGTAGCACCGGTCTGAAGACTCTGCAGATCAATAGTGCTGGAAGGAGGCGCAGAGATGTTGGAAAGCACGATATTGGTGCAGGACTTGACAGCGGAGGAAATGGATGCATACTCAGTCACAACGCAAGCGGATCCAGAAGCGACCGAGTCAGCCACAGCAGCACTAGAAGTGGGGTTGGTAGGTGCTGCGGTTATCTCAGAGGTCTCGATCGACGACGAATGGGCTGTGGAAGGTCGGACAGTCTTCACCAAAGTCGTCTTCGTGGTAAGGGGTGTGCTTGTAGCGACAATAAGGGCCGGAGTGGCGGTGCTGGTCACGGCTGGGATACCGACTGGTTCTGATCCAGACTGTTGATTGTTAGAACTGGCAGTGAACATATCCGAAAAAGAAGGGTTCTTACGCCATCACTTGCGCCGGAACCGGCACCAGCAGTCGCCCATGCTGTATCGAGACAGCTGCACGCACTCGACAAGTGCTTAGTGTTGTAATTACAGGCCGAAGCGAAGCTCGGTAGACCCGTAGTGGCAGTGTAAGTGCTAGCAGTGAAAGTAGAACAGAATGCCGCTGCTTTGGAGCTGGACGCAGTATATGCGGAAGCACACGCGTGGCTAGCGGGATTGTTGCAGCCCAAAACCAGGGGCAAAAAGGAAATAACAAGCGCACTGCGCATTTTGAAAGTAAACAAAAGAGCGAATGGATAAGTAGCGAAGGAAAGAAGCAGAAATAGATATCAAAAAGCATCAAACCTCCCAGGTGAGTAGAGATCGAACCACTCTTATACAATCTGTCGAGCCGAGCAAAGCTTGGGCGCTGCAATATAGTCTGGGCTCCACTAGAGCCGAAACCAAGATGCTGAGATGCTCCACAGCCGGTGCTAGTCCGGCAAAACCTCGCTTGGCCTCGACACCCTCAATCCACCAATGAGCATTGCTGCCCCTTAGAAAAGCAGGCCTGTGCCTCCTTCATATATTGAGTAGGTGCATATGGGCAGATTTGGAAGCTCTGGGGATGTATTTAGCGCCTGCTTACGTCCTGCAAATTAAATAACTTATGCAGATAGATGATTTGACGCTCCTTTAGAGGTACTTCTCCGGTGGCACCTTCGTCAGAAGGAGGGCGTTTCACCTTGATGGGGCGAGAAGAACGATGGCGTCCTGGCGTTCTTTCGATAAGAAAACCAGGCTATGCTAGCAATATAGTGTGTCATTTCGAGGTTAGTTTTTTCCAGTGAAACAACCCGAAACAAACTATCACAAGGTGCACACCGGTTCGTGATAGGAAAAAGGCCGTTCATTTGCCTTTCGGATGCCTCGGGAGATTGGACGACCCCATTAGCATCAAATTGTTGTAAGCGTGCCAAGGGGGTGGCTGCTGTCAAGAATACTAGTAGCCGAAATGACTATTGCGATGGATCGGCTCGGGACGATTCGCCGAGGAGCGTTCGAAATTGACGAATGGATTTTTGACGTGAATTGATATACATTGGCTTTTGGACTCTCAAAACGCCGTCTATGCAGAATGAAGAATACGTATGCCCACCTTGACATGTACAAAAATTCCCAATAGCAAACCTCTATTTGCGTTTCTTTCCACCACCACCGGATTCTCCATCCGTATTCTTGCGCTTCTTGCCCTCGCGACGCCAGTAATCATCGCGCTCTCTCTTCTCGCGGGCTGCCTTCTTCTCGAGGCTGTCAGCCACCTTGGCACGGTAGACCTTTCGGCGCTCCTCTTGCTTGGCCGATCGCTTGGCTTGCTTTTCGTTGCGCATAGTTGTGAGCTTCTGCATGAGATCCCGAGCCTTCTTCTCCTCGCCACCAAGGACAACGGCCCGCTTTTGCATGTAAGTCTGGTCCTTGTGGCCCTTCATCTTGGTAATTTGGGACTTGAAAGGTAATTCGGAAGCCAGCTGCTTGGGCACACGTAGAGGGTTAAAGTGGCGTGTCGGACGTTCGATCTTGTGGTATGCCGAATCCTTGTTCATGGGGGTGGGAATGCCCTGCTCACGGCGGACTTCACCGGTAAGACGCATTCCTTGCCAACCAGCATCGCCGGCCTGGCCTTCCTCCTGGTCAAGCAGATTCGTCACGGGGTTATAGAAACGGTGGGGTTTGATCGGATACCATGCACGTAGGAAAACGATATCACTCATCAGGATCTTGTCCTCGAAGGTAGCACGGTAGTGTCCCTCAGGTTTGGCTAGGGCTCGCTTGATTTGACCACGGATACCAGAAACAGTGCGAATTGATGCACCCTCAAACTTGGCGATCTCCAAAGAAGAGTTGAACATGTCCTTGATGAAAGCAGTGTTCTTGAAGATCTTGTAAGGAACACCAGTGAGCTTCAGTTTCTTGACGATTTCGGTATGCTCGTCCACACTTGTCACCACACCAGTCGCGGCAATGCGGAAGCCGGGGTTCTTGTTGGAGAATGATTGAACGCAGCAGAAACCAGTGTTAGGGGCCACGAGAGGACCGTAGAAAACGCCGGTACAGTGCATGTGCTCAGGGGTATACTTGAGCATACGGTTTCGCGTCCGACTGTCGGAAGTGCTGTAGATCGGTAAGGACTGGAAGCGGCGCCAGCCCAGAGAGAAGATCAAGGGATCATTGCTCTTCAGGATCTTCTTGTGCCAGCGGTGACGCTTGATACGAATCTGGACGTATCCGTAACGATCTTCGGTAGCGGAAAGACCCCCGACGATGACGGGGAAACGAGGGTTAAATTTCGAAGCAAACTCGTAGGGCACGTTTTCGAGCACAATTCTTGCGTAGGTACCGGCCTTAAAGCCTTCGACTCGGACACGGGATGCGGGGTCAAGCTCATCAAACTCGGCGCGGTTGATATCAAGCTGCTTCTGCATCTTTGCCTTTTGAAGGTCATACCAATCGTCCTCGCCAAACTCACCATCACCGCCATCTCGCGTTCCATCTTGGGCGTTGCCAAAGCCTTCACGATCCTCTTCTTCGAAGCGTAGCTTCAACTCTTCCTTCTTTTTGGCGTTGCGTTCACGCTCAACCTCCAGATCCATAGGGGGATCTGCTTCGTCGCCATCCTCATTCTCGTCCTCATCATCGTCCTCATTGAAACCGTTGAACACTTCACCTGTTTCCATGTCTTCAAATGCTCCATCACCCTCATCGTCTTCACCGTCGTCAAAGTCATCGTCGTCGACTTCGTCGAGGTCATCGAAGCCACCAGCAGAGAGCTTGCCGGTCACAAAGCGCTGTTTGAGAGATTCGAGCATCTCTTCATCCCGCCATTTCCGCTCCAACTCGTCGTAGTCGTAATCGGGAATGGCGCGAAAGTCGTCTTCATCCTTCTTCTCGTTGTTTGTCTTCTTGAAGAATTCATCGCCGTCGTCGTCGACCTCCTCGACCTCCTCGTTTTCTTCGCCGCGCCAAATCTTCACAACATCAGCAGGGCTGATAGACGTATCATACATCATTCGCGAGAGGTCAGTGACGCGGAATGCCGGCCGCTTTCCATGAAGCGCCTTCGTATTGGCAAGCATATTCTCCTTCCATCGTGCGTTACCATCCTCGTCATCTTCGTCCTCGTCCTCGTCCTCGTCATCTTCATCACCGCCACTATCAAATTCTTGATCTTCGTTGGAAGACATGGAGCCAAGATCGGAGTCACTGTCTGCAAAAGCAATGACCTCATCTTCACGAGACTTGCCGTTCTGGCGCTCTTTGAATTCTTTCTCGAAGTCAGCTGGCGCCTCGACATCGATCTCATCGTCCTCTTCGCCACTGAAACCATCATCTTCATCTCCGTCTCCAACGAGATCCTCGTCGTCGTCTTCTTCCCCGTCAGACCCCTCATCGTCTGACGCGGCGGTGCCATCTTGTTCAGTATCCGCAATGCGGGCATGTCTCTTGTGCTTTCGGCCAGTCTCATCATCTTCATCTGCCTTGGAAATTGCTTCACCACCACGGAAAAGGCGCATTCCCTGATCGGCCTCACCAAGCAATCGACGCTCACCTTGCAGACCAACGACAAGCTGCTCGCCGAGACCACGTCCTTCATCCTCTGACTCCTCATCCGAGTCTCGATTAAAGGTAGAGGTCTTGACATCAATGTAGACAGCGTCTTTGTCGACCAGAACACCACCGACATCGGACATGGGGGCAAAAAGCAACTTTTGCTTGTCACCCAGTCTGCGCCTCGAAGACTTGCCTGATGCCTTGGCTATTTGCTGATCCATATGAGGGGTAGGGCAGGGGTCCGGGAGACCCTCAATCTCCGAAACCGTTAAATCTCCTACACCAGGAACATGCACTCGAGCACCATTGGCATTGAAATTGGTGCCCCGAAGATATCCATAAAGCGCCACAGTGCGATCACACTTGGGATTCTGTTCAATCTGGGTGGGAGGAGTGATGTCCAGGAAGCGGTCTGCCAGCGCATACGGATGGGAGTTGCGCCAAACAAGTGGACGTGGGTTCTTCATGATCGACAAGAATCGGGAGAGGTTGTGGACTTCGCGGTCGGGATAACGGCCATTAATCACACCAGACAGATAGAAGAGTTTTGCGCCCTGGTAAAGTTCACTCCAAAAGCGGTGCTTGAGGCGTTTCTTGGCCATGCGGAGAGTACTCTGTTTCTTGAAGAGGTCAAGATGGGTCAGAATGCCGAACACATTACCAGGCATACCACTGGTGGATAAGGCATTCAAGAACTCCATGGTCTCCATCTCAAAGCCGTAGTTACCGTCAATCATAAGCAACACAATATCCGCAACCTTGGCCACATCGATCATGGCTGCCAGGGAGTCCGAGGGGCATTCAATAAAGGTGAGGCGCTTCTTTTTCGAAGTAACAACGGTCAGCGGTCCTTGAGGGGAGCTAAGTGTCTGTTTGGTATAGCGGCGAATCAAGGACTTGAGGAGCGTTGTCTTTCCGACCTGAAATTTCAAGAAAATGCATTGTCAGCTCCATTTACCGGATTTGCAAGAATTGAAGCCGAAACTTACACCAGAGGGACCAACGAGTGCGACCACCGTCGGGGGTGCCTCCTCGGGCATGCGATCGACCTGGGGCACATGAAGACGCTTTTCCTTGACCTAAAGCAGCAATTTGGGTCAGTTTCAGCATGGCGGACTCAAAATCGGTTGTACGTACATCGTGCGACCGCGCCGCCTGCCTGTTGAGTTTTCCGGTTTTTGAAAATGCGAAGGCTTTCGGATTCTGTCCTGTAATGCTCCGGATTGAGTCAACATGGGATTCTTCTTCTCAATCGATATTTCAATGTCCGCAAATTCAATTTGCGGAGGCACTCTGGCGCCGCACCTTCGTATTTCTTCTTCTCCTTCGCGGGCCGATGGGCCCTGTTCGACTGCTGTTCCATGTTGGAAGCAAGTAGGTCTCCGGACCTCAGTTCTCCTCTGCGTAGTTCACGAGAAGAGAGCACTGACGGCAAGGCGACTGCGACTGCAACTGGACCTGCTGCTCGGTCCAAAATTATTATTTCGGAGCGGAGATACTTGGCCCCGGATCAGAAAAAAGTTCGTCCACTTTTGGTTTAGCTTGCGGGAGCTCCGATTGTGGCCTCAGGCATAAAATAATTGCCTTGGTGCCTGATCAAGGACCGCTTCCGCTCTTTCGGAGGCCCCAGTTTATGCTCATTCTCCAAAGTCATTGTATGTACTTCAGACATAGAATCTGAGCAAGTAGAACGAATGGCATGATATTATTTGAAGTTTGCGAGAACTTCGCTTCCAGGTCCGATCGGGTATCTCGAATCACGACAGAACCCTTGGAGGAACAGACTTGTACGTAAAACAATTATTTGGCTCCGCCCATCAACAATTATGCGGGGCAACAATTGGAAGTCCCAATTGCGGAGTATGGATCGCGGATAACGGGATTTCCCCGACCCTATATAAACCAACAGGTGACCCTCCTAGGCGGGTTTCCAAAAAGCCTTGGCGCATGTGTATCTAACTATCTGCCAGTGCAGTGCTGAATTACTTCCAATCCAGTTCCGAAATGGCAGCCCCAAGTCGACCCCCACCAGCCTATACGGCACCCGCCGATTCGGGCGTACATGCAACGTCGCAATTCTATCATTCAATCTCCAAGACAGCCTCCGACCCCACAGCCCGCATCTCCAAGGAATCATTCACGATTCGGCCATGTTCTGGGCAGGCTTGGGTGGTGCCCGCCGGTCACCTCTGCCGTTTAACTACACCGAAGGGACCGCAAGTCGGCGATCTGAACATCTGGAATGCGGCCAACCCCCGCGAGCGCATGTGGGCCGCTCGTACCCGCCAGATCCACGCCTCACACGTCTCTGTTGGTGATCGCCTGTGGTCGAATCTGCCCTATCTTCGGCCACTGGTCACCATCACTGGCGACTCTCTCGGCGGCGGGCAGTTGCATGAGGTCCTTGGCCCAGATGGGAAACGCAGGCCAGAAGTTGAATTTGGGACTACGCAATTTGGAGGACGGGTACATGACTTGCTGGGCACTCGCTGCGACCCCTATGTCAATCTTTTGATGGGCGGCGAGACGTTCGACTTCCACTGTCACTCCAACCTCACCCGAGCCGTGGTCCCTCACGGATTGACCGAGCTGGATGTCCACGATGTGCTGAATGTGTTTCAGGTGACGGGACTGGACGAGCAAGGGAAGTACTTCATGGAGACGTCGCCGGCAAAACCGGGAGAGTACTTCGAGTTCTTTGCCGAGATGGATGTTCTCTGTGCGCTATCTGCATGTCCTGGTGGTACGTTTCACCCCGATACGAGGGCATTGGGAAAATTACTGATCATGCTTCTCCTCTCCAGGCGATCTCTCCAATTGGGGGTGGGATGACAAGGAGGGCGGTATGGGCGCGAGCTGCCGTCCTCTCGGTGTCGAGGTATATCAACTGGCAGATCAAACGGTTCTTAATAGATGGAAGGCACCCAAGAGCCCCGGTTATCAAGGCATGCACGGCATGAGAATGCCTCCTCGCGAGGATGACTCATACACTGGTCTGTAGAGGAAGAGTATGTATATAGTGACCAAGTAGCCCGATGACGAGCGACGGTGCCTCGATTCAACTTTTGGAGACGGAAATAACATGTGTCGATCACGTGACCCGTGCCCCGCGTTTGCCCAGGAGATATCGTCATCGGCCTTTTTGCCGCATCGTTACATCAACTCGGACCAAACCCAAACTGGGCCAGGGATGAGGGCATCCACCGTGAAGAATCGACGAATGGCACAACCCGCGTCTTTGCGAGGAGCTGTTTGGGCCAGAAACATTGTACAAGTCGCGTAGAGGGAAAGAAAAAAACATCCTACACTGAATCACGACATCTCCAATGTCAGACGGCGGAGACCCACTGCGGTGTAACCTGTCGCGGTCGAAGAGTAGATACTATCTACCATAGAGAATCGACAGTCAGTTACCAGGGGCACATATCACAAAGGAGAGTAAACTAAAGGGGACCTTGCGAAAGCTAAACGAATGGCGTAAGACAAAGCCTTGAGGGTCAGCCCCTCCGTATCATTTTAGACGGCGCGTCCCGCGAGTATTTTAAGTCGCCCCTCCCCCTCCACCTCCGCTTTCCTTATCAAACCTCCACCGCAGCTCAACTTCACGCTCCTTCGCTTCTTCTCTCCTGTCCTCTCCACACCCTAGCGCTTCACTGTTCGTCTTCTCGAACCTACTCATCACTCAGAAACGATGCCTCTCTACAACGTACGTCACACCTGTGATCTGCTCGAAGTACATGCACTGACATCAATCCTCGACAGGTTACCTTGAAGCAGGATTCCCCTCCCGAGGAGCTTGAGAAGTACGACCGTCCTTTCGCAACTTGGATTTACAATTCGAGGTTAACACATATTCTTCACTTAGGGCCAAGAGGGAGGCTCGGGAGAACGGAGGCACCATCAGACATGAGTACAGCCTCATCAAGGGTTTCACGTAAGTTGCACCTCCATCAGTTCTCCCTCACTTCTCACTACTCACCCTCGGTCAACTACAGCGTCGAGTATCCCTCCGACCACATCCACACCCTTCAGTCGTCGGAGCACATCCATGTCGAGGCTGATGGCAACGTCAGCACGCAGTAATGCGGTGTGCATTCCTTGACCGGTCCGGATAACCACCTAGCAGCATGAATAGGCCGACAAGGCCCGTGAGGTGGTGTTTTGCTTCGGCTTGATGATTTGATACCAGACACACGCTTCGCTACCGTCCACCTGTTTGTGTACATATTCTTCCAGCGAGTGTTTGATCCCTGCCGCGGTTGTTCACCCCGTTGAGAGAGGGAATGATTCTTACGAATTTCAATGACTTGAATCGAGATATCATCTATTGAGCACGGCTCTCTGTACGAAGCAGCTATTGCCTTAAGCTAATACCAGTGCGTACTATTCTCTATAAATGTGTGGAGGGGGAGTGAAAAGAAGAACGCGCAGTCTCCTGCAGCCTCTTTGTCATCGTATGCAAGGAGACTAAGATCATCATGCACGCAAGTGCGCCTCCTCCAGTTCAAATTAGCATTTGTGGTTTCTTGGCACCATCTCCATCGTGGTTTGTAGTGGAGGGGCTGTTTGTGGGTTCCCATGTAGAACAAGAGATATTAAAAAGAAAGACTGCACTTGTATAATTTCACTTTCGTTAAGTCAGGTCGGGTAAGTTGTGTACCAGTTGAGCAAAATCTCCAAAAACAAGGATACTCCCCAATTTATTGTTGAGGCTGAGAGCCGAGGATATCCGCAGACCGCAACAAAACGGGCCGATCGTCGTCACCGCCCATGCACGCCCTCTTATCTCCGCGGCTTCGCACTTCGGCGACTGCTTCCCACCCCCACGGCACGACATAACAGCCATCATGTCTAGGACTCTGCCACTCAGAGTTCAAAGATGGCATTTGGGCGGGACCCTCAGCCTGCTACATCGGTCTTCGACATCGCAGGCTGGTCACAATTGGACGCTCCACAGGTCCGGTTCAGATGCCGCCAGAGACGAGGTGGCCCAGCTGGCTTCAAGCCCTCGACGGCGGTTGACGCTGACTGATCTACTGCGGTAAGATGCCGCTGGAATTCCAAACAGCACAGGGCGAAAATATCTCACACTTTTCCGAATCTCTAGGCAGGGACGCCCGCCGCTATCCAAGGAAGCACTCCTGGCCTCGGCCAATTTCACCCTCTCCCTCCTCCCCGCTCGACTGGCGTCGCGTATTCAAGCGCTGCGCAACCTACCTTTCATCGTCGTATCCAATCCTCACGTCTCGAAAATTTACCACAACTATCTCCATTCACTATCCGCCCTCCTACCCTACCAGCAACGCCAAATTACGACACTCGAAGAAGAGAACCAGTTTGGCGATGTGCTCGCCGACCTCGTACAAACGCACACGAACACAATCCCGGTATTGGCACGGGGGTTTCTCGAGTGTCGGAAGTACGTGAGCCCGGAGGACGTGACACGTTTCTTAGACACTCATTTGCGAGCGCGTATCGGGACTCGGTTAATCGCCGAGCAGCACTTGGCCCTGCATTTTGCCTCGCAGCCCCTCAGTGATGGGGATGCAGAGCCTAAATCACCACCGCCTAAAAGTCCGATACCATCTAACTACATCGGAGTGATCGACACGGCCCTACAGCCGGCTCGCATAATCCGACTTTGCGAAGATTTTGTCGGGGAGATTTGTGAACTGAAGTATGGCGTGCGACCGCGTCTCGAGATCGGAGGGGAGCCTGAGGCTGCTTTCGCTCATATTCCCGTTCACGTGGAGTATATTGTCACAGAACTGCTGAAGAACGCATTCCGGGCGACCATCGAGTCCGGTAATGAACGTGAGCCGATTGAAGTCACAATCGCGGCGGCTCCTGACGTCCCTGGGAGGGAACCCCCATATCAAGAAGAGAGCGACGCCAGTTTTCAATACGACACAAACGTAGATACGACTTCTACCAACGAGGCGATCGGCAACTCGAACCCTTCGTCGCAAAGTATCACGATCCGAATTCGTGACCGGGGAGGCGGCATTCCCCCCGAGGTGCTGCCTCATATCTGGTCTTACAGCTTCACTACTTTCTCAGATATGGATTTTCACAATTCGGAAAATGGTAACTTGGATGCCCTCAACACCATCTCTGGTAGTGGTGGCCATTTGAGTACTATTGCTGGTCTTGGGTACGGCTTGCCCCTCAGTCGTGCTTATGCAGAGTATTTCGGTGGGAGCATCGCCGTACAAAGTCTTTGGGGATGGGGTACCGATGTATATTTGACTCTGCAAGGAGTTGGGAAAATCGACTGAAGAGTTCGATGAATTGAAAAATTGACGTGGATAAATGGACTGAGTCGCAAGTCACAGCTTTGCTCACAGCTTTGCCTTGGCCACTGGTCGAGCGAGCAAGTTCACAAGTTCCGTGATGGGTGTATTCATATCCCGAACTGTCTCCAATACCTTACCAGTCTCTGTTTCTGAAAACATATGCGCCATGTTGTGCAAGAATTTTTCATGCAGGGCCGGTTTGGTTTGCGCGTTTCGCACATGTCCAATGGGGTACTCAACCAATATTTCCGGAAGAACTTTTCCGGTCACTAGAACAACTGTCACCCCTGTGCTGATGCTCTTCTTACTCAGGTCAAGGTAGTCTTGAGTGAGTTGAGAATCTGCGTGGACGACTATCCTTTCTCTGAGTCGTTCCAAATCCTCACTCACTGCCCACTGGCTATCATTGGAGTAGTCGGCAGCTACAGGAGCATTGCCTTTCAAGAATGACAAGGAAACAACAAATTTGATGCAATGGTCTCTGTCTGCGGCGTTACGCAACGGCCCACTCTTGTGGATGATAAGATCGGCCGCAGCAGTGGTGCGCAGCTCTATGCGTTCAATATGCCTCGCCGGATCAGACAGGCCTTGCTCCTGCATCCGACGGAGCTGCAAAAGGGCCGCTTCAACTGCTGAGATTCCATGACCCTCAACTGGCATGGTCTTGAAGAAAACATTCTGAATGGTCCAAGTACCAAAGGGCCTCGGAAACTCGAACCCATTTTCGCCAAATGTCTGCGCCAAAAACCCCCACGGCTTTGCAGACAACGCCTTTGATACCCCCGGCTGGCCAGCCCTGACATACAACGAAAGCTGGACAGCTCTTCGTGCAGCATCTCCTGCAGCCCATCCTTTTCGTGGGATTGTGTGATCGCGGGAGCGGTAGGTACGGCTGGGCTGTCCGTCCATCCAGACATGTGAAATCGAAGCCATAGTTTGCTCTTTTGTGAGCCCCATCAACCAAGACACAACGGCCGCTGAAGCGAGCTTTACCAATACCACATGATCAATTCCATAAGTATTGAATGCATTCCGCATCTGATAGCATCCTTGTATCTCGTATGCCTTGATCAACGCGATCAGTAGCGTCCTCATCGTCAAAGCAGGTCCTGTATGAATGTGTTCATAATTCGAAGTGTGAGATAGCCAGTCCATGACAGGTAGAATGGCTGCTAAGTTATCTATTTTCACAATCTAAAGTCAATTACAAGCTTGATGATAGAGAGGATATTCTCTTTGTGTATACCTGATGGATGTCCCCATTCAGCTCCCCCAAGCGCATCATTGTGGTCCAAATATCTTATCAGAACTCCCAGGTCGAATGCACCCTCGATAGGGTCGACCTCCAATCTTGTCCCGGGTACACGGAATCCGTCTGGGACACGAGTATTCGGAATGATAGGCTCGAGGAGCCTCCAGCAGTCTGTTATAGTAGCTGCTGTTTCAATCGCACACCCCAATGCATCCAAAAGTGCCATGCGTGCTATTTCCCATATGTGTTCATCACTCGCATCGAGTCGGTAGTGGAAAACATAGTCTGCAACATCGGCAATGGCCTTATCATATAATGGTTCTTGGTAAGGGGTCATTGATAGGATGAAAGTGTGATTAATTCTGATGCGATGTTTGTACACTAGTGCAGTAATCATGCGATGTTTATAGCAACCCCCGGATCAAATGCGTTATCTAGATAGAGACAGCAAGGTCGGTGCTACCATCGCACGACATAATGTTGCACAGGCTTCGGTCTATTCGATAAAATGACCCGCTCGCTGTCCGATCGCGAATTGCATTTTGCACGCTATTTTTTTTCTATGCCAGCTATGAGTCCTGTTTCGTTATTATTCGCAGCATTGGCCTTGGCTCAAAACTGGGACTCGGTTGATCGCTTAGCCATGTTAAGTAACAATGTCCGAGAACAAACACTACTCCATATCATTCAAAAACCTACACTAAACCTATGGGAGGGGGTTCGACCGGTCAGTGCATCTGCATCAACAACGGAATTTATTGACCGAGGTACGTCACTGATTGTCTACATGGGGTTATGTGTGGAGTTCCGTCCCTCAAAATTTTCTCGCTCTTTTCAGAGACATTGAACGCCTAAAGGCAGAACAGTTGAGCGGCTTCTAGGCATTATCATTGCTGAAAAGGACTTCTTGTAAGATTTCAAAATTTCCATATACCTAGCACGCCGCTCAGAACTGATTGATAGCAGTAGCCCCTCAGAAACTATCCTATCCCGTCTCTCAAAAAATGAAGCAGAACAAGAAGGGAAGCTCCAAAGTGGGGTTGTGGAAGCAATAAACTGAGAATGAATGGACAAGCTCTAAACAGTATCGACTCGTCGGCAGTCAAGAGATAGTCGCTGTACTAGGTGTGCCCCCACGTCTCCTCAGCACTCGGAGTTGTTTCCGAGGTAAAGCCCAGGGTTCCCCAGATCTGCTGATAAAGCAGACCTCCACCTTCCCCTCATTGAGTTTAAATCGTCTGCTATCTGTTATTTTGAATTCTCATTCTCTGCAATTCTCCAGTCTCCTTTCCGTTGAAGAGATTAGGTAGAGCCGAGGGAGAGCAATCATGTTCGTGCAGCTCCAACTCCGCAAACACAATCCTCGACTAATTGCACGCAGGGTATACACCGCATCTTTCGCCTTTTTCGAAGCACTATGGGAGGTAAGCACCCCAATTCGCCTTCACGCCTTCGCATAGCCTTCTCAACATGACATGCTAACTCTCATCTAGGGTGGCGTGACCCATGTCTTCGTCAATTTAGGGTCTGATCACCCTTCCATCCTCGAGGCGATGGTCAAGGGGCAGAATGAAAAGAGGGACCAATTCCCCACGATTATCACTTGTCCCAATGAGGTACGTCCACAGTTGCATCATTGAAGATCCAAGCGTTCCTGCACGGCCGCCCCTCATTTGGCTACCATCGGTAACAAGCATCTCGAGCCCCACTGATATTCTATGAATGCGATAGATGGTCGCGCTCTCGATGGCCGATGGCTACGCTCGCTTAACCGGCCAGCCACAGGCTGTGATCGTACATGTCGATGTTGGAACCCAAGGATTGGGCGCTGCAGTTCACAATGCATCGTGTGGTCGTGCTCCGGTTCTGATTTTCGCCGGTCTCTCCCCGTATACAATTGAAGGTGAGACGAGGGGTTCGCGGACAGAATATATCCACTGGATCCAGGATGTGCCTGATCAGAAGCAAATTGTTTCCCAATATTGTCGGTACTCGGGAGAGATTAAGTCTGGCAAGAACGTGAAGCAGATCGTGAACCGGGCTCTGCAATTTGCGACGAGCGATCCCAAGGGACCAGTATATTTGGTGGGCGCTCGTGAGGTTATGGAAGAAGATATCGAGCCATATCAACTGAACCAGCGTGTCTGGGGCCCCGTGGCCCCCGCTGCCTTGCCTTCGACTGGTGTTGAGCTGATCGCTTCCGAACTGGCTGCTGCTCAAAACCCGATGGTGATTGTTGGGTATACAGGTCGACAGGCCCAGGCAGTAACGGAGCTCGTATCTTTGGCTAATGCCTTCAAGGGTGTTCGGGTGTTGGATACTGGTGGAAGTGATATGTGCTTCCCTGCGAACCACCCTGCCTGGCTGAGCTTACGATACCCTGGCCATGAGCTAGTGAAGTCTGCCGATTTCATCCTGGTGATTGATTGCGATGTCCCGTGGGTGCCAACCCAGTTCAAGCCGTCAGAGACCGCGAAAATCATCCATATCGACGTGGATCCATTGAAACAGCAGATCCCGGTCTTCTATATCCCATCCATGGCCACATTCCGCGCAGACTCCGCTACCGCACTCAAGCAGATCAATGACCACGTTGCGAGCAGAGGCGCGCTGCAGCAGTTCATTGGCTCCAAGGAGAACATCACCCTGGGACAACGCCGAGATGAAGAATATCTGAAACGACGCCAAGAGATTACCGACCTGGCGACTGTGCCAGAAGGCGGCGACGGCGCATCCCTGAATGTCAACTATCTCATCGCACAAGTTCGAAAGGGATGCCCCGACGATGCCATCTGGGCCATCGAGTCTGTCACCCTTACCCATTTCGTGGCAGACCAGGTCTCTGCCACTCTGCCGAACTCGTGGATTAACTGCGGAGGTGGAGGCCTGGGTTGGTCCGGAGGAGGTGCTCTGGGTATCAAGCTTGCTTCGGACGTGCAGCATGGTGGACGAGGCAAGGGCAAGTTCGTCGTGCAAATAGTGGGAGATGGAACCTTCCTATTCTCGGTTCCTGGATCCGTATACTGGATCTCGCGCCGCTATGGAATCCCAATCCTGACAATTATCCTCAACAACAAGGGCTGGAATGCTCCGCGCCGCAGTATGTTGCTGGTCCACCCAAGCGGGGATGGCTCGAGGGCGACGAACGAAGACTTGAATATCTCTTTCGCACCTACGCCCGACTATGCGGGTATCGCGAAGGCTGCTGCCGGTGGTGAAATGTGGGCTGGTCGGGCATCGACCGTGGCCGAGCTATCGCAGAAGCTGCCTGAAGCTATTCAGAGTGTCCTGAATGGCAAAGGTGCAGTTTTGGAGGCGCAACTGGATGGAACGATAGGAAAGTATGTAGAGAAGGCTTAGAGGAGTAGATGAAGTGTTGGAGCAGATAAGATGTTGGCTGGTATTGAATAGAGCATATTTCGTTTTCATTCTTTTTGCTTCACTGATTACGGGAAAGTACGAAAACACTCCCTGATGAATCAAAAGTTGGGGGACCTGGGTGCCTGAAAGATCCGTAAAAGGACTGTCTAGGCTTCAAACAGCTTATGCGCCGTGTTTGCATTATTTCGGCGAATTGAGGTTTTTGCACAGGCCCATCCGGTAGAGGAGACAAGAGCGACCAACAGCAACATGATGAACGCTATGTTGTCGCCTATGATTGAGATTAATCGATTATCCCAGTTTGCCCATGAGTTGCCATCGACTTGGGTAAAGAACACCCAGGGGTCAGAGCCAGGTCTCATGTCCATGAGAATATGGTGCAAGGGTTGTAGCCGTGTCTCGCTGATACCGTTGACTGATGATTTATGAGTCAGGACCGAATGGTATTCTTCCCAGATGGCCGTGAAGTACCACTGTCCACTAGACCACATTATTGTTGCGTATGGGAGTAGATAGTTCACTTGCCAGCGAATCAGATTGTCGGTGAGGAGGAAGAACAGCGGATGTCCGGGCTGCCCTCCCATGATGTTGTTGCTGAGGGCCCCGTGGCCACCATCCGTGGTAAATGCTGGATAGTAAGTGAGTGGTTCGAGGTTTGCAGCACATCCCTAGAGTGCCATGTTAGCCGAATGCTCAAAGAGCATATTTCAAGCCATGCGATGACATCTTCTGATAGCCGATGAAGACTTGATCCACTCACATTGTCCAGGTCAATGTAGATTCCGCCATAGTAGCGCAGAACAAAGTATTTTACCACGTCAACCTTTTGTACTGGAAACGAATATCGGTCATACGCCGACAAGAACCAGGGAAACTCTTCTTCGATGAAGTCGCGGGAGGTTTTCGAGGTCCACAGCTATAGAACATGTTAGAACTGCAGCTTAGTCACTGAATGATGTATTAAGATCAGCCACACCATGTGTTCCCAGCTTGGGTTCAAATCCAAGCACGTCTGCCGTGCTGCTTTCCAGTCTGGGCGAAGGGTATTGCCATTCGGGTCGTGCCAGTTGTGAAAGATCTGGTGGATTATCCTAGGAACCACAGGCGTTCGCGGATCAGTACTAGTCTCGTATGCCGCTGTAATTTCGCCTTGTGTAATTCGAATCCCCGAATGAGGCCTGAAGAGGCCGAATAGCCGAGCGAAGGCGATAGTGCGAAGGGATGCGTATGTAACTGAAGCGGCGGCCAGCAGACCGAGGGCGACCACCAGAACGTGGCGACGCAATCGCGAACCCGCCATGCAGGATTTGCTCGCAGAAAGTTCTCTGTGGTGGCGAAGAGGAAGAGGTTGAGGACGACGTCGCGACGAGTGCATCGTACGTCTTCAAGTTGGATGCTCTGCTGCTCGTCGATTGACCCACGTGGGGGCGCTGCTGCCTCCATTGGCAACACGGCCTCAACCCAACCAGAATTGGTCGATTGGAAGTATAGGCGAATATCTTGCGGTTCAATCTCAGATATGCAATGTTTGTCTGATGTTGATGTGCAATGATCGATGTAGACAAGCTTGTACTTTCGGGAGTTGGCATTTGGGGATTACCCACTGCGACCGCAATCTCCAATTTGGAGAGCCGAGGAATTCCCCGGCGAGATGCGAGCTTCAAATCAAAAGGAAACACTGAAACCACTACTCGACCTCACATCTGGTCGAGGAGGGCTATTGAGTAGACCAGGCCGAGGGAACATTTTGCCCGCATTGTTCGAAGGAATTGATGGGGCGATGGAGGATGCAAGTGCCGTCGTCGGATGCAGTCTTCTCCGCATTTCCTCTCCACACTCCCCGCCCACATCAGCCAGAGCCATAAGCCATGAGCCATGAGCAGCAAACCCTATCAGTGCCAGCGATGCCCGAAGGCTTTTGCTCGTCTCGAGCATCTTCAGCGTCATGATCGTTCTCGTACGTCCTCCGGCCTTGGTCTCCGGGCCATCGCTAACATTCCGCAGACACTAAGGAGAAGCCCTACACCTGCGGCCAATGCCCCAAGGCCTTTACGCGAAAGTCAGTGGACCATCCCTGATACCAAGTACGGTACCAAAGAAAGAGCTAACAGAATATCCTAGGGATCTACTTGTACGCCACGAGCGACTTGCGCATGAGGGTGGAAGCAGTCCCATGAGCCAGACGCATTCGCCCTCGCCCGGCCACCCGATCCTCGATGGCTTAGATACCCTGGCTTCGGTCGTCGCCAACCATGCACACTCCCAGCAGCATCTTCCAGAAACCAGTGACCGATATTCGGATACTCCAGTGGTACAACGCACCTCGATGGTCCGCCCCCAACTGCCCAATGCGCAAACTCCGTCGGCAGGCCCGACGATCCCAATGACAGGCCACAACTTTGATTATTCCCTGGGAAGTATCGCAACGAGCTCTTATGAAGGGAACGATTTCACATCCTTCCTCGACAGCGTTCCCCTTCCGAGTCATCCCTTCTCGCCTGCATTCCAGCCGCTCCCCTTATTCCCGCCTTTACAATTTTCCCCGGTGACAGACTATGGTCCGGAGAGAGATGTGCCATCGGAAGAGACACCATCGACAGCATCAAGTTCAGTATTGCCTCGGCATGGTGCACACTTGCCGTCCCTCCAACCAGAAGGGTATCAAACCACAGCTAAGGCCCGCCAGCCTACTGGATTTGTCCCTGTTACGACAGAGTGCCGTGATAATATCCTCGGTCTCTTGCAATCTTTTGCCAATGTCGTTCCAAACCCTTCTCTTCCTTCTCGCCATGCCCTCTCTCGGTGCTTGACTGGGTATTTGATGGGATTTCATGACCACTACCCCATTGTACATAAACCAACATTGGACGTCGATTCCATGGGCCTCCCGCTTTTCCTCTCCATGGCGGCATTGGGTGCCCGCTATAGCCGAGAGCCCGATACAAGCATGCGTCTCTATCAGATCGCGAAGCCAGTCACTCTAGAACATTTCCGGCGGGTGTTTCAAACAGGGAGTCTGCCTGCAGTGAACGCGGCTGACGATACCGACACGCTGGAAACCATTCAAGCACTGTTGATGCTCATATCTGTTTCTTCGTGGTTTGTGGATAATCCGCCATACCACGAAGCGCTCTCAATTCGCAGTTTGATGGCAACTCTGTTGCGGAAAGACGGTCTGAACCGCTTGCCAGAACACGATGGGTCCTGGGCCAGCTGGATCCGCCGCGAGAGCGTGAAGCGTACAAAACTAATCGTCTTCTGCTTTTTCAATATCCACACTATCGTCTTTGATATTCCCCCAGTCATTTTGACTGAAGAGGTCTGCTTGGACCTGCCATGTACGGAGAGAGAATGGCAGGCGTCTACCCCTGAACAATGGCAAGCAGCACGAAGCCAAAGTCTCGGAGAGCCAAAATTCCAAGATGCCTTGTCTGCCCTATTCGCACCGACTAGTCCCATGGAAGGGTTCTCTTCGCTGGGCGGATATGTCTTAATTCATGCCCTGCTGCAGGATATCTGGCTGATAACAAAAGCAGGCCGCTTGCACCTGTCACGATGCAATCGACTGGGCTCACCAATTGTCTCAACACCGCAACTACTCGCTGTGGAACAGGCCCTGGAAAAATGGTGTCAATTCTGGGAGCGCAATCAAGAGTCATCAATCGACCCACTCAGTCCCCACGGCCCGTTGTCGTTCACATCTGCGGCCCTTCTTCGGCTAGCATACATCCGGCTCAATGCAGACTGTGGATCAGCGCGACAATTGCAAACTTGGGACCCAGTTCAGATTGCCGCTAGTCTGAATAACAACCTCTCTGTACAGCGAGGGGACCGCCTGACGAGGGCAGCCCTCCACTGTGCGCATGCCCTTAGCACACCCGTGAAACTCGGTATCGGCTTTGTAGCCCACTCGCAGGTCGCTCTTTGGTCAAATCAGCACGCCTTATGCTCGCTGGAATGCGCTGTGCTGCTAGCCAAGTGGCTCGAAGCGGTAACCGTCGCTAACCCGGATCCTGGCTTGACAAACCAGGAGACCCGCCTGCGGGATTTTGTTTTGGAGATGGTTATGGAAGTCCAGCATGGTGTCACACGTGAATGGCTTCTGGCCACTAATACTCGGCTCAGTGCGGCAGTGACAAGGCTTTGGGCACGCCTTTTCACGGCCGACTATATCTGGGAAATGGTTAATCTGATCGGCCGGTCCTTAAATAGCTATGCGGATCTACTGGAACAAAAGACCCCATACAGCTGAAATAGATCTCTCCGATGTAATTCAAATCCGAATTCCAAATAATGACAGCCCCATATTCTTCGAAACTAACACTGATTTTCCTTCGTCGGCTTAGATAGCCGAGGCATACTCCCAGGTGAGTGTTTTCATCACTATGCTAAGACCGAAAAAGAGCCGGGCACCTCCCCCAAAAAAATATTTTGTGGTGCAGCCGAGTCCCCACGTTGGGATTTATGTAAGACTTCCAGAGCTAGACTGTGAGAGACGATGGGTACGGTGCTTTCCTTTTCTTTTGATGCTTGCAAAACGTTATCCAAGGCTTGAAAGAAAGTAGCTCCAAGGTCCCGCAAGAGGCTCAAGATCATTCACGCGTGCAAGGAAACTAAATACGCGTTTCACAGAAAGCCATTCCATCTTAGCAATTATTCTAATCACACGAGGACTTGCCGATGAAACGGTAAGACACGCCTCTGGAATTTCCCAATCTATGGCGATCCATTGCCACCTTCACCGACAACCCAGCAGTCAGTCTGGCAGTGGCAGCCCTCGCTTGGACTAATAATCAAGCCGGTATTTCGAGAGATCAAACCGATTACTGGTGCCATGTAATTTAAATGAGCCTCGACCGAGATCTCAATCAGACAACCATGGTTATCCAAGGGTACAGATGTTCCAGGATTGTCTCAACAGTTATTGTCGTGGTAAAAGCGGCCCAGCGTGTGGTGGCATTTCCTGGGCTGGTGTTATCGACCGGGCCATGGTAGTCAGGATAGGATGGAACAACATATTGCTGGTTAATAGGAAGGATGAGTGTCTTATGGTATTGAGAACATTTTATTTAGCTGAGCCTGAAAGAGATGATTGAGAACGTGTAGAATCTCAAATATTATGTATTCCAAGGCTGTCTTGTGTATCTTGGATGCTAACTTTGAACCCTTGAAGTGGGCTTTCGGAATCTTTATACCTTTAAACCCAAATAATGAATCTAGAACGGTTAGTTATTTTCCGCAGTATATCTAACCTCTCTGCTTTAGGATGAGCTTAGTTGATCCTTGATTAGTTTCTAGCTCAATTTCAAAGATGCCTTCACTTCACATATCAAAAATCATAGTTTTTCTGGCCCCCTTTTTCGTATACGCCACTGTAGAGGAGATTTTTGTAGCCACCACGCACCCCCATTTGTCCCAGATCACACCCCCAATCCTAACATCTCTTACATACACAATTAGGACCTTGATCAAACATCATGCCAATTCCGAGAGTGGATATCACCTCACGTCCACCATGATGTTTTTCATCTGAAAGCTACTTCCTGCCCATTTCTATCTTGCTTGCTCAGCCACCTTTCTGGTCACCTTTCCAGCATTTATCTACCTAGTCACCCAGGGTCAGAGATTGGGGTCTGAGGCACATGAGGTATGGTTGTAGCAATCCCCATTTTAAACCGACTCATTCAGACAATTAATATACAGCGTATGAATCACATCACAACGTTTTCTGAGCGCGCTATGCGGGCAGAGGGGTATTACTATTACCGTGTAACTATATGCCGGGCCGAAGCCCGTCAGGATCACGTGGCGTCGAGTCATCGTGGACCAGGTACTCCTTGGTCATGCATCGTCCACCATTCTCACTAAAATTTGTTTCTTACTCCTTACCGATCAAACAAGTCGACATCTTATATACTGAAACTCGCAATCCGATCGAACTCAACCACCAAGCCAACTCAACAAATCAATCACCATGCCGCCATCTCCACTCATCGCAAGCTCCGACCTACACACTCTCCTCCAAAACTTGCATTCCCAGTCCCTCGCGCAAGAATCAAAAGTGGACTGGAACACTCTCCCGAAGCAATGCACTGACGAATTTGATGATATCATGCGTGATAAGTTCATAGCGCTTGACCAGGACAAGTGCGAGCTGATCTACCACGTCCTGCGCAGTATAAACGCAAAAACAGTCGTCGAGGCAGGAACCAGCTTTGGCGTGAGCACTATCTATCTTGCTCTTGCCGTTGCGCAGAATGCTGCGCGGGACTCGACCAAAGGCCGAGTCATCGCTACGGAGAAAGAGCCTTCTAAGGCTTGTGTTGCGCAGGAGAATTGGGAGAAAGCCGGGAAGGAGATCGCGGGTGTGATCGATCTTAGAATTGGGGATCTGAAGGAAACCCTGACGAAAGACCTAGGAACGATTGATTTCCTTCTTTTGGATAGTAAGTATTTCCCGACTTTCGGATCCATTGCTATACCTTTCGATAAAGTCATGAGCCTGGGCTAATGGTCTCTAGTCTGGACTCCGCTAGCTCTCCCTGTAGTCGAGCTTATTCAGCCGTATCTGAAACATGGTGCTGTTATCATGGCAGATAATACACTGAAAGCGGGTGCTGGATACGAAAATTTGTTTGCTTATGTGGATACTCCTAATAGTGGATTTCGCAGAGTAACTCTTCCATATGCTGGTGGCTTGGACATGATTGTCTACCAGTAGTTATAAGCATCATTCAGGCACAGAGACTTCAAGTCCATGACAGGATGTGGATCAGCAGAGAAAATATAACTAGCTTAATTTTCAATGCGGGAGACACCAAATACGAAAACGTCGCTTCATTCCAACCACATGCACGCGGTACTTCAATGATGATCTGCGCCGTATAGACACCAGTATCCGGGTCTCACCTGGTGCATGACCTTCTGGTAATGCTTGTTTTACAGGAGACTTCTATTGAAACGAGACAAGTCATCTGCAGATATTTTATCTGGCCATTCTTTCCCCTTAAAACATATGAAGAAGTAAGGCTCATCGGGACCATGTGATATTCTCTGACTTGAACCATCTGACAGTTGTTGTTACCAAAATGGTATCTTGTGAGCACCTCATAAGGACTATTACTCGAGCCTATGTCAATCCACTTGGTAACTTCCTACTGCCCGTTCACCACATTTGCCTTGCACATGGTCCTACACTCACGACAATTCTCCGCTCTGTAGTCATAGCCCTTTTTCCACTGATATGAGCCGACCATCCGTATCTACTATCATGGTGGCAGCCCATCACTTGTCTTTCGTCGGGAACAAAGTAGTCGCCTCGCTTGAGTTGATGGTCCTGGCCACTATCTCTTGGATCCGGAGACATAGACTGGGTATTTCAGGATGTATCAAGGCTTCAACTGACATAAGGATGGTGTCAGTTCCGTACCCTGCAGGCGATTCTCTGACTTCAGTATACCGCAGAGAATCGGTGGCTATCCCAAATTGAGAGCCATGGTAGTGCTTCACGGTTAGTTGAAGATGTGAGAAGTTGAACTCGTAGTTGCTCGTGGTGGACAGACGCAAAAGATCGAGATGGGCCCCAAGAAAGTCATATCCGCCAATACATAATCGAGTTTTCGAGAAATCAGGCCCATGGAGGCTCTTGCCTTGACAATGGAGAAGCCGGAAGCACGTAATGCAAAAATAAAGATCCGGTAACTGTCGACCGAGAGTCTTCAAAAAGCTGACACGCTGGCTGTCAGCAAAACATCCCTCGGACTTGAGAGCAGAAAATTCCAAGGAAATAGGTTGGAAAACGTCGTTGCCAACCGCATTAAGCAGTTTCATCCAACCATGGCTGCAAAGCGCAAGACAAACAATATCAGCGGGTGACAGGAACTCGCATATTAGCAATAATATCTCAGCTGGGAGGTCGTTCATGGATACCCTGGAATTTTTTCTCAACCTCAGCTTCATCGGCGACAAATGAGTTGAAATGCGGAGTGTTATGCACTTAGAGTAAAGTTCTCGACGTAGATGACGATTTCTGTAGGCCCTTCTTATTTCCGCACAACTGACAGTAGAAATCGAAGGAGTCGAGGGAAGTAGAAATCGGATGAGCAGTGAATTCAAGACAATATAGAGGTGGTCATTGTGAAGTGACTTGGCCAGAATGGGACGCATGTAAAATTTAAGATGATTTTGGAATGGTGCTAAGCCACATTTGGGTCTGACACTTACAGTTCCGAACAATTCGATTGAGGATCCACGGAAATGTGAATCATGTTTTAGTAACTCCACATTTCTCAAATTAAGATTATCTCGAGTATATAAATACGTAGGTAGTGCACACTGGTATACCTTGCATTATGTAGGAGATCCTTAGTTTACCCGTGTTACGGCTAACATACCTTTCCCACTGCGGAGTCAAAGCTTCCGCTAAACATCTCCTCTTTCTTCAACAAGCCACCAGTGTTCGCCCTCCACCTATCCATGCTGGTCTATCCATTGTGAACCTCAGCAATGGAACCAAATAGATTCACTCACCTCCCCCAAAACGATGTAGGCGCCTTCTTACCGGGCGGCCCAACTCCGTCATTCAACCCGCCCCAAACCCCCACAACAGCCAACTGCCGCCTCAATCACCTTGCAATTCGCATCAAGGATCCTTCTCGCTCCCTCCACTTCTACGTCGACCTCCTTGGTATGCGCGTGATCTTTTCAATGAATGCCGGTCCTTTCACGATCTACTACCTCGGCCATCCACCGCCCGAAACCGAGGATCTGGAGAAGTGGGCCAAGACGACGAGCGAGATTCCAGTTATGACGCGCACGAGCGGGTTGCTCGAATTATATCACGTACATGGAACGGAGAAGAAGGATGATAATGATGATGGGAGTAGTGTGTCGACAGGAAATCTGCCCCCTAACCTTGGCTTTGCGCACCTGGGGTTTACCGTACCGGATGTCGCCGTGACAGTGGAAAGATTGAAAAATAGCGGAGTAACAGTCCTCAAGGATATCGGGATTTGCTCGCGGGAATCGATTCCACTGTCGGAGTGGGAGGCAGAGAGGGGAGTGGGTAGAGGGGAGATCCATCCGAACTATGCTTGGTTCTTCGAAAAATTTGCCATGGTGGCTGACCCGGTGAGTCTACTGTGTCGATTCCTACTTTTCGCCTGTTCCACGCCCTGTGTGGGATACCCTGTCATATGCCCTCGAACAAAACAACACTTAGACTGATCGATAATAGGATGGCTATTCGGTGGAGCTGATCCCACAGCACCTGTGAGAGCATCAAGTCTTCCCCAGCGGGGCTCTACAAATATTACTGTTTAGCAACTTACACCTTCAGAGCGTAGAATATCAGTGGGCAGTAAGGGGGGATTTAAGATACCTAGCCCCAAGAAAAAATTGGTGGTTTTTTGTCTGTCCATAATCCAGTGGTACATAGAGTAAAATGATGGTGTGAGTTCACCACGCCTCATCCTCCGCAACATCGTAATCCATGTCCTGATTCTCCTTTTGTGCGGGCGGAGCACTCACGACCGGGGTCGAGTCCACCATCATGTCATGATCCTGATCACCGGCGCCGTTCTGCACCTCGGTCTGCAGAGCGGATGCAGCTGACGAGACGCTAATGGGTGGATTGGGAATCCACGAAAGCTTGACATCGCCCGAAGAAGTAAGAGACCAAGGGCTGAACATGAACTTCTCAGCCTGGTATCGTTCCTTAAATGCCACGACAACGGAGGTTGGCTGACTCGGGTTCGCCTCAATGGATTCGTATTCGCCAACATTCTAGGAAAAGTTAGCATCTGTTCATTGATCATTGTTCAGAGATGACGACGACTTACCATCAAATGCTGTCGGAGCGCTTCGTCCTTGTCCGAATTGAGTTGCACACCGGATACAGCAACTCGTCGAGGTCGGTTGTCCAAGCGCAAAACACCTCCGCGGCCACGAGGAGCAAATCCACCTCGGCCACGATATCCGCCCCGGAATGAAGGGTCGTAACCCCCACGGCCACGGTATCCGCCTCGGCCACGGAAGCCACCTCGGCCACGGTAGCCGCCACGGCCCGAGTCGGCGTTAGCAGGGTCAAGACCCAGGGTCTTTGCCTCGGCCTCGAGGGCAGCCAGCTGTGCGCGCAGTTTCTTGGTCTCGTCGCTGACATTGTCGTCTGCAGGCGTTCCCGATGCTGCATCTCCAGTCTCAGGACCTTGATTTTGAGCGCCTCCCAGGCGTTGCAGGAGGCGAGCCTTTTCCTCCTGCTGCCGTTTCATGAGCTCATCACGCTGGCGCTCGAGAGCCTGCTTAGCCTCCTCGGCCTCCTGTCGCTTTTTCATCCTCTCTTCATGAGCCTTTTGCGCCTCCTGCTGTTGTTTCTCAAACTCTTCCTGGTTGAATGCGGGCTCCTCAGGTTTACGGTCGCCATTCTTTTCATCCCGCTTCGGCTTGTGCCAGTAGACCTTCACGAAACGGTTGTCAAAGATTACCTTGGGGCTAGACCAGGCCTGCTTAGCCTCGGCGAAGGTTTCAAACTTGACTAGAGCCAGCTTCTTGTGCGCTTGAAGGGACACCTCGGCGATGTTACCAAATTGAGAGAAAAACTCACGCACAGCTTCTTCCGAAAACTTTTCGTCAGGGATTTGTTCCACAACGATTGTGGTGATCGACCGATCCTCGTTTGGTCCTGCAGACGAGAAATCGGACCGGCCTCGCCCTCGCCCGCTGAAACCACCGCGACCGCGGCCACGACCGCGCTCATTGCCACGCGGGAAGCCGGCCTCTTTGGGCGCATCGGGCATCATGTTCACTGATCTCGGATCATATTCTGCTGCCACTGTTAGGGGATGAAGCATGTTCTTTATCCAGGACAACAACGTACCTTCATCCATCAGAGTATCGCCATTGCCGTGCTTATAAGGACAAGCGGATCCCATGTAGCAGATACCTGCAGTCTCGTAGGCTGGGCAAATTTGGTTGGCCATTTGTTCAGCGCCAGGCTGACCGGGTCCGGGCAATCCAGGCATCGTCGGCATGCCGGGCATTGATGGGAATCCCATGCCCTGCATGCCCTGCATGGTCAACATCGCCGCCATAGGATCATTCGCATCAAACGGCGGGAAACCGGGCATCATGGGCAAACCAGCAGGCTGGCCTTGTGAAAATTGCTGGGGACCTTGTATATGTCCTCCTCGGCCCATCCAGTCCCCACGACCGCCACCGCGGCCTCGTCGCGGAGTTTTGAAGGCACGGTTCTGAAGATTCCCGTCATCACGCTCCTGCTCACCCTGGAATCCCTCGTGAAACGACCGCTTGCGACTGCCAAAGTCGGCCTTCGGGCCTGAGGGGGCATTGAATGGGTGTTGCGAGTGGGACGTAGGGATAGCCGAAGGAATGGCTGAAGGGAGGTCTGGGGCAGCTTGCTGGGCCTGTGATGGAGCAACTGGCTTCGGGCCAAATTTGGCTAGGAGTTCATCGACAAAGGGAGTTGTGTCTAATGCGTGTCAATAATGGGAAAATCAAGAGCGCAAAGAAAAAAGGGCAAAGACGAGCCATACGTTCGCGGAGGAAGTCCTCCAGATTTTGGATGCAGTTTGTCCTGATTGTATCATCTGCCGAATCACTTTTGATGAGGGCGAGTACATAATCAGCTAGAACATCAGAGTCCGCATCAGAGCTAAATGTGAATGTCAGGTCAGTCAAGTTTTCTGGCAAGCGCAGGTTATGGGGTGGCTCACATGTCCTCCAGCTTCTTCACGACCCAGTTCTTCAACTGGTCGGCCTCTCCCTGAGACAGCTGCATCGCAGCAGGTTTCAGAGGGCCTCTTGGTTGCAATGTAACGGATTTGATCGAAGCGATGGAGATCAGTGTTCGATGCGTCGGCACCTGCAGGGATTCGGGGAGACTGCACGCTGCAGAAACCGTGCGCGGATCCTTCACGGGAGTATGAACGTCTCTTCGAGGTATAAATAAAGCTTGAGGGACGGATAAATGAGAAAACTTAGACGTGTTATCCTCCGGCCCTGGAAACGAATAGTTGGGAGGGACGAGTCGTGGAGAAAGAATCAAGTGAAATCAAATCGCGATCGCACGCGATATGGATCACGTGATGTTATCGCAGCTCTCAGCTTATCGGGCCAAGCTTCCCTCCCATATGGTGTGGTCAGCTCGAATGAAGAAATGAGAAGGTTAATTGTTTGACTGACACGGGATCGATGTGTGAATGAGATAAGGCATTATGGTGATCACATTGTGCTATATGCTTTACTTGTATCTAAGAGCTAAGCCTTGCAGGGCACTACAGGAACTATATGATACCACGAGCCAAAAACCCGCGCTTTGATCTAGCATACCATATTGATTGTCATGTCCAAATGGTAGCTAGACAGCAACAAAACGTGAAAAACAATTAAGACATCATCAAAGGTAACTATGGGGACAAAGCAAGCGGTCAGTCTTCAGGAGTGCCAGAGACTTTCCTCGGACCTCTGAGATTTCTAAAGATAGCAATGACTGAAGGAATCCCGCCAAGTGACGGGTATGAATTTTTGTTTGAACCGGGAAGTTGTATTGCATTCATCAATCTCATAAAAAAAGATTCCATATTTGACTACCGATAGTGCAGTCCGACCGGCCGTTAGACTTTTTACAGCTTGTCGTAGTACTGTGAAGAAATTAATTAGCAGAGGAAACCAAGGCGGAGGGGATTGATGATTAAAACTTACGTTCTCGTAGCCGGGAACAGCCTCCTTGAGACCCTTGCGCTTGCGCATCTCCTGGACGACCTGACCGGGCTTGGTGGTGGTGTCCAGGGGAGAGCCACCGGGAAGGATGGCCCAGTGGTCGAAGACGGACTGGGGGAAGGCCTGACCACCGGTGGCGGAGCGCAGATCGGCGGGGAAACCGAAAGACTCGTTGACGGGCAGGTAAGCCTTGACGTTGAACAGAGGAGTACCGGGACGCTGCTCCTCGGCGTAGACGTGACCACGGCGGCGGGTGAGGACACCGTAGATACCACCCATAGCCTGCTCGGGGACCTGGATCTCGACGTTGAAGATGGGCTCCAGCAGACCGGGCTCGGCCAGCATGGTGGCGGCGTACAGGACACGACGAGCAGTGGGGATGATCTGACCACCACCACGGTGAATGGCATCAGCGTGCAGGGTAACATCAAGGATGTTGAAGCGGACGGAGCGGAGGGGCTCCTCAGCGACGGGACCCTCACGGGTGGCCCACTGGAAACCGGAGACAACGGAATCCTTGATTTCGTTCAGGTACTGCACGGCCTTGGTCTGGTCGATAAGCAGGTTGGCACCGGTGGTGTCGGGACCGAAGCACCAAATCTTACGGGCATCGGTGACATCCCAGCCGTACTCGTCAGCCATGACACGGGCACGAGCCTTGAAATCGTCACGGGGAGAGATCTTGCCAGACTCGATGGCCAGGGAGACATCCTCCTCGATGGGCTGAGCGGTCAAGTACAGGCGGTTGTGCTTGTTGGGAGACTTAGACAGAGCAGTCATGCTGGACTCAGCAGTGACGGTCTCACGGTAAGACACAACAGGGTCGGAGATACGGAGAGGGACACCAGCGTGGTCCTCCTCAAGATCCTTCAGACAGATCTCAAGGTGGAGCTCACCAGCACCAGCAACGACGTGCTCACCGGACTCGTTGATCATGGTCAGGACACAGGGGTCGGACTTGGACAGACGCTTGAGACCCTCGACCAGCTTGGGCAGATCCTGGGCGTTCTTGACCTCAACGGAGCGCTGCACGACGGGGGAGACGGAGAACTTCATGACCTTCAGGTTGTGGGCGGTCTCGTCGGTGGTCAGGGTACCGGACTTGAGCAGGAACTGATCGATACCGACCAGACCGACAATGTTACCGGCGGGGACATCCTCAATGGGCTCGACAATACGACCCATCATCAGAACGGTACGCTGGATGGCCTTGATGAACAGGTCCTCCTTCTTGCCGGGGGTGTAGTTGGGGCCCTGGATGCGGACCTTGACACCGGACTTGACGGTACCGGCGTACACACGACCGAAGGCGTAGAAACGACCCTTATCGGAGGTGGGAACCATCTTGGAGACGTACAGCATCAGAGGAGCGCTGGGGTCACAGTCGCGGATACCCACGTAGGCCTTGTCGTCCTGGGGACCCTCGTACAGAGTCTCGGCACGGTACTTCTGGGCAGTGACGGGGGAAGGCAGGTGGATACAGATCATCTCAAGCAGAGCATCAGCGGCAGGCAGGAACTTGCGCATGATGACCTTGAGCAGCTGCTTGCCCTCGAGGTCCTTCTCGTCGTTAGCGAGCTTGATCTCAAGCTTATCAAGCAGAGTGCTGATCTCGTCGCGCTTGTTGTGGTTGACAGCAGCGAAGATCTTGAAGATGGGGTCCAGGATGAACTGGTTGAAGGCACGCTCAAGGGGCTTGCCGTCAGCCTCGGACTTGTTGGTCCATTTCTTGGTCTTGGGGTTGAAGTAGTTGTCACCCCACAGACGCTCAAGCATCTTCTTGCGGTCGACACCGAACTTCTTGGCGTACTTGACGGCGAACTGGCGGACAGTGAAGCACCAGCCGTGCAGACCGGAACCGAAGGCAATAGTACCTCTGTCGGGGTAGACCTGGACGTCACCAAGAGACTTGTCGAAGTAGGTGGAGATGATGACGTTGACGGACTCGACAGTACGGGAGAAGGACTGGTACAGATCCTCCTTAGTGCACTGCAGCTCAAGCAGAGCACGGTCGACCTTGTTGATACACAGGACGGGCTTGATGCGCTCAGTCAGGGCCTGACGCAGGACAGTCTCAGTCTGGACACAGACACCGGAGATACAGTCGACAACGACCAGGGCACCGTCAGTGACACGCAGGGCAGCGGTAACCTCAGACGAGAAGTCAACGTGACCAGGAGAATCGATCAGGTTGATCAGGAACTCGTGTCCGTCGACCTTCTGGGGGATCTCCTTAAGATCCTCCGGGTCGGGGAACTTGGCGTACAGGGAGATGGCAGTGGACTTAATGGTGATACCACGGTCCTGCTCATCGGGACGGGTGTCCATGTAACGACCCTCACCGGCCTTGGCGGCGGAAATGATACCAGCGCGGTGGACAAGGGCATCGGACAGGGTGGACTTTCCGTGATCGACTAATAACGGGCATGGATGATTAGCTGATGGATCCTGGACAAATATGCTGACGCTGGGGAAAACCTACCGTGAGCAATGACGGACATGTTCCGGATGTTGGCCGGCTTGTCCATCAGGGCACGGATCTCCTCAAGAGTGAAGCTGAACGAGGGCCATGTTAGCTTCTCCTTCCGAGAAGTAAAAATTTCACGATGAGGATTGCAGGGACTTACTTGACCATCTTGGCGGTTGTTTCCTCAAATCAGCCCTAGAGGCGGGGTAATGAGAAAGTAAGATAGAGAAAGAGCAACACACACAGATGACCGAGACCGAGAATGAACTCGAGTACGATCAAGAATGCCTATGTGCAACTGCTCCTGGAGGAGGGAAGGGGATGAGAGGGGAAAGAGGAAAAGAGAGGAGGGGGAAAAGTGGGAGAAAAAAAAAGAGCGCGAAAGTGGGGACTTTTTTCGCCCCGCCCGGTTTTGTGCGTTGCCCTCCCGCCCACCTCATTTACACTCGCTACGTTCCAACGTTCCAGCTAACTAATACGTTCTGGTCGTTTGGCTTTTCTATCAAACCTGCATCTGAGTTTTATTTTTATGCTGCATTTTCCAGCTCGTCTTTCTGAGCTCCCCGGAATAGACTCATGTGCCCGCATCCGTGGTTCTCCGAAGATCTATTTTGTCGTCTGTCATGGCTACCCGAGTCCAGAGCTCTCTTTTGCCACCGGAGCTCCTAGCCCCAGCTATCCCGTCGCAGCTGCCCATGTCACAGCCAAATCATCAATTCTTCGGAATATTTAATAAGACTCTTTTCTCAATGCCTCGCAGTCACCATCAAACCTTGCAACACGGTGCAACCCAGCCCCGCCTTCACCGCCCGGCGCGGGGTGCAATCGGATTACTAATACCTGCATGCCCATGCACGATGCAAAGGATCCCATGGCAATTTTTCTCGAACTGGAGTAACTGCTATCTACATTTGCATGGATAGGATACCCTATTCAAGTGGAAACTGAAATTAGTCTAATACGGCAGAATACTCGGACAATATACCACTCCCATGCCTTAGAGTGGTAACCCGATCGTATCGGAGGCGGTGGCCGTTGCAGGATCACAGATTGGATGGCTACCCCACGTCGACCGGGCCAGCCATTCCTTAAATATTTGAATCAATTACGCCCGTTATGGCCTAGAGGAAACAACCTGGAAAAAAACCTCTACTGGGTCAGTCTCATTAACAATTCGAAGTTGTACATGGTAGACCTGGCTGCGGAGAGCAGACAATATATTGAATTAAAGATGAGTGCTTCCTTATGGACGGCCATTGATCGCCCTAAAACACCGGAGCAAAGAGCAAAGGGGTATGTTGTACAAGAGTGGCCTCAAAAGGAATGAAGTCGGGTCAAAACCCAAAAAAAAAAAAAAAAGAAATTAATCATTATAATGATAATGATGATGAAAAAAGAAAAGAACTGCAATTGCCCAATATTGACATGAAACATGAATGGTCCCAAACTCCATAAAAATGCATTTATGATCCCAAGATCGTCTCGTAGGCATCCTCCACCTCCTTCGCAATCTCCAGAAGCGTCACAATAATAATCTGATGCGTGACGTTGGGCAGCTTGTCACGCTGCAACCCAATCCATTCCAGTGGCGGTGTCGCCTCGCCCATGTCGCGCAGCTGCGGCGTTTCGATGATGGGCGGCTCCAGAGCTGTGTAGGTATACTTGGACTGTGGCACATTGACCACGGCGGTAATCTTTTCCCGCTGTTCGGGACCAGCGCCAGCCCCTTCGGCGCTGCCGGTGGGCCCACCGGTGATGCGAACTGCCGATGGTGGTAGGGGTTTCCCAAGTCGAGAGGCGAGTGCGCGCGAGTGAGTCTCCCACATGTCGCGGATGAAACTGATGCGCGAGTAGTTCCAACCAACATCCACTTTGCCCTCGAAGGTGCTGCGGAAGATATACTCGATCTCTTTGGTCCCTGGAACCTGCCAGGTCTCCATAGTGGCCACCAGTCGGGGCACCCTCAGAATGGTGCCGCCTCGAGAACCAGCGGCGCGTTGGGCAATCTCATCCACCGACAGTTCTTCCAGCTGGGCGGAGCTGGGGCGACTGATACCGGAAAGCGCCACCCGGAGCTGGCCTAATGTAAGGCCCAGAGCACTATGGATCTTATTGGATTCCAATGAAACGGCAAACCGAGCTTGGGCATCAAAAGCCTCAACCTTGAAGATCTGGTTGTCAAAGAAGGTGCTTGGGAACGCACCAAGATTGACATGGCGAATGCTGACAACCACCCCGGTATGCAGTGAGATAGGTGCCCGCTCAGACTCTTCGTCGTGCCTAGCGAGTTCTTTCGTTTGGGCATCCATCCGAGCAGGGACGGCAGTTGATTTGCGCCGAAGGTATCGCTCCACCTCGCATAGAGATGCCTGATACGCGGACTGTTTATCCTGCACCAGTCGCTGCCAGGCCTGGTAGAGAGCAAGTGCCTGGGAGGCTGTCAAGGACGTGCAGAAGACCTGAACCTCGTCTCCCTCCAGGATACTGAAAAGTCGCTGGCTGTGCTCCCCGGTGGCCTCGCGCACGTTATACATCAAGAAATCGAACATGGCAATATGTGCAACCAGGAAAGGCTGATAGTCGAAAGACACCTTGGCCTGAAGATGGTGAAAAGCAATTGAAGCCTGGATGAGAGGAGTATGTCCAGCCTTGCGGGTATCCTCAGGCCATTGGATTGAGGTGCGAACCTTGAACGTCTGGAGCTCAACCACACCACTCATGCGGCCCTTGCTCTCGATGCTCACGCTATCAAAGTTGATGCACATGCTTTGTTCGCTGTCAGAGGTCTTGTTTGATGAAACCCACACATTATCTATCGTGAATTGAGCCCTGCCGAGTGTGGAGCCCAAGTCCAGTTGTATTTCCAGCTTCTCGATGGCAATAGTGGTATTCCAGGGGAAGGCCGATGCCGAAGCAACCTGTTGGTATCGCTGGACAATATAAGGCTGTTGTGTCTCAGGTGACGCTGGCTCTGGGGTTGCGCTCGGGCTAGATTCATCATCGGATGGGAGCCAGATTTCCCGGAACAGTAGAGAATCTTGGACTTGCTTGGCGTTCAGCGAGACTTTCATAGGACTGACCCTCAAGATGGCGGACATCCCACTTGTTCGACCGAGATGTTTACTGTTCATGAGTGACAACACCATAGACTTGACCTCGAAGCTTGCCGTAGACTCGTTGGAGTATACGTGTTTTACTGAAGCTTCAAGTTTGTTGAATGCCAAAGACAATGCAAGGAAACGACCTTGTTCCGGAGATTGCACAGTGTTGACAGTCACATAAACACTTTCGAACCGTGCTGTTGCTGCAACCCTGGCAATCGGTTGGCAGCTTAGACTGAATTCCTGCTTATTGAACAGCAGCCCAAGGTTGACCTTGCACCGCCCAAGAATTGAGGTGGGATCCGGTGCTCCGAACGGAGTCTCTTGCATGAGCTTCTGTGGTTGCAATTTGGACGGAGTAGAGGGGCGACGAGGCCGAATCTGCTGGCTCTGCTGGTTCTGTTGCTCGCTCATGATTTCCTTGACCGTGGCAGTCATCTGTTTGACTAGCGGGACCAATGTTGGATATAACACATTTGTGGATGGATCCACCTTCAGTTCAGCGTTCAGGGCGGGATCATCTGTCCCGTTGTCCTCGAAGTGTACTTTCAAGGCCACTCCAGGTGCACGAAGAGTTGCTGTAGTTGCCGAATCACCTTGAACGAACTGTCCGTACTTGCCTTCTGCGAGACGGCTGCCCTTAAGGGTGGCAGTCAACAATGTTTGAGAATCGTGTCCTTGTTTGCCTTGAAGCGAGACGGTTGCACCAGCAAAGTCAACATCGACAAAAACAGATCGCAAGCGACGGTTGCCAAAAAGGCAACGGTCCTTGTTGCTGCTCTCATCATCTGGGGCCGGTTTTGTGGCCCAGGCAGCTTTGCCTTCTCGTAGCGCCTCAGATGCAGTGGCAATCGAATTTCGAATCATGTTTCCTGGAATAATGAATTCAGATGTCGCCCGAATGTCGAGAGACTTGCCAGCAGCATGGAAAGCTAGCCATATGTCCCTGCCACTGGAATAATAGGCAACGTTGAAAACCAGCTCGGGCATGAGAGCGGAGTTCAGAGAACGTTTCTTCCTGTCTGCGCGGTATGGTACCATTTGCAGTTGCATATCTCCAATTCGAAGCTTCGCTGCATTTTTCTTCTTGTTGGACAGCTCAACCTGCTGGATAGAAAAGACCAGATCCTCGGGCTGGCGACCCACGCCATTGGACAGTGATGAGGACATGTTCCATGCAACTTGAATGTCTGTGAACTGTAAAGAGTAAAGAGCGTTCAGGAAGGTCTGTGGCGTAGCATCATCATTGACATGGATTTCGGGCGCCGCGGACGGCGTTTCTGGTACCTTGGTCTGGTTACGGTGCCGCAGCCTTCTAAGCCGCTTGACCTCGTGAGACAGATCCAAAGTCTTAATCCGCTCTTGAGTATAGATCGCAATGTCGACTACCAGAGCAGCCGTCTCCGCGAAAAGCTCAATGTCGAACTTGTTACTCGTGAAATGATATGCTCGCATAACTTCCCCATTCTCACGGACAGTCGAGGTTCCAAGCAGTTTGACCGCCGCAGAAAGCCCGCCATAGAACATGCTTCTGGATTTCTCGCGTCTGCGTAGCTCGAAACTGATCTGAGAGGCATCCACGCTGAACTCCGGGTACTCCATAGAATATCCACGATCAAACCCATTTTGGAGCCGCATCTGCATCATGCCCAGACTGAGTGACATCTCTGCAGCGTAGCTTCTCCCTTTCAAGCCAGGAGCGATGGCGTGAATCTCAATGCCGGCCATTGTAAGACGAGACTTGTACAGAATGGTGGAAGTTTCTGAAGTTGACTTGGGCTTTGGGGATTTCTTGTGCAACGCGAGCACGTCACTTAGATGGGAGGTGAGGACGTCGACGTTCTGCTTGAGGTCCGAGAGAAGATGAGAGACATCGGAACCGGTCAAAACAGCCAGAAGACTGCGTACGGCACTGGCCTCCAGCTGGATGAGCTCAATGGTCATATCGACTTCCACCTCTTTGCGATCCGGTAAAAGGTTTGCAAGAATTCGACCATTGGTAGGAGGTATCTCAAGAACTGACAAAGTACGAGATTTGTCGCCATCGCCAGAAATGAATTTATGTGAGTTCTTCTTGACATCAAAATCAACTTCAATCTTGGATGTTTCAGTAGGCATGACCGACATGCGTGCCACGTCGCCGACAATGAGATATGTCAAAGATGGTAGTAGGCTGAAGCTCAGTTTGTAATCATCCAAAAACATCGCGACATTGATATTGTCGTGAGTTGGCTTCTTGGAAGCGACTGAAGTCTGATCGATTTCTCGCTTAGGAAGCTTGAAGTTATCAACGAGCCGTCGAATGTACCAAACTTCATCCTCTATCAATCGATCAGCAGTATGTGCCAAGCTGACTGGGTCTTGCATAATGTTAAAGCGAAGCTTCTTGCAAGAACCAGTTGCCTTCCACTCTTGCTTGCATTCAATTGCATCCTCTTCGGAAAGCAGCGAGAGATATAAGTAAGGTTCAGCAATCCTTGTGAGCATCAGGGTGGTGGATTGGCCCAAAAGCTCCGATGAGCATGCTCCAGCAGTGAATAGCAAAGCAATCTTTTCGTTGGTGGCGGTTTTAGTTCCAAAAAGGCTGTGTACAATGGAACCACGCAGAGCTTTAGACACCAAAGCAAGTTTGACATTGACTCCATCAAGAGTGATAGAACCAAAATCCGTGCCAAACATGAAATGCAGCTCGGTGGGCTTCTTTTCTGTGCTCTTGGTGGGTTCTTTCGCAGATGCAGTCTCAAGTGTGACATTTGACATAACTTTCAAGACTCCTTCGACAAGATCCACAATCTCCCATCGCAGGCGCAGCGCCGCAGAAGCACTGTATAGTTGACAACTGACAATCTCCTTGTGTTGTTCCGGGTGCTGCCCTTGCACTGCCATGCCTGGGATGAGTGATGTGATAATTGACAAGTTCTCGACAATAAGATCACTTTCTCTTGGGCCCGGGTCCAGAAAAAACCCGAAGGTCTTAATTGTGCATGACAATGAGAGGGACGGCTGTATTGTTGCACTCTGAGGCTCTGGCGTCGACCAGATTCTGCGCATGACATAACTTTTCTCGACATGAGCGAGGTCCCAGGCTCGCCACTGGTCGAAGCCAGTCAAGACTGTAGATTTTGCATTTGGAGGCAATTGTAATCTTTCACTTTGACAATTTCGCTCAAGCTCTCGTTTGAGATGCACTGGCAAGTTCTTGTAAACATTGCGAATGCGAGAAATAATTTTCCACGAATCGTGTTGTCGCAAATGGGACGAGGTAACTCTGAGAACGTAAGATATACGAGTCAAAAAAGTCGGGTCTGGAATATCCGCGGCGGACTGCGTGACGAAGTAGATCAACAGCTGTAGGCGTCTTTTGCTGGAAGAGGAGATGTGTTGGAATGATGATGCCACCGAATCAAACATTGTTGTCGCTCGACGAACAAGTGAAGCTAGGCCCTCAACGGACTTGGCTGAGGTGACTGTGTTGAAATGTCGCATCTGGAGATGGGAGCGGATATCGGGGGTTGTCACCAGCCAGAAATTCATGTCACCCAGGTCGCAATTAAACACGGCTTTCTCTTCGAATGCGTCTGCTCGGCTACCCTCCACGGCGATGGCAGCGTGCTCCGCCGCGGCATGAACTGTGATACCCTGCTTGAGGCCTTCAAGTAAATCTCCTTTTTGTCGCTGAACCCTTCTTTGAAACTCTGTTCGAAGCTGGTGAAGCTCAATGGTGTAGATGTCTTGAAACTTGATTTGCCGGTTTTCGGGAGACACGGTAACGTCAACTAGTCTTAGCTGTATGGTTGGAATACGCAGCGAGACAGCAGTGGTCTTCTTCGGCTGACTCATGGATTTGTCGTAGCCCACAATGTCGGAAATGACATCTTTCTGAAGAGAATCCATGATTTGAATTGGATGCTTGGGCTCCAGTCCATCAAACACAGAAGCCAAACTGTAAAGAAACCTTGGTGTACAGAATCCCCTGATCCCCAATGGCAAATCAATGGCTAAGTTGACATATGTGGTTTGATCATCATCGAAAGTAAGGAACATGGATCTGTTGCTTGTCTCAGTGTCCTCTTTCTCGAATTCCTCTCTGTCCATCGGCGACGGGAGTTCTGATGTATCGAGAGAAAGTTTGTAATATGAAAACTGTGGTAAAATCCACGGATTTGCATCTCTGATCGCACCCGAAGAGTATGGAACTGCCCTAGGAGTAAGGTAGCCAGTGCTCTCGCTGTCTCTTGTCCGACTTGCCCAACTCGCATCCCGAACAGGCGGATCTGGTCTTTGTGTGTGTTCTGAGCTAGACAGGGTTCGCAGTTTATGCTTCGCAGCGTTGGCACTTCTTAGGCTCGATGTCTCAGAGGGAACCAGGAATCCTCTAGAGCTGGTGCTAGGCGTCTGAGTCCTTGCGGACTCCCGGTATGACGGTACACTTCTTGAGTCAAACCTTCCTTGAATAGGCTCTGGCATTGATGGAATCGCCATTGTAGGAGGAATATCATCCTTTTCATGAGGGAATGATGACGTTGGCCCAATCTCCTCCCAATCGAAAAGAAGCCATTGCGCTCGGTGTGTTCGTTGGTCATGAGCCTTGATATGTTCCTGTTGAAGACGACGATGCTCTCCGATGTCTTTCTTGCGCGAGGCCATTCTGAGCCCAATCGTCGATTGAACAAGACCAAGTGACTTGACAATTTTCTCGGGCGAACGAAGAGCCTGGGCCACATCATTGCGATCAACGGCAGCGATTGTGATGTCAGGAACCAACAAGCTCATTCTTTTCGAAAACTTAGAGTTGGCCCAGTCATTGAAATTTGTCGTGATAGGGCGAGTTTTGAGGATTACAGCGACTTGATCCATTAACACGGAGATATGAATGGAGCTAATCTTCGCTCTCAGGAAAGTCACGTCATGTAGGATAGGAGGGAAAAGTGGAGAAAGGGCATTCTCCTCGTTGTCGAATGAAAAATCAAAGCTTTTGAGGCTAGAAGCCAGGCATTGAAGAAACTCTGTAGTGCATTCTCCAAGGATCCGCCCGACATCAAAGTCCCAGTTGCAAACATAAGTCGGCTCTGTGGGTGGAAGTCCGAAAAGACGATGACCGTAGGCCGAGACACCATCAATGAACAGTTGAGTTCCTGATATTGACGTTGAGCCATCCTGCTGGGCTGATTGCAGGTCAATCTTGAGCGGACTGATCGAAAGCTGCATGTCCATGTAGTAGTTGGTGAAGCGCAAGTCTACTTCGAGGGATGCAGCGCACAGTCGGGAGCATTTCAGATGATCATATATGCTCTCCGGAAGCAGGGCACAAGGACTGTCCACGGTGACATGGACAAGCACATCCATATCATTGGATTTCCGATTCGGATTGATTCCCGTGGGGTTTGAATGTGGTTCATCAGCATAGACCATATCTTGATATTCCTCGAGGGTCTTGAAATGCATCTCTTCCCCAAAGTAGTTTTCTCGTACAGTCATAAAGCTCTTTATCAAGAACCCATAGAGATACAGCTGGGGCGAACCTCCATCAATATTGAGGATCAGAGTGTCCGTCAACTCTGGCGAGGTAATATGGAAATAGTTGTAAGACCCATCAATGAAGAGCTGGTCTAGTGTGGCCATGGATTTACCTGGCAGGAATGCATGCAACGTATCCCAAACAGGGGTGAGATAATCCACGCCTCCTTCTTCAAGGTTGACCTTGAAATCTACGGCATTCTGGTCGGGCTGGTATTTGTTGAGCGGAATCATCACAGTAGACGTCAACTTCCGTCCCTTGATGACAATGAATCGGTTATCCTCCAAGTCGGTCGGGTTGCTGATGATGTTTCGGTCGTTCACGTTCACATAAAGCTGAACATTCGAGAAAACAAGGTCGATGGTATAGATGAACGGCACAAAGGTATAGTAATCAGATGGCGGCCCCGATGCCCAGTCGCTCACAAGGTCGGTCAACAAGAAAATGTGATCCCGCAAAAGGAATAGCTCTAAATCATGACTTTCGACAGTGAAATTCCATGAGCGAAGATTGTTCCAAACGAGAGGATTTGACAAGTCGCATGTCACGAGCTGCCGAGAACACTGCCAGAGAAGTCCATGGTTCACACTTGAAGACAGTTTTGATTCTCGCAGGTCGAGGGTCAATTCATTGTGAAATCCTAGGGTAGAAGCTACCATGTCCATGGCATAGTTGATGGAAGAATCGGGCCCCACGCGAAGAGATAGCCAGCCAAAAGGACGAATGTCGGGACCGAGATGTCCTTTTTCGCCTTCTTTTGGGCGGGACTTCCGCCCCTCCTGTTGCATTTTCGCCTTCGAGGATCCCCGGATGGCATCAGCGCGGCCTTTCCACTGCCAATCTTTTGATTGCTCTCGAGTGGGAATGCGAAGGGTAAGCTCGGAGACGATCTCGATACGCAACTTGAATGCAGTGCTCTGTCTCAATACACCCGGTGCCAGCTGCTCTGCAGGGTCGGAACTCCGATAAAAGTTCGGGAAGAAGACATTTTGCGAGCCAACTCTTTCTCTATCGGCCCATGGTCCGTAATTGATGGTACCGCCATCGATCTTCATGTCAATGCCCCATTCTGGAGGGATTGCATGGTTGATGCTATTCTCAATACCCCGGTCAGGCTGCGTTGACGCCAAGGGCTGAGGACCAACCCGCCCTGGAATATCCCAGAAATAGGTCAAATCCAAGCTGGGGCTGTCGATTAATGTTGAATACCTCGCATACTCAACCGAGTTCCATTGTTCATGGTCATCGGCATCAGCATGGTCCAGGTACCGGGACAGTCCGGTCCAGTGCACCTCCGGAAACTCTGCCTGGCTCCTGGGCATGTTTTCTGCTTGCTTGATACTGGCATGGAAAGACTCCACGGAAGTTTGGAAATAAGGGACAAGATCACGGATTCCATGCCATATCTTGCGCTTGTGAAATCGGTAGCTGAATGGATTCTGACGTTTCCTGGTCTGAGAGGGGTCCTCCTGGTCCGCGGTACTCAGGACTTTGGCTGCTGCCAGCTGAGTCCGCTTGAAATCGGGATTCGGTCGCATCTGGATGACAGGATGGTTAAACTTGAACGCAAAGAGTTGTCGGTAGAGGTCAAGAGGGCCCGCATTGCAGGCGGCGATAGTCCCCGTCGCGCTATCGAAAGTGGTGGTCAACACAGACCGAGTGTTCTCATTTCCAAGCACTATAGCTCCCTTAGTACAGTCCAGCTTCATAGGAAGGAACTCAAGCATAGTCGAAACAGACTCCGACAGCTCGGCCTGGCGAATATCTGTTTTTCGGGATCGCAGGTCGTTTGCCTCAGCGGTATGGCGATCTGACGAATCATCAGAGGCCGGTTTCCTTCCGTCTCCAGGCCGAATATTGACTGTGCTGTTGGTCCGCTGACGATCCGGAAAAGCTGGGGCATAGAGACTATTCTCGTCCTCGTCCGATCTGGCGCCTTGTGTATAGCCAAACCCTGCCAGGATGCTATCATATGCCGGACTGCGGTTGTATATAAACCACTCCAACCCATAGACCTTAATTGAAACGCGACAGGGAAGTTCAGTAGCCTTTTCCACGCCGCCTTCTTCTCCACGGCCATTATCCTTCTTCTGGTCACCAGCAGTGCCGCTTGGCTTCTCTTCAGATCCGTCCAGGTCACCTGTCTTGCGCCGAACTTCTGAGAGATCTGTCCGCTCCACATTGCGTTTCCAATACCTCCATGTTACGAACCCGCCATGAATGAAGATTGTTTCGTTTTCGCCATGATATCGAATTCCCTTGAAGAATACCCTCCCACCAAGCAATGAGACTTGAAGCGCATTTATATCGACGTAGACGCGGTAATAGTGCCAGGTGTATGCGCGGATTGCATATGATAGGAGAGTCGCGAACAATCGGTTGAAGTAGAGAAGGAAAAACAAGGCACTGTCTCGATTAGCAACCAATTCCAAAATCTCCAGTCAATGTTCTCATATACTTACAGAATTAATGAGACGATAAGCTCCAGAAGAAAAAACCTAGGGCGATCAGTAAAGCGACTTTCCGGTGGGCAGGAGCTCCGACAAACCAATTAAAGCTTGGGTCCGGCGTCAGGTACGACGCCGTCAAACTTGTGCTGGCCATTTCTGCGTGGGTCCGCCAGAGGGTACGAGCATCGTCAATAAGACAAGGCGACTCGCGACCGATGAGTCCGGCAGTGCGCGCTTGTGGTCCCTGCAATCGCGGCGTCGGAGGCAGTCGCGGATTGCGGGCGTAAGGCGGTGTCTCGAGAAGATCGTCATCGGAACACGCCTCCTCCTTTCGAGAGTCGACGAGCTCCCACCCAGTTGGTTTCGCAACTTAGGCGGATCCATATCGCGCCTCTGTTGACCTTACGATATGAAGTGGCATTGTGTCTAAGCAATGCGGCCTCTCGACCCGCGCTCTGTCAACTCTCAGAACGCGATTATGAAGACCCCTCCGACTGGAGGTACTGGCTCGAGCCTGGCTCGAGCCATCATTATCACTTCCGGCGTGGCAGCTCTAGTGGCTTCGCTTCTTTCTCTGGTGTGAGTACTTACTTTCTCCTGGGAGCGGGGCTACGCTTTGCGTGTCGGGTGAACGACCGTCGTCATGAGCTCTTGAGCTAACAAGCTACTCCAAATCCACAGGTCGATATGGTTTCAAACGTATGACCTTCCGTCCGCGACTACAACAGCCCCTCGAGGCCGCAAGCTAACCTCTTCTTCAGCAAAAACTATCGCAAACCATTGCTCCAACGATACGTCGTCCGCATATTATTGATGTTAGTGTTTGGTGGTAGCCTATGGCTCAGGGGGGAGGGGGGAATGTGCTCGGAAACAAAGCTGATTGTGAACAGGGTGCCCATCTACGCGGCTTCATCGTGGACGAGCATTGTGTCGCTGAAGGCGGCGCAGTTTCTTGATCCGATCCGTGACATTTACGAGGTGTGTGGGTTTGCTCCGAAGCTAGGCAGATCGGATCGTTCTAACATCCAACACTCACAGGCCTTCACCATCTATACCTTTTTCCAACTCCTCATCAACTTCCTTGGAGGAGAACGATCGGTGATCATTATGGCCCATGGCCGTCCGCCGGTTTCCCATGCTTGGCCGCTGAACCACTGTCTCAATAAGATTGACATCTCCGACCCACACACATTTCTGGCTGTGAAGCGAGGTATCCTGCAGTATGCCTGGCTAAAACCCATTCTGGCACTGATATCAATCGTGATGAAGGCAACAGACACCTATGAAGAAGGGTATCTGGGCATTACTTCGGGTTACCTCTGGACAGGCATTGTGTACAACATCAGTGTTACCGTTAGTCTTTATTCCCTCGCCATGTTCTGGGTGTGCCTACACGACGACCTTACCCCATTCCGCCCCATCCCCAAGTTCCTCTCTGTAAAGCTCATTATCTTTGCATCATATTGGCAAGGGTTCTTCCTGTCCATTCTGCAATGGCTTGGGGCTATGGGCAACGGTCTTGCCGGATATACTCCAGACAACCTCGCGGCAGCCATTCAAGACAGTCTCATCTGTTACGAGATGCCTATATTTGCCATTGTACATTGGTATGCATTTTCATGGCACGACTATGCTGACCCGACCATCTCAGCGGCCCGGCTGCCAGTCAAATATGCATTGCGGGATGCCTTTGGGGTCCGCGATCTGGTGGAAGACACCAAACTCACCTTGCAGGGCGACAATTATGAGTATCGTCTCTTCGACTCTGGTGACAACGTCATTGCGCATGAAGAATCTCATTCACGAGTCAAGCGAGTCATGGACGGGATGCGATATGAGCGTGGTGGCAAGGCGAAGTATTGGATTCCCAAGCCCGGCGAAGCCAGCAAGCCTGGCGAAATCAACAGCCGCACGCCACTCCTCGCAGGCGGGGACTCGAGTCAACGCGGCCGAAGCGAACGCGGGAGTCGCACTCCGACCGAACGGTATCGGTCATCCTATAGCGAAATTGAGATTTCGATGGATGACGAAGACGAACGATTGTTTACGAATGCTCGAGCGCTGGAGTTTGGAGACTGGAACGTAAGTTGCACTCCAAACCATAGGGGTGTGCAGAAAGTATCAAACACGAAACATGAAAGCTAACATCTTTCAGTATCCCGTCATCACAGCCAACGAAGTCCCCCGAGATCAGCGGCTTCCTCCCAGTCGGAACAGAAGCTACCAAGGATCTTCCCACGTTGGGGGCGATGTGAAGAAGGCCCGCTCACACCGGAAAGGTCGAGCGTCGGGCAGCGAAAGCAGGCATCAGAACACGAGCTCCAGCAAGTCCAGCAAGCATAGTAAGCCCAGCAAGAGCTCGGGGGACGGACCCTTGCAGCGCAATGCCAGCTCCAGCAGCTCGCATCACTCGCACCGCAGCCAGCTTGTGGACCTCGTGGTCGAGAACCATGAGGCTGAAGGCGAGGAGCGAGCTCACGCCCAGCGGGCCTTGGGCTCTTCTTGGGCGGGTGGTGAAACGCGACGATTTTCGTAAGTCTACCCCCCACCCCCCGAACTATTGGTTCACAGCGGCACACGATCATAATTGGATTGACCCTGTTCTCAATTTCCAGGAGGCCATCCGGACAGCCAATCGAGGAAGAGGCCGAAGCTCCGTCGCAGGCAGCCCCAGCCGACCAACTGGACGATCGCGAGCAATCCCAACGCTGGGCCTACGACGGACTGGAGGAGGACCGTAATGTATGGGGCCGATAGAATTAGTGTTTTATATTTTTCTTCGAACGGTCGGCACATCGACCTCAATATTGAATCTGGGATCTACAAATCGTCGTCTGTGTCGTAGTATATGTCGCGGCACGTGAAACCCGGCGTGAAGCGAACCCTTGGAGTCAACCCGCCCTCATAACGAACCGAGTATCCCACCTCGAGTACCCTAAGGTATCCTACAAAATGTACTCTCACGCCTCCGGCCATCTGAATCGAAATGAAACACGTTGGCAACGATGTGCCTTGGACGTGCCTGGCTCGACACCCCCTCCTCTACGCGCCCGGACCATTGCAGCTCCCGCTGTTCATAGCTGCAAGCTCCATCAGCCCAATTGTGACATCTCCACGCAGCCCCAGCGAATGAGACATCGCATTCACCCCCCGCCGGCCGATCATCACCGGCGACAAGTGTGCTAAAGACGCGAGCGCCAGGATGAATTGCTCGTCCGGGTTTAGTCCTTGGCCTTTAGCGGCCGTCCGTCTCACACGCTCGTCCCTAGACGAGTCACGAACTTTGTTCACCCGTGGTGTTATGCGCGATTGGGGGCGTGGAAAGATCCTCATTCTGGCTGGGTGGGGGCTTGTCCTAGTTCTCGTACGACTATGGTCGTCGCTGGCAATCCGTTTCGTGGGCTGCTGGACTCTTTGGCTCTTTCTTCTTTTCTCCCCTTTGTTCGCCCTTCTTCTTGAATCCTTGAATCCCGCCTTCCGGGAAGGTGATGGATTAACTCCCGTAAACGCGCTGGCCGCCATGACGCTGGCTTTTCGGGGGCAAGCGGCATTGCTCTTCACCGGCTGGATTCGGTCGTGCGTCTCATGTCTCTCTCCGGGTGAGCAGAGTCAGGAAGACCAGGTGGGTCTCAAAGACGAACATCTGGAAGAAAGAGGTATGTTTCTTCAAGAGAGTCCTCCGAGGAGTCCTCTATATATATCAGGAACTCACATTTATGATCGTCTCCCAGGCGTTCAGCGGGAGATGCAAGTGTGCCATACCCAACCGCATTTGGTTCCTCCTATGAAACTGGTGGTGTATGATGACCTCCCCAGCCCGAGTGTACATCGCCATCGACAGCGCAACTCCTTGTCATCATGGGTCTCGGAGGGGAAGAATCTCGCATCCCGGGCATCGACTCGTGCAAGCATGTCGTGGAAAAGATCATCTGCGAACCCGTTGAAAATCGGCGCCCCGACAGATTTCCGCAGAGTAGACTCCTTCCACCTAGAGTCCATACCGGCAGTGCCAAAGCAATATCAACCTCTACAGCTCAGCATCCACCGATCTGGTAATCGGTTATCAGATCTGCCCTCATTCGAGTCTTTTCAACTGGACGATTCACCACAGCGCCAGACAATGGCTTTCCCTCCACGCGCTCTCACACCACCTGGCGTTCGTGCTCGACGTTGCCAATCAAGCCATCCAGCAATGTCTGTCTCTCGGAAGCCAGTCGGATCCGGGGAGCCCCGGTCGGTAGCAACCATCGAGCACTCAATAGAGCCTCCGCAACCTGTTCGCATAGCGAGCACTCTGGTCCCTCATTTCTCCCTTGTGAAGCCCGTTGAGACTCTTCTTTTAGCAGAGGACATCCCCACTCCTTTCCTTGATCGACCCAACTGGGAGGAGAAGAGCGCCTCACTGAATACTGAATCTTCTGGCCGCACAAGTATCGTCCAGGTTTCAGTGGAGCCGGAACCCCAAACGCCCAGTCCAAAGGATCTCGACGATCCAAATGAATGTCCGTTCTCGAAAGACTCGCCATCCACAGCGAGCTCACGTACAATGCCATCGCGTGTTTCCTCTCTGCGGCGACCTTCAACAGCCGAGAATCGCAACACAATTGCCTCGGTGCCTGTACCAGCACTTCCAAGTCGCATGTCCCAATGGTTCTTTCCTGGGAAAGCCTCTCAATCTAAACAAGTCTCACTCGCCGGCGAAAATGGTTTCGCATGGGAACGAACCCGTACACTGAGTGGCACTACTGTCGGTTCGACCATTACAACTATCACTGGCGGTGCTCATGCACGTCGACCCAATGTTTCGATCTCTAGTACCTTCACCAGCTCGTCAACACCAAGAGCCTCATTGCAAGCACCAACACCGGGTGTTGACAAGGATTTCGAGACTGAATTCGGCCATCCTACCATCTTTGAAGGGCACCCGCGCCATTACCCCAAATTATCTGACCCCCGCGCATTGGATTTCCCGAGATATGATGGCTCGAGCGTTGGGCTGGCTTTCTAGGCTTGCTTTAAGCTTTTGAGAACCGCATCTAATACGTTGGGTTTTCCAGCTTGTGGATTTAGACTTCGATTTTGGAATTGTGGGGTTGCTTCATTGAATGTTCGTTGTTTTTGGTGTTCATGTTGCAATACCCCTTGTATATCGGGTTTTTGTTTTGGTCTTGCGCGGTGAGGAATAGTTTGTTTACTGGTGGCTGTGTGCTAATCATTAGTATGGATTGTTTACAGTCGTGGCTTATAATGGATCTGAATATTTGATGGTGTTTACGGCATATCCCGTGTTTGCTCTTGCTTTTTGCTTAGTTACAGTCGTGATACATGGGGCTACCAAGGAGGCTCAGCCTCTGAATCACACTAGCATTCAGTTTTCTTTACACTATGGAATACCATTCAAACACAATGAATCTATTGAGATCAGGCTTCCACCTCTTGTTAGACGCCTTCCAAGGGTACTAACTACTAGGGCCTAGGTATATACTGATTATCCAGTGTCCGCAATACGACACGAACCACGATTTTGTACAGTAGAGTAGAGCAACAAAGGAAGAGAGATAGAAAGCTGAATCGATTGGTGGCATTGCCCCGTAGCCGCAGCAAAATCCACAGGAACACTGAAACCAGCACAATAGGATAGTATGTAATGAAAATATGCAGCGAGGGGTATCTTGTCAAGGGCAAAAAGAAGCTGCACACAAAGTAGAAACAAGAAAGGGAACCATATATATGCCTTGAGGGTACTATACAAAACAATGGGGGAAACAGTCTAGTACGAAGGTACAATCTCCACGCCATCCGGGGCGGGTGAACTTGTGGAACCAGTCTTGCGATGGTTTTGCATACCTAGGATCTGCCATGCCCGACCCATCATTCCGTGACCGAGACCCTGAGGAAACTCAACAGAGGCTTTGTGTGCATGTTTCGGCAGACGGTCACGCAGTGCTCGCTCACGCTTGGCTGCAGCCAAACGATCCTGCTCGCGTTCGTGTTGGACAATATCGTCGCGCCATTCAGCCCAGTGCTCGAAGTTCTCGCGTTGCTGAAGCACTTGGTACCGCAAACGAGACTTAGATGGCCGCCAAGCAGTACGGTTAACGCCTTCGTTCTCTGCGCTGGTTGTCAGTGCCATTGCGGACTTCAGATCACAGACACGGGTCTCCTTGGTCAACTTGAGAAGATGAGTCAAAACATCTCTGCTTTCCAAAGCGGTGCGCTGGACCTTTTCTTGCTCAGCGGTAGGGCTTGTCCGAGTGAGTGGTGCATCCAACCAGGCATGCATTTCGGTCGACCGCTGCACAGAATAGGGATCGAGGAGGTTTGACCGACGATTCTCTTCGCGCAAGAAGCGTACAGCAGCCTGGAGGCTTTCCACTTCAGCGCGTAGAGATTCGTTTTCTTGCATTGCGGCCAGAGAAGCCTCATTATCGATGACAATGCCATCGCCATTAGTAGCGACACCAGCAGCGCCAGACATGTGCTTCAACTTCTCGTAGCGGGATTTGATTTCCTCGCGTTCTTTCTCCACGGCCTGGAGCTCTTTCTGTTGTCGCTCGACGGTTTTCTCAAGCTCAGCTCCAGATGACTGGAATTCTTCGATTTTGGCTTCCAGTTCCTTCAACATGGAAGCCTTTTTGCTTGTTTCGCGCATCCGGGATTCCAGAAGCTCAATCTTGATACTTTGCTCTTCGAGTGTATTGTCCTTTACGCCTAGAGCAGTAGAAACTTCGTGTACCTCATTCTTCAGCCGACGTATCTCCTCGTCGGCATCCGGGGAGATAGTTTTGTTCGACTTCAGCTCTTCGGCACGAGCAATCCAAGGGAAAGCCCCTCTTTCGAACTCCACTGTGCGAGATAGGTTTGATGAAATCGAGTCGAGTTCGTCCAGCTGGTCACCAAGATCGCGCAATTTGTTGTGGAGTAACAAAAGGGGATCGTTAGACTCGTTTGAATCGCCAGTAGATGGTGCGAGCGCAGCGAATGTCTGAGACATGCTATCGAGAATCTCTTGAAGTGTAAATGGTTCAGTACGACCTTCATCACTTATCAGATTAACCACATCGTAACCCAGTTTCCGCGTCATTTCCGAAAGTTCTCGAGTGAACATCTCGACATTTTTGAAGGGTCCATCCGCTTCGTCCCGTGAAGGCGCCATAGACCTCGATCTCAGGTCTTCGAGGGCCCGAGAGATCTTTCCCATGGCAACCTTCAAGCCACGGGCTTGGGAAACAAAAGTATCAAGCTTGTTCAAAGTGAACGAGTTCTCCTCATTGCTCTCTTCGGGGGCTCCTTCGGAAGTCGAAAGTTTCGATGCAACCAGGGACTTGACCCTTGCTATTCCAGTCGCACTATGGTCGAGATATGACTGGGAGAGATTCGCTCGCATGCATATTTCATCCGCAAACATCTCGGGGGTTGATGGGAGAAGTGTCTCCGCCAGATGCGCAAGCAAAGCAATGGAGCGATGCAATTCCACTCCGAATTTTTGCATGTTCACTTCGTTCTTCTTCAAGTTATCAATCCAGAAGTTCAGAGTACGCTCGACAGGTTCCATCTCAAATAGAGCAGCCTTGGTGCTGGCGAATTGTTCTGGTGTGCAGGCACTGATATAATTGACGAACTGATCACAAACAGTGGCGATCCACAGAAGATGTTCAAGGACCCCATGGGCGTGGAATAACTCATCGAGGGTAACAAGGGTTGCCTCGTCGGAAGATTTTTCGCGGATAGTGTTGGTCATTATGTTGGCTTTGTGACTGACACGTTTGAACCGAAGAAGGGCTAGAACCGAATTCCGTTCTCCGTCAAAATATTCAGGCAGATAAATCTTGACGATTGAAAGGTGTTGTACCGCCTCCTCTGCCTCCATCCGGTTCAGTTCCACATCGATGGTCTTGGTTTGTGCCTTGGACACAGAGGCTTGAAGCTTCATGTTCAAATTCATCATGGCTCGTGATCGAGTGGTGAGGTCTGTAGCCTCGGCCTCTGAAATTTGTTGAGATGACCGCATGTCCTCCAGGTCAGTCTGCAAAGTCGTGACCAGCTCTCTGAAGCGACCTAGGGTATATCCTAGCTCCTCAATGGCCTCTTCCTGCTGTTCATTCTTCTTCACTTGTTCATTGAAGACGACTTCCCTGTAGTCGAGCTCTTCTTGAAGCTGCTTCTCAGTTTCGATATGGGTATACTCTAACTCATCACTGATCTCCTTCAGCGCCTCCAAGTCTTCGATGGCCGCTTTCAGTTCGTTGATCTCTTCCTGGTAGCGCATGTTCTTATCGGCTAGCTCTTCGATCATTTCCTCGGCACCAAGTGCAGTCTCAAGCTGTTGCTTCAGATCTTCCACATTGGTCTCTGCAACGAGAAGTTTTTCCTTCGTTGCCTCGTAGTCGGACTTGACAGCAGAGTACTCTTCAAGATCCTGTTCCAGTTCCTTGATCTGGTCTTTGAGGTCCCTTTCTTGCTGCTGTGTCATATCACGCAAACGGATAAGCGCCTCACGGAGACGTTCATTGGTCTTTTCCATTTGCAGCCACCCATGACTAGATCGCTCTTCGGGGCTTGTATCCTGGCTAAATTCCTCATTCTCCTCGCGGAGGACCTCAACCTCCAACTGAAGCTCTTCCATTCTAGACCGAAGTGTTTCACATTCGTGTTTGAAGGCTTCCGCTGTTTCTTCCGCCATCTCTCGGTCAAGGGTAGCCATTTCCATAAGCGACTCATGCTCGGCCTGCATTCGCTCTACCTCCTCTAGACGAGCCTCGGCTTCTTTGTACTTCTTGCGCAGCTCGATTATTTCCGTATTTTGCGGTCCATACTTGGCCTGCAACTTCCCAATAATCGCCTCATACTTGTCGCGCTCTGTCTGGATTTGTTCGAGTGCCTTGAGCTTGTCTCGATCCTCGGCGCGTTTCTTTTCCAGGACACGGAGTTTAGTATTGAGCTCTTCTATCTCCTTGGTCACTGCGACACTTTGTGTTTGGCGCTGTGCGACGGTGGAAGCACCGGGACGAGACGCCGTGGCGCGAGTGGCTGTCGATTGTCTGGATGCTTTAGGCGCAGGCGCAGGGGCGGGAGCAGTAGATTGATTTTCATCCTGCGGGCTCTCGCCTTCGGTATCAAGGGATTCCACATCAGTTGGGGCTTCTGAATACCCGCTGGTCCCAGTTTCGCCTCCGTCCGAAGCTTTCTGTGGAGCAGCCTGCCGCAAAGATGCTCGTTTAGACAGACTCGCTGTTGTAGTTGACACCGAAGACCCCGCTCTGGAGGTCCTTGTGGATGTAGTAGGTACAGAAGGACGGGAGGTTCTCGAGGCGACCGGTTGAGTTGTAGATGCTCCCGCGGAAGGTCTGGAAACATGAGATGGGCGAGGTCGAGTTGAGGCAACTGTTGAGGTGCGCGGGGCACTGCTAAGGGACGAGCGGCTCGAAGCTGCAGAGAGCTGCTTTGTCGGTGATTTTGTCGGGGACTTGAAGAAAAGCAATATAGGTAAGCAAAGCACAGACAATCCTAACAGGCTGGGACATACCCTAAGAGAAGATCGAGGGGCTATTCTCGGTGCCGGAGTAGGCGTTCCGGTCGCATTGGTGCTCTGCCTCCTGGCAGTTGTCGCAGGCAATGCACCTGGTTTCTTCATACCAGCGGAGACTCCGCTTTGCCTGCTGGCTGCTGTCGTGGGGCCAGGCCTGACACTTTGTTTACTCTCTCGCGCCGGCTGTGGGAGCACCGCGCCCACAGCTGTTGGACGTATAAACATGCCGAATCCCTGCTCGCACTCAAAGTATCGCTCTCCTTGTACTGCGCCATCATTTTTTCCAGTGGCGTCAGTCAGTTCGATACCGATCCAATCTCCAACCGCGAAATGAGTGGTACCAATGAAGCGGACAGTGGCCTCTCGCCCGTCGGTCAGAGTGATGACCGAGCCCGGGGATATCTCTTGGCCGGTCATCGTGAGTGCAGGGATCGGGAAGCCGATGACAAACACTTGATGACCGGTGGTAACTGGGTGTCGGAGTTGACAGGAGAGACGGGGTGCGCTTAAGGAGTCGGCTCCAGACTACGCGCTCCGCCGATCTAATTTGTGGCCTAAGGCAGAAACGCCTTCCTGCAGCAAGGTATCCACTACAGTAAGGCAGAAAGGTCCTGGCGGCCCTGAAAATACTGCGACATCATTGTACCTTACTAGATGGTACTTTCTCTCAATTATGTATTCATGCTGCTCTGTATAGTATTCTTGAGGTTTCTTGTCGCTCTCAATCCCGAACGTCCATTATAATTGTAACCTCTAGTATTCAATGCAAAGCTTCGCGAGTCTATCGACAATCGGGAGGGGGAGGGGGCTGTAGAACCTTGGAGTTTATGACAGAGCTTCATATCTAATATATCTAGGTAGATTTACCTCCTTGCGACTTGAAAAGGGTCGGGAAGTGAGTCCGAAGCTCTTCCAAGCTGGAGACTTGGTACTTCGATGCGGGGACCTGCGGAACAGCAATACCTGGTTCAACCAAGTGTACCGTCGTCCAACCTCGAGCTTGGGCATGAGTACAGTTCAGGTGTGAATCATCTGCATGGTAATGGGTTGGTAAGAAAGCATGCTTTTGATTGCGGAGTAAGTGGTAAGACATTGGTTTAGAGTACATACCAACAAAGTAGCACGATTCCGTACTGGGAGCGCAAGCCTCCTTCTCTGCCTTGGCATACATATCCTGGCTCGGTTTACAAACCAACGGCAATTGGCCGTAATCACAAAATGTGATACCTTCGAAGAGATCCTCTACACCCAGTAATTTGACCACCCGCTTTGCGTGGTTCACATAGGCGTTGGTAAGTAGCCATGGCTTCACTTTGCTGGTATCTAAGCTCTCCAGCAGGGCGCGCAGCTTATAGTCGGGCTTCAATATACGGTCGAGGGGCAGAGCATCATCGACTTCATAGTTGAACTCGAGCGGATCGATTTGGTGGTGGCGAGTAAGGCCCTCAATGGCTAGGCCGTACTCCTTGTAGTATTTCTGGTGGAGCATATGCGCATCTTTGGTAGAAAGCTCAAGGTGCTTAACGAAGAACTTATCTAGATTAAGGCAAACACCAGTCAGTGGCGGATTGCTTGTAGCAGAGAGATTCTCGATCACTCACTAATCAGAGTTTGCATTTCATCGTGAATGTTGCATGCTGAGAGTCTGTGAGTATATCGCATCCAGTTGTCTCATTTCGCCGATGTCGATTTATGGAAAAGTGAAGCGCACCTTTAGAATAGAGCTAGAGGACAAGATCAAAGCAAGATCAAAGTCAGTGATCATATGTTATGGCGAGTATAGATTTCCCTAAACGTACGCAATTGTCGATATCGAAGAAGAACACAGGACGTGAGTCACGCCCATTCGCGCCGTTGGCCGCGGCCATTGTAGAGTTCCGGCGGGGTTTGGGTGAGAGGTGAAGCACGGTCCGGACAAATGCTGGAGCGGGGAATGAAAATTGGCGAGCACCTCGGGAGAAGCGACAGAATGCGCGATGCATGGAGAGCAGTTAGTTCTACAAAAAGACCAAGCAGCCGGGCGGCGCGCAACCCTGGCAAGGCCTCGGGAGGCAAGCGCGGGATCGGCCTCCCCGTGACGGTTACCTAATCCACCCTAGCGCCGGCAGCAAAAAAGCGACTCGGAGCTGTCTTGTTCACGTTTTATCGCTCCACTCGTCCCTGAGACATTGCATTAGCAACTCGGAGGCAACACAGTCTGAAGTGTGAGGCAGGGCCTGACGAAGGTAGAGATCACCTTCGATTGCCGTCCTACAGCTGCTTCTCAGAGTTGATCGCTATCATCTTCTCTCCAAGCCCCCTTCGGTCATGGCTTCGGTGCATGGCTCCACTACTCACCTTCCAACAGGTCCGTTGGCTACTGCGGCGCCAATAACTGCAGACGAGGTCCAGGAATATGAGCGCATTGTGAAAATCAGCGATGCAGTCTTTGCAGGATCCCATCCGCGCCTCACAGTTCCCCAGCAAATTGTGCGCAAGCCGACGGCGCGCAGTGTCCAAAATGGCGCCTCGTCCTACCAGGCGGTGAGGAATGAGGCCTCAAATGCCATGACTGAAGATAAGCCTCTAAATTCGGAGGCAATCACGAACATCCTCCCCAGTGAAGTCTCGGTCGTCGAAAACGTGCGCGTCCCGGCCATCCCCATGGCTCCCAAAACAACCTCGGAAATTGATCCTATCTTCTTGACCAAGTCAGATGATTTGGTCAAAGCTGAACTACAACTGCAAAGGCAGAGGGTGGAAAGGGTTTTGCGTGATGAGACAGAGCAGGGGAAGCGCGGGTCTAAATGGAAGCTAGCGCCCTCTGACATGAAACCTGAGTTCAGTGTCTCAAAAGTGTTCGATCAAGCTCTCCAAATTGCGAGGCCGGTCCCACTGGGTGACACGTCTGACGCAACCGGGCCGAGTGACTCCTTCGATGAGAAATCCCTCTACTCCAGTAGAGCTCCTGACTCCACCCCGCCTTTGGAAGAGCAACAGAACCGTTCTCCGGTGGCTTCGGCACAACCGACGGGCTCAGTGCCTGGAGGGCGTTATGCAGATGAGTTGCAGCGACTTGAAGCTCTAAATCGAACTGGCTCCGACCAGGAAATGCAAGATGCTTACCCTCAGGCTGTTGCTGACCAGCGGGCCCATTATTCTCAAAGGCAGCCTCTCGCCGGTCCAGTCGAAAATGCCCGTTGGCTTCCAGAGTCACAGCAATCAGATACTTTGGAGGAACCCGAGTATTCTCCTCCAGCCCCCATTGCCCCGCCTATCGACCACAGAGCCTTTGAAGGAGGACTGGCAGGCGATGCACCAAGAATGAGATACGCCAACCAGTCTCGAAATGCCCCGGAGCCATCTTCTCCTGCCCGTAACGTCAAGGTGGTCCACAACCATATTACATCGCCCGCAGCTCCCAGACCCTCTCAAGTCTCCCCACTGGCTACTGCCAAAGCAGCTTCCGTTCAGCACCTCCGAGACGATGTACACCATGGCTCTGATCGAATCTGCTCTGATCCAGACACTGGACAGAACAGCCCCACTGGCCCAGCTCCGCCGATCAAGTCTCGGAAGCGGAGACGCTTGCTTGGATTAGAGGAACTCCCCCCAGCGCCCCCTAGGGTTAAACAAGAGCCGGTATCACCTCCTCCGTTCGCTGATGATCCTGTCGTTCCCCGCAATCGATCGAATCGAGAACAACCAATCTACATCGACATTTCGCCACAATACACACCGGTGCTCGAACGGCAAACTCTCCCTGCCACACAGCCAGTGTTCGATACTGGTCCATATCGCGAAGTACCTGCCGATTATGGGCCACCGCGGACACTTTCCAGAATGAGCACTAGTCGATCTGTTCGCGACGATGGAGATCTGCGACGAGTTGCTAGTATGCAGTACGCTAGGCAGGCCGTACCTCCCCGAGAGTACCTTTCGGTCGCCCCTCACGATGGCCGGGCTGCTTCATACACAATCACGGGCAGGTCGCAAGGGCGTCCGGCGTACTATGAAGAGGTCCCTTATTCATATGGGCCCAGATATCTTGCCGTGGATAACATGTCTCAATCATCGCTTGGGGATCCATATTATGAAGAGCCTCCACGAGTCATGGCTGCTCCTCGGCGGCGTATCGTGGATGAACATGGCACTGAGTATGAAGAAGTGATTCCTGTGCAGCGGTTACAGTCCATGGCCCCTCCTCCCCGGCCCGTGTCTCGGATGCCCAATGCGGAAACGTTTAACGGCCAAGTTCCTGTCCGCACTGCCAGCGTTCGTGATCAGTCTGTCGCTCAAGACCCTTACGTGGGTCGAAGGTACATGTCAGAGATGCCGCCGCCGCCGCAATACTACAGGCGTGTCCCTGCGGAATATCCTCACCCTATCACCGCTGAAAGGCGATCCTACGCTGCACCGATGGAAGGCCATGAGCCTTATTCACGCAGTGGAAGCGTTCAAGTCGCCGAATACGTTCCTCGTCACCCAACCTACGTAGATGACCATACAATTCCTACTGAGAGGGCGATGAGAACCACAAGTGTCCGTCCCCAGCCAACTCGGTACGAAGAGCCACATGACATGGCCCAGCGGGTTGCAAGTGTCCGACCCAGCCCGAGCCGTGAAGTCAGTGTGATCATGAACGATCAACACATGGGAGGCTACGTTGAGCGGCCGTATTACGTCCGCGAGAGACGATTTTATGACCACGAGGATGGCGATCGCATGGAGTTAGATGCAGCAGCGGATCATGTTCCACGCGTTTCTCGGCACTACTGAATTTTTTTTCCCAAAGTCTTTGTATGCCAAGCATATCAGCATGTCAGGTTGCATCTGATGGGAGCGTTTGATTATTCTTTATGGGTCTTCATTTCAAGGGGCTACCTTAGAGTTTACTTTCCCCAGGGTGAGCGAGTTTCAGTCCGTCTTCAGACGACCTCGAGGATTCTGTTTCTACCTTGAGATATGGGAGATTTTTCCCGTGAAAGTTGTGAGAATTCAAAGTCCTTGCCAGACTAACATTCTTGCAGTTCTTTTTTCTGTGTTTTCTATGGTGACATTGGTACATGGCCGTGTCTGCTTCGTTGTGCAAGACAACCTTGAATGTAGCCACCACTTTGATAGCGTTGTTGCAATGAACGGAAAACTGAATGGGACACGCATCATATCCATTCACACATCACCATTTTCCCAGATTCCCTAGTAGTCTTGATCCTTGCAGAATCTCCAACTCAGAAATCATGGCATATCATAGAACAATTATGATACAGGGTCACATCATGACATGATATATTTTCAAGTGGAGGTGGGCGTAAATAGTGGGTACAACATTCAACAGGCTTGAGTGTTGAGGTAGCAACGATAAATGTCAAGTACATAATACTTTCAGACGATCATCACATCTTGTTATTCCCAAGTATATCGATATGAACCGGGACTGATCACCTAGCGCAGTGTGGTTATGCACAACTGTGTGCGCACCGGTAGTCGGTCACCCAAGAGGCATGGATACAGCACCGCACATTTTCCACGGGACGGTGGGATCACGTGCCTTTTTATGTCCCGAGCTGGAACTGGGCAGTGATCCCATTTCGAGGGGCGAAAGCCCCCTTACCGCGAGCCCCTGGCAGAAATCAGAATAATTATGTATGAAATTCTATAGCATAGGTCCGCTATTCTACATCGATTGATTAAATCTCATCTCCGAGGGGAAAATGTGAATATGTGCCGGGAGAATTGCGATTGATATATTGTGACATGGCCGTTTAGCCTCGGCCTCAACACTTGTGAAGTAGTGTGCTTACAATTATAAGAATTAATTTATATTACAAACTTGCCACGATCACAAGCAGTGGGATGGGAAAATTATCGAATGAAGTATTACTTTTGTGTGAGATAGCCCGTTATTACGTCTTTGTAGAAAGTTGACGCCATGGTCGTAGGAGGATCACGATGGATGCATTGCCCGCTCGATAAATCATGACGAAAGGATACAGCTTCACGGATGGGCGATCATGACCCAATGACAAGAAGTATGTTATCTCTGACCAGGGTTCGGTATCTGTTTGTTAGTATGATGCGTCGTCTCATTAGGAACCTTGTTTTCGGCTTGACTGTGGAGAAAACTACTCCAAGGTACGAAGCAACCTCCACTCCGTCGTGCCTGTCTGGGGTCCCGACTTTGGGGGAACGGCTCCTGCAGTCACTTTTCTCGATAGCATTGCAGCCAAGCGGTTCGTCCAGTCGGAATTGGTTTCGAGGGGTCGAGTCCTCATGATGGCTGGCAGAAAGCCATCGACCCACTGGGGTATACGAGAGAATGACGTCGACCACTTGAAACCTTGTCCTACCCCGACAGCCGGGGCCCGATTGACCAAGAGCAGAAGTAGAACGAGGGGAGGGGCTACACTAACTCCGTTGGGAGACACACAATAATGGGACCCTCTCGCGACCTACAGGAAGCCATTCAGGCCCGGCCGTTCAGAGATGAGCCCCCGAGTACGCAAGCTGCTCCATCCGGAGAGGCACTGGGCAGTTTCCCAGGCATCAGCGGTATGGATATGGACAATGCTCGACGATCCACATGCCGTGCTCGCGCTGACCAGGTCGCCAGTCGGCCGGTGGCCGTGTCCGGGCCAGCCGGGGCCCTGGGGGGCCTATCGCGCCCTCCAGCTGAGGTGGATCGGGGGGTCAGATACGGTGTCGTACAGGGCTGTCCGTCCCGCGACCTATGAGAGATTCGATCGCCGTACTGGTGGGCGTGGGAGACGCGGAAGGAGTCGGATCCCGCGAATCTCAGCACTTGCTGGCTGCTGGATCTGCAGGTCGTGGACGGTCTCGAAGCCAAGATCCAGATCCCTGGCGGGCGTGAGAGCAGGGCAGCGGCCGCGTATTTTTGCAGCAAGAGGACCAGACACGTGACCATTCGCTTGAGCCCAGCAGCCGTGCTTTACTACTGTACTGTAGAGGGTATGTATAGTGAGGCAGCACAGTCGAAAGTACGACCAACAACCATCGGACACCGTGCTGGCAGCTCAGTGGAGCCACCCTGAACTTTTGGGGCCTTGATCGCCAAGAGAAAACCGTGGCGGCATTCTACTCGGATCGGCTGCATTCCTCGGAGGCAGTGCTGGCCATGAAACAGTCCCTCTGTAGAGCTCGCTCCGATCAGAGACACGCTCAATTTCCTGATCATCGGCATCCGCCCACCCCAAATGAGCACCAGATGAGGTGCCATTGTAGCCCACCCTGGAGGACGAGGATATTGAAGGTGTACTAGTCCTGTTCGAGAGACGAGAAGAGGCGCTCCCACCGAGGACGGGATACCGTAATGACATGACCCGCACACCTGCACTGCGCAATACTTTGAGCGCAGCCAGCACTCGATTAGTAGCAACCAACTCAATCTTGGGCTCGGTAGAGAACAGCATCTGCATCGACTGGATGCTTGATGCTATTCCCACAGTCGTCTACTACGACTAGTACCTCCAATAGTAGTTGCCCTCGATCCACCTCGACGATCGATCTTCTTTTGTTCCCACCATTCCCGAAACGCCCACACAGCGCCATTCCTATCCCTGTCGAGAACGGTAGCCTTGACCTTTCCTCTCCTCCACACCTCTTCCACCCAACCATCCCCCCTCCCCAAACACCCTCCCCTCTTCCCCCTTCGAGTTGTTCGTAGGGGTGAGAGCGAGACCCCATTCCGACCCTCCTGGTCATGCACAAGATCTCCAACTTCACGGGCCAGGCCCGTCATGGTTGGGAGCGAATGACGCCGACCTTCGGGATGTCAAGACCTCATACCGACATGGCCTTTCGCCGACCACACGGGGCTCCTCCCATGACGCCGCCGACGAGCATAGACCCGACCGTCAACCTCTCCTTCAACGTCCCCTTCTCGTCCACCTTGGCCGGCCCCGATGTCGAGGATGTGCTCCACGCGAGCCCCAACGCCTTGCAACGCTGGACCTTCCCCGAAGGCACCCCCGAGGGCACCCAGGTACACCAGCTCCCCGTGCACACCAGCAATGTGGACGGCTTGCGGAGATTATGCCGACAGATCACCGATTCGAGTGGTGGACGAATCGAAGCAACGGTGGCCTCCTCCGAGCCGAAGGCCCTGCCCTCGCTCCAACGCCGACCCAACGGCTTGGTGACCAATGTGTGTGTCACGGGCGACGGCGAGACGGTGCGCAAGATGCGAGCAAAGATTTTGAACGAGACCCCGATCATGCTGGTACGTGGGCGAATTTTTCCCCCTCCCACAACCCGGGCACCCGCCCGGTGCTCTGCTTCCCAGGACACCCCTTGCTAACATTTCGCTCAATGTACTAGCGCTGCGCAACCGTTGATGTCGACATGCACCTGATTATGGATGGCTCTCCGAAGGGCATCCGAGCGAGCGTCCTCGAGCACATGGATACCTTGGCCGCTTACACCGGGACCGATATTTTCCTACTGACGCCCAAACTTCACGATGCCGATAGTGCGGTGGTTTCCTCCTACGGTTATGCCTCTGATAATGGCCTGGAGCAGCGGTTCCGCGTTGCGATCTACGGTGACATGGAAAGCTCCGAGCACGCGAAGACCAGAGTTCTGATCATGATCGATCAAATTGTACGTCTTCTTGCTTAGCGGATTTGCGTGAACGCCCTTGTGTAATGAGATTTGGAGCTAACTTGGAAAATAGCTCAAACGCCACGTCGATGCTATCAAGCTGGAGCTGACCATGCACACCTTGGTCTGTGGGCGCACCCGCAAAAATATCAAGCTCATCGAAGCGGCGACCGGAACTGCGATATATTTCCCCCCTCCCTTCCCTCGAATCTTTGGATATACCCCACCAGGTGCGAACCGTCGGAGCGAGGACGAGGTGTACATCACGGGTGATACGCCGGAGCAAATCGCCCGCGCGAAGCAAAAGCTGCGGGAGCTGGTTCTGGGTGTCAAGATTTACGTGAAGGATGTTGTTGTCAACTCAAGCAAGATCGACAATATCTTGCTCGATCGCTTGGACAAGGTCCGCAAGGTTATGGAAATGAACGGCTCCTACGTTCTATTCCCGCAGCTGGGCAGCCAGCGCGGACTGGTTCGCATTCAAGGCACAGAGGTTCTGCATGTCGAGCGCACCGTTAGGGAGATTATGGCCTTGGTACGTATTTCCCTTGGGATCTTTGAGCACCTTCCGCTAATATTCTCCTTTTCCCGGGTTTTTAGGCTGGTCAATTCTACAGCGCCTCGTGGTGGATTATCATGCCCGATCCTGCCCAAGGTGGTCTTCGCGCACCTTCGACCCCCGAAATTCGTGCAATGCTTACCGATATCTGCACCAACTCGGAAGCCGAAGTCAGTTTCGATAACCTGACATTCACCATCAACGGTTCCGATGATGCTGTCAAGGCTGCCATGACCGTGGTGAATCAGATTCCTTTTGTCACTCGTAGCCAGTACCAGATGCGTGTCAAGATTGAGCTGGCCAACGAGCATAAGGAGTTTGTCAGTGGAAAAAAGAACGGCAAGATCAACAAGATCATGGGCCAGAGTGAGTAATAGAATTTTCTCGAGGTTCTTGAGTCCGATGCTAACTGTCTTGCAGGCAATGTCCAAATTATCTTCGACGGCTTCAACGAGTACAATTTTTACATCGATGTCTGTGGCAATCAGTATGATTCGACCAAGAATGGCTTGGACCTTGTTGAACAGGAAATGCCGGCTTCTATTTCGTTCCATGTGCCGGACCAGTACCATAAGCGCATTATCGGAATCGGTGGACAGCATATCCAGCGCATCATGAAGAAGTACTCCGTGTTCGTGAAGTTCTCCAACGCCATGGATCGAGGCGGCATGGGCAAGGAGGACGACGACATCAAGGTCGACAATGTTATCTGTCGAACGCCCGCTCGCAACGCCCAGAGTCTGGACCTGGTCAAGCAGGAGATTATGGACATGGTCGAGAAAGTTGTAAGTGCCGTGTGACCCCGAAAGAGACCCAAGCAAAACTAACGTATCATAGGATGCCGAATATGTCTCGGAGAGAGTCGTCATTAACCGACTCTACCACCGCGAACTGTTGGCCCGCATGACCGAGATCGATGAGCTTGAGAAGAAGTGGAACTGCAAGATTGAATTTCCTAGCACCGAGCTTGCCAGTGACGTCGTGACCATTTCTGGCCCCGAGTATCAGGTCCCCCAGGCTGTTGATGCCTTGCTGGGAATGGTCCCGGAGAGTCACGAGCTTCATTTCCAGAGCTCGGCAGAGCTACGGGAGTACTTCAAAGCCCCCGACTTCCTTGCAGACGTTCGCACCAAGCTCAAGGAGCAGTACGAGGTCGATATCAACATCGATGCAAATGCTGATCTTCCCACTCGGGAGGACGGGTCTTCTTCGCCGGACCCTGCTCCCGAAGATCGGGTTGTCCTCGGTTACACACGCAACAATGCCGGCGGTCTCAAGGACGCCATTGATTTCATCATCTCCCGCCTTGTCGCCCACGGCCTCGATGCCAATACGGTCAAGGGAGCGATCCCGCGCCCCAAGTCGGACTCGTTCGAGGAGTCGCTGCCCTTCTTCGACTCGAAGCTGTTGCAGCATGCCCCGGCTCCTCTCCTGACCGACTCACCTACACGACCCAGCTTCGCGGACGAGACTAGCGAGCGCGGCTCGATCTTTGAGCGCCTCCGCAAGCCCGGAAGTATCTCGTCTTTCTCCTCGTTCATCGGGCGGAAGAACCACTCGGCCTCGCCGGGTTCTTTCTTCAAACACGCGTCGAGCAACGCCTCCAAGGCGTCGCTCGTTTCGTTGGAATCGCGGGACAGTGGCTACCGCAACCCTTGGAATGATTCCGGGGTGAACCTCCCCGAGGACGATGTACACGTCCTAGGGAGCTCGCATAGCCACAAGAGCAGCAACAGCAATGGCTGGCCCACGCGCTTTGACACCAAGTTTCCTTTCGGTACGGCGCCGGGTGACATGACGCCCAAGCATGACCCGCGCGCCTCTTTTGACAGCGGTCGCCCTAGCACTTCGAATTCTACTTCTGGATACCCGGCCCCCATTGGGCCACCGCGTTAAACCCAAAATATCCATTTGCAGCAGTATACCCTTTTGGTTGATTTGTTTCCAGCGAGTGTCTCAGTTTGTTTTATTCTTCCTTCCTGATTTGAATGATTTCTCTTCTTTATGGTTTTTGGTTTTTGATTTTTTTCTGTTTTGATCGATACCACGGAACGCAAGCAATGAAGGCGTCAGAAAAGAAAACGAGAGATATCCAAGATCTGCGTGAAATAGAGCGGGATTTTATTTGCCGTTCCTGTTTCCCGATTGATGTGTGCTTTTTTGTTTGCAATGATGATTCCTGTCCATGGGAGGATAGGAACCGGAGAGTCTCATGCGCCACGCCTGGTCGTTGACTTGACCTTGATACCACTGCTGGCGACGGGCTCGGGAGTTTTGTTTTGGTTTTTGAGTCAATGTTTGTTACTCTTTTGATATCCCCATCAATGAGATTTGTCCTTAGACGATTTCCATTCCCGCTCTCTAGAATGCCGAGTCGTCGATCTATGCGAAGTGTGAAGCAAGGACCTTCCGAGGTGGGGTGTATCAGCTTGGAGTGTGAAGGACTACATCTATCGTTGGAAGGGGAAGCAGGTAGATTGTATTCTGTTATCGGATTAATCATTGATCCCCTGAGAAGATCAGCTGAGGATTGTCCACCTGCTCGTTCTCGTTTCATCCGAGTGATGATTCATTCATCATAAAAACACTGCCGTTAGATGAGGCACTTGCTTTCTCTCTTTCATCTCCCACAGCCCTCCTTTTATTTTCTTGTTTCGACGCCTCTTGAGGGCCTGGCGTGTCGTTACGGATTCCATCCTTTGTCCTTTTTACTGGGCTTGAAAACCCCCGACTTGCTCTTGCACATTCCTTTTCTCAAATCCTGCTCTCTAGTGAAAGTAGCCACGTCGATCACCCGTGTTATAATAGGCCGTTGGCAATGTCAGAATTGGTCTCCAGGCATGGGAGTATAGTCAGGAGTCTAGGCGAAACGATCGCGGCGAATCTCAAGTCGACGTCGTGATCCAATAATACGGTGAAGATAGGTCATATTTGCATTTAGCAACGGCTCGCTAAAAACTCACTACATACTTTATTATGTCTTCTAACACGTGTATCCATGAGGACACATGGATGGCCATGTACACCAGGGTGGTGGATCCCTGCTGCCCCGCTTACATCAAATCCACGTGATCACATAGTATAATGGGTTGGGGCAGTCGTTGTATTTGAAGCAACCATATGTGCTGAGAGTACTTTTCTTGGCGCTGAAATCACATTGGAAGCAAATTAGATGGCAATCAAAAATATGAACAGTTGCACGTATCTTGACTGTTCTTACAGTCGGACAGGACGATCTTCTGACGTAGTAATGTGGGGTCGAGCGTCGCAGAAGACCAAGCCCGCCATTCTAACACCTCCATCCCATTGCACGACACCTAGGGATTCAGTGCACAAATCCAAAGTGACCATAAATCAGCAAGAAGATGGCTGCATCATACCCGCGCCCAGACTTCCAACGCAAAGCCCTGAACTGGGCCTCCCTTGACGGAACATGGGACTTCATCTTCGACGACCACGACGCAGGTCTCGCACAACAGTGGCATTTAAAGGGGATTCCCTCGCAAGCCGACAATACACAGAAGCGAGATATCAAAGTTCCTTACGCTTTCCAAACCCCCGCCTCCGGGATTAACCTCTACGAAGCTCATGAGGTGATGTGGTATGAGCGGATCATCAGCGACATTCGTACTGCCGAAGAGCAGGCCACCGGCAACAGGCTGATCGTTCGTTTCGGAGCCGTTGATTACGAGTGCTCCGTCTGGCTCGATGGCAAATATGTTGGCGGTCATCGTGGCGGTCATGTCCCCTTCGACCTGGACGTTTCAGATGCCTTCGCAGACGGCGTGAAGACTTCTCGATTGACGCTCCGTGTCCGTGATAGTCCTTATGACCTAGCCCAGCCGCGTGGTAAGCAATTCTGGGGCCCGGTCCCGGAGAGCATCTTCTATACTCCGACCGGTGGGATCTGGCTTTCTGTTTGGGTGGAAAGTGTCCCGCCGATGAGGCTGGCTTGTGGTAGCGGAGGTACCGTACTGAGGTCCAATGACATCGAAACCGGCGAGCTTCACGCTCAAGTTGCAGTTTCTGGTCGCCTGGCTCGGGCGGAGTGCAGCGTTGAAATCGAGGTCAGTTTGGGTGGGAGCCCAGTGGGGAAGAAGAGGGCTGCGCTCAAGCCGGAGCGAGACTGGGTTGGCATTGATCTGGGTATGAAGGTGCCCAATGCTGCAGATCTGGAGAAGAAAGAGCCGTTCAACGTCGACGGCTGTTGGCATGATGGAGTGGCGCTGTGGTCGCCTGAGCATCCGATTCTCTATGACCTGGTGCTGCGCCTGTACGATGCTTCAGGGAAGGTCGTTGATGAGGTCGAAACGACGACCGGAATGCGCAGCCTGTCGTGGCAGAATGGCGATGGGACATTCCGGCTGAACGGAAAGCCTTACTTCCAGATGATGTTCCTGGACCAGGGATATTGGCCAGACACGGGCCTAACACCTCCGTCATCCGAAGCACTGAAGCTTGATATTCAGATGTCCAAGGATCTGGGATTCAATGGATGTCGTAAACACCAGAAGGTCGAGGATCCCCGATTCCACTACTGGGCCGATCGCCTTGGGTTCATCGTTTGGGGCGAAATGGCCAATGCCTATGAGTTCGGACCCGACTACATCGACCGAATGAATAGCGAGTGGACCGAGGCCGTGAAGAGAGATATCAATCACCCGTGCGTCATTACCTGGACTCCTGTCAACGAGAGCTGGGCCTATACATCGTTGAAGGACAACATCGAGCAGCGAAACCATATCCGCTCGCTGTACTACTTGACCAAGTATGTCTTCATCCCAGCCAGGAAATAAATGAATCACGGAGATGATGCTAACCGCGTTAACAGGTCTTTGGACCCTAGCCGACCTATCAATGACAACTGCGGCTGGGAACACGTTCTCACAGATCTCACCACTTACCATGACTACACTGACTCCCCAGAACTGACAAAAACTTGCTCCAAGATGGAAGGCGGCATCCTGGGACCAAAAGGTGGTCACGACATGTTCACAAAGCCTATCTACTCAGGCTTCTCGGGACACACCCTCCTCGACCCCGGCGCCCAGCATAAAGCCGGCGCACCAGTCATCTGCACCGAGTTCGGCGGTGTCAACATTGCACCGGCGAAGGATGCTAAAGCTGGTGAGCGAGACTGGGGATATACGACCGCCACCGACATTGAAGATTTCTTGAAGCGGTACGAAAAATTGGTCATGGGTATCGTGAAGGGTGGACATTCTTGTGGTCTGGTCTATACGCAACTGTAAGTAGATATACTGGGCCTACTCTGATAGTTGCGTGCGCGCTGCTTGTACTAATTGATTTCTACTGCAGGTGCGATATCGAACAAGAGGTCAACGGTCTTTACTCGTATGACCGAAAGGAAAAGGTCCCGGTTGCTAGGATCAAGGCTATCATGGATGCTGCGAGAGATCACTATTATGATCATGTTCAAGCCCACGGATCGAAGGGTCTTAAGAAGCTTTTGCATTCCCTGCATCGTTCTTAGATTAGAGACCACTCTGCAGTTCTAACGCGCGGGAAATTGACCTCGCTATCACGACGCGGCTCGGGCGGTTGATAGGCTAGCCAATACCAGACTTTAGCGCTCGAGACCCATGTTGTAAATGGAACCTGTGCTCAAAATATCATCTAGTTATTACCCGTGTGCAAACCAAGTTTACATGATCAGAAATTGTCTACAGTAGAAATGAAAAACTTCGCCAAACCAGAAAGAGATATTCTTCATCACATTAAAAACCGAGGTCTAAAAAGACTGAATGAGACCATGTCGCTGAATTTACTTTCAAGAATGAAACGATAACAGCATCAAAATGCAGGCCCAAAAAACGCCAGACATGCCGAAAACCGAACATTTTCTGCTAAAAACCAAGCGCGCTCGGTAGATGCATGGTACAAGAATTAAAGATGTGCAAGTAAGCCCATGAAAGAAAAGTAAGTAAATCACATGTTGGCCAGTTCGTGGTCGATCTGGCGGTCGAGGAAGGCGCGCTTTTCGCCAGTGAGCGTGGTCTGCAGACGCTGTTCCACAAGGACGCGGACTAAATGAATGTTAGTTAATCGGTAATATCAAAAGAGACTACGGGTAATAACTTACCCTGCTTCTTGGTGACCGTGTCGAGATCAACCTCGGCCAAACAAGCACGAGTGGCTTCGGTGATGGCAGATTCATCCGGCCCGATGCCACCGCTGCGGAAATCAAAAGCGGTGCTTGCAGGTCGAGAGGGAGGATATTGGCCGAGTGGACTGCGAGACCGCCCGACCAGAAGGTTCTCATTGCTCTGTATGAAACCAAGGCTGTGACGGCTCTGGTGACCCGGGCTGTCCTGGTAGCCACTGAGACCCCCAACAGACATGTGCCGGGAGGCTGCAGAGGGATGGCCACCCATTTGAGGGAAGTCGGTGTAGCGGGAGAAGTTGGACATGTGGGAGTTACGATTGCCGGGCACGTTGCCGCCGACGAATGGAGCGGGCGACTGCGGAGGCATGTAAGGGCTAGCGTGGCGACCCTGACCAGGGAAACCAGTCAGAATGGTTGATGCCGGCTTCACGGATGAGTACTGAGACTGCATGTCATCCATTTCCATGCCCATGTCATCCACATAACGACCTGTAGAGTAGACTTTCTCTTGGCTGGTGCCCATATCTCCACGGCGGCCGGGGAGGTTGTTGGCCAATGCGTAGTCATCCCATCGTTGCAAGGGAATGCTGCGAGGGTCGAACTCCTCCTGCTCCCCTCCCACCGCAACGATGCGCTTGTCTCCTTTCTCGCCAATAACAACACGGGTGTTACCCCATGTGAAATCATCCTGCTTCCAGAAGGAATACAGTGGCAGAATGAAACTGTAAATGGGGAACGCAATCAAGTAGATGATCATCCACCCAATGTGTTGCCATTGCCGTTTGATGATGAAAATGATCGCCTGAAGGCCGTACACGGCAGCCAACATGATGATGGAAATCATCGGGAATGGTCCAGTATGACTACCAATCAGGTAGAAGATGTAGCCAAGGTAGACACAGGTAGCGGGAAGGATGATAGTTCCCAGCAGATCCACAAGAACAACGAAGCGCATGCTGAAACAGCAGAAGCCACAGAGATCCTTCAGAGCCGCCAATTCCACGAGGTTGTGGATAGTAGAGTTGATCCAACGACGTCGCTGCGAGAGGAGGACGCTCCAGCTCTCAGGTGCGGCCGTGCTTGCGTAGGCATCAGCGAGGAATTTGTATCGCATTGTCGGGAAGTGCTTGGTCATGAGAGTGGTCAAGAATCGGTCCTCGCCAAGGGACAACAGATTCTTTTTGTGGAGGGTGTCGACATCGTTATCTGCATACTCCTTGATCACTTTGTCTGAGATGATCAGTGGGCGGCCTTTATCGGCAGTACGGAGACGGTACATGCTGAAACTGGGAGGTTGTTAGCGATATGGGTAGTGCGTTGGATAAGGAAAGGCCGGCTTACCATCCAGGAAGACAGGTCACACTGCCGAAGAGAGACTCGAAAGCCTTGGCCAGGTGATGAGAGATATAGTACTCATAGACCTGGATCATAGTCCACCAACTGCGCTCTTCGTTCTGGAGACTGGTCTCACCGCAGATACCAGCAATTTTGGCGTCTGCCGCACAAGCAGCGACAAGTCGATTGAGTGAATCTTCTTTGACACTGGTATCCGCATCGACCATGAGACAGTATTCATAAAGCTCTGGGTCCACACCAATGATATTATTGATCTGGTGGAAGATCTCGAGTTCCATGGGTGACATCGGAGCGCGGTGGTGTACTCGGTTCAGGAAATGCAGCAGAAGAACTTGGGTATCTCGCTTGCCACGGTTTCCAGGCTTGGACTTGCGCTGCTCGGATTCCTTTCCGACCTTGACGACAACAATGTAAGGGACGACATTGCCCTCGTACTCATAGAGACCCGAGTAAACCTTGGCATAGTTGAGTTGCTCCATGCCTTGGCCAACGGAGTGAAACGGCAGTGCCGGCGGGTCCATCTTGGGGTCCACGCCTAGAATATCCAGAACAATTTTCGGGGTTGGTCGGTCGTTTCCACCTCCAACAATCATACCATCACAAATGACGAAGATCAGCTTTCGCTTGTTGTCATACTGCAGGGCAGTCAGGGAGTCCAGACCTCGGCGCAGAGAGTCTTCGCCTTCGGTGTAGGCAGGAACCAAACAGATCACGAACTTGTCTTGTGGCGTGGGCCGGCGCTTCGATCCAAGCTGCAGAGCTGCCAAGAACTTGACGAGAATCACGGCACAGATGAGGATAGTGAACGACAAGAGAATCCAGTTGTTGACAGTACACCTGGGACTATCTCGAAAATCGACTTTGCCTTTGTAGAAAACGTAATCGAGACACCTCTGGGCGTCTTGGAACTCTGTCGTATCCTGCCATTTGTCCGTGATATCAGTTCCTGGATTGTTCTTGAAGAGGTTGGATACTGCAGTCGGCAAAATCTTGTACGAGTCGAGATTGTTCTTTTGATCCAGGGTGTAAAAGTAATCTGTGAGATCGTAGACCTTGTTGTTGACGATGGCCCAGTAACGCTGGTCATTATTGGCCTGGTCCTGAATCTTTTGCTTTGACCACACCAGGTCACCCTTGTAATATTCAGCGATCTTGGGTAGGAAGACCTTTTGATACCAGGTAATTTCGTGGAGCTTGGTGCCTGGGTCTGGCTGTAGGGTCTTGCCCGAAGTATGCACTGCGCGAGGATTGGTTTGGGTAGCCGAGGTGTCGTTGTTAGACAAGACAAGTGAATCATCATCAGTATTGCAGTACACAGACAGAGGAGGAGGGAAATATGCATCCATGTTGAGGCCTCCGAACTCTAACATGCTGGATGCGGTGGTGTCCTCTCCGGTAATATCACTGTGCTGGATACGATAGAACTTGGAAATGTCGTAGACCCGGCCGTGGATGCTGACGAAAAAGCTACTGCCCGTAGCATGCCAACTGACCTCTTTGGTGTTCCAGACCTTGTCTTTGTTCGGGCATAGCAGATCACCGAAAGCCATGATGTAGAAGCAGACAATAGCGTTGAAGAGCAGAATCAGGACGACCAGAACAACCTTCTCTCGCCAGGCCATTCGTACATCGGGACGTTTCATGCGGCCGACCCATCTGAGCAAGAATGAAGGAATCCAGAAGGTCATAGCCCAGACAAACCCAGACCAAAGTCGACGACCAAAAGTAATGGGTTGCTTCTCAATGTGTTTCGGCTCCCCGTTCTCGAGATCATCGTCACCAATGTATCGACCATACTGGTCATAGTAGGAGACATCGCCCTTGTTGTCGTCGCCTTTGCGGCCAAGACCATAATCACCAGCACCAGCTTGAGTGAAAGGTGCACTTGGGGCGATCGACTTGGCACCTCCCATGACGCTGGGGGCCATCGTGGTCATTGCCGCCGGATGCTGCATCATGGTGATATCGTCGCGACCACCCAACAATGTAGTGGACTCGCCAATGAGATTACCATCAGGAGACATGCCAGGCTCGTACATAGTTGCGCCATATCCAAAGGGGTTCGAGGGAGTCTCGTCAGGTTTGAGATCGAGCATGCTTTCGGCTTCCCACCAAGCACCCTCCCTCATCCAGATTCGCTGGTGACCAACGACCGCGTCGCCGTTGCTCCAACCTCTTTCAAGAATCCAGTTCTCAACTCCATCCTGGCCTTCGGCGCAGCCAAGACGGGAATAACGTCCGACAAACTCCTCGACGTCGAAATCAGCCGTGAAATCAAGTTGCTTCATGCGGCGGTTGGCCCACTCGGGCAGTCGCCAATCTCGCAATTGACGGGATACGGCACCAGCCGACCAAGCCGCAGCAGAGGCTTGGAGTTGTTCCGGCAGCTCGTCGGTAGGATGGATCGACAGGTGGTACCAGACACGACTGCTACCCAAAGTGCTTGAAAGATCGAAGCGGCCACGCTTTCCAACGGAGATGCCCTCGGTATCGACAGGGAAGAGAACCTGACGCAGGAAGGAATCCTCTTCGGTTTCTACACCAACCTTCTCCAGGACTCCCTGACGTCGGTCTAGTTCGTGCTCACGTTCTCGTCCAGCAGCACTGTTCATGATCCCCAGATCGGCTTCGACCTGTGCAACCGCCGTGTTCATCTCATTGGTGACGGACTGACCGATGGGTGGAATGGGGATGCCGTCTTCTTTCATCTCGGCATTTATCCCAAGGTCATCATCGAAGACACCTCTCATCGCAACAGCCTTACCCAAGGCCGGACGGGGAATATCGATAAGAGTCAGCCCAACCGTGTCTTCATTAGACCACTGTGGCGAGCCACCGTTGCTAGAGTCGTTCTCAAGAATATTCTGGATGTCAGTGGCAATGGCCTCGTTGGCCTTGCTGATGATCCAGTCGACCAGAGCTTCGTAAATTCCGGCAATCAAGACTTCGCGCTCATCGGTGGAGCACTTGTGCAGCAAAACCTCTGGGTCCACACCAAGAAGGCCACCCACATCCTCACACACCTCCTCGAGTTCTTCTTGGTCCACTTCGAGACCGGCGGCATTGCCCAATTTGAGCAGACCGGCCAGGACCGAGAGCAAGCCACGCTGGGAGGCGCCTTTGATACCAATGGTTTTCAAATTGGCGCGGAGATCCTCAGCGGATGCCGCATCATCGGCGGTCGGCAGGTAAGAAGGAGGATCATATGTGCCAGAGCGACTCAGCAGAGTATATGTTGAAGGCTCGCACAAGTCCAGAAATTCGCGCTCTGCGGGAGTTGATGCGGAGGTCAGGAGGTAGTAAAATGCATCGAAGGCTCGGAACCCGGCCTCGCTGGGAACATTCAATAGACCCTTGTGGACATTGATGCCAGACGTGGAGAGAGCCAAGGACAGCCCCACAACCTGGCCCGGAAGGGTCAATGTGTACGAGACGGATAAGGCCGAGTGAAGAGAGTAAGATGGGTTGAACGAGGTGACGGCGGAGAGAAATGGGCGTAATGTTGCTAGTGCAGCGAAGGCAACTTCAGGTGTGGAGATGGGAAGGGCCGTGAGGAATGGCTCCAGCAGTGACGGAGTCGACTGATGGAGAGAGCTAGAACACTTGGTTAGCAAGAACATAATGTAGGAAGTGAGTGACGTACCAGAGGGCGATACAGCCATCCTCGGCTCGCCTCCGGGCATGTTCCCAGGCCCGGACAGCCAAATCACGGTCGATAGTCGCGGCGGTGCGGCCATCGGGCAGTGTTGTCGCGGCGGTGACCCAGGTATTGACGACCAAGCTCGTGCTGGAGTCGAGCTGGTAGGGTTGGCCGGCCGTGTAGAACGAGTGGAGCGCATTAAGCAGGGTCGTGGTCGAGACTTGGGTGGTATGTTGAGAGATCGGCCGTGGCCCAGCCGAGAGGCCGGCGGACTGATTGGAGAAGACCGAGAAGCGGTTCGACATGGTGGACAGTGGAAGCAGAGGGTTGCGATGTAATTTCCAACCTCAGCGGTTACCACACCAGCATGGAGGGGGAGATGCAGAGATGTGAAAGCGACAGATGATCGGCGAGGGTAGAGCAGCAGATGTGGAGGTGAGATGGTTTTCCGGGGCAAATGTCACCACCACCCCGACAGTGTTTTGGGGGGGCTTCTCAGGGTGTCTGAACTCCGAAAACGATGGTGAGCGAGTGACTGGGAGATCGAGACTGCAGAACGCGAACGAGCAAGAGAATCGAGGAATACGCCGCGCAACAAACAGGGGAGGGGGAGAAAAAAGAACAAGATAGGCGTGGGGAGAAAGTCGAGCGGCGCAGAGGTGAAATGTACAAGCTGACTCGTACGGGGTACCCGCCGAAAATTACGAGACACGCGAGCAAAAATACCGCTGATCGCCTGTGATCGACCCGAAGCTTCGCTGTGGGGAGGTATGCGACGAGGGGCCACGATCGGAGGCGAATGTGTGAGTAGAGACGATCGCTGTCAGCTATTGCAAGCTGCTGTATCTCCCGTCGCATCTGCTGTCTCGATATACTTCTACTACTAGAATAATGTGAGGATCTTCTGCAGAGTCTGTTGGGAGCCTGAGGTGCTCTCGTCTATTGTGAATGGCCTCGTTGTTTACTCCGCCCGGGCCAATAATCAGGGTTGGGGGACTAGTGCGACGCCGGGCCACCCGCTGGGCAATCGACAAGCGCTGAGTGGCCACCGCCCGGTTGCAGACATCTGACTGCTCAGAATTGCTGGTACACAAAGTACTAGCATACTTGTATTGGCCTGGTGTACCCTAGGGTACCCTATACTACTGTGTACATAGTAGTGTACAGTACCCGTCCTGTGCGTCCCGTCTATATTTGGGATGTCTCACAAAGAGTCTCGCCACCCAGGGATGTACCAGAACTCGACCCAGCAATGTTCAGCCACGAACCCCCTAGTTTCACTCGGCTCCCCGGTTATTCTTGTGATCGCTCCACTCAGGGGGGTGGGATGTGTCTGGTGGATTCGGGATCCGAGTGGACTCACTCTGTTCTGACATGTTACTATTCCTGCAGCCCTCTGCCCGCAGCAAGGAGAGCTCAAGAGCGGACGGGCGGTGCAGGGGGACCGGTCGCATCAGGGACCAGCAGGGCCTAGGACCCTGTCCCGAGGTTGCCAGTGGCTCTCTTCCCTGTAGAGTGGAGACTTGTTTACCTGAGACCCTCATCCAGCTTAGCGTGTCGATATTTTCTGTCCACGGGACCGAAATAGCGTTGGTAGTAGCCTCAGCATCGGGCATCTCCTGAACAGGACGAAAAAGGTGAACGCGAGCTCCAAATCACAAGAGCTCCATCACTGCCGTAGATTCAGTGCGTCCTCAGTCGCTGGCCGTAGCGGCTAGAGTGCTCTTGTTTGTTCCATCCGCTTCAGTGGGGAGCTGTCGGTGGATTTACCCGAACACCAGCATCCACTCTATACATAGAATACCGTGACAAGCGCGTGACCGTACACCCGGGCTCCAACTCGTCCCCCCAGACATATCTTTTTGTGATCCCCAATCTGTTCCTCTGCCTCATCTGCTTTCTGCACCTTCGCATTTGGGTTTTGCTGCGTCTGGTTTTCTGCCTGCTGTCGCCGTGGCCTGCAGTCTGCGTCGATTGCCAGGGGCGCCTCATTCCACCCGGACATTCCCCTGTCCCTGACTGTCGCTACTCCACGTTCATTCCGAGGCGTGTCGAGACCCTGTACCGCCGACTCGGGATTTTTTTATCTTCGCTCTTGAGAAGGCCTCCGACCGGTCTTCATCACATTCGTTTCCCCTCTACCGCTTCAATCCATCGCCAAGATGGGGGGCACTCACACTCCAGCGCATGCCCAGTCCTCTCTTCCTGCGCTCCCCGCACATCTCCAGTCCGATACCCATCTAACAGCTCACTTGGCAAGCCGGTACGCAAGCCCACCCAGTTCGAACGATTTTGAGTTTTCGCATTGCTAACCTCAACTAGTTTCCATGTCGGTCTTCCCACGGCTCGTCTGTCTTCTCAGGCTCTGATCTCCCTCAACACATACACTTCGGCAACAAAAGGCCCAGATGGTGAAAAGGAAGGCAGTGCAGCGGGAGAGGCCGAAGACCTGGCCCGTCGCGCTTACACTCGCTTGGGGGCTCGGGGTGAGAACCAAGCGGTTGTGTTCCTGTAGGTAAACTCGCAATGCGAAATGCGAGACTACGCATTGCAACGATATCTGTCAACGGTGAGCTAACATCTACATCTAGTGGAGAGAGCGGATCCGGCAAGACCACCATTCGCTCGCACCTGCTATCGTCTTTCCTCTCTTATTCCTCGACCCCGCTCTCCTCGAAACTCTCCTATGCCGCCTTCGTTTTTGACACATTGACCACGACCAAGTCGAATACCACTCCTACTGCCTCTAAGGCTGGTCTTTTCCTCGAGCTTCAGTACGATGGCTCGTCCTCCGTCAACCCCACCTTAATCGGTGGAAAGATCATCGACTACCGACTTGAACGGAGCCGTATTTCGTTCGTCCCGACCGGAGAACGCAGCTTCCACTCTCTGTACTATCTTTTGGCAGGCACGAGTGCTGCCGAGAAGGCTCATCTTGGCTTTGATAACGCGATTCACGTCCACACCGGCGGTTCGGGCTCAGTCAGTCACAAGCGATGGCGTTACTTGGGTCACCCCACCCAATTAAAGGTCGGAGTCAACGACGTGGAAGGATTCCAGCATTTCAAAACTGCTCTCCGTAAGCTCGAGTTCTCCCGAGGCGAGATCGCAGAAATCTGCCAGATTTTGGCCAGTATCCTACACATTGGCGAACTGGACTTCATTTCGGGCCAGGCCACCACGACGGCTGCGGAGGAGAGCGGTGGCTACTCTCATGAGGGTGGTGAGGTGGTCACCGTTGTCAAGAACAAGAATGTTCTTGCCAACGTCGCTGCTTTCTTGGGTCTGAGCATTGAGGCGCTCGAGAACAGCCTCGGCCACCAGACCAAGACCCTCCACCGTGAGCGTGTGACGGTCATGTTAGACCCGAAGGGTGCTCGCAAAAATGCCGATGCATTCGCACGCACAATCTACTCGCTCTTGGTGACATACATTATCGAAACTGTCAACCAGAAGATTTGTGCAGCCGAGGAAAGTGTTGTCAATACTATTTCGATTGTGGACTTCCCCGGGTTTGCTACCTCTCCTGCTACCGACTCGACCCTGGACCAACTTCTGAGCAATGCAGCCACTGAGTCTCTCTACAACTACTGTTTGCAATCGTTCTTTGACCACAAGGCCGATGTCTTGGATCGTGAAGAAATCGCGGTCCCGGCCACGAGCTACTTCGACAACACCGACACCGTTCGCGGCCTCCTTAAGCACGGCAACGGACTGCTGAGTATCCTCGATGATCAAACCAAGCGTGGTCGCACAGACTCACAGTTCCTCGAAAGCGTTCGGAAGAGATTCGATGGCAAGAACATGGCCATCTCAGTGGGTGACTCGAGCGCCACGAGTACCTATGTCACACCGAATGCTCGTAGGACTGCTTTTACCGTCAAACATTTCGCCGGTGAGGTAGACTACTCAGTAACGGACCTGATTGAAGAAAATGGAGAATTCATCTCCGGTGATCTCATGAACCTCATGAAGTCAACCCGCAGCGACTTGGTTCGTGAATTGTTCGATCAAGAAGCACTGCAAACCATTACCCATCCTCGTGAGAAGACTGCCATCATGCAGGCTCAGGTTTCCTCCAAGCCTATGCGCATGCCCAGCATGGCCCGGCGCAAGCATGATGCACAAGCTCGTTTGGTCGCGTCTGCTGTGTCCCGTGCTGACAGCGATGACATCGACGAAGGCGACAGTCAGGTGGCGAGCACCCGGCGAGGCACCGCGGGTCGCAAGAGTGGTCTGATGGCCGGTCCGTCACAAGGCGCGGCAGGCCAGTTCCTGTCAGGTCTCGAGGTCATCAACAAGTGCCTGAGACAACCAAACGTGAATCCGTACTTCGTGATTTGCCTCAAACCTAACGACCGACGAATCGCGAATCAATTCGATAGTAAATGCGTGCGCATGCAAGTTCAAACGTTTGGCATTGCAGAAATAAGCCAGCGCCTCAGAAATGCCGACTTTAGCGTCTTTCTGCCATTTGCTGAATTCCTCGGGTTGGCTGACATCGGCAATGTCGTTGTGGGGAGCGACAAAGAGAAGTCAGAGGTCGTTCTGGACGAAAGAAGATGGCCCGGCAATGAAGCTCGTGTCGGAAGCACTGGTGTCTTCCTGAGCGAGCGTTGCTGGGCGGATCTCGCCAAGGTGGGAGAACGCGTGGTGCCGACATACAACATGGGCGGCAGATCCAATGATGATGGAACGTTCAACGCTGCCAGTGGAAACCCGGATGCCAAAGTCCGTCTTCTCAACCCTGCTGACCAGTCTCCGGGCGCCTATATCTATGGCGACGAGACCAAACAGGGCTATTTTGGTAGCCGTGAGTTGGATGGACGCTCTGACGCAGGAGGCTCGGCCTTTAACTCTGGTGACATGTTCCGTGACTTCGATACGAAGCAGCAAATGCTTGACAAGGGCCAGGAAAAGGACATGCAGCAAGTGGAAGAGGTCTCGATTTCAGGATCCCGCCGCCGCTGGATGGCATTGGTCTGGCTGCTGACCTGGTTTATTCCCGATTTCCTGGTTGAACATATCGGGCGAATGAAACGAAGGGACATTCGGACAGCGTGGCGTGAGAAGTTTGCGATCAACCTGATCATCTGGTTTGCTTGTGGTGTCGCCATCTTCATGATTGTTGCTTTCCCTGGATTGATCTGTCCGACGCAGCATGTCTACTCCCAAGGAGAGCTCAGCACTCATAATGGCAAGGACGGTCAAAACTCCTTTGTTGCTATTCGAGGTGTTGTGTTCAATCTGGGAGACTTTATGCCTTCTCATTATCCCAACATCATTCCGCAAAAGTCTCTCAAAAACTACGCTGGTGAAGACGCCACCAACCTCTTCCCCGTTCAGGTTTCTGCATTGTGCCAGGGTGTGGACGGGAAGGTTGATCCCAGTGTGCCACTCGACTATCGCTCGAACTTGAATGACTCCGCCAGCACCACCTCGACAACTTCTTTTGATGTCAACGCCAAATATCATGACTTCCGATACTGGACCGATCTATACCAACCAGACTGGTTCTACGAACAGATGGTCACGATGCGAGCAAATTACAAAAAAGGTTACGTTGGCTACACTGCGAAATATATGAAGAGCTTGGCCGATGAGGAAGACAAAAACATTGTCAGCATCAATGGGAAAGTCTACGATATGACATACTATATCGCAGGGCCCCGAAACCCACGTTTCCCCGAAGGCAAGAACTCGTCCTCCACCAATATCAAAACCGACTACATGAGCCCTTTGCTTGTCACACTCTTCCAGCAAAAATCTGGCTATGACGTGACGAAGTACTACAATGATCTTCCTCTTGATGCCGATCTGCGCTCCCGAATGGAACTGTGCCTGGACAACTTGTTCTTCGTTGGCCATGTCGATACTCGTAACTCGGTTAAGTGCCAATTTGCTCGGTACTTCATTCTTGCCATCTCCGTGTTGATCTGTGCGGTCCTCACCTTCAAATTCCTGGCTGCTCTGCAATTCGGAAAGAAGAACCTGCCTGAGAATCTGGACAAGTTCATCATTTGCCAAGTTCCCGCTTATACAGAGGACGAGGAATCGCTCCGTCGTGCCATTGACTCCATGGCGCGTATGCGTTATGACGACAAGCGTAAGCTTCTTCTCGTTATCTGCGACGGTATGATTATTGGTCAAGGTAACGATCGACCCACGCCGCGGATTGTCTTGGACATCTTGGGTGTTCCTGAGTCTGTAGATCCGGAACCCCTCAGTTTCGAGAGTTTGGGTGAGGGTATGAAGCAGCACAACATGGGCAAAATCTATTCTGGTCTTTACGAGGTTCAAGGTCACATTGTGCCTTTCCTAGTCGTTGTCAAGGTCGGCAAGCCTTCTGAGGTGTCTCGTCCAGGGAACCGTGGTAAGCGTGATTCTCAGATGGTGCTCATGCGCTTCCTAAATCGCATCCACTATAATCTGCCTATGAGCCCTATGGAACTTGAGATGCACCATCAGATTCGAAACATCATTGGTGTTAATCCCACCTTCTACGAATACATTCTTCAGGTCGATGCCGATACAGTGGTTGCGCCAGATTCCGCTACGCGATTCGTTTCATCATTCCTTTCCGATACACGGTTGATCGGTGTCTGCGGAGAGACAGCCCTATCCAATGCCAAAACTTCTATGGTCACCATGATCCAGGTTTACGAATACTACATTTCTCACAATCTGATCAAGGCCTTTGAGAGTCTTTTCGGATCGGTCACTTGCTTGCCCGGTTGTTTCACCATGTTCCGCATTCGTTCATCGGACACCGGAAAGCCCTTGTTCGTCAGCAAGGAAGTCGTCGAAGCCTACTCGGAAATCCGTGTTGATACTCTGCATATGAAGAATCTCCTCCATTTGGGCGAAGATCGATACCTGACTACGCTGCTTCTGAAGCATCACCCCAAGTTCAAGACCAAGTATATTTTCCGTTCTCATGCTTGGACTGTCGCCCCAGAGAGCTTCGCTGTCTTCCTCTCTCAACGTCGTCGCTGGATTAACTCTACGGTGCATAACCTGATTGAGCTGGTCCCGTTGCAACAGCTCTGCGGTTTCTGCTGCTTCAGTATGCGTTTTATTGTCTTCGTCGATCTGCTCAGTACCATCATCCAGCCCGTCACGGTTGCCTACATCATTTATTTGATCGTCTGGCTGGTGCGCGACACCTCAGTGATCCCATGGACGGCGTTCATTCTCCTTGGTGTTATCTACGGTCTACAGGCATTCATCTTCATCGTCCGACGCAAATGGGAGATGATTGGCTGGATGTTGATTTATATCCTCGCCATTCCTGTCTTCTCTCTTGCCCTGCCGCTGTATTCCTTCTGGCACATGGACGACTTCTCTTGGGGTAACACCCGGGTTATTACCGGAGAAAAGGGCCAGAAGATCGTCATCACCGACGAGGGCAAATTCGACCCTTCGTCCATCCCGAAGAAGCGCTGGGAGGAGTACCAAATGGAGTTGTGGGAGGCTCAGACCTCACGCGATGATCGCTCCGAGGTTTCGGGCTACTCCTATGGCACCCGATCGCATGCGTTCCCGCAGTCCGAGTATGGATTTCCCGGCTCCCGGCCCGTCTCCCAACTGGATCTGCCGCTGCTCAACACAGGCTCGCGTTACTCTGTGGCTCCGTCTGAGATTATGACGCGCCACATGGATACGGATATGAGCACGGAGGACCTGGCTCACCTGCCTTCCGACGACGCTATTCTCAACGAGATCCGTGAGATCCTTCGCACTGCTGATCTGATGACTGTGACGAAGAAGAGTATCAAGCAGGAGCTTGAGGCACGCTTTGGCGTCAACCTGGACCTGAAGCGGCCCTACATCAATTCTGGTATGTCTTCCCTTTATGCATCCGCAACAAGAGTCACCGCTGACCTTTTACATAGCTACCGAGGCAGTTCTTTCGGGTCTTCTCTAGTTTATCGTTCGCATTTCATTATTTGAGCCAGGTGGTTTTTCCACTCGCATCGCGACACGAGCATTATGTGTTGTTCACATCCCGTCATATCTAAGTTTCATTTGCAGGGCTCATGCATCTGTAGCCCTCCTTTTTCACGCGCCTTTTTGATTTTCGAGCGAACTTGCATGGATGAGAGATTTTCTAAGCGTGTTTCCTTATTTTTACAGCTCAGGGATTTGGTGTCTATCTTTCTTCTGAATATTTTGGCCTGGGCCATAAAATTGGTTGTTACATTAGGTATCTTCGGGATGCATGCTTTTCAATGATAATACCAGAGCCTACATACATCTGGCTCTAATATTTCTTAACTTGGTCGCGATCGTTTTAGCAGCAACCCTGGAGGTTAATTCGCTCATATCATAATCCCGTAGAACCATAATCGTATTCATCACGTACTATTCGAAGGCTCAAATATCACCCGGCTGGTCCTGCAGGTCGATCCAACGACAGGCTCACAGCACGCCACGCCAAGTGGGGTTGCAGATCTGCCCGCAGTGGAATTATATCAAGGCATATCACAAGCTCCCAGTCCCCAACTTGGTTCATACCAGCCAAGCGATATCAAAAAATATATCCTAGCTTCCATCCCTCGCCCCTGGCAAGCTTGAACACAAGTGCACTGCATAACTCAGTATATTAGCCCTCGGCGACTACCAAAATGACAGACACAACCAGCCAACAACCCCCCACCGGAACAGAAGATCAACAGAAAAAAGAGGCACTGGCCGCCTTCACCGCGACCCTCCACTCGGTCGGAACAAACCTCGAAGCACCGCTCCGCGATCGCGCAACAACCATAACCGCAAACGAAGCTGCGTTGCAACGACAGGAGACCGAGTTGGCGGAGACCACCGCGCGCCTTGCGAAGCAGAATGCGCAGTTGGCGGGGCTGGCAGATGAGGCGCGGGATGGGCTGAAGGAGATTGGAGATGTGCAGAACTGGGCGGAGATGATCGAGCGGGATCTTTTGGTTCTCGAGGATATGATGGATGATGTCGAGAAAAAGGATGCGGAGAGGGAGGAGCTCGAGCGAGACCATGGAGAGAATGGCTTTGCTCATGGTGGGGAGAATGGAGATGTTGCTATGAATGGGAACGATAGTAGCAACGGAAAGAAGGATACAACGTCGCGAGGCTGGTTACGTTGGTGGTAGATGGTGAATTGGGCTATATGATCTGTCCGAGGGGTAATCATGAATGAGCGTCAGTGTTAGTGAAGACTGGGTTTTTGTTGGTGGTCATGTATTGGATTGGATTCAGCCTATGGGTATCAATTTTCACCCCTCTGCTTCTTCCTCTTCTTCTTCCTCCTCCTCTTCAATATTTTCCTCCACAAAGCGGCGGTATATATCTAGACTATTTCCCTCGTCATCTCCGTATTCATCCCACGCATCCCATTGTCCAAGGCTCATGAGATGTCGCATTGTCGGCCGGCCGTGCGGACAGTTCCATGGCTTGTCGATGGTCCCCATATTGCGAACAACGCGCTGCATTTGTCGCTCGGTCAAGGTTTTGCCGATCATGATGCTGGACCGACAGGCGCGCATTGCGAACATCTTTCGCACTTTACTAGGACGAGGCACGGAGACTGCATTGAAGACAGGCGACTCGGACAGAAGGACAATCAGCTCTTCTAGATCTCGCGTGCCAAAGACGACTTCCTTGCTGAGTGGAAGTGAAACCAGCTGGCAGCGTCGGCCAATGGGCTCGTCGCCACTCTCGTCAACTGTTACGACGAACCCATTCTTCTCCAGGGCAACACGGTTCTCCAAAACAATTTCTTCTTCAACAGCAGTCAGATCAAGACGTTGTGGACGAACGAGTCGCTGGTATTGGACGATTGTTTCTGCCTGCAAGCGCTCAAAATTGAATTTCTCATCTGAGGCATGCTGGTCGATAATGAAGAGTTCGTCTCGCTCTTTGCCAGGTCGTACGGCAATGATGAATCCCAGATTGAACTGACCGATGATGCGCATCTGTGCGAAATCGGGCTTGCTCACCGTGAGCGACAATCGATCTTCGGCTGTTTTCCCATCATTGGTATCAAGATTTTCCTTTTCCGAGGATACAATCTGTTTTCGAAGACTTTCTCGTAGACTTATAATTTGAGACCTGAGCTGTGAAACCGATGTGTCGATCTTGCCGACAAGGTGAACAGTTGCATCCCGGTGGATGGCACCTTTGTTCATTTTGTTGGCGCGGTTGATGTTGTTCTCGCTGGAGAGTACAGCCGTCTCCTCGGCTTGATGGATGAGATGCTGGACTCTGGCCTCTTCTTCGGCCCTCTTCCCAGCTTCATCCACGTCGTTTTCCTCTGCCCCTGCTTTTGTTTCTCCGTGTGCTTCCTCACTGTCACTAGCCTCAGGTTGGCGAGACATCCCCTTTCCCTTTTTCGGAATATATTCCATATTCCTCGGTAGTGCAGAAGCATCTTCTTCATCATGTCTCTCATACGCTTCCTTTTCGACTTCTTCAACTTCTTTATCGATATATTCCTCTTCACTGGCCTCGCTGGCCTTGCTTGCCTCGCTGGCTGATTCTTCTACCTCTTCTTCTTCTTCATCTTCATCTTCATCTTGCTCCGGTTGTGTTCCTGGAGCGGCGAACTCCTTCATATGTTCTCCGAAAATATCGGGCCTAGATGGCGTATGTATCCGCCTTTTCCGCCGTGGAGGTTCTTTATTCGAAGTTCCCCGGTCCGCAGTCCGCTTGCGCAGAGGACCACTACCTACCACTGATTTCACAGTGTGACCGCCGATTGTAATAGTAGCCATTTCCGCTGGGAAGCGACGAGGGCGCATCCTGTCAAACGCGTTTTGAACCACATTAGGTGTATCTTCCTGTTCATCGGGTCGATTCATGTCTGGGGATTTTTCTGCTGAAAACTGCGACGAAAGGTTTTGGGAACCGTCGGGATTTGTTTTGTCGGTATCCCGTTCTTGAGATTCCTCAACGTCTATTTCTCGAGGCTTAACAGGTGTAGAGTCCGGTACCTGCGCAGGAGAAGTAGCAATGAGGGGTGGCACTGATCCTTGTCGGGGTGTTCGGGTAGGTCTATTTGAAGGTGTGGTATCGGTTTTTTCTGGGTTTTTACATGAGCTGAAACGCCCGAGGCTCTTTTGAACGCTCGGCTGCTCAGTCTCAACATCTTCCTCGGGCGTGTCTGTTTGTGCCTGTTCTTGAATTGGTGTGGCGGGAGATTCAGAAGTGCGCTGGCTGAGATTGCGAGCCGAAGCAAAACCTGGTAGAGCCCCTAGGGCTTGTTGCTTGGGCGTAGACAGCTTCGAGCCAAGGACTTGTGACTGGGGCACGGTCTGATCGGCGGATTCAAACAGTTGTATCAAGGACGTCTTGAGAGACTCGATCAATGCTCCCGCGTCATGGATTAAGATCTGTCGTTTGTCAGGTGACACATTCACATCGTAGGCGTCAGTGTCCATCTGGAAGTCTGCGAAGATAAATGGGGACTGGGAAACATTGAACGACTTGTAAGCTTCGTTGAAAGCCTTTGCAATTTGCGGTAGCCCACAAGGTCGCGAGTTTACAAAGAACATCTGCCGATCTGGTGTCTGACGTCCTTCCCCAAAAACAGGACGAGAGATATGGCCGCGCACAAGCATCTGGTTAGACTTTCTGTCTCCGTCTGTTCGTCTCATTGAGGCAGATGGTTCAAATTCGAGTTCCAAATCGAGAGGAATGAGTGCGGAAAGTGTCTTCGCTCCATATACATTGGCAATGTTCTCTCTGGTTGTGGGATTGCCGTTGGTGGAGAAGACCACCACGTTCTTCGTCTTTCCAACAGTGTTCCTGACATTGAACCGCACACCAGAACTGATGCAAGCGTATGCATGCAGTAGATTGAGCACTTTGCCATATTCTCGCTTGATGTTCTTTTCCAACTCGCGCCGGCGCACCGGAAGCCGCTTGAAGATTCCTTCTACCGACGCCGTAGTTCCTTTCTGACCGGCAACGATTTGTGTCTTAGACAGCTTCCCAGATGGCTCAAAATCGAGCCGGTTTGCGCGAGGGGATTGATTCGCTTGGGCTGTAACGATATGAAAGTCCGAGAGGGCGCAGAGAGACGACAGTGCTTCTCCGCGGAAGCCGAAGGTGTGCAGGCGCGAAAGGTCATCGTATGAGGAGAGCTTGGAGGTATAGTGCTTTAGAGCTAGTGAACAAATATGTAGTCAGCAACTGCGCCGATCTCTTGAGATATTCGTTCCTCCGGGCATACCAATATTCTCGTAGTTCTCCGGTGATATCCCGCTTCCATTATCTTGAACCTCGATCAAGTCCAGCCCGTTGTTTTTGAATCGTATCTCTGTGCATAAGAAACATCAGTGGCTCCTCGACAACCATAATCTGGGATGATGCCCATCCAGGCAAGCACTGACCGATCGTTGTTGCGCCTGCATCCAGACTATTCTCAACCAGCTCTTTTGCGACGGAACACAGGTCGACGATGACTTGACCGGATTGGATTTGGTGAACCTGGTAGGATCAGTGATTAGCAAATACGATTCAAACATTGCAAGGACCATATGACATACCGAGCGAGCTTCGATGGCCTGGATGGTCGCCATTGTTCATGCCATGTTGTCGAGATACGAGCGCGTCGCACTTTACGCGTGAAGTGCCAAGACCCGAGATCCGCCCGCTCCACCGCAGTCTCAAAGCTGTCAGCTCCACCAAACACGATGCATACTACGATGTACTACTACATCTATTATATCATACGTGTGCTTTCTTGTAAGATACCGCATGTGGATAGGAAATTGGACTGGAATGATGCTCATGCTACACTGCATATGTTCAAGTATAAGGTACTAAAAGAAAAAATACAATCGCTCAAAACGCCTCGGAATTTCAAAATCAGACTGTTAAGTACCAAGGTATTTCAAGCAGCAAAACGATCAGGCAGCACAACAGGCGCAACCAATGTCCACAGGTAAATCGCATAGCAAACCCAGGAGCTGACAATCTTCACCCAGCTGGCCCAATAGGTCCGGCCGACGGGCGCAAAGTCCATAGTGGTGTCGAGGTCTAGGCCTTGTGCCAGTAAGGTAGCCACCCAAGTCGTGGCCAACAAGAAAATAACATGGAAAAGAGAGTAGTTGTACTGAGTTGAACCACGTTCGTCATCTTTGCTACTGGTCTCAAACTCATCTTCGTCGTCACTTTCATCCAGAGCACTGGCCGGCAGACTGCCGCTCTCAACGGCCGCCCGGAGAGCCTCTGCACGCATCTCGCGGCGGTTGTTGGGCTGCTGGGTAACCAGTCCATGCTCGTTATCTTCGGTGCCCAGCTGACTATAGTCGTGACCACCCTTGGACCCAAGAGCGATGCCTTGAGTAGCCGCGCGAGTCGTAGTGTAGGCAATGGTAGCCATGGTGACAATGGCACCCAAGATGATAGTCACGGTACGCGTGCCACTAGAGCGGATCAAGGGGTTGCAGTTGTTGTCATCCGGCTCCATCGAGACAGCGGAAAGGGTGAGATAGGTGCAGTATACGGTGACCATAGCAGCCTGTGCCAATCCCGCTCGCGGGTTGGATTCTTGGACGGCGGGCTGAACCGAGACGAATGAAATGATCAGGAAAACGATCAAGTTGATCGTGATGGCAGCCTGATTCATCGAGCATCCACTGCGGGCAAAGAAGATGTACATCAAAATGGTCATGACAATCGAAGCCACGTACATGCCAAGAGTCGACCCGATGAGGAGACTACGCCATAGGCGCGAGTCGCTATCCTCGATCTTCTGGAGACAAAGCTCTGCCCATGAATGGGCCAGGTCTACCAGTAAGATCAAGCCCAGTAGGAGGAACAGCATGGCGCAGAAGAAGGCGATGTAATTGCCATAGACGAAGAAAAAGGGTTCTGGGATGAAAAATGACATGACCACCAACGCGAGCCAGACGATGATCTTAGGACCCCAAAAGCCATTCTGGAGGGCGGCGCGGCTATCTCGAGATGTTTTGACACCGAGAAGTAAGAGGGCAAGGATCAGATGGAACAGAGCGAGACCGAAGTTGATGCGATGGACGGCGACCCATCCGTAGCACTCCTTCCCGTCGCATCGGATTTCCATATAATCGAGAGTGAGATGTTGCAATTTCTTCATTGCCCATGGAGTAAGCATGATCCAGGAGACGATAGAGTTGACCAAGAGGATAAAGGCGTATGCGATTCGAGTCGCCATACTGAGTTGCGAGTTAGTTTGAACGTCTCGCGACTAGGCAGTCGGGATGACATCGTACCTGTTCTGAAACTTTCCACATGCACTGCAGACGGCAGAGCAGGTCGCGGCTCCACAGCATGACGTCCCAAGGGTGATGAGCTATTCAAGAAAGCAAGGACATCAGCCGAATGTTGTTGCATGACAAGGAAAGCCGACGAGGAGGCAAAGGCGAGACTTACCGTGCCCATACTGGGCACCGCCAGCAGCGGAAGGGATAAAAGAGCACCCATGGTGGAATGCGGGATGCAGGTGAGCCGGTCTCACCAGATCGCAGTGAAGATTGGTTCTCGCAACAGGCTCGAGATGTGTACCGAATTGAAGTAATGACCTGGGGGAGGGGCGCCTGGAAGAAGCGGAGGTGACGATCCCCAGCCTGTCTTCGTCATGTCACATGACTAATGACTAAGCACCGGGATCGGTCCCAATCTGAAGGTTGCCGGTACGAAGTATGCTCGTATTCAATGAGGATCGACAGGTTCGTGCAGCTACTGAGACCATATCGAAAATGCCCTGAAGAACGGTACTCTGTTCTCAATGTGATGAAATGAATATGACAGGCATTAGCAGTACAAACATGAATAAATGCACATTCACAACTTTAAACAGTCGTCGCTTATCGCTTTACATGACCCATGACGCGATCCCGCGCCGAGCTTGCCACCGGTCTTCGCTTGGGTCGCGCTCAACATCGTAGTATGCAATGTGAAATGACCGGACGGGCGTCCAGTCTGGGGTGGAGGCGTTCCTAGAGGCTGTCGGATGAATCAAATGACCCTCGATCGCCTCCCCACTGGACCCTGACACGCTCAACTTTAGATCAAGCCTCGCGTGACAGGCGTGGGACATGGGGCTTGGCACTCGGCAGAGCCCGGTGGAGCGCCCAGCCCGTGCTGTCTCCGTTATCGTGGCCTCGTCGCCGATTACGACGCTCCTGAAACTCCCCTTCGAAACCGCCCGTTGCGATATTCCACCTCAAGTCCTTCCTTACCCCGGGTCCGATGTTCCTCCCCCGGTCCGCCGAATCATTGATTGGGACCCCGAACGATTCGCTGTTTCGATAAAGACGAATTCCACTCGTGCCCGGACCCTCGGACTTCGTTGCGTACGACTTACCCAGCGAGGGCCAATTTCGAGAGGACACACGATCACTTTGACAACGATCACAATGGCTATCGCTTCTCATCAAACCGCTCGGTACATCTCTGTGCTCGCGGGCACCCTGGTTGCATTGTCCTGTGGAACCAACGTGCGTGATCTCCCGGCTATTTGCCGCAATCGATTTCATGGAACGCGATCGCTGATAATAACGTCCGCTAGTATGCGTACTCGGCATGGGCACCGCAGTTCGCCCACAAGATGAAACTGTCATCGACCGAGAGCAACTTGATTGTTAGTGTTAACATCGCAAGGAATTGAGGCTCTCCCGATGCTGACAATTGAACAGGGTGCTGCAGGAAATCTTGGCATGTACGCGATGGGATTCCCAATGGGCTTACTGACCGATGCGCGGGGCCCACGAATGATCACCTTGATCGGATCAATCTGCCTTGCGATTGGATACTATCCTATTTACATCTGTACGATTCTTCTATCTGCGATCCTACGGAGACTGAGCCCTAACGGAAGACAGCCTATGAACATGGAGAAGGTTCCGTCCCAATCATTTTCTTGTGTTTTTTTGCTTTCATGACAGGAACTGGTGGCTGCTCCGCATTTTCAGGAGCTATCAAGACCGGTACGCTTGACAGGTCGAGCCCCAACGGATAAATCTCCCTGATACTGATATTGTTCGCCAGCTGCCTCCAATTTTCCCGAAAGCCGTGGTACGGCCACTGCGCTTCCATTGGCCGCCTTTGGTCTCAGTGCCCTCTTCTGGTCCAACATATCCACCTTGGTTTTCAAGGATGATACGGGCCGCTTCCTTCTTCTCTTGGCCATGGGCACCTCCATTCTGTCCTTCGTCTCCATTCCGTTCCTTCGAATCTTCCCCATCGAGTCCTATTCATCTGTCCCTCGCCACGGTCACGAAGAGCCTGCTGAGTCTCGAATTATGCGCCGTCCCAGTGCTTCGTCTTTGAATGAGCACTCTGATGAGGTCCATAACTCCACAGCTTTCGCCCACGAGCAGTCAGCACATGCTCGCACTCAGTCAGCTGTCTCCAACCACCGGCTTGGTGGATACAACGGCGACCATGATGAAAGCTCGTCTCTTGTATCCAAGAATGATGGACGCCCTTCGTTTGATACTCTGGATGATGACTTCCTTGACGATGTGGCGACAGAGGCGCACCACACAGATATCAGAGGCCTGGCTATGCTTCGCAAAGTTGAGTTCTGGCAACTCTTTTTGACAATGGCTCTTTTGTCTGGAATTGGTCTGATGACTATCAACAACATCGGGAACAGCGCTAAGGCTCTCTGGATCTATTACGATGACAGCGCCTCCTCAAAGTTCATTCAGCAGCGGCAGGTTATGCACGTATCCATTCTCTCTTTTGGAAATTTCCTTGGTCGCCTGCTCAGTGGCATTGGGTCTGACGTTCTCGTCCAAAAGCTCAACATGTCGCGTTTCTGGTGTCTGTTCATCTCGGCCGTTGTCTTTACCCTCACCCAGCTTGCCGGATCTTCAATCTCCAACCCGAACACTCTCGTAATTGTCTCCGCGTTCACAGGCGTTGCCTATGGCTTCTTGTTCGGTGTCTTCCCCTCGCTGACTGCCCACACCTTTGGAATCGGCGGTCTTTCTCAGAACTGGGGTGTTATGACTTTGGCCCCCGTCTTTAGTGGCAACATCTTCAACCTCATCTATGGCACCGTCTATGACCACCACTCCGTTGTCAACTCTGAAGGCGACCGCGACTGCCCAGATGGCCTTGCCTGCTACCGGTCCGCTTACTATCTGACATTCTTTTCCGGCCTCGCTGGTATCATTGTCTGCCTGTGGAGTATCTACCGCGAGAAGCAGATCCACATTGCCACAATGAAGAAGTCTGGACACCGTCTCGCATAAACTCAGAATAATGAACACATGTTATCGCTGGGCTGGTAACCAACATCGGATGTGATTATTGCTACGTGGGACCCTATCCCTCGGCTCCCAACTTCGCTCTTATCTTGTTGGGCCCATCAGATCGCCTATCTCAGGATCGTCATTTGCTGGTCAAGTTCTCTATCGGTGGGCCACTCTTGTTGAGCTAGTATGTATTCATTGCTTTTTCTTTATAGACTTGTTACCTGGTGCATTTGTCGGTCTCTCTGATCCAAATTCTTCCATTACCACCGCCTTTCTCTGTCAATTCTTAATTTCTTACGCTGTACATATGAGTTGTGTCGGTGCTTGACTCCGAATCCATGTACTCTAGGTCTGCTATTGTTGTTTAGCCTTGACTGCTTCCTGCTGTAGAAACATAGACTGTCTTTGGTGGTATAAAGAAAGAAGATTGCTGCAACCACGCCCACGCTCGCTCCGTCTCAGACTAAACCCCCGCATCATGATATACCTCTTAGGTATACAGTTAGAACTTTGGATAAAGATGGTGCCAACGTCGCTTTCACCGTGGCCTTCTTAATCTGGCGGCTACATTCTACCTACTACTGTATCATGGTTTCTTGCGCAGCCACCTATCTGGTCAGCGACAGCGTTGGTCATCTCATAGATACTACGTGATCACCCACGTAATCAGCGCTCCGGTTAGCTACATGTACTCTGGAGACTGATGTGCCACGGTCCAAGACAAACAAAGAAAGTATGTATCAGAGTAGAAAGTCTAAGATATCAAATAATTTCTACTTGAATGGTAAAGGAAGTAATAGTAATACTTGAACACTTCAAGTTGAGGGATGGAGTGTGGCTGTATCAATTTCCTAAAGAAAATTAGGATATAAAAAATTGTAATGGATCCAAGAAAGTAAGCGTTAGCGAGAGATTAAGCACCTTTTGATATGTGATTTGCCTTTCATCAATAACAGCTTGTCCGACCTTCCACGCCCTTGTGTTCGCAACAGCGACGAGAAAGAAAAGGAAAGTAATATTAGAAGCTTATTGAGATTTCGTACACAGACCCGCGGTAGGCAATTAAAAAACAAGACGACGAAGAACAAGGTTAAAGTTGGAGAAAAGAAGAAACTAGAATCGATCAAAAATCGAACTTTTTTGGGTTGAAGAGAGTTCCAGCCACCGATGAGAGAGTCGGGAAGGGTATCAAAAAGACCAGGGAAGATCGGACAAGCCAGCGATTGCGCCGTGGAGTTGGGACATAACCAAGCGAGGGTGGGTGCACGCCCGATACAGCTAAAGGAGTAGAGAGTTTAGGCGCTCTTCGGAGATTTCACTTGCGATGGAGGCTCCTCGGAGGATTGCTCCACCACATCTGAAAGTCGAATCCGCTTAGCCTGAGGTTCTGAACTATCCAGATCGCCGGTGCCACTAGTTCCCAGTTGGTGCTCGAGTTCGCTGACTTGGCGTTTAAGGTCCTCTTCGCGGCGCTGCGATTCTTCGAGTGACCGACGCAGACGAGCCTCGGAGTCCCGAGCGATCATTTCCGACCGACGCGCACTAGCGTCGCTCTGTTCCAGCTCGGCAACGCGACCCCGGAACAACTCATTGATCAAGTCTAGCTCACTAACACGAGTTTTCAGGGATGTGTTAAGGGCCAGAAGACTCTCGTAGGTTTGGGGATTTTCCAGCTGACGATCAACAGCCGAGGGGGACGGTTGGCGGAGCGGGAGGGAGGATAGACCGGTAGACGAGTTCAAGGCATTGTCACCTCTAGTGACGCTGTCGAACATGTGCTGCGGTGCGATATTCGAGTTGTGCGCCTGCATCGAGCTAAAGCCGGGTGTCTCAGTTCGCGACAAGGGGGAATTGGAGCGATCCGAGTGGCCTGGGGACATCTTACGCGACGCGCGACGATATCCATGTGAGCCCAGGGGAGGTGTTCCAGCATCGGCTTGTCCCGTAAAACCGTTGCCATCGCCAGGACCACCAGACTAAAAAGTTGTAGCGGGTCAGCGATGGAGAAAATTCTTAACTGGAGACAGCGACGACGTGGTCGCGGAGCATTCTGGAGACACACTAACCTTGCGTTTGGGACCCTGGCCAGTTTTCACGCGGTTGCGACTCTTGATCACATCGGTCTTCAGGCTTATCGGGCGAGGTCGCCCGTGCAGCTTGAGGAACAAGCCGCAGGCATTGCAGAGTACGGAGCCGAGTTCGTCTCGGCGCCAGAGAGGGGTGGTTGAGGTGCCGCAGTTCTGGCACACTGGCTGTAATTGAGGGCGCTTGTCGTCAGTCAAAGTGGTCGCCATGGTTTGGGGGAAATGAGACTGGAGGAGGAGGAAGAGGGAGTGATGATAAGATTGGAGAGAGATTTGAGTCGATAAGGATTGCAAGCGCACGGATCGGGTGGTGCCAAGCCCCAGCCCGGTTCGCCGATTACAGAGATAAGTGATAAGGGGATGAAAATTGCCCGCTCCGAGGGTCCCAGGCTACCCCCAGGTAGACGAAGGAAACCCAATAATGATGGAGAATAATGTACTAGGGGGAAACTTGTACTTACAGGGCCGTTGCCTTGGCCACCGGTGGTGGCTGCGGGGGAAGAGGTTGCGTAGCTTATGTTCGCCATGTTCCCATTTGCATCGCTGGACTCACTGCGGTTATCTGGTCAGCCAATCCATGCGCATTCATTCGTCCACCAGCTCTCCTGCAATGGAGGGAGGGGTACAGAGCACACGGAGACAAGAAGAAGGATTCGATTTTAGGATGGGAAGGGGAAACACGGCCATCAAATCTGGTTGGTGTTCGTCTGAACATACCGTAAATTTGAGGTGGGAGCCGACGCGACCGAGGCGAGTGCTGCGAGCCCAGGCAGAGAATGATGCACGGAACCTGAGCCAGGGAAATTGTCTTTATACTCGGAGCCCGGAAGCTTTCCAATGCTGCTCAGATCGGACAAAGCTGGGGAGAATTGCTTGGAGATATCTGCAGCCACGGAGGGTGGCTGGGAAGCAGAGGTGTCGGAGGGGGAATCGAAACGCGGGAGGTCGGAAGTCTGGTGAGCGGACGAGGCCGATTTGAGCGCCGGGTCGATAGGCGACGCCGGGTAGAGGATGGAAGCCACGATGGAGGGCGAGGATGAGGATTCGATCGAAATCCGGCCGAGGACCGAATTGAAAGGTCAAGGGGGAGGAGGCTATCGAGGAACGATCGCGCAACGGTCGAGGTATTGGTAAATGAGGGCCAATTGACAGGCTACTTTCGGAATAAACCGTCTGGCAGTCAACCAAAAATGAAGGAATCGTAATTATAGACGCGCTGTAGGTGTTTTGAGAATCACAATATCGCGGCTGATCCAAGCTCTCTTGCAACGGAGCGCAACACGAGACTGCCTCGTCAAGAGGGGACCGCGCAATGAGAAGTGAAAGCAGAGAGGACGAAAAATGACAAAGTCGAACCGTCGAATCGCGCACGACTTCGACGATGCGCTCAGGAAGGTCCGGGGAGGTGAAGATGAAGAAACAAAGTGGATCTTATTCCGACAATCGCTGTTATTATCGCCGTATCGAAATTATCACTTATCGCGCATGCCGCAGGCCAAGTCACGGGAGAACCCAGCCATTGGAGTCCTCACTGGCACGGCCAGGACGGGAAATCCCTCTACGGATTGGCATGTTCCCCAAATTGCTGTTACGGAATGCCATGGCCATGGCCGCATCGTGGATCTCTTGCCCTGGGCCCAATTCCATTCCATCGTAACTACCAGCTATTGGCAATTGAACGACACAATCATATTTCCTTCGTACCTAGATCAATCAATTCATCGGAATATTATTTTTTATCTACCCATGCCTTATATGTGGAGACCGGGTATTGTTTCCCTCGGCGAGTCTAGTACAGCTCTGCGTGGTCAAGTGTCGACACCCTGCGTCTCGCGGAGAAATGGGTTGTGCCCTTTTGTAATAACATACAGTTCCAGACGGGAGAGGCTACTTGAGGGTAGTACCTACTGTGCCGGGAGCATACTACGTAGGTCTCGGGGATATCAAGTGACTGGGTGGCCCTCTTCACAAAACCTTGGAAGAAAGGCAACTTGTCATTGCCACTATGTGCATAGGCCATTTCCCAGCAGCTGAACGATGATAGCGTTGACGACGACCCCTTTTATGCTGATGGATAAGGGGGTCTCCAGTGGGACCCACCGCCTTGTGGCGGTGCGTATCTTTATTACCTGTCTTCTGAAACTATCCTCCGTCACGCCATGCTTTAGATGCGTTCTGCCGCAAAGGATACCGACCGCCTCAGTAAGTGACATGTAAAGACCACCGGGCCCCGAGCGCCCCCTGCCTCGCCATGTCTGGCCATAATAATATCGTCCATGACGGGATGCTATTGCCCGTCTAAACTACTATCCTTGAATCACCCTCCTCTCCCGTGATGGATTAATCTTCTTTTCGTGTCTCTCGTTACCATTGCAGTCCTTGCTTTCGTCCGCTGTGGCAGGCCTGCCTTCTCTTCTAAAACCCCTTCCATAGAATCGCCGGTCCTTCACCATGCCGAAAAACCGCCCGGCCACGTCGGGGTACGCCCGTCTCGCCCAAGAGGAGGAAGAACGAGGTTATCTCCATGACGATTCGGATGACGACGACCTCGCCGCAGTTTCTTCGACAGTGTCGACTTCAGCTCCTCGCTATGCCCCGATTTCCTCCCGAGCCCAGATGCAGGCGTCCGGCCTCACCACGCCCCCCGGCCATCGTCGCAGACACAGTGGATTCTCGAGACGCGGGCGGCGGAATTCTGGAGTTGATATCAAGGCAATCAATGCGCGTCTCGAGCGATGGGCGGAAGAGATTGCCGCTAAATTCAAGATCAACCGGGTCAAGGGAAAGACCTACGAGGAAGAAAAACTGGAGATTTATCACTCAGTCTTCCAAGCACCGGATGGTGTAAGACCCGTAACAGCAGAACATCTTGAGTCAGATGAGTTTGAGGGTCAACAGCGAAGAGCCCGTGCCGAGTTCGAAGAGATTATCGAAAGTGTACGCCTGGCAATCGAGCTGGATGTCCACCCGCGAATGATTTCCCAGGGAAGCTCAGGTAGTTATTTTGCTCGAAACCCAGATGGAAAGGTTGTTGGTGTCTTCAAGCCCAAAGACGAAGAACCGTATGCCTCTCGGAACCCCAAGTGGACCAAATGGATTCACCGGAACCTATTCCCTTGTTTCTTTGGCCGAGCGTGTCTTATTCCCAACCTGTCTTACGTCTCCGAAGCCGCCGCATATGTCCTTGATGCCCGCCTACGCACAAATATGGTACCCTACACCGATATCGTTCACCTGTCCTCGAAATCGTTCTTCTATGACTTCTGGGACCGTCGCAAGGCATGGAAGGGAAAGAAATCGTTGCCCTCGAAGGCAGGTAGCTTCCAGGTTTTCCTGAAAGGATACAAGGATGCCAATATTTTCCTCCGCGAACATCCTTGGCCAGACCAGGCAAATCCTGGGTTCCGCGCAGAAGACGCTCCCAAGCGCAAGAAGCGCCCATGGAACGAGGCTTGCCGTCCCTCCGGTGTGCAGTCTGATGATGAAGACGACGATGAGAATGGCCATATGCCTTCGCCAAATCCCCGGGATGAAAGCGCGGAGAGACGGTTCCACTGGACAGAGAACCTCAAGCAGTCATTCCGAGAAGAGCTGGAGAAACTGGTGATTCTGGACTACATTATGCGCAATACCGATCGTGGCTTGGACAATTGGATGGTCAAGATTGACTGGGGTAACGAACAAGTATCGCTTGTTGCGGACCCCCCGAAGCCGAACGATAAGCCCAAACATGACGAAGATGAGCTTATGCCTCCGCCTCGTCCTGTATCCGTGAACTCGAACGGCACAAATTCTTCCCACCCCTATCGAAGACACGAAACTATGATGGCTGTGAGCCGTACAGGAACGCCTCTGGCCACCTCTGAACAGTCGGCTTCAATCCAGATTGGCGCCATTGATAACAGTTTATCATGGCCTTGGAAGCACCCTGATGCAGTAAGTCTCTCTTCACCAGAATTCTTTGCCCATAGCTCACACATTGCTAGTGGCGGAGTTTCCCCTTCGGATGGCTTTTTCTCCCTGTTTCCCTAATCGGCCAGCCCTTTTCGCAAAAAACGCGTGACCATTTCCTCCCGCTTTTGACATCTACTGCATGGTGGAGCGGGACGCAGATGGCCCTCCGCCAGGTATTTGCCCAAGATGACGACTTCAAAGAAAGCATGTTTGCGCGCCAAATCGCTGTTATGAAGGGCCAGGCTTGGAACGTTGTCGAAACCTTGAAGCAACCAGACCATGGCCCGCTTGAACTGACTCGTCGAACTCGAGTCTGTGTTTGGGACGACCTGGTGGACGTGCCCGTCGCCATTCCAATGAGAACTCCTGCGACGGACCAAAGGCAGCATGCCATGAATTATGACGATGACGAAGAAGAGATGGATATTGGCGCGGCCATCTCTTCCCAAGACAACAGCCATGATTTACTGGGTCTCGGCTCCTCACCGAGCGAGCTCCCCAATCCCAATCGGTTCGAGCTCTCCCGTGGCCGCACTGATAAAGATGGCCATCGAGCCACTGACTCGATTGGCAGTGGCCCTGATACCTTCGACGATAATATGTCTCGCAAAACAGCCGATGGTGCCTACGCCAGGTCTTTGGACGGAGGATGGCCTTCTCTTCCTGCTCGACCTCAAAAGCATCACCGACAAGGCGGTTCCGTCTCTTTCCGCATGCCTCATGTTAACACTTTTGGCAGCGATGATCTCGAAGGTGATCTAGGATACGCTGCTGCTGAGGATATGGAAGGCAACCAACGTAAGGTTATTGTGGAGCGACTAGAAGCCGTAAAGAGCAAAAACCCCGTCTTCACCTGGTGCTAAGAACCCTTTACTTCTTTGGCGTTGGCCTCGTTCCACTTTTGCCTCAAAACCCCCAATTTTTCTCATCTTCCTTCCCATTTCATGCCATTGCATTTTTTTTCTCATCTATTTAATCCGGCAGATGTTTCCTTTAGCGTCCTCTTCTCGCGGCCGGCTGGGCCTTGTCTAAGTGTCAAGCAGTCTCGTTCATCCTTTCATCATCTTTGTTTTCTCCGGGACATGTCATCGACGTTCATACCGACGCGTTGCATGTGTCTCCTTTTTTTTTTTTTTTTTTTTTTCTTAGAAATTTCGCACGACATGCTCATGATTGGGGGATTTGTGTTGTATATAGACCTTCTGAGTGTTCGGATTGCCTTGGGCGGCGCATTGATTGAGCGCCTCATGTCGCATATATGACGAGACTTAATTACATGATACCATCGTCCATACCTAATGGCACCTAATTTTCAATAGGCTCAGATCGCTGGGGATGGCGAAAGGCCGTCTAGGGTATGCTGTTAGGCTTATCGTCACATTTGACACCCGGTAGATTTGAAAAATCCGAAAAATCCGAAAAATAAATCAGAAAATCAGCTCCGTCCTAGGCACCTTACCTAGAAATTACCTAGGGAATGCTGTAACTTGTGGGTGTCTTTTGCACGACTGGATTAAAATCGACGAGTGAGTGAGTGGGCTTATCGGCGGGATCTTCCGAGTAACGAGTGAGGTCATGATCAAAGCCGCGCTTTGATTTCGAAACCTCTTCAACTCTGCAACCACGGGATCCTCGACTTCCTCGCTCCTTTACCTTCTTTTCTCGCCCGCTCGCAAATGTCGCGACGCCTCCACGGTTCTGTGCGGGGTGCGCGTCCGTCATTCACTCGGCTGCGTGGTCACCTGCGCCCTTTCTTCTCGTGAGCCTCACTGCCATCCGAATACCCTGAACCTCTCACTCCGCACCTGGGTTCATCTGGCCTACGCCCACCCCAGGTCTAGCATCTGGACCTCGACACCTCCTCATTCTTCTCGGTATCATGGCGTCACAGGCAGCCAGGTTACTGGAGCCGAAGGCCTATAAGAAGAGCCTACAGAGCAATGGTACAGTGTCTAACCCCTCCCTCTTCGCTTATCTTCCCACATAGCCAGGATCAAATGTGATTTTGTCACATGTTCCTTACCTATGGAAATTTTGATTGAACCGTGGGCTCACATCTCTCATTTTCAGCAGGCGTCATTCAAAACAGACCTTCTCACAACCATACCAACTCTATTGCCCCTCCGGGAATAGTGCAAACCATGCGCACCCTCGATACCGACTCTCCAAAGTCATCTTCGAGGACAACCTCAGCTGCTTCAAGTCCGGCACCGAACAATCCTCCTCTCGAGCCCAATCCAAGGCCGGAATCCGACTTGACTGTGCAGTTCACGGGCAGAGATGATGGCAACGAGAGCGACGCAAAACGCAGCCACTACGATATCAGCGATGGTGAGGATGATCCAGGTCACCGAAATTTAATCGAAGACGTTTATGGAGTGGAACAGCGCACCCATCAGCCAACCAAGAGAAAAAAAACGGAAGATTCTCAGACTCAGAACTCGGCCAAGCCAGTCGCCATATCGGGGGGAAGTGATCTGGGAAAGTGGATGAAAGAAGGCGAGTCGACACCGGTGCCTAAAGCCTCTGTGCAAGACGTGGTGGACTTGACGGCGGAGGCTGCTGCCAAACCTAAAGAAGACGACGACGACCTGCAGGTTACCGGATCAAACAATATCGGCATTCAGAAAGTCTGCTACGGCAAGATTGACAATGCGATGATCAATGCATACCTAGTCCCAAAACCGCCTCGCAACATTCCGTTCGCCGATGACTATCCCCATTGGCCGTCTATGAAGCTCGGGGTGCACCGATCAGACAACACCAACAACTCGCGCATTGACGTTACGGATCCATGCGGAAAAGCGTTTGGTACAGTGGACGCCAAAACCGCACGAGCTCTCTGCCCTCTGATGGACTCGCCAACCGTACCGTTAGAAGTCGTCATGCGCCTAGATATGCGCAAAAAAGTTCCAGCAGAAATTGCCTGGGGAGCAACACAAAATGTCTATCGGGCCTCTCTTACACTCTATGGCGAGCGTGCAAAGGCACAGGTCATCGGCAAATACCTTGGCCAAAATAACATCTGGCTTGGTACACCTGTTTTTATGGAACGAGGAGTGCCCTTGTTCAACCCGCATGTACAGCAAAGACAGCAAATGGCTGCAGCTGCGGCAAGCAATTCAGGGCGCAATCGTGCGAGTTCGAATGTCAGATACGAAGTCAGGACGGCCGAAGAGGTGAATGATGCTGTGATGAAAATGTTTGATCAACTCATCACAGCAGACATTCCCAGCATGGAGCCCCCGCCAAAAATCAAGACCCCTCTTCTGCGCCACCAAAAACAGGCGCTTTGGTTCATGACGGAGAAAGAGAAGCCCCGCAAGTTTGGACCGAAAGAAGAAGACAACAACTCCTTGTGGCGAATGGATCGCAAAAACGGTCGTACCCAGTACCGAGAAATTATCAGCGGGGTAGTCTCTGATCAAGAACCAGTTCAATCTTTTGGTGGCTTACTTGCTGACATGATGGGCCTCGGGAAGACCTTGAGTATTCTCTCTTTGACCTTGTCCACTCTGGATCAAGCCAATGTATGGGCCCAGGCCCCACCTAGTTCCGATCTCGTTCACGAATTCCCAGGAATTCGAAATACGAAGACAACTCTTCTTGTGGCTCCCCTGAGTGCTGTCAACAACTGGACCACACAAGTCGCGGAGCATCTTGAACCAGGGGCCCTCAGTTTTTATGTGTTCCATGGCCCATCTCGTGTCACCAATCTGGATGCACTTTCCAAGTTCGACTTGATTATCACTACATACAGCACGATTTTGAGTGAGATTTCCGGGCGGGGTGCGAAACGTGGTAGCCCTTTGGCCAAGATGAACATGTTTCGGATTGTTCTCGACGAGGCTCATGCCATTCGAGAACAGAATGCACAACAGACCAAAGCGATACTGAGTCTCAATTCGCAGCGCCGATGGTCCGTGACTGGAACGCCTATTCAGAATCGCCTGGAGGACCTCTTATCTGTCACCAAATTCTTAAAACTATACCCGTACGATGACCGTGGCCGTTTCGGGCAGCATATTTTGAGTCCTTTCAAATCCGGGAACCCCAGTGTTCTGGCCAGCCTCCGTGTCCTTGTTGATTCTTTCACGCTCCGCCGAGTCAAGGACCGAATCGACCTTCCTCCCCGAGAAGATGCAATCATCATGCTCGATTTCTCTGAAAAGGAGAAACAACTTCACGAATTTTTCCGCAACGAGTCCAATGTCATGATGCGTGTGATTGCCGGAGAGAGCAAAACGTCGATGGGAGGCCGTGTATACCATCACGTTTTGAAAGCCATGATGATCTTGCGGCAAGTCAGTGCACATGGAAAGGAACTTCTGGATGTCGAGGACAGGGAAAGGACCAAAGGGCTCAGTGTGCAAGATGCCATTGATCTGGAAGAGGGCGTGGCAGATACGAGCACGGCCGCTTCGAACAAGAAGGCGTACGAGATGTTTTCCCTCATACAAAACGCTGGGGACAATACATGCCACATTTGTCGCAAGGATCTCGAAGAGCAAGAAACCGAAAATGGCACCGTCGACCAAGATGTCCCATATGCGATCATCTTGCCTTGCTTTGATGTGATTTGCCCTGAGTGCTTTGCAAAGTGGCAAAAGTCGCTAGACCCTACCTCTGAGATGGTCAAGTGCCAAGCTTGTGATGGATGGGTATCCAATACCCACTCTAAAATCACCCCTGCGGGGTTGGTAGACTTCAACGCCAAGCGAGATTCAAATCGCAATTCAAAGAAATACATCAAGCATTTTGGCGAGTACGAGGGGCCGCACACCAAGACTCTTGCGCTCATTCATCATCTGCAGTCAGCAAAGGCTGAAAGTGAGGCGTTGAAACTGAAGAAAGAGCCACCGATCAAGAGTGTTGTCTTTTCTTCTTGGACGTCACACTTGGATCTGATCGAGATTGCTCTAATCGACCATGGTTTGAAATCTTTTACCAGGCTTGATGGCACCATGTCTCTGCAGGCTCGTGGCAAAGCGCTCGAGACATTTGCTCAGGATGATTCTGTTACCATTCTCCTGGCTACTATCGGTGCTGGTGGTGTGGGTCTGAACCTTACATCTGCGTCCCAGGTTTTCATCATGGAGCCGCAGTACAACCCCGCTGCTGTGGCACAGGCCGTGGATCGTGTTCACCGACTTGGCCAAAAACGCCCTGTCAAGACTGTCAAGTTCGTCATGAAGGGCAGTATCGAGGAAAAGATCATGGATCTGGCGAAGAAGAAGCAGCAGCTTGCGGATATGTCCATGAATCGCGGCAAGCTGGATAAACGAGAAGTACAGGAAGAACGCATGCGGGAATACCGCAGTCTCTTCAGATAGGCATTTTTTACCTTCAGGATGTTCGTTATGCGTTTCATGGTTTCGGGATCTTTTCTAGGTCGCTTGGGAATGGCGATAGATAGGAAATTTTTGCTGATTTTCACAATTGATACCCAGGCAAGGAAGCAGACTTTTCATTTCGTGCTTCGTTTCTCCAGGCGTCTAAATTTTCGCGTGCTTTCGTTCTTTGATCTTACACATAATGCCTGGGTTTTTCTGCTTCGCCCCATTTGCACTCGAAAGATTTGATGGCATATTTACAATCTTCATATATACTTTAATAGACTGGGGCCATCGGATTTAGTGCTCGGAACCTGAGCTGAGAGTTTGAAATTATATGATGTGCAAGTAATCCAAGTAGCTCGTATCATTCACATTGTATAGAGTACTGGACATATCCAAGCGAGGCATGTCCCTCAAGAAGATGAAGTGTGCTGACGGGGCGATCCGGTTGAGTTGGCGTAATGTCTCGGTTTCAGCTTTCAACTGCTACCTAGAATTAAGATCGAGTCCAATACGAATCAACTTTGGCACATAAGCACGGAACCTTCTGTTCTACTCTCTTTCACTTGGGCCCGTTGCTTGAATATCCCTCTATCCATGAGGGACATGGAGTAATGACTGAGTCCGAGACATACTTCGTACATCCCAGGTATTGTCTACGAGACCAGGGTAGTTGTCAGACTTAATTATAGGAACTTGAGTGAGCGTTTCCCATTATTTTCCGGACAGCCCGAGACAAAATGATGTCCAGGGATCAGCTAACCAGCCAAGACCCTGCTCATCATTGGCAATGATATGAGTCGAACTTATAAATATTGGCACCGTTGTTCCTCTCCAGTGTTCCCAGATCATACCAAATACAATAATTTGCAAGTTCTCAGTACTATAAACACATAGAATTTGTCCCTTTCATCTGAATTGAGTTCGGCTTCTTAGCACAAATCCCAAAATGAAGTTCTACACTACGGCCACTACAACCCTCCTCTTCACCACCGGCCTTGCCTGTGATTTTCTCGATATTGGACGAGACTGCCACTGGGAAGGAACCGCGCCTGATTGCGGTACCATCAATCACGATATTGGATACGTCGACCCCGCAGGCCGTACTCTTGTGGGCTGGACAAGAGGAATTGCTCTCGAGTCGTTCTGTGACCGGGAGAAGGCGGGCGGAGGTAATTGTTGCGGCGACTACGGCCATGGCTGCCAGAGTGGCTACAAGCGACTTTGGTGCAAGAACTACAATGTTGGACACATTGAAGGCCACGTTGGAGCTGTGGTGGATGATGCTCTTCACACTGTCGACAATGTTCTGAGTCATGTGTTTTGAACTGGTAGTCTTGGCTTGAGCCTATGCTGGGGGTTTCTGGTTATGAATGACTATGGTCGAATACTCTAATTGGTGCTGTTGTTCCTTGAGGGGGCGGGATTGCAATACTTAAGCTGCAATTTCTTCAACTTGAATTGGATCTGAGAAAGAGTATTCCCTTGAGTCTTTTAACTGATATATGCAAATTTGATTGTTCCTTATGCGTAACGCCTTGTCTCCTTTGAAAAAGCCATCAAAAACACCGTCTGGATACCTGGAGCCAATGAAAATAATCGATATAAAATAGAGTGTGGTAAGCTGGTTCAGGGACTGATGGAAGTGGTGTGTCAAGTTCAAGTGTGCTTGCTCCGCGAGAGGAAAGCCAAGGCATGCACATATGTTCCTCCACAACCTAGGACATTCTCTTCCTTATATGGTTCTAATCGAGAGATTGACGAGCCTTAATTGTAACAGATTCGTCAGTTTTTGATTACCCAGGCATGGTGATGGAGAGTAGAAAGTATCCAACTAATAAACTCCTCTCGAGACGGCCCCTAGCACATTCTCCAGTCTCCCTCGCAGCTTCTTCAACTCCAGCGCCTTGGCCTCGCGTTTCTCCTCAACTTCTCGAAGCTGCACCTCTAGCTCACGAATTTTGGCCTCTTGCTCTGCCTCTGAGGTCCCAATGCCGGGCAAAACTGAGATGAGGTATTCGATCTGCTGTTCCTTGATAATGAGGTCCCGGGCGAGCTCACGCTGTCGACTGGCAAATGTGCGTGGCGAGTCTGGTTCGAGAGGAAGGTTTGGATCTTGAGATTCTGCAGATCCTGCAGCTGCGCCGGGTTGTTGAGGTGGTGGAGGTGGAGATGCGGCCGGACCGGCGCCTCCAGCGCCTGCAGATGCCGCAACTGACGCCGGTATGGGTGGAGAGGTTGTGGTCTTGGACATTTTGGCGAGAGCTGGTGCGGAATCGGGGGCGTTTGGAGGTGGGATGGCGGGGGAGTTATCATGGTAAGTGCTGAGATAGCCTAGTGTCGCATAGAACTGAGTTGCGAGCTGTCGAGTGCATTCAAGTTAGTTGGCTGAGATACCAAGAGAAGCGAGGGCATCATACCTGATCCAGACATGTCTGCAGCTGTGTGAGAATATCAGCCATGGCGGGCGACTTGGGAACTGGAGAAACCGGCCGGTGGTGAAGCTCTTTGTCAAATCCGAAATGCGTGCGCGGATGGAAATGCTGAGAGAGGCTTCCAATGCGGTGAGGCGATCATTCACTTCAACTTTCAACTCAACACCACTCAATGCGACATCTGCTGCCACGCAATGGGCTCGCTGCCAGGTGCTTATGGGCACCTCCAATATACCCCATAAATCCATTCCGCCGCTCATTTACCAATTCACGGGCTCACTATGACCTCTCGCCTTTCACATGCCGCCTATATAAACTCCCCTCCGCGCCATCTCCGCCCTCCCAGAACCACAATAGCCTTGCGACCTTCCTCTCCTATGCCGATCGCATATCACTACCGACCACGAGCACGGTCTATATAGGCACCCATTACGAATATACAGTCCTCGAGAGTCTCCGCCGGTACGCGCTTGCCTTGCATCGCGTCGGCGGGCGCGACGATGCGGGCATCGACTTGGTCGGCACCTGGCACCTGCCAGAGCGAGAGCGGGAGCGCGCAGTTCGCGTGTTGGTGCAATGCAAGGCACTGAAGGCGAAATTGGGGCCGAACCTGGTGCGTGAACTTGAGGGCGCGCTCCGTCAGGCGCCTGTTGGATGGCGCACGAGCCAGACGGCGGGCGTCCTGGTGAGCCCGCGCGAGGCAACCAAGGGCGTGCGAGACGCGCTGGCACGGAGCTCATATCCACTTTTCTGGATGCTGGTCGAGCGAGACGGCACGTTGAGACAGGCGCTGTGGAACGCTCGTGCCGAGGAGCTGGGTTTGGACCCTCTGGGTGTGGAGACGAGGTACAGAACTGCGGCGTCGGAATTGGGATCTATCACCACGGAGACTACCTTGACTTGGGATGGATATGATATTCCAGATATGGACCAAGTGGAGTCCGAGTTGGCCCGGCACGAGCAGCAGTGGGTTGCATCGTGGGGACTAGATATACCCGAGTCGGAAAAAGATAGACTGTTGGATACTGTTGAGAAGATCTTCCCCCAAGGCCATCCAGACCCAGCAGCAGATGGCAAGGTGCCCAAGGAGCACCGAGAAAGGATTATGCAGGCACTAGCGAGCGTTGATCGCCCCTAAGATAGACAGACTATCGTGCCACTATTCCCGGAAAGAAGAAGCAAAGAAAATTCTAGGTGATATTATGATCCTAGCAACAGAGAACACAGTTTGGGGGTATAACAACTCCAATCATTGAGCAATTGTCCATCCACCAAAAATAACGCCCGTAAACCCACACCTGCATAGTTTCATCAATTTATCCCTGCATCGTAGACCAAAAGTAATTCGAGTAGAAGAAGCGGGAGAATTTGGGATCGATGTTGACGACATGCACATCGCCCTTGCGACTGTTGCGGATAACTGCCCGGTGGAAATTGCCGGCATCGTCGGGCTCAATGTCAATTCCCAAGGATCGAAAGATCTTCAAACGCAAGCTGTTCGGTTGTTAGTATGGTTTAGTCTGATGCATGGGAACGACCACTCACATTGTTGCGTCATCGGCTTCGCGCTCACGACGAGTAGCCTCATCGCCCTCGAGGCCCTGCGACTCGAGATCGGCCAGCCTCTCCTTCAGCATTTCCAGCTCACTCTCGAGACGTTCACTTTCAATCTCCAGCTCCGAGGCTGCCTTGGCGATGCGGAACTTCTTTGTGTCTAGCTCAACGATTTCGGCGGCGTGTTTACCGGAGTCGTGAACCGCGACGGCTTCATCGTGTTGAGTGGTCAAGGAATTGAGATTGCGGGATAGTTTGCGCAGGGCTGATTCGGCCTCACGAATGCGAAGATCGCGCGACTGCTGTAGAGTGGAGAGGGAATCATTGATGCGAGTGACGGCCTGTTTATCGGGGTGGATGTTGAAATTGCCAATTGTGTGGTGGATGAGCTGAGAAAGTCAGTGTCAAGAACAGCCGGGGCTAACAGAGAAGAACCATCCAGTACATACAGTTCCAGGATCCTCGTCGAGCAACATGGTGGGCGGGTTTGGAGGAAAGTGCTTATACGAAATGTGAAGGGTGGCGGAGGGATGTTTTGATTGTTGCTGCCGCAACAAGCCACAGCACCGCCACATGTCGGTCCTCCGAAAGTGACGTTGGCCTGTGACTCTCGGCATCTCGCTCGCTCGGCTTCAAGTGGAGTTCTCGTCTTCTGACCACCACAACTCTCCACCCTCACCCCGACCAGCTCTCTAGCTTACTGCGCTCACCATGGGAAGAAGTCCAGGTATGTGATACCCGCACCCACCCGAGACTTTTTCGCTCTACTGACCGTTTTTGCAGAAATCGAGGCAGCTTTCCGGTTTGTCGCGCCCCCGAGCTTTCCTCCGCCGGCGATGAAACATCAACTGACGTAGGCATTTTCCTGCTCGAATTAGGCCGCTCAGAGCCGGTGAGCTCCAGGTGCTGCGCGCACAATACGAGAAGGAGGGCATGTATGCCGGCGTCCAGACCAAGTTCAATTACGCGTGGGTAAGACGATCCATTCTCCAGACGTCTCCACCACATGGAACATGTGCTAACCTGGCCTCTCCGCCTTTACGGAGATTGGGCTTCCCATAGGGCTTGATTTGCGAAGACACACGGTCTGATCAGCAAGAAGGTCTGCGTCTGTTGGCCGAGATCTTCAGGGCCGCCCCGGAACGTCAACGGGAATGCCTCTGGTACATGGCCCTGGCCAATTATAAGCTGGGCAACTACGGCGAGTCCCGACGACTCAACGATGCCCTGCTCGAGCATGAAGGCAAGGACGAGCAGGGTAAATGGAAGAACCGTCAGGCATCGAAGCTGGAGGATGCGATAAACGAGAAAGTGACGAGGGAGGGCCTGATGGGCATTGCGATCATGGGAGGCTTAGCCGTCGCAGCGGGCACGGTCGCCAGCCTGGTTTTCAAGGGTGTCAGAAGACGGTGAGCGTTGGGATTGGCGTTGGCCGAGCAGCCTGCAAGGGCTGTGGCACAGCCGGACGGGCAGTCCTTGCGTCGCGGGACTCGCTGTACTGTATTATGTGAAGGTGTTGAGGTTCCCTCTGGCTCTCCTTTGTATTAGCATCTTTGCGGGCGTTTTCTTTGTTCATCTCTAACGATCTGGTTCTTTCACATGTCTCTACTCTTTTACTGTCGCTCCTGATGGGACGCGCTCATTTCCTACAAATCAGGTCCTGCTAGTAGGCTTCAGTGGACATATAAACTCCGAGGACTATACATCCCTAGGATCTATCCTCGGCGGCAGGGCGTTTCACTGCCCAAGCCAATGAGCCAACTAGGACCCCGTTCGCTGAGTTGGTTGGATCCAAGGAAATAGAAGAGAACCATTATAGTTCAAACGTGTACCGACCATTGGGCGATATGGCAGTAGGGCTGTCGGTGTTGCTGGCGGGTTTCCAGACTGTTCTGCTGTCTCCTTGCCACTTGCGTCAAACCTCCGAAACGGTCTCACTGGGGGGAAAACGGCGCTGCCTGATGCGAGTGCCTGCACAGCGATTACTATTTTTGTGATGCATACACAGCCGTCGCAACCTTGAAAAACCTTGGGTCTCCTGGATTTGCCTTCATCTCCGCCTTGTTCTAGCTTCGTCAGTTCAGGCAACCGGGCCGACGTCATCTCTTTTCTTTTTCCTCCCACTCTCTTGCTCTCGCCCGCACCATTTTACACATCCGATTTTTGTACTGCAGTAGACCGCGACTAGCCCCGGCTGCCTCACTCCACTTGACATCGCCAACACGCGCCTGTTCGCCGCTGCTGGCGCGTGACTATTGGAACTCTACCGACTTATCACGCCTGCCCCACGCCGATAAGCATGACTCGTGACTGTCCCACGCCCCGACAAACGACCTGATCCTTTCGTCTCTGTTGCGCTCCAACACTGCCGGCGTTAGTTCTCTGGTCCTCCCTCATGGAGTCGGAATATCCTTCACTTCTGATCTGCCACGCGTGTGGCGAAGACTGGATGCGCGATTCCAACAACCCCAACTCCCACCTCGAGCTATCGTGCCCCAGCTGCGGGTCCGATTTCGTACAGATCGTATGCAGCTCCTCGTTCCCTGTCGTGCGTATTTCCGCTAACCGCGTCACTCATAGGTCGCAGAGGGTTTCGCCCCTGAACGTGATGCCTCCCTCCCACCCCGCTCGCCTATAAATCCCCTGGCGGACCACAACCCGTGGGAGGACGTAGATTCCCCCACCAAGATATCAACCCTCATCGGCATACAACGCCATGGATTTCAGCTTTCCTGGCCATGGCTACTCATCGCATACCTACAGGTCGCCCGACGGCCGCTTCTCATTTAGCAGCGCTACCTATCGAGGCAGCTTCCCGCCTCGCCAAGGTGGTGCCTATTCAAACCCCATGGTTTCCATGCTCCAGACATTGCAAACAATCCTGACAGACATCTCCAACCCCCATGATCATCAACCTCCTGATCATCATGTGCAACCTCATGGACAATCTAGTTCGACTTCGCCTCGTCAACATTCATCAGAGCAGGAGGATCTCCGTCATGATGAGTTCCCGGACGTGTTTCGACACCTTTCCGGGAGGGGAGGCCCATCACCAGTGGCGCCGATGGGACAGATGGAAAGCTTGGCCGAGTATGTATCCCGCCTACATCGCCGGTATCCCCGCGTCTTATCGCGTCCTCCTATTGACCACGACATCGACAGCCTACTAGATTCTGTCCGCCGCACCGCTGAATTCCCAAATCATGGGCTAATACTGAGCGCACTCTTGCGTGATATAGCTGAGATGCAAAATCACGGTCGATTCGGCGATGCCGTGTACTCGCGGGAAGCGCTGGACGAAGTCATTGCCCAGCTCGGTCAACAAGATGAGCAGAGAGGAGGACCGCCACCAGCATCCCCAACGGCCATTCAATCGCTGCCTACGAAGAAAATTGACGTACACATGATGGATTCAGATGGCAAGGCCGAGTGTGCCATCTGCAAGGACCAGGCGGAGCTCGGCACCGAAGTTACAGTGCTGCCCTGCGAGCATTGGTTTCATTTCGATTGCATTGAAGTCTGGCTGAGCCGTCATGATACCTGCCCGAATTGCCGCCAGAGCATTGGTTCGGCCAGAAGGTATGTAACCCGATGGAGACTCTTTACCCATCAAACTTTGTCCATTCCAGCTAACGTTACTTCTATAGTTTTACAAACAGCACCAGAAGCCCTGGCGAAGGCACCCGTGATCATCCGATTTCTGTCCCGGCCAGCCCTGAACAGCCATCACCCGAAAGGCGACGCCGGCGTAGCTCGCCATTCTCGCGCAGCTCACTCAGCTCGCGTAGTGGTCGACGCTCCTTATCCAGAACCACCACCAATTCTCCAACTCAGGAGACGGCGCCCAGATCCAGGCGGTCCAGTCGGAGCGAAGGACTCCGTGGCGGAATCACTGGCTGGGTATGGAGCCGTTTCGGTGGTTCAAGCTCGTGATCAAGTAATCACGATTGTCTTGCCTCGAGCCAACTTGAATTTTAACACTCCACTGCATAGTGGAGTACGTCTTTAGTGGATGACCTACCGTGAAATGGTCACCAACTCACGATTACGACACCGAAGATTGCGGTTCTGCCCCTTCAATTTTCATTCGGGTTTTGGGAAAATCCAGCCTTTTGAGTTTTTGTGTTGCCGTCGACTAGTCAAGCTGTTCAGCACATTTCCTCCGTCCTCCGTACCTCCTTTACTTTCTTCATACCCTTCTGTCTCTACAAGCAGCGAACACTTGACGTGCTTCCATTCAGTACCATGGCTGGCTTCCATGAATTCGTCTTTTGCCGATGCACATATTCCCCCGCCTCGCCCCTGGTCACGGCATGTTTGTCCTCTCACGCGCTTGCGCCCTTTTCCTTCAATGTACTTGTTCTGACGGCTATCCGCCAATAGAAACCAATGCTAGGGCTTCTTTTAATTCAGAAATTCTGATATTTTGCAATTACTAAAGTACAGAAGCTCAGTTGGCGTGGCGGTTTGTATACCTTTAAGTCAGGTGACACTAGTCCTGTTTCTGGATAGTAGGACCCACTGGCACATTTGCGCAAGTGCCAGACAGATCCAGTACAGTGCCTAGTTTTGAGTCTCAGACAGCCGAGCTTCAAATAGATTGATCATTTTATACGACTAAAGGGTATATGGACACCTGGCTTTGACGGAATTTGCCAAAGAAAGTTGGGTGCAGTACATGAATCTTGAGGGATAGCCTGGTCTTACACATTCTTACAGATTCGGGCAATGGACATTGAACCAATACATTTGAGGAATTGCCTTTTTTCAGTTGCAATAAGTTTCCAATTAATTTTGTGGAGGTGCCGGGTGTGTATAACTAAAGTCGCGTGCTTATGAATAGAACGGAACGCATCCGCCGTCGGGTGGCGGCGGGTCCCTTCACTACAAACCCCCCCCTCCTCAACCAGCCCTGGTATAAAAGCCCCATTCCACAAGCTTGCTAATTCTGCTACTGCCATAGGATATCCCCAAGGCACAGAACATTGTTGCGTTAAGTCCATCATGCAGCTCAGAGGTATGAACAACCGATGCGCTTCTTAAGTATTCCAGATCCCCAGCTCATCTCTTCTCGAAGAATTGGCCCGTGACGACAGCGACGGTCTCCAAAATGTGCTAGACCGATATCGACCGGACCTCAGACCATTTGAAAGCATCTATCGTCATTTACACAACCAACCCGAACTATCCGGGCAAGAGGAACAGACAGCTCGAACAGCCGCCCAGCATCTCAGGACCCTTGGATATGACGTACATGCAGACATCGGCGGTCACGGAGTGGCAGGCGTGTTCAAAAATGGTGATGGTCCCACAATTCTACTACGCGCAGATATGGACGCTTTGCCTGTCGAAGAGAAGACTGGCTTACCTTATGCTAGCACTCGTGTGGCTAAGGGCCGAGATGGTCTTAGCACACCTGTGGCGCATGCCTGCGGACATGATTCGCATGTTACAACACTCATGGCAGCAGCAATGCTTTTACATTCTGCGCGAGATCACTGGAGCGGCACATTGGTTTGTGTCTTTCAGCCTGCAGAAGAGCATCTAGAAGGCGCACAGGCAATGCTGGATGACGGGTTATATGAGAAAATTCCCAAGCCGGATCTCGTACTTGCACAGCATGTCATACGAATGCGTGCTGGAACAGTCAATATTCGAGCTGGGGATCTACTAACCGCAGCCGATTCCTTTCATGTACGTATATACGGTCGCGGCGGCCACGGGTCTTCACCACAGGTAACAATCGACCCCATCGTCATTGGCGCCTCGATTGTAATGCGCTTGCAAACTATTCCATCCCGAGAAGTTGCCCCAGGCGAAGTCGCAGTGGTGACCTGTGGCAGCATCAATGCTGGCCACGCAGGCAATGTTATTCCAGACTACCTCGACTTGCAATTGAGTGTGCGCACCTTTGATCCTGATGTGCGCGCGCGCGTACTTCAGGCTATTCATCGGATTATCGAGGCAGAGTGCCAGGCCGGCGGTGCAGTTGAGAAGCCGAAGATCACTCATACATCCGCTGGCCCATCTACAGTCAATGATGAAAAGACTGTTGATGCTCTGCGTGCCACATTCCAGCCTTATTTTCGTGACAATCTGGTTGATACGGAACGTCCTTCGGCCAGCGAGGACTTTTCCCTTCTGGCAACGGCTGTTGGGGTGCCTTATGTTATGTGGATGTTTGGAGGGATAGATGAGGACAGCTGGGACGATGCCGTCGCCAAAGGAACGGTGAATGAGCTACCTAGCAATCATTCTCCTTTCTTCGCGCCTGTCATAGAGCCAACCCTAAAAACTGGCATGGATGCTCTAGCATTGGGAGCACTGACATTCCTCAAGCGGCGATGAATTGATATTTTGCAAATAAATAAAACCGAAAAAGCATATAGCATCAAGTGCTATCCGGCCACAGATACGGTACATCAAAACAATCCCACTTCTTGAGACCAATGGGCCTTCGGCTTGGCCACATGAACGATGATCTTTCCTCTCGCACGCCCCGAGCGTAGTCGCTCGAAGGCCTGGACAGCATCTTCAAACTCGTATGTGCTATCCACCTGTGTTTTTAGACTTCCTTCTTCCATCATCTTCCCAAGCTTGGCGAGATGTTCCCCGGTATTCTTGAAGAAAAAGATCACATATTTTCTTTTCCCACCACCAAGTAGCGATGGCCAGCCTACACGCCCAGCAAATGTAAATATTGACGACGCACCCACCTGGACAAACACACCATCAGGTTTCAGGAAATGATGCGATTGGTAATATAGTGGAGATGGAAGTCCGATATGATCCAGCACATGATCATAAACCACTCCCCGGCGCTGCAGCCCCGCGACGAGGTCTTCCTCGGCAGTGTAGTCGATGACATCGTCGGCACCCATCCGGTAGCATAATTCAACATTCTTCGTCGAGCATGTCACAGTAACATGGCAGCCCATATGCTTCGCAATTTGGATGGCATACAATCCACAGCCCCCCGAGCCACCGTTGATAAAGACCTTGTCTCCTTGTTTCACGTAGCCGTGAAGAGACTGGTATGCTGATTGTCCTGCAATACCGATTCCGGCAATCTGATCAGCCCCCAGATTGTCAGGAAGGGCTCGAACAAAAGTGGCAGGCACCAACAGATACTCGCCCAGCGAGCCAAACTGCACGGGCCGACTATGACATCCGTAGACGAGCTGGCCCTCGGGGAAGTGCGTGGCGCTAGGTCCGGTGCTTACCACTCGCCCGCAGAAGTCCATGCCAGGGGTGGCGGGCATTCCAATAACCAGACGACGAGCAGCAATTCCCATTTCGGGGACTTTGAAATCGGCTGGGTTGAGACCGGCCGAAAGGACCTGGATGAGGACTTCGTTCGCACGTGGAACTGGTGGTGCGCGAGCGGAATATTCGAGATGCATGTTCTTTTCCAGGCCTCCGCTAGTACCATTGTAGAGCCAGGCTTTCATGCTTGTCGGATGCGCTGAAGTTGCAACGGGTGGATGTGTTGAATCCATGTTGGAGGGCTTGTTTGGCGAAAAGCTGACCAGGAGGCTGTTGCTCGAACTGACTGTGAATCGCTGGGTCTCTTGAAGCAGACCCTGAAACACGGATATTTCCCTCGACGGGAATGACGAAGTTTGTTCTCGGAGTGGTAGGTTGGACGAGTAATCTGTGTTGCGGACGGTGTGATGGTCGAGTCGGCGAGATGCATGATGATTTCACCGGCGCTGGTCAGAGCTTCCGTCCCAAGTGGGGCCCGTCACCCAGCAGAACTAAACAGTAGACATGCCGATCATACTTCATGAAGTCGACCATCATGTCTGTTCCAATTACTTTGCTGCTATAGAAATATCTCGCTCTTTTGATTCCCTCTATTTTCTGTCACTTCAAGCTAGGTTGTTGTTTCCTGGACCAAAATCCGTACTTTCGCTATGCCGGCGGACTCGCTCAAGAAATTGAGCACTTTTCTGAACCAAACACCTCTTTGTAATGTATCTTTCTCTTTGACCAACTTCTGCTGTAAGCAGAAGTAGCTGGTAAAGGTAGGCCACATCACCATATAAGCCCAGATAGTGGGGATCTCACTTGGTGACGCAAGATCGGAGGAGCCATCAGGGGAGAGATTGAACAAGTAAGCTAATGTATGAGCGACCTCGTTCGTCAAATTTAGCAATATCTCAATAGTCCGTGCTCTCAGTTCTGGGATATGAGGTGACAAGAACGGGCGTTTGTCCAAGAATTTTAGAAGCGTGAGATTAAGTCGAATGCGAGTGGCTCGGCATAGATTCCAATTGCTAGCCGATAGAGAGGTGAAGTAGGATACCATTTTTTCAGGCGCACCTGGACCTGAAAACAATTGTTTGGACCATTTTGGGCGCTTGCTGTGAGACAGTGATGTCTGGGCAATATACGACCACGCTGGAGGCAGCTGTGTGGCCCATGCCTCAAGTTTCATATCCAGAGCAAGAGAATCGTCCAGGACACTCAAATCAGCATGGTCAGTGGCACCTTTCAAGGCACACCTTTGTCTTAGCCTCATACATAGCCTTGACGCCTCCGACATCAGTCTGACAAGATGCTTCTTAAGGTCATTTTCAAATGGAATTTGCTGAATCCAGCGGTCAAGATGCGGTGGTGGATCTTTGTTTTCAGTCAAATAATAAACAACCTGAGCTGTATTAGTATCGAAATCCCTTTTAGACGGAATAGATGACAGCATACCAGATGCGTGCATAATATCGATAGATAATTTGAGTCATCTGCCAGCCTGGTGCTGTCTTGGTGTTCAATGACTGATTGCGTGCCTTGCATATGGGTGATCCATGAGCCATCGCGGGAGGAGGATGTAAACATCTGAATATCATTAGCTCAGCTTCTTTAAGAAAGACATTTCCAAAACCGGCTCACCTCATATAAGCCGAATAGGAAAATAACCACCAGAACATCATCGCGTTGTATCTCCGTGCTGTCAGTCATTACCGAAGCGAGTTGCTGCAAAGCCAGGCCATAGTGCAATCTGCTCGCTTCATTTGCTTTCTCTGACTTACAACGGCCATGATAATTGGCGTAGGAGACTGCCGTCACAATCGTGAAGAGACATGAGTCTTTCCGGGTATTTTTGAGTAACCCAGGGAGCCGGCCCATCACCCCCGGGGAAAGTGTGAAAAAATCGAAGCAAAAACGGTTGTAAGCTCGCTGATGTAACGAATCACCTGGATTTTCCAGAGGCAAATCTCGAAGCTTGATATCAGAGCGCTGTCGCCATTTTTTGATCGCATTCGATTGTGCCACTGTGTTTTGGTCTCTATGAAGGCGATCAAACGCATTCTGATAAATGCAGTTACGGCCTCCCTTGTGACATCGCTGGCATGCCGGTTTACCTTGGTCGCACTTTATCGCTTGTCAGTCTATACAACTACTCTCGGTCTCTGTCCGGGGGGTGGAGCCACCTTGACCTTCAATTCCCTGCATCGTTGGCACCCTTTGCTCGGTCCACGATTGTTCGGCATTGCAGCTCGGAGCAGTGAGCCACTAGTAGCTAGGTCGAGAAGCGAGTCTTTGTGCCTGCTGGCTACCTACTTATTAAGGTAGGGTTGTTCGTGAGGATTAATATGAGAGAGGTTGTCACGCAGTCCGACGCCATTGCGAGCATCCAACTCACAGCCACCGCTCCCCTGCTCGCTGATTGGGCAACCGCAATGCCTTCCCCAAATGGACTAGCGCAGCCAATTTGAGTCCTCCACGTGCAACTTGGTGCCTCGCAGCCAATCAGAGTGAGTCTGTGCGGCCGCAACCCCTACCCCATTTGAAATGGGGTCAGATTAGGCTTGTTGCTAGGGCAGAGTGCGCCCAGCTGAAGAGCACCTCGCAGATTCTCATCTGCAAGTGGATCCGTCAGAGTAGATCTTAACCTAAATGTAATGAAGCTACCTAGCATCAACGGGCTGCGCAGAGGGAGACTGAGCTTACTCGGGAAATATAAAGCCAGAGTAGCCAGGGCCAGCTTTTGTGTTCAAATCAGATTAATACATACCGTTTGAATTGACTACGCCATCCGAATCTAAGCATACATCTTCGACATTATTCTTGTGGTACATTCACCCATGAGTACTTTGGCAGTAATCACAATTCCGAATTTTTGAGGCTCTCAGCATGGGGATCATTCACAACAATGACCATTTTAGTAGCGGTCCGACTTGTGATATGCCGACAAATCTAGTAGCTAGTATGTTATCGTTCCCAGTATTATTTTTATCTCTGCCAAAGGAGAGGTCAACTGATCCTGTCCTAGATGCATCTGAGAACTTCGTCGGCAACTTCACTTTTCACCAATTCAATATGATTCTCTCTGGATGTTGCACTGCTATCACCACCATAGCTATTTTATTGTCCATGTTCAGGCATGCGGTTCAATTCAGTAATCCTAATGAGCAGATAAAGTATGTCCATGTTCTTTCACTGCCATCAACAACACTAGGAAATGATGTACTGACAAAAATGGCTCTAAGGATTATGAGGATTGCGATCGTGCTCCCCATTTACTCGATCTTCTCCTTTCTGTCCATTTGTTTCCCAGATGCCTATGTCTACCTGATTGGATGGGTTGAGGTTTTCCAAGGAATTGCTCTTTACAGCTTTTTGATGCTTCTCTGTGACTTTCTCGCGCCAAATGATCGACACAAAGTTTACTTTTTTGCATCTTTGAGAATTCCAAGCTCATACAACAAGGATAAAACAACCGACGGGCTATCTTGGCTTTGGGTAGGTGAGCCTGCCCAGCATTCTCGAGTCTGGTATTTGATTCTGACCTACCCTGTTTGCAGAGAACCTGGTTTTTCGTGCTTCAATACCCAATTGTCTCATTCGTTACCGCCATTGCTCAATGTATCACACAAGCAGCGGGTGTCTACTGCCTAGACAGTCGTGACAGGCGCTTTGCTCATCTTTGGGTGAGTCTGTCTTTTCCAACGGAGTGATTAATCTTTAACACAGATGAAAGATCAACGTAACCCAAGTCATCTCAGTGGCTTTCGCTGTTTTGGCTATTCTGAGGCTCTACCGGAATGTCAAATCCTACATACAGGAACACAAACCACTGGCTAAGCTTCTGGTCTTTAAGCTGGTCGTTGGCCTTGTATTTTTGGAGAAGGTGGGTGACTTTCTTCTGATCAGACATTTCTTGACATCATCCTAAAGACAAACAGATCATCTTTATGATTGTTGACTCTGCAAATGGCCTCGAACCTTCGGATACACTGAGCTACGCGGATACCATTATCGGCATTCCGACCATGATCATTTGTCTTCAAATGATCCCCTTTGCACTCGTATTCCCCTATTCCTATCCCACAAAGCCCGATAAAGCATCGAGTACCACCCGTGCCAGCGACTCTCAACAGCATCGTGCCGTTGTCGATAGCGAGAGTGGCAGGCCTTTTGCAAAACGCTACCAAGGTGGTCCCTTGGGGATCTGCGCATGGCTTGCTTTGTGGAATCCTGTCGACTTCTTCCGAGACATCATGTCAACACTATACATGTTTCGGGCCGCGGAGATGGAACTAAGGGAGGCCGGTGTGAGCCTGAATTCCCGGGTGTAAACGGCAGACTGTGGCTGGGACGATTCTTGCTTTTTTAAATTGTTTAGTGATATTCATCCATGTCATCAGCTGCTTACCCTGAGCGGCATGGGCGCACGTCGCGGCTGGGTATTGACTCGAACTGATTTTTTTCTTTTTGGATTTCTTTTATTGAATATGAAGCGTTTCAGTGTATATTCTCAAGCTAGAATTGCTTGTTCTTGTCCGTAAAACTTTGCGTGGTGGAGTGAAATTGGGTCGAAAGTTATTCGTTGCTATTTCGTATGCGTTATTTCAAGTCTTTCGGCAGAGTCCTGTCTGCTTCTATAAAAGCTATTCACTCCTTTGCTGACTGCGCCCTGCCACCACGGATGTATGGTAGCATCCACAATCCTATCGCCAGTATATAACTCATATGCATCAAAGCGCAGAATGCTTCCCTTCCTGATCAACCAATGGCGAAGAGTAATCCTTGTCATCCAGATCCATCATCTGAATCCGATGGTTTGTCATATGCTCCTCGGTCTGGGTTTCAACCTGCTTCTGCATTCGCGACTCTTCTCCGAATCCATCCTGGCTATTGAGAATCTCGCGTGCAGCGGATGAACCAGGGTCCTTCACGCCAGCTTCACGCTCGTTGCGGAGTCTCTCGTCTTCTTGTCGCTTATCCTCCGCCGCCAGAGCAGCCTCTTCCCGCTCGATCTCCCGCATGTCAAGATCCTGCAAACCAATAGACGAGATTATTTTACCCAGTAAGTACTGGTATCGAAGATGACCGCTAATAACATCGCTCACGTCGAGATTCTCCACGCCCGGGACGCCTTTGACTGGCTGTAGACCAGAAACTCCTAGCTGAAAACTGCTTGTTCGGTAGAGGAAGGCCAGCACGTTGTCGTTTTCCGAGAATACATTTACGACTCGGCCGCTCACAACACTGCGCACACGACTCCAGTGTTCTTCGTTCGAGGGTGTTGGAGATCCCATCAATATCACACTTTCAATCAGGCCGTAGGCACCTCTTTTTGCCAGATTCTGGAGGCACGAAAAGATCAGGCGCGATCCCAAGGAGTACCCGATCAAATTGACTGGACGTTCACCTTGGACTTTGCTGATGAGGGCATCCGCTAGAACCTCACCTGCTTTGTCGGCTCGAGATTTCGCCACGCTGAATGGGTTGTCGACGATGCGAGCGACATTCATCAATCCCATAGGGAGCATGACAGCACTCATGATAGCCGAGAACACAGTCCGAGTCAAAACTTCACGTCCGGCAACAGACCATGCAGCACTAGTGACGAGCGCAGAGATGGCATTCCCAAGGTTCATCAAAGATTCCGCCTCCCAGCGAAGCGCAAAAACTTCCGAGTCGGCACCAAGCACTCGCCAAGGGATCACAAAGTTGGATTCGTCCTTCAACCACCCGGTAACTCCAATGGTCACCCTTAGACGATGGTCCTGTTTAGCGGCCTCACTTTCCTTCTCTGTCCGTTTTCGTGATCCTCTAATCGGGATAAAGGCGAAGTCGTCCACTTCCTTGGCGTACTTGTCCATCATACGACCAGTCATTCGACCGCCATAGGCACCAAAGAGACCCCCGACAATGACCCCACTGCCAGCGAGAGCACCCAGATACCCAGCGGCCGCAGTAGCACCAAGTCCTAGCCCACCCATAACAGTTCCAAGTCCGGCAGCGACCAAGGGTGCAGCAAGACCACCGGTAAGACCTATCAGGGCAGCACCAGCAACCGAAGCAATTCCAACCTTCCATTTACGTAGATCATCGTTCTTCTTGACCTGCTGCTTGGCATCCGGCTCTGATGAGAGTGCTAGAGCAGTGTCGAGAAGACCTCGGGCGACTTTGACCTCGTCTTCGTTGAGAAAATTGATATCGATGTCAAGACTGGAAGCAATATGAAGTATCAAGACTCGTGAATACGCATTATAGTGTTCCAGACTGAGTAGCAGCAAGAGAAGGGAGTGTAGGATGAGTAGTCGGGTTGCTTTCGGAAGCGTGGCTAGGAGAGATTCGATAGGATGATAGATTTCGCGTAGTTTATCTATACTTGCCTGATCCTCAGCCAGCGAGAGATCATTTGAATTCGCCGAGGATTCTTTCTCTGGCTGTCGCTCGTCGTGGTCATCGTCTTTATTGACGACTTCGCCAATTCGCAAGAGTACGGAATCTCGCCAATCTTCAAAATGCGACAGAGCCGCTTTCTGAGCGCGGACTGTCAGGGCGGGCTTTTCAAGATTTGGTTGTGCCGCCTTGATGTCTCCAGTGGATGAAATATCCCGGGGCCGCGGAGGTAACGAGGGCGAGGGTTCTTCTCCTCCTTGTTACCCGATTCTTTCTTTGGGGACTGTGGTTCAAGGGTTTTTCTGGAGCTTTCAAAGGTCTCGACAACGGCGATGCGCATCAATTCCGCAATCTCCGCGACCAGCACGGTGAGGTCGGCACGCTGCGACCGGTCCAGGATTGACGTCAGATCCTGGCCCCCATCACTGCTTTTGGGTGCCTCGGATTGTTTGGAATCAAACAGGGCGGCATGCTTCTCTTTGAGATTTTTGAACATGGCGCCTGAAACTATGAGCGGTTCAATGACGCATAGGAATACGGGGTTCGAAGGGCGACCGTTACCACTCGGAAAGTGTCGTGAAGGAGGGAAAGGCTCCTCCAAGCTTGGGAAGCCGTGGAACCCCACTAGTCTCGTGCCCGCAAGCAGCTTCCCTCCAATTCTCACGGCAGTCTTGCGATAAACAATTCAAATGTCGACTTGCTGGAAACCTCGAAGCCTCGGAACTACAGTATTGTAGGCTCGAATGATCTGGCTGGATGTCACAGACAGAAGGACGGGCAACAGCCTCTACGTTGGTTGCGGCTCTTGCCAGGAAAACCTCTTCCCATGTTTCCAAGCTCCATCAAATGATGTGGATCGCCTCGGAGCGAACTCCTTAAAGAAACTGCTCCTGGCAACCCATCTTCACGAGTCAACCCAGGCTGCTGGCTGACACTTCTTCTCCAAGCGATCGAACAAGCAGATCAGTTGATGAAAAAGGAGGTTCGCGTCAATCGGAGGTAGTGTAAGCCCGATGACACTGTGCGACGAGACATGTGCAGAGCACAGAGGGCAGGTCGCGAGGTACAAAAATTGGAATAATCATTGATGTCTTCCGGAGAAGACTTTCAGAGATTAAACTGAAAAGAACAGATACTACACTTGATCTAAGCCAAAAGGCAAAGAGAGCTAAAGAAGAAAGAAAAGAGAGGAAGGTTCGCGGAGGCTGCGAGCAATTATACCCGGCCGCGAAGGCGGTGGGTCGCGTGACTTTCTGCCACTGTACGTCGATCACGTGCCCCCGTCCTCATGTGGGACGAGCCGATATATACACGAAGGTACTGTCTTCTAGAAACACTGAAGAAAGCTTCACATTTATGTGATCACAGTCCACCATCAAAAGCTGTCCCTGAGGATTTGCTAAATCGCAGTCCATCCTTTTTTCTGATACATTCACATGCTTTGAAATATATACCTAGGTGCACTATACTCTCCTAAATGATATTGACCATCGATGTGACAATCTGATTATCGTTAAGTTTGCAAAGTCAAAAACAACTTCATATTGCCATCACGTCACATAGAATTGGAGTGCCCTCTCTGTTGGAGCCTTGGAATAACTGAACTTAGTGTAAGAGCTACCTCTGTACTAACGACGCACTCGAGTTTCTAGCACAGACTCATTGCCTCGAGCAGAACTCCAGATCTGAATGAGCTCCAATCCGACTGTGTCAAAAAGTCTCTTCCATTGCGACACGGTTCTCTCCAATCCTGCCGTGTGTAGCCACATCAAGATATCCATTTCTGCAGCACGAAGGTCAGCATCCGTGTCGGGAAGGACATAATCGTCGATTAACAGAGTAGAGTATTCCGGATCCATGGCTTCAACAATTCTAAAAAGAATTTGCGCACTCTTCGCATCGGACCAATTGTGCAGAACATCACGGAGGAAATAAATTCGAGATCCTAAATACCACTGTCAGAGTTTGTCTCTTTTCAAGGTTGACACTATGATGTAACTACCTTTCACAGGTTGAGATGTGAAAAAATCATATTCCATGGTCTCGATCCCACTCGGTAGTCCTTGAATGCGTTGTAAGGTCAATGGAAGATCCTGCAAGACGAATCGTCCGGGTATTTTAGGATATCGCTCCTTGAATCTTGCGAGTTCCTGTCCAGGGCCACCCCCAACGTCAACCATGAGTGGTATATTGGGATCTTGTCGAAGATCGTTAAGTTTCTCCGCAGCGGGATAGATCTCGAACCACTGAGGCATGTCATCTACACGACGGGCGGCCATGTAGTCATCGAATGCCTGTTTCTGCTCCGCATTCTCCTCCAACAAGCCAAAGATGACGTCTGTTCCATGCGCATACTTGAAAAGGGTGACCGCATCTGGCTCGTCTGCAAACTGCTGAATGCCTGGACCGCGCATATATTCCACAAGTTTACCTCCCTGGAAATTTTAGTACTCAGGATGACTTCTTCTAGTTCGACGCCGAAGCCTCACCATTCCAAAATCCAAATCAAAGCTAGTAAAAGTTTAGTCATGTATCAAGATAGAATGAGCAGCTTGGTAGATCACTTACTGGTGCTTTTCTGCTGCAATAGACCCTGGCAGAATCTTGAAATGCGTGTTTTTGTTGGCAGCATAGAGCTGGGTTCCAACTTCGTCACAGAGCCCAATTGCTGTCAATACCCGCAAGACACGAACTGAAAGCCAGTGTTAAACCTTATTGAGTACCATTTTTGTTTGACGATGTCTCCGCTAACCTGTCAAGAGAAGATCGGACAACGTTTGACGGGCGATCTCGCTAGCGGAGATGGATTGGCCACCCCGGTCGGCGATGGCATGGAGAAAGCGATTCTCGATAGCGACGCGGATGGAGATATTTTGCATAATCTAAGAGAGACAAGGAGGTAGCAAGACCATGAGCATGAACCGTTAAGGACTTTCTTGTCTCTCCTTACCTGGAAGTTCATCCGTGAAGTTGTTTCGAGCGGTGTCTCCGCTGCCAGCTGCAGCTCCCGGATGGACTTGAGAAGAGCCGCATGGGCATCCTTGTCTCCTGCTGCCTCGGCGGCAGCAAACTTTTGGACTCTCGCCAGCGCATCCGACACAGACATGATTGCAGACCGACGGGGAGCGACGAAGTGTAGAAAGAGCAATCGCTCTGCTCCGAAACAACCGGAGGATTCGGTCTATTGGACCTTTCGAACCTCCGAGGCCGGGGGGCTGGGGCAGCATTAGCCAAAAGTGGAGAAATACTCTGACATAGTCATTGAATTGGAGGCCCCTATTCAAAGCCCAGCGGTGGAGGACTTTCGGCACGATCCCCGTCCGAGCCTTACGAACAATATCCACCACATGGTTGGATACAAGCTTCTCACCAGCGGAAAGCAACAATTACAGAATGTACACTCGGGGTGAATGTATATGAGAGCGTATCCCTGTGGTACGAGCACGTTTCATCCCTCAGCCAGGTTGGCCGCGTGGCATATTACGGTAGTGGTAATAAGGGTGCTGCCAGCCTTGCGAATTAGCCGCGGTAAGATATGTGGACGAAACCCAGCTCAAAAAAAAAGCCAATTCTCAACTGGGTTTACTTTTTTAGGCTCACCGTGGATACTTTGAGTTACAAGTACAACCTTGACACACCCGGCCCCATTGTTGCAGTTCGGGGGAGCATTAATGCGGAATGGTTGGTGCATGTATCTACAAGGATCTGTCCGCGCTAGAAAACTCCTTACATATTATTTTCGCCGAGCGACCCCGGCCCCTGAATGCTACTCTGTAGATTTGCGTCCGGTGCTATGCTGCAGGTCTTTGTTTTACCAGACCTAGAGTTCCCGAGGTAAGTAAATGATTCTATCATAGAAACCAGAAGCAGACAGTCGCCACAAGGAATTGCCATTTTCATCCCGGGTTTTGGTCATGTTCGCAAAATTCTCTTAAATAGCGCCAGAAGTTTTGCAGAACATCATTGAAACTTTTTAGAATCGCTCTGACACCACACTTGTATCCCTTGTCACCAATATCTGCTTCCCCGTGGCTTCAGCAAGTCTGCGTTGTGAGTGCTCGGTATCATGAGAGGCACTGGTATAAGCAGAGCCATGGGGCGCGAAGTTTGTCTGAGGATTATCATTCAATCGTACCCAGGACTCTCGCTGATTTCGACTTTCACCCGAGCCACTGGAATTTTTAGTGCTAGAAGAATGTCCCGTCGCAACTTTGATATCCTGAGTGAATCGAACAAAAAAGGGTCGAAGTACGGGAATTGATCCGAAGATAATGATAAACCACATCTCTGTCAGGACCCATGTATCGAGTTTTGCAATGGAATACGTGAGGTCTTCGGCATGCGTAATGGAGGCGATCGCAGTTGTCTTGTTGATTCCGGCGATACCTGCACTTGGGGATAGTTAGATTACGGCTGCTTCCTCGACTGGGTGGAGAGCAAGATCTTACATTAATCCACCTCCCATCAGGAGACATAGTCCAATCTTCGTTGATAGCTTCATCAGTTGCAACCTTCCAATAATGTAAATTGGATAGAATGCCAGGAAAAAATCGGCGGCCGCCCCGATACCTGCGTGTATTAGCCTCTAAGTCTCAAGGTACGACGAGCCAGTGTCACTTACTCCCTTGCGCAAATCCGACCTGAGAGCAAATCACGACATTGTCGCATGTCCCAGGGACTTCGGCATCCCAGAGCTTTTCCGTCGGCTCGCATTGGCGAAAGATGAGGCCAACTTCAATGATGTTGATCAGCGCCTGGATTGTGCCCACAGCGTACAGAAGATATCGGCTCTTGTACATCGTTCTCCCTTGGATCGATAGCAGAAACGCAATGACCGCGATGCGTGCAATGACTAAATCGAGAATCGCGAGAACTTGAGCCACCCAGCTCCACAGATTTGTTCTGACCAGGTTTTCGTGCGACAGCAAGTTCTGATGATTGCCGAGTCCGTATTGAACGCTCACAGTAACGGTGCTTTGAGCCGCTAACGCGACCATCTACCCTAGTCAAACTCATGCTCAAGGCAGGAAGCTGGGGAAGATGACATACAAAAGCCAGAATGACCCATACAAAATCCCATCGCAGCCCAAATATCCCCGAGGAGGGCTGACCTGGCGGGCACACAGAGGCCGTTTTTGCTCTCAGGACGATGAGAATGAGCGCAAGGCCCATCTCCGACCAGGTCACCCCAAGCAACAAAGGGCCTTTGCCACCATAGGTAACATCGGGCATATCTGTCATCGCTTCGTTGGCGAAGATGTCGTGTGTGAGAAGAACATGAGGGTTGCCTTGAGGGCGAAGGAGAGTAGTAGATGTAAAACCACCTTCCTATTTACCCGCTATATCATGAATGCTTAGCCCTCCGGACCACCCTGCCACTCTGGAATCCCCATGCTCAAATCTAGCCAAGGATAAGGATCCTGCGACGCTCCCAGCAGGGCGTTCTGGGTTTGTTACACAATGGCCTTATGGGCGTCCGGCCGGGGGTCTCGGGGATCCGATGGCGCAGACGGCCTCCAACCCACACCCCCCGATGCTGCGCACTAATGAGGCGGGCCGCGCCCCGGTCAATCCCCCTGCTTGGCCTGCTTAGCATTGTGGATCGGGGGGTGGATGCTGGTGGTTGCTTGGGGGGAACCTGTGGCTCCGGCGCGCTAATGCGAGGAGGATTTGCTCCCTGGCCCGTGTCCAGCTTGGTATTGCCCCGTGCCTCGCCATTTTTCACGTGCACTACTCCCAGTACATACTAGTACTTATTATGGCGGAGTCATGTAATGTAATTAGATTAATGACCCCGGTCAATCCTTCTTGGATCCCAGCCAAGGATTCGCGTGAAATGATTAGCCCTCGCTTGCGACAAAGACTACGCAAAGACACCTGGGATCCCTATGGTGGAAGTTCTCTAGGCCCAATGAAACATGTATAGAACAGGGAAAAGATCAGCAATCCTTTGAATCGCGGTTACGGCCTTTCATTTCATGCAATTTTTATCAAACAGCATTTCGGCGCCATGCCCGGGGCCCCGATGTCCTCCGACATCTGCTTTGTGGAATTTGAAGGTAGTACTTACTGCGTACTTTTTAAGCATTTGCCATTCCTGCTTGTACGACATCCGGTGCCAGAATTTGTGATCTCCGCATCTTTATTGATTGCATTTTCTGCGTTCCCCTCATTCCCTGTATTCATTCTTTCAATCTGTAGATCCGATTTCCTTTATTATGCGCTCCCAAGCGTCATTGTTTCATGAGAAGCCACCGCTCAATCTCGATGCAGCCGAGATTGACGAAGAAGCGGAAGCCCTCGAGGGCTATGTGGTTGATCCAAGCCACTATGCGGACAATGCTGCCAGGTTGAAGACCAGCGCCGATGGTCGTTATGTCCTCATCCCCCAGCCACTGGATACTCCTAGCGATCCTCTCAATTGGAGTGATGGGAAGAAATGGCTGATAGTCGCAATCATCGCATATATCGCTCTCCTGGCAGATTATACCGGAGGTACAGCGATTATCACTATAATCCCTCAGTCCATGTGAGTGCGCAGTTCACTCGTTCAGTTGCGATGTCGAATAACAACAGAACCTAGGCAATGGCAACTGGCCCAAGCAACAGTTCAGCGAGCGGTCGTCGGCAACCTCTTCACAATCGGTGCCTGTGGACTCTTCGTGGTACCATTTGCAAGTTACTTTGGCCGTTGGCCGGTCACTCTAGTGTTCCAATGTGTGATGCTAGGAACCTGCGCCTGGTCTGCAGCAGCAACGAGTTTTCGTTCATACCTCGCAGCACGCATCATCAACGGTTTCTTCTGCAGTGTGGGCCAAGGAGGGGCTCTGATGTGGATTAAAGATTTGTTTTTCTTCCACCAGCACCCGCAGATCATCAACTATGTGGAGTTCTCGATCATCCTTAGCCCATACCTGGGCCCTCTGATCACCTGCTTCATCGTATCGGACGTGAGCTGGCGATGGGCCTTTTGGGTGTGCACCATTCTTTCGGGAGTCGGCTTGGTACTCGTCTTCTTGCTGGACGAATCGCTTTTTGATCGAAAATCTCCTCCAAGCTCTCCTGGTACCTATGTTTCTCGCCTCATCGGAGTGCACCAGACCAGAACTTCACAAAGGAGCTTCACCCAGTGTATGGCTCGCCCGATCGTAGCCATCACTAAAATTCCGGTTCTCACGATCCTCATCTATTACTTCTTGAACTCTGCGTGGGTCATTGGGGTCAACACCACCATTGGAATCTGGCTCACCAACATCTATGGATTTTCGAGCAGAGGTATTGGTAAGTCCTTATCGTATTGATTTTCACCATCCGACATCCAAGCAAATGAGAAGATACCTGTACTAATAATTCCAAGGGTATTTCTACTTTTTCGGCATCGTAGGTGTTCTCCTCGGTTGGTTTATTGGTCATTTCCTCCACGACGCAGTTGGCTGGTACTATATGAAGCGTCACTCCGGCAGACTCGACCCGGAAGCTCGGCTCATCATCACCTACCCGGCCACTATCCTCTGCTGCGTGAGCCTCATCATTCTCGGGTTTGCGTTCGAGAGACACTGGCACTACATGGTGATCGCAGTATTCGCTGCCATGCAATGTGTGGGAGTTATGATCGTCACGACAGCCATAAATGCTTATCTCCTCGACTGCTACCCCGAAGGATCAGGAGAAGTCGGCGCATGGGTGACGGCCAGTCGCAACTGGGCTGGTTTCATGGCGACGTATGTTCAGATCGACTGGGTCACACGCATCGGGCCAGCAAAAGCACTGGGGATTCAGGCGGCCATCACATTTGCTTCCTTGTTTTTTATGGCGTTCCTTCAAGCGTATGGCAAGCAAATGAGGAAATGGCAGGGGCGAATGGTTTTTGGAAATCAAAAACGAGCTTGAAAGCATGCCAGCTCCTGAGATTGTTAGGTCTTTCTTGTCCTGGCTGAAAAAAAAAAATCGAGCGCCCTTTCAAAATTCGTGGATCGGCAACGGATAAGTGCCTATATGGGTATATAAATAAAGAACATGATGATACATTGTGCCGAGAGCAGAGCCCTCGCGACACAGGAAGCTGGCGGGTAGAAGCGTAGTACAGCTATGAAGCTGTGCTGCCGTTTGCGCCTGTTTCCACAACAAAGTATGGCCCCTTGGTCTTCGAAGCAGAGGAGAGGGCGTTTCCATTCCAACCCATGACTTCTGGCTGGCCATTGTCCTCCGGCTTGAGACGCTGGACCCTTTTCCTTCGTCCTGTGGCCTGTTCCTTGGCCAGAGCATCCTTCAGTCGATCCAACCCAATACTCATTTCCTTCACGGCGGCAGGGCTCTCGTCCCGGATACTCCGCAATGGCTCCACGCCTGTAGTATCGACACTTTGCATCTCTTTCACAAAATGAATCTGTGACTCCAGTGTTTCTAGCATGGTCTTCTCTTCTTCCGGGCTAGCTGGTTGGGGGAGAGCTGACAATCGAAGTAGATGACGGAGTTGTTTAGGGGTAATCGATGGCTTCGCTGACTGGGAAGTTGAATCGGGGAGGAGAGATCGAACAGACCAGCTGGGTTCAGAGAGAATTGACGCGATGTTCTGTTCGGCGGATTTTGAAGAGTAGCGGCGCAGCAGGCATTGGGCGTGGCCCAGCGACCGCCTTACTGCGTGGGGTCGAATCATAGCCATGCGGATAGGAATGGACTGATCCGAAGATCGAGCGAGCACGGCGGAACTCAGCTGATCGAACTGCAAACAAGCTCACAAGAGGACCCCAGGTTGGATGAGTTGAATCAGCTGCGGAAGAGGCGCAGGCGGAGAAACCGACACCGCCCGCCGCGGGTCCGTCGATCGCTGTTCTCATCACGATAAACCATTTCCCGACTTCCCCTCCTCCCAACTACTCGTCGGATTGTTCTCTTCCAGGTGAAGCATATCCATCATAATGTCGCATGATCCCCGTGTTCTCCTACAGAAGGTGAGCTCGCTATCGTTCTTCAACCTTCAAGCTTGCCAGGATTCGAGTAGAGCTAGGCAATGACGAAACCTCCAGATAGCTAACCATACCTCGCGCCTCGCGAGTATTTAGGCCGACAAAGCCCTCTCCAGCGCCTCGGGCGGCTGGAGCTTGTTTGGAGGACGTACGGAAAAATACGAAAATGCCGTGGATCTCTACAAGGAAGCTGGAAATGCTTTCCGGGCCCAAAACATGAGTGAGGCTCCCCCGTGATCGCCACCCCCCCAAACACGCATGGTCTCATCGCTAATACGGCATTCTTGCTCCTTAACAGACAGAGAAGCCGGCCAGGCCTATGAGAAGGCTGCTTCGATCGAAGAAAACAAGCCTCTCGAGGAAGTTCTTGATGCCGCCAACACTCTCCAGGATGCGTTCAAGGTCTACCGCAAATCAATGCCCGAAGATGCAGCCCGCGTGCTCTCAAAAGCCATAGGTCACTACTTCTTGCGAAACCCTCGCCGTGCTGCGACTCAGCTACAAAGTTTGGCCGAACTATACGAGAAAGAGCTTGGGGACGAGAAGAAGGCATTGGACGCATACCAGAAGGCAACGGATTTGTTCGAGAGTGATAATTCCGATGCGTAAGTATTTTCTCTCATCCTACTTGATGTTCTGGGAAGTTACTGATCTTTCTCTTAATAGTCTTGCCAACAGAAACAGATTGAAGGTGGGAGAACTGGCTGCCATTATTGGCGATTACAAGACGGCCATCGAGGCTTTCGACACGGCCGCAGAGGTTTCCAAGAGAGACCGTGTTACATCCTTTTCCACAAAAGACTACTACTTCAAAGCAGGTCTTTGCACTTTCGTTGAAAATGTATGTCAGCTCCTATCATACTTTGCCGTGCAGCAAATACTCATGATACCCCACAGGACGGCCCTGCAAGCCGAAACTTCATCCGAAACCACGACCCAGATGGCCAGGCTTCGGAGCAAAAGACAGGATTTGCGGCAACCAACGAGTTCCGCTTCCTCAGCCATCTGCTCAACATCTTGATCGAGCCGATGCAAAACCGGATGCAACACTTTGATGATTTGATGGCCGGTTTCAGGAACACCCTCCTCTTAGACAGTGATCCTTGGAAGCTTACCATTCTCGTGCGGATCAAGAGAAACCTCCCCGAATCCGCCACGGTTAATGACGCGTCTGCCCCTGCTGATGATTTGGAGGATGACTTTTCCTAGACGGCGGTTTGGTTTGCTTTACCCTTGATTCCCTGTCTGTTTCGAGCAACGAATTTCTCTTTTTGGAGCATGGTCTTCTCATGCTTTGCTTCTCATCTTGTCATGTATTCATGCAGACTGGACATTATGTCCCGTGGTGACGTTTCTGAATTCAAGAGCTAGACACGGAAATGACCAGTGCATTTGGATGAACGGCATGCTCTCTTTTCAGAATCTTGCATGTAGGCCATCATTATACTAATGTATATTGTAAGAAAAATCGTGATTCATTATTGAAATGTCTCAAATCTATTTACTTTTGTGGGTGTATCATGACGCCAATCCTCCTAATCATGAAACGACAGGATTGACTCTCATCCTTTCATGTTCCAAAACAATCGTCATCCATCTCATAAGTATGTCCATGCGCTAACCCTATTTACGCCTCAATTTGCTCCAGAGCGCGTGCCGGGCGAGGGAAAACACGCTTATACAAACTGATGCCGACAGAATCCTGCGGGTTGATTTTGGCGTCGAAGGTGGCCTTGAAGTAACCGTGTGTACCAAGACTCTCCTTGATATAACCGCTGCGGCCGCGACGGGTCCACAACTGCAGGGCCTTGAACCAGTTGACATCCTCGGCATTGAAGAACATGTACCGAACGGTGACAACCTTCTTGTGGATCTTGTAAGGATGGCCCGTGAGAATAGCACGCTTAGCAACTACACGGCTGGGGTCGGGAGCGACTACAGTACCGGTACCGACCAACTCCAGTCGGTCCAGTGCGAGCGGGTTAGCATCAGCCGAGTCCAGAACCTCCGGATCAGCCTCGGTTTGCTTGCCCTTGAAGACGAGGATAGGAACGGCACCCCAGGTCATGGGGCCGATCCATGAGGCGATGGCACTGCGACCAGGGTGCAGGAAGCGATCGAACTTATGAACGTTGTTGGGAGTATTGTCGGCAGAAGAGAAAATAGGCTTGACCACCATCCGGCGGGCACCAACCTGGATGACAAGCTCCTCTTTCGACTTGAGAGGCTTCTCGACGCTAGAGCTGAGGGTCATGTTGACATTGACCACAGTATGCTTGTGCTCGTGTCTCAGCAGCGAGAATAGCGCAGCTGGTTGAGCTTTATGACGGAGAGAAGATGGCACGGCGTGCAGATGCACGTCAACTCGAACACCAGGATTCACACCACCAGCGAGAGCCTCACGAATGATGCGGTTCTTAGTACCTTTGTAGTCTCCGAATTGCAGGAGACGTCGCCAATCCTCGGGCTCGAATGGGCGATCTTCAGAGGTTTCCCAGTTGCTGATCTTGAGGTTCTTCAGACCACGGAATCGGGCCAGACGCTCTCTCGCCAAAACATTCGGGTGCAATTCGATCTCGTCGGGGAATTCAAGATCATCTTCGGCCTCTGTTCGCCGACTGGCGCGGTATTCTGCAAGCTGTTGTGCCTCGTCATCTGGTGACGGATCCAAGAACATCTCAGATTGAGGGTACTCGGAGGGACCGCCCTCAGTCATGGCGTCTTGGTTGTCGGGGAAGACACCATCTTCAGGGGCACCGCCCGTATCAATTTCCATATCCTGGTCACCATCTTCATCCTCCAGGTCGGATCCAGAGTCCGACACATCTTCAAGGTACCAAGCGGACTGGTATTCTGAGGTTCCCTTCGGCAACCGCTTGGGCTTTGCGGGGATGTGCGAATCATCGTCGGAGAAGTAGTGGTGGTCATCGAGCAGAACACCCTTACGTTCAGTATCAGCCATAGACACAACATCGTCGTCTTCCATCTCGATTTCCTCTGGCGCGACAGTAGCCATATCGTCCTGATCAGCGGTGGGGGCATCCAGGGTCTGTGTGGTCTCATTTGTATCGACAGCCATGGCGTCATCACGCTTGTTCTTTGCGCTCGGGAGGGGAGCGGCGGTTATAGAATCAACCTGGAAATCTCCCCATCCTGGGATATGAGCAATACGATCGGCCTTCAAGCCGTGCCCGCGAACAACGCCAGTGACAACAACATCATCCACCACCTCAGAGCTAGCGTCCGGCCACTGCACATTCTCGATGAACATCCAGCTGCGCTCATCACGCCAGCGGATTCCCTTCGGTGTAGCAGTGCAGAGAGATCGAATTGCATTGGAGCATTCCTGTCGCGAGTCAAGAGACATGACCTTCTCAACAGTCGGGAAAAAGTGATTGATGTAGGACTTCAGGGAAGAAGCGACCTGTGGCCGCTTCTTGGTCGGATTGATTTTGTCGAGGCCCTGGACCACTGCCAAAACATTGGAAATACCCTGGCTCTCGATCGAGCGCAACAAGAGCTCGCCTTCCTCCTCCACCTCCACCTCGGAGGAAAGCACCAGGACGACAAAATCGGCCAGACGGCAAACATCCAGCGCATTGAGCAGGTCGTGTTTGGACGGGACATAAAGCAGACTCTGTTTGAAGCGATCGATCCGTACACGGGAGGCTCCTTCAGCGAAGATCTCGGCGGAGACATCGACACTCTCGTTCAAGGCGCGGACGGCAGCGATGACATCGATATCGACGGACAGCGGAACGACGGCGACATGACGCGGGGCACCATTTTGACCAGAGAAAATGCTCGTAGCTTGCGCCTTCTCCTGGTGCTTCAATTGTTGGCGCTGGCGGGCTGTGTTACGGCGATCGAGTTTAGATTTGAGCTGTTGGTGGGGGGTTTTGCGAGTGCCCCGCTCATTCTCAATTTTTCCTAGTAGATTATGAGCACATGAATTTTCGAAATTTCGAATGACCTTGTTTTTTGTTTTTTAATGTTTTCATACCTTTCGCCTGGTCCTTCAGAGCACTCTTCGAAGCATGCTTGCCACTTTTGAAGGGCTTGTGGGAGACCTTGGTGGTTGAGCGGTGGTGGTGCACCTGGGTGGGCGCCATATTGGCCCTAGACCCTTTGAAACGGAATGGAAGAGAGTCCAGCTTGGAAGATCGAACAAGACTCTTCAAGCAGTCCGATTCACAGCAAAAGCAAAGCAAATTGGAGGGGTCCCACCAAGTCTGAAGGGAAAAAAAATGGCGATAAGAAAACAAAATTCGGCAGTGGAGGATAAGCGAGCGGTGAGCGAATCTTGGCACAATTTTTATCTGCAGTTTTCGCGCGGCCTCAACCTTGAACTTTCGGCAGTCAAGCACACCGCAAAGATGGCTGATTCCTCTTCGAAAAAGGCCGTCATGTCGGCCGACGACCGCGAGGCCCAGATGCGACTGGCCGAGGCCCGAAAAAAGTACGGACGGGGCAAGGCTCCCTCGGTGAAGAATATTCGCGACAAGAAGCTCCGAACTACCCTCAAGGCCCAGGAAGAGAAGCATAAAAATGCAATGCTGCAGGCCAAGGACGCAGAGATTCTTTTGGAACACGAATCCGGCTTCCTCGAGCCCGAGGGCGAGTTGGAAAAGACCTACAAAGTTCGACAGGATGAGATTAAAGACAGCGTTGGAATGGAGACGGCGAAGAAAGGCTTCGAGCTGCGACTGAACGACTTCGGACCCTATCGTGCTGACTATACTCGGAACGGACGCAATCTCTTGCTGGCGGGACGGAAGGGCCATGTTGCGACTATGGATTGGCGTGATGGCAAGCTCGGCTGCGAGCTGCAACTGAACGAGACTGTTCGCGATGCGCGCTGGCTGCACAACAACCAGTACTTCGCTGTTGCGCAAAAGAAATACGTTTATATCTATGACCACAATGGCGTCGAATTGCATTGTCTCAACAAGCATCTGGAACCGCTTTACCTCGAGTTCCTGCCTTACCACTTCCTTCTTGCTAGCGCTGTGAGTTTTCCTTGCTTGCCTGACCTATCTGTTGCCTCTGACCTATCGCCGATCCTTGATCTAACAATTAATAGGGCATCAGCGGTTACCTCAAATATACCGACACCTCGACTGGTCAAACCGTCGCCGAATTGCCTACGCGACTAGGCCGCCCTACCTCTCCTCGCTCAGAACCCACACAACGCCATTCTCCACGTCGGACACCAAAACGGAACTGTCACATTATGGTCTCCAAACTCACAGACAGCACTTGTTAAGGCTCTTGTGCACCGTGGACCCGTCCGATCTCTTGCGATTGATCGCCAGGGTCGATACATGGTCTCAACTGGCCAGGACCAAAAAATGAATGTTTGGGATATTCGCATGTTCCGGGAGGTGCACTCATATTCCTGCTACCAGCCCGGCGCATCGGTGTCAATCAGTGACCGTGGTCTTACTGCGGTGGGCTGGGGCACCCAGGTCAGTGTTTGGCGCGGCCTATTTGACGCAGCTCTTGCGGACCAAGGCAAGGTCAACAGCCCCTACATGGCCTGGGGTGGTGATGGCCAGCGCATAGAGAACATGCGTTGGTGCCCGTACGAGGATATTTTGGGCGTGGGCCACGACCAAGGATTCGCAAGTCTTATTGTCCCCGGTGCAGGCGAGCCGAACTTCGACTCGCTGGAAGCCAACCCATACGAGAATACCAAGCAGCGCCAGGAGGCCGAGGTACACTCGTTGCTCACGAAGCTTCAACCGGATATGATTTCGCTCGATCCCACCATTATCGGACGACTGGACACCATCAGCGACAAAAAGGTCCAGGAGGCTCGCAACCTCGATCACCGCCCGGAGGACCACATGGAGAAGCTCAAGAACCGCGGCCGTGGTCGCAACAGTGCTCTTCGCAAGTATCTTCGCAAGAAGGGCAAGGGCAACGTCATCGACGAAAAGAGACTCAAGGCCGAGGCTCTGCGCAAAGAACACCATGCGCGCACCAAGGAGAGGCTCCGGAAAGAGCGCGAGGACCTGGGGCCTGCTCTGGGTCGGTTCGCCGCGAAAAAGGACTCTTGATCGATTCCTTCCTTCCTATGCGTTCACGGACAGCACCCAGATACCCAGCCGTCGGCTTTTTAGTGTGATACATTCGGGGCCATTGGTGACCGCAGCATTTCAGGCGTTGAAACGGGGGAAATTCGTCATCATATTCATGTTGTATTTGTATAAATTTGTTTTTGGCACCGGCAACCCGAAAATAAAAGTAAACTTATACCGTACCATCCTCTCAACTCATGGTGTCATCCTAAATAGCATGATAATCCCAAGTTCGGATCACAATTTACTCGTCCACACTACCCGATCCACGGGGAGCACCCTCCTTCCAGCGCTGGAGACTGAGCTCGTAGGCACCACTGGCCTTCCAAGCACTGATAATTAAGTTAGCGATGTGGTCAAGACCCTTGCCGTCCTTCACAACCGCAAAGACAGTGGGTCCATCCTCGCGCATCTTGGCTGCGTCCCGCTCCATGACCTTGAGATCAGCACCAACGGCCTCGGCAAGGTCAATCTTGTTCACGACCAGCAGGTCTGAGCCTGTGATACCGGGCCCGCCCTTGCGTGGCACCTTGTCACCGCCTGCAACATCAATAACGTAAATGATGAAGTCTGCCAATTCGCGGGAGTAGTTCGCGGCCAAGTTATCACCGCCGGACTCGATGAGGAGCAGGTCGGTTGAGAACTGGCGCTGAAGGTTCTGGAGGGCAAGCAGGTTCGCACTGATGTCTTCACGGACAGCAGCGTGTGGGCAGCCGCCGGTCTCGATGGCGCGAATGCGAGAGGGTGCGAGGGCTTTGTGGCGAGTAAGGAATTCGGCATCTTCTCTGTTGGTGCGACGGATTTTATTAGTTGATGTTCTATATTGTAGTTCATAGTGGCCGCTGAAGCGAGACAGAATTGCGAGAGTATCATACCTGGTGAAAATATCATTGGTTACAGCGGCAATGTTATATTGGTCACGGAGGGCCAGACAGAGGGCACGCATGAGAGCTGTCTTTCCGGAACCGACGGGTCTATTCGTGGCCACGTCAGTATCAATCTTGTTTGCTGGATATAGCCCCCCTCACTGGACATCAAGCCTAAACCGTAAAGTCCACATATACTAGTAGTTCTTCGAAGCTTACGTACCCTCCAATACCAATCGTAAAAGCGCGGTCCTTCCAGTCGCGGCCCTCGATCAGCGGCATCTCGCGGTTGAGGTATGACCCGGGACCATCGAGGATATCGTGGGAGTGGCCATGGCCGTTGAAAGGGTCATCGTGGGAGTGGCTAATGCCAGCGTCGTGTGAGTGAGAGTGAGCCATGACGAAAGATCCCAAGTGTGAAAGTATGAGAAAAGCGGAATGTTCGTGGGGGGTGGAGGGGCAGTTTATTTGAAGCAAGGGCGCGGTGGGGTCGCGATAGCCAAAAATGCCGAGCAGCGCAGTATCAATTTACTAGTTGGCCGATGCCGAGCGGAGGTCGCCGCGTCGGCCAACTCGAAGGCGAGTCAATTAGTAACGGATTTCACTTTGAGCATATATAGGGGTTCGGCTACCATTTACTCATTTACATAGTTGCATTTTCAGATGCTGGAATATGGATTCGTCAAAATTGCGGCAGAACGATGAGGCCCCAGCAAGGAGAATTACCAAGAATCTCAAAGCCCACGACCAGAACGGCCTAAAGGAAACCCCCAATATGCACGCAAACGGAAGTCCAGAGAATCAAAAAGCCCGACGCCAGTACAGTCGCCAACACGGATATCAAAGGATTAGGCTAAGTCATCTAGCCCCTCAACAGGAAAAAGCAGAAAACAAGGGCCAACGCCCACAACAGGTAGAACAGTCAATCCAGAAATCGTCAAAGCCCTGGGGCATAGCAGTAATTTCAAGACGCAAAGGGGGGATGTAACATGCAAATTCGAGGCGTTTGAACCTGAGCCAACCAAAGAAACGCTGAAAAGGGAGATAGAGTACATTAGAATCGGAGTTGATAGAGGGTCGGAGGCCACGAGGGGTGTCGAGCGCCTATTTTTCCAGCCACGAGTGAAAAACGGTGAGGACAGCCGATGCTGGAGAGCACCTATACCCCATCAATGACATTTTATCGTCAGAACCGAAAGACCGAAGGCGAGGTCGTGCAGACCAAGTGAGAAATGTGACAACATAACGGGCAATCAAGCAGTCGCCCTGGTGTCGAATCGTACGTCAGAAGCCGACAAGGCCTCTTGAAACGATGTGGGGATATCAAATAACAGTAGACTCGGGAGTCCCGATGGAATCGACACGTTATGAAGCAGCACCCTTCTGTCGTTTGGTTACCCGAGGGCTGGCCTTCACTTTGGTTTGACCCTGTCCACCGGTGCCATTAACTTCAGGACCACCGCCATCCTCGGCCTCCATCTTAACTGTACTTGCGCGGCGGCGTTTATTGCCGCCGACGTTGGGGCTGTTGTTCACGCCAACTGGGGACGGCTGGACAGGCATTCCCGGGACGCCAGCGATCTGGCTCTGGGCTGGGCTCGCATGAGCTGATCCAGTCAGGTGAGGTGAACCTTGCCCAGCAGGCAGGCCGAGATGCTGCAACGCAGGCGAGGCAAATTGCGTTGGGCCATTCATATTGGGGCCACGGGCGTTAGGAACAGGCTGCATGCCTGGGTTCATGGGGGTCGCGAATTGAGGGGTCGGACCATGTGTTTGAAGGGTATTGACAAGATTCCGGAGAGCTTCTGGGGGAGAAAGGTTGGGGTTCTGTTGCGAATAACTGAAGAGCAGCTGCATATGGGAGATGCACTCAGCCAGCTCGAGGAAACTCATCACCGGGGTAGGAACACCATTAGAAGTCACCATAGACTCTGGCAGCGAGGCACTCTGAGATTGCTTCTGCGTCCGCTTCCCAGAATTCTTGGTCACCTTGGGGCTTTGTTTCTGCTCCGATGCCTCGAGAGACTGGACAAGGCTCCGAGGCACATATTCATTATAGCTGGTGACTCCAATATCCAGCATCTCGATCTTGTTATTAATGTCGAAATGGGCACGAAGGTGTGCCTTGGTGAAGAGTTGGCAATCATTCGTGAACCAGTAAATAAACGATGCCTTCTGGGACTCCACCATGTGTCCTCCGTTGGGCATATCCCGCTCCCGAGCAGCTTCCACAACCATCTGGATCTGCTTGATGCCGCTCGTAAACTGGGTGAGATAATACCTCGCAAGAGCTGGGGTCGAGATCTCAAACTGCTTGGATCCGACCTGGGGGTTCCAAACCCCTTGGCGCAAAACGCCTCCCGGGGCGTAGAATCTGTCCACAAAGCCCTGCCAGTACTGAAGATCAACGGCTTCGCCCTGGCTCGCAAAATTCCCGAGGTGTTCAGCATATGAATGGAGACACAGGATAGACTGGCCATGTCTGTTTAGCCTTTGTTGTTGCTGTTGCATCATCAAAGCAGCCTGGTTCTGCTGTTGTTGGGCTTTCAAATGGGCTTCCTGAGCAGCCATGGCCTGCTGATTCGGCGGGCCGGATACCTGACCCTGTTGACCCTGTGCGCCCTGCTGGGTTGGCTGCTGAGGGCCCGACGGGGTGGGTTGTTGCCCAGGCTGCTGAGACGGGGGCAGTGACTGCGATTGAGGCTGAGGAGTAGCTTGCGCTTGCGGGGGACCTTGCGATTGCGGCGGTTGAGTCGAAGGTGGCTGCGAGGATGGATTCGGCTGAGGAGTTCCACTCTGTGGGGGACCACCATGCTGAGACTGAGGGGTGCCAGTCTGGGTCTCATGCATACTTGGGGGCTGCGCTGAACTGCGCTGAGGAGTATGCTGGCCGGGCTGTCCATTGTTTGCCTGCGCTTGTTGCTGTGCATGTTGCGCTTGCTGCATGGCGAACAACTGCTGCTGCTGCTGCAGGTTTTGGGGTTGGCCATGGGGAACTTGTTGTTGAAGATGCATAAGCATCGCGGGATTTCGTGCCATTCCGGGGTTTGCTTGCATCGCAGCCAGCTGAGCAGCATTCAACCCCTGTGTGCCATTTGGTAGTGATACGGGGAGCCCATGTTGCTGTTGCTGCTGTTGGGCATGCGCCTGCTGCTGTTGGATCATCATCCGCTGGCGAAGATACTGTTGTTGCTGCTGCTGTTGCTGCATCAACTGGGGGTTATTTGCAACTATTGCGAGCATTGGGTCAGCATATGCCCATAGAACAAACAAGTCACAGTGGTGTTGGGGTTGGACGGGAATCGCCCGAACATGCCCCAGTCCCAACATCCGCCAATCGCCAGCACGCTATCGCTGGGGCCGGAATATTGGGAGATAATGTCGCACGTGGTTTTAAAAGAAGAACTCACAGTTTTGAGGGAATCCCTGCTGCTGGAACATGTGCGCATTTGCGGGATTAAGATGGGAGAGGGCGTGGGCGTTTGGCACGGGGCCGCCAGGACCAGCTGTCCCAGCGCCCGGGGGCATCCCACCCATCATCGGGCCTGCCTGGCTCACTTGGGGTCCTCCCGGTGCAGAAACCCCAGGATGCATTTGTTGTACCATTCCAGGTCCGGGGTGTCCAGCGTTTGGGTGTTGAGCGGCCATTGGGTGGTGACCTGGGGGCATGCCATGCTGCGGCATGCCTTGGTGGGCGGGAAACGGTTGCGCCATCATCATTGCGGACGAGGTCACCGCGGATTGTAGAGTTCCAAGGCGATCGACCGCGACGGCAACGAGGGAGGGCGACTAGGGAGGGCTGAGGGAGATGGAAGTCGCGCGCCTGAGATGGGCCGACAATCGCTTTTAGCGTTTCGGGGCGGAGGCCAAGACCAGGCGATTTGATACAGCGCGACCGGGTCGACGCATCGATCGAAAGTCCAGCCGGTTCACACACACCCACTTCGCCTCAATGCAAACCTCGTTCTCCTGAAGGACCGGGGTCAGTGTATAGGCCGAGAGGGAAGGTGATAAGAGAGAGTCGTAGTTCGGGGGGGGAATAGACGGGAAAAGAGAGACGGGGCCGGTAATAGGGAGGCGTGGAGGGGCTGGGCCACAGGACCTTCTTTAGGGGAGGAACACACGGAGATAGGGGAGCGCGACTCACAGACAACTCTCACCGAACCCAAGTCCTTGAATGTGGTGAAAGGGGGCAGGAACAGAGTGCGATCGCCCATACGTTCAGACTGGTTGAGGATGATCGCCCGGTGGGAGCGAAGAGGAACTGGGGACGGAGTATCCGGCTCCGAAGGTGGAGGATGTAACCGAGCAGACAACGCGATCAAGAGAACCCACGGCTCACGAGCGCGACAATATGTCCAGGATCTTCGCAGATGCTCAGGTCGACAGGATCGATGGGCTTTGGCACAATCGAACCCTCGTCTTTGGTGTGTCCGTCTCTCGCACTGGCAGCGATTTCGATCAGGCCGCGCTAACCGGATTCGCGGGTCACGTGCCATTGTGTATTTCAGCTTTTTTTTCTCGTCGCAGCGAGAGTCTCTTTTGCCTTCTCTCGTGCTCCTTGCCACCGTCCAGCATATTGACTGGACGGTCGTCGGCGAGAGTTGGTCCATTCTCAGCGTCATGATAATGTCTGACGATGTCTCGACGCCACTAACCTAGGTCAGCTCATCGCTGCGTTCTCTGTGACTATGGTAAGTTGAGCTCCACGATTTCGCATCCCATTTTTTCCCCTCCCAACCCCCCCAATTTTCGAGGATGACAAACCTTTATTTTCTTCTTTACCTTCCAAATCGACCATGACGAGGAAATCCGGACCTTCCTTTTCCCGGTTGGTCTGCTACTTGCCAGTATATCTTGTCTGAGAAAAACATTTTCACTTGCTGTTTAAGCAAACATACCATCGCGATTGTGACATGGGCTGATCCAGCTTCTTATTAGGTCTCCTTTCGACTACACTCATGTGATACCCTACCCATCTGCTCGAAAGCCTGCCGCTACAGGTAGTGGGATACTTGGTACTCTAGCACTCGATACAATAATTTCTCGTCTCATCTCTGTGTTTTCCCTTTCAGCGTAATGCGGTCCACAAACTTTATTGTAATCCTAGCCGAAGATCATTTTTAGCGTAGCTGGGTATCACACTTGTTTGCCGAAAAATTCACCGAGGCAATTTGACGGATCGCTTCTTGAGAATGTTTTGGCTCAGCCTGCGTAGGTACTACTATAATAACCCAAGATTGAGAATGGAGGAGTTGATGCTCCAAGCCCCCAGTGTCTACTTCCACACGCCCTCCTTTTAATTTCAACTTACATACAACGATGAAAATAGCCTTTCGTGTGTTGGATGGTGGATTCTATCCCTAACAAAAGTGCACTTCTTTTCAGTATATTTCCTTTCAGTGTCATGACTGCCTGCCCACCCCCCCCCCCCCCCCCTCCCAAGCCGAGTTTTCGATCTTAGGCATGTTTAAAAGGTCAGAAATAGATCTTTCATTGTATAGATGACTGAGTAGGCGATCGGGCATGAATCCAGAAACAATGAAAAAGTTTCACCGGTACGAGCAGGTCATTTCAATATTCACCTACCACTAGATTACAATCAAGTTCTGCTCGATGTGAGAAACCAAACCAGCGTTCGGACATATGGAGCACGTGATCAATTATCACTCCCGCGGAGGCCAAGCGTCTGACAGCCGACGCATCTTTCATGACTAACGCAGCAATTTGCCCTTCGCGACATCCCCGAGATTCCAGTGGCTAATCGTGCCCTGGATGTATCAGTCAATGCAGCAGGCCCGGCGGCTGCCTGTCGTACGTCCTTGTCGGCTTATTGCTCGTCGCCGCTTTCCCGCGCCTGTGTCTGCACGACGGTTCCACCTGTCACGGCAATGGCTGTCCTCGCCATCTTCCGATGGACCAACACCAACCCCGAGTGATATAGTGGACGGTCGCGATTCTTCTTACCTTGAAAATGCCACGAATCATGGCTCGTCGCCAATTGCTAAATCCGAGAAGACAACCGGCCGGCCTGTACCCAGGCCGTACGGATCTGCTGTTCGCAGAGCTATGAGGAACAGGCAATCAGAGCAGCAGCAGCACGAGTCTTCCCAAACTGCAAGCATTCCTGCATGGTTCCAGGGAAATGTGACGACCTACGGTCCCCAACCCGACGTCCTCGTACAATCGCAATGCCAAGTCGAGATCACAAAGTCGGGAGCAAGCCCCGACAGTGAAAAAAGTGTGGTGGATGATCAGACTTTTGGTGGTGGTGGGGGAGGAGAGGATCCTTCGGCCCCAGCCACGCCCTCGAAACCAGAGAATCGCTATATTGTTGCAGAGGCTTTGTGGGAGGAACTGCGCGCTTCGGCCAAAGCAGGCTTGCAATTGCCACCACCGCAATATGCCAAAGAACCGCCGGCAAAAAAGTCGCACCTCGTTCTACAGTATCCAGGCCATGATGGCATTCTCTTCTTGGATGCCATTGTGAAGCGATTGGCTCATGATATTCATGCGGATTTGATCACGCTCAACGCGCAAGATATCGCTCAGCTGTTCAGTGAGAACGACCTTGCTGAATCAGGCGCCACGTCAGCCATCCGCTCGCTAGGCTACGAAGTCCACCGCCCTGCAGTCATGGCTGCTTTTGCAGAATCTGGTGAGGGCGAGGGAGATGCTGATGAAGATATTCCTGAGATAGCCGGTACGCATCCTGGAGCCCGCGCCGAGATCAGCACTCCTCGCTTCATCACCATCGAGGCTAGTAGAGAGCCAGGAGATGTGCCTATTCCGAATTGGCTTGGCTTGAAGTCGTTGGTGGCTTCGATCAATGGTCAGCCAGATAACGAGCCCGGTACCTCGCGAGGGGCAGGACAGCGCATGGAACAGCGCTGGACTGGTCTTTTGAACGAAATTCTCCATTCCGCTAGCGGGACTGGTCATCCTGGCCCTAGGAAGGTCGACCCGGAGAACGAATCACCAAAGGTGCCTGAGTCTGTTATCGAGAAGCCTCTCTTGCGTGACACCATAATTCATATCCAGGATTATCGTGAAATCCAAAGCTCCAGGGAGGGCTCTAGGGTCATTCACCTGCTGCAGAAAGTCATTCAAGAGCGCAGACGAGCCGGTTCAAAGATTCTGCTCATCGGAAGTACATCCCAAGAGCTTCAGCATACCAACTCACGGGATGGCCCCAAGATTTTACAAAATGTCTTTGACGATCAATTTTCCAAAACCTTGGTCATTACACCCTCTATGGATGTCAAGGCCGTGGACAAAATCTTTGCTGAAGATCATCAAAAGCGGACGATGGATATCAATATCCGTCATCTTCAAACTATGCTGCGGTATCGATTGAATGACTCTTCCTCGATTGTCAACGACGACATCTTTGGAAGCCGTGATTGGCCGCTCGACCCATCGACAATCAAGAAATCTGGCTTTCGAGAACGATTTTGGTCCTACAACCAAGTCCACTGGGTTTCGACTCTCGCCCTTGGGAGCGCAGAGCCAGATGAGCCGTTCAGCTTCGAACACATCAGACGTGGCATTGAGCTCATGGATGGTGGCGACCGAGTTACCAGTGATTGGTTGCAAGAAAAGGCGCCCAAATCTTCGGAGTCTAGCGGTGGCCAGAGCAGAGAGCAACTTCTCAAGTCCTTGCGCCAGACATGTACAGCCCACGAGAAAAAGCTCCTGAACGGAGTCGTTGATGCCCAGAGCATTCGAACAACTTTTGCCGACGTACATGTCATGCCCGAGACTGTGGATGCTCTCAAGACCTTGACTTCACTGTCACTTATTCGTCCAGAGGCCTTCACTTACGGTGTGCTAGCGACAGACAAGATCCCAGGCCTCTTGCTCTACGGACCACCGGGTACTGGAAAGACTCTGCTTGCCAAAGCTGTTGCACGCGAAAGCGGAGCGACAGTGCTTGAAGTGAGTGGATCGGAAGTCTACGACATGTATGTTGGCGAGGGTGAAAAGAACGTCAAGGCAATTTTCACTTTGGCAAAGAAATTAAGCCCGTGTGTGGTGTTCATTGACGAAGCGGATGCCATTTTCTGCTCGCGCACTGGAGCCAGCAGTCGCACGTCGCACCGCGAACTCATCAACCAATTCTTGCGTGAGTGGGATGGTATGAATGACATGTCGGCCTTCATCATGGTTGCCACCAACCGGCCCTTCGATCTGGACGATGCGGTTCTGCGCCGTCTCCCCCGCAGGTTGCTTGTGGATCTTCCAACTGAGCAAGATCGCCATGCCATCCTGAAGATCCACCTCAAGGATGAACAACTTGACTCCTCTGTCGACTTGGCTGACTTGGCTCATCGCACGCCTCTCTACTCCGGCTCAGATTTGAAGAACCTTTCTGTCGCCGCTGCATTGGCTTGCGTGCGTGAAGAGAACAGGACGGCGGCGGAACATAACAACGTGAACGGCAACGAACCCTATCAATACCCCGAACGTCGAACACTCACCCGTGCCCATTTCGAGCTTGGGATGGAGGAGATCAGTGCTTCAATCAACGAAGATATGTCCTCGCTATCGGCCATTCGCAAGTTTGACGAGCAGTATGGAGATCGGAAAGCCCAACGAAAGAAGAGCAGCGGATGGGGCTTTATACCCGCAGGCAGTGAGGGGAGTCGGGAGGACGCGGCGCGTGTCCGTACATGATAAACTCCAACCTGACCCTCTGAAGGACAGCCGTCAGATTATGTGATGATCTCTTCCACTTGTAACATTATCCCATTAGCGACACGATAGACATGTACCAATAACTTCAGCGAACATACCTTCCATTTTACACGGTCGTGGCCATCGCTCCTCGCGCGTGATACTACTAGTAGATAACTTAATTCCTGAGTTGCCAAATAAATATGAAGACGACGATCCACCAGTACCTCGTCTCGCGCAGGTCGACCCATAATACTTATTCCGGCTTCTGGATCGTGATATGTCAGATTATGGCTTTTCTTTTGAACTTCAATAGTAGCTACTTTACTGAAGCCAATTCCAGGTATGTTTTCATCCTTTCCTCCTTTCGACGGTGCCACGATGGGTTTTCCGGACTTTTGGCGCAGGTGAAACCCAAGCCAGCGTTGGCTCAAAAGTATTCATTCGCAAATTTTCCCACTGGGGCTTTTGAAGATACTAATATGAATCACATTGAAGAATGTTGTGTCTTGACTCTTTGGAATTTTAGGTACAGGCACATAAACGGATCACATAATTCAGACAATTCATCGACCAGCATATTCCAAGCACTAGTCATTTCCTCTCAGACTTGCAAGCCGAGTTTCGGTGGAAAGCCAATTACTCCTGAATCTCAAGTCCATTGCCAAGTGGAACAGGGAACGGGCAGTTGATCAAGTAGTTCCTGCAAGGAATATTGCTGGGCCATTAGACTCCGGCACAATACGACCCTCGTTCAAAGGCCAGCCAGTGTTGATATCCTGGCAACCACCACCAGTGTGGTCTTCATGGTAGTTGCTGCAGTAGCCGCAAGTATGGTCGTTGAGCAGGTGGTTCTTGGCCACCAGGAGAAGTAGCCCTCGTACTTGAAGGATTGGGCTTTGTTGATTTCGTCATTGGAGGGCGAAATCAGATCGCAGTCAACGTCGCCAGTCCGGAGCTCAGAGCTCAGATCCCGCACAACCAGCCGTGTCGTAGAGCACAACATTACCGAGCTCAGCCACCGCGAAGGCAGAAAGGAAGCTTATAAAGATAAGAGAAGAGAGAAGAAGTGCTTTATCTTAGTCAACTCAAGCTTAAGTTATGACGAGGAACGAGGTGATGAGGATAAGAGGATCAAGTCAAAATTAGCAGAACAGAGAGGCGAACTTGTAGGTTTCCTTGTAGATGGAAGTCCGTGCCTATGAGGCATTATGTTTGCCAAGGTAACAAGCCCATCGACAAAGAAGGTCGAGATCGACTCAAACATCGAGTAAGAGTCTTTGGAAGATATATCCCGTAGAATGTCTCAGATATTCTTCAGAAAGGGCAATAATCATGTTATCATGATGTGGATATTGAGTACGAGGTTAATGTTGGGGGTGGACATGGGGAGGTTGAGGTTGAACCTATCAAGAGCTTACGACAAAATGTGGCGTGGCTATCAACAATAGTCTTGATTTGGGTCAAACTGCTGAGTCTCAAGATACAATCACCATATAGTCAAGGTAAATTTGTACGATGCTATAGGTATTGATAGGACACTTTCTTCCCTTTCCTTTCCAATTTTCGAGTGAACGAGAATTCAAGAAACAAAGCAATGCCGACCTAGCGGCGTAGGGCAGCGGTTGAGCTCAGACGGAAATGACCCCCAAACTCCAAAGAGTCCTCTTTTACTCCACCGAGCTCCATATATACTATATTATCATATTTACTATGGTGGATTGTTTTATTATTGTGAAAGTCCGCTTCAGTATGTGATAATTCAGTCTATTCATGTGAGAGGTATACTTCAGGTAGCTTAAGATGCTGGTATTATAATCTTGGACTCGATTTGAAGCATCATGATCACCTCTATCTGCATCATGTCCTGTACTGTATCACTTAGTATGTAACTTTTGATGCACTGTGCATTCCAAGCAGCGAATTAGACTATCATGTGCTCCTCCAGCCAAGTCTTCAGTGCGGTACCTCCTGTCTGATTTAGCGCTATATGGCGCCCTGGCGGGCCGTCGTGAATAGTGATTAGTGGGGGCTAAATAGAGTCTTTAAGTTAGCCCTCCTCGAATGAGGTTTCAAATAGCAAGAACTGGACCGATACACTAATGACGTACTTTGGCAATGGCCTTAATAGTTATGTTAAGCGGCTGGGCACCCTGATGTGGCACGCAAAACTTTCGAAGAATGTCTCTCCCCATCACCAGGTGCAATCACTAATTCCAAGCACCATTGCTAAGTATTCTTCTGGACATGGAAGATATGCAACCTTGGAATCGACAGATTGTTTGGTAGGCCGAAACTAAGTGTTCGGACCAATGCAGAGGCATGTCAAACACCCAGGTATGGCACCATTCAAGGTCATCTGCGCAAGTAATTGTCAATGGTGTAACTTTACGGGCAACCAAGACAGCAGTATCACATATAGTATACCCATGCAACAAATAAGGCAAGGGTCGGGCTGATGCCTGGAGTATACCATCCCCTAGAGTACCTAGGGAGTTAGAAGAATCCTTGAGGGATATACAGTGCCGTCACGGCTAAAATGATCGATGACACCTAGGCAAGTTTATATTATGGGAGAAGCCTTGGGTTTGGTGGATAGCAATCGTGGTACGCTTGTAGGCTTCAGATTGGTGCGATCGCGGTTTCGACTGGACGCATCGATAGGGCTGAACCTTGTAACTCTATATCGCCCAGCGACAACAGTCAATATTTCCAGACCCACACAAGTCTCTCAGGGAATGGCTAGAGATCGTCGGTATCACAGTCAATAGTCAGAGCAAGCATAGGAACGGCCACTTGTTTGCTGTGCCGTTCAGGTGTACACCTCGCCATCGGCGCCCCAGGCCGCGAGAGCACGTGCCCCCGATGTCATCGGATCCGTCTCCACCCGCCCACTCGACAGCTCTTTTCTTCTCTTGCAATTCAGGCGGGAGCGCACATTGCAGGGCCCGGGCGCGATCGAGCTCTGGAGATCAGATCCATCAGGCGCCTCCCCTCCTTTGCCCAATCTTCACACGGCGAAACTCACGGAATCTACTCAGATCACAAATCCTCGCTTCGCAATCCCACCGGCAAAACCATGTCCGCCGAGAATCGCGACGCAGCTGTTCGTGAGGCGAAACTCTTTCTCCGCGGAGTCCTTCGGAACGACTGGGAATTCGATCCTTCCGCAAACCCGGACGGCACGCGTCCTTCTTCGTCCTCTTCATCTGCCTCAACCGGCGCCCTCTCGCGGGGTCGCGAAGTCACCGAATGGCGCTGCCGCGAGTTCGACAGCTCCGGCTCAGAACTCGAACCTCAATCCTCAGATCAATCTGATGACGAATCTTCTCCAGGTGCTATGAAAAATGGGAGCGACCCGGTCGTCGACCAGCGCCGCCGTCGCCGCCGACAGATGGAAGAAGAGATGGCGTGGAATGAGGGGTTGCGGATGTGGATCGCACAACGAAATGCGTGGTCTGGGGCTCGGACACGGCGGCAAATCCGCGCCAAGGAGCAAAAGCGCAAGCTGGGTGGTGCACCGAGTTCATCTGGGGACCAATCTACTGCAGATGCAGCTCCTCCGGCGGAGGACGGAACTGCGGGGGCTTCCCCGCCCTCTGACACCCAGGTTAGTGGCAACGCTGGCGATGAGTCGGTTCTGGCCAGTAAAGTTGATACGACTCTTTCTATTACGGAGCGAGAGAAGATCGAGGAGCAGCAGCAGCAGCAGCAGCATAAGCAGGATCAGGAAGAAGAACAGTCAACCGCCCCAGACGAGGAGGCCAAGCGCAAAGGCTCGACTGAAACCAACATCACCGAACCGGATCAGCAAGTGTCCGGCCCAGACCTCTCAAGCTTTTCGGCAATAGATGATGGTGATAGCGAGGAAGAAGACGACGAGGAAGATCTCGAGGAGCTGCTCATTCCGGTCGCCCCTCCATTAATCTCGCCTTCGAACTTGGTTCGCGCAACGATCAACCCGTCCATTTACCCGTCCATCTACTCGAAAGTAGTCGTGCAAGGCCTGACCCCTACCATCCCCATAAATCTTGCGGATTTGACCAAGGCTATGGTCCAAGGCTGGAAAGCAGATGGTCAATGGCCACCGAAGCCAGCCGTTACTTCGATCGTTCTCGCAGACGACGCCTCCGTCCCGAAAAGCGCAACAGGGGATGGAGCAAATGACGGACCGAGCTCACGACGAAAGAATAGCATTACGAACGCCATGCGTAAGGTGTTTCACAATCCATTCCACCGACGTGGATCCAGCAGCCATGATGTCGGAGTTGGAAACGGATCTGCCACTGGTAACAGCGGCCCGGCCATTTAATGCTGATTTAAGGGAGGCGTGAAAGGCGTTCTTTTAATGGATATCTTCTCGCCGCATTCTCGTCGACTGCGGCTCATATTGCGCCTTGCGCGCGGTGCATATGGCGTTTTCTATTCTATGGTAAGACTTGAACTTTATTCGATCTTATCTAAATCCTGACGGCCCCCGGGCATCTGAGAGGGGGTACACTGGCCACAGCCCTGAAGCTATGTGATGGTCTCATTGTCAGAAATGCTTTTCGTGCATGATCTTGCAATAGTACCCGGGAACTCCATCTACATCAAAACAAGCAGGTCTTGATGATTTTCATGACATTTTGTTTTCAATTATTATTCAACGCTAAAAATACATGGTCACATTTTTATATGAACTCCACTTATGTGGCTGTCTTTTTCCAATGCCATGACATTAACATAGCCTCCGGGCGCCAATGCTAAGAATGCAATAATTAAAAACAACATGAGAAGGACAAGGGAAAAGAAGTATCGAAATAAGAGCGCTCCAGACCACTGGAACCAATTATCACTCTGACTCATTTGGAAAGAAACCCAGTTGCCTGACCTGATCTGCAAACTTTTCTGCGACCTCATTGAAGGCCCGCTTTGCTTCTGTTTCATTCTCCATCAGGAACTTGAAGTCTGGTTCAACAATCACTTCCTTGGACTCGTGACCGGGGCGAGTGTAATAGAATCTACCACCATGGGAAGACCAATTCTTGAGACACGATTGGTGTTCCTCAAAGGCGATGTTTCGTGTCGCGACAAGATCCGCCGGCAGTTGAGACGATGTACCCGAGGACTGCTGCGTGGTAGGGTCTAAAGCGGGGATTGCAAATGGCACCGTCGTTGAGCTACAGTCGAAGAGAAGAGAATCCACGGCAATAGCAAAGTCTCGGAACCATCTGATGTAAGAGACAATCTGCTCTGCACAATCGGTGATGCGGTCAATGTAATCCACCACCACAAGCGAGGAGGACACCATCTCAATGAAAGCGACCAGCATTGCTAGAGTCGTGGAATTTAGTAGTTTGGCTGGTCGGTTGGAAAGTGGTTGCAATGCACGGTATGAAGACTGGAAAGTTGCATCGAAGATACCCATGATAGAGGACACACAGTCATGATCTGTAGTGTCTAGACTGTAGAGCAAGTCCTTTAACACAAGAGAAATGCCCTGGACAACAGGTCGACTTATCAGGCTGGCGGCGGGACTACTGAATGCAAGTTCGAGATACCCAGGGAACACGCACCGAAGAAGAGCAGTGCGAAGGGTAGGTTTGTCGAGGTTGCCAGCCTCGTAAGTGTTCGTCATGGCCGTGTGCAGTTGTTCGACCAAGTGTGACTGTTGACTCTCAAGAATCGCTCTTTCGGTGATGCTTTGGACGAAGACAATCAACGTCTGTAGCTCCCTTTTGGACGAAAGTTTGGGCTCGTAGCGCTTGAGTTTTGCCACAATGTAGCGAGGGTCCGAAGATGGTAAAGGGAACAACGCCGAGTCTGTAAAGAAGGAATCCACTGGCCTAATGTCGCTCGTAAGTTCTTGCAAGAATTGGATGATTCGATGGACGAAGTCGACATAGGCACCACGGGCAGACTCCACAGCTCCATTACCAAGCTCTCGATAATTCTTCTTCATCGCAGTCATCAGTTGCTCAAGAGACTCTGAGTAACCCCGCTTCGTAACAGAAAAGTCCCGACTACTTGATGTTTCCAAGCAGAGAACATGCTCACGCATATTCGACAGAATACTCGAGATGAGCGAAATGCGCCGCTGGTTAAGCTCCTCGACCGTGAGATTGTATCGGCCAAGCTTCTTGTCCTTCGAGAATGGAAGATTTTGAAGCAAGGGATCCTTTGGGTTACCATTGAGCAGGGCTTCCGTCAGGCGGTGCTGGAATTTCAGCATCGAAGAACGCTCCACCAAAGATGACATCCACATTCCCATGATGAGCATTCGACAATCATAAAGGATTTGAGCGTCCCTTTCGATGCAGACGGCCAGAAACTGGGGCGAGAACTTTCGGGTTTGAACCGTCTCTCGAAGCCTTGCCCAGGATTCATCGCCGAAAGGATCAAGGTAGTTGTCCCAGCGCTTAAGGCCATGGCAGACTAGCACCTGTGCAACCGATGCCCAGCAGTCCACGGCACTCGAGAGAATGGCATCGTCAGGGCAGTGATCCTCTCCAAAGCAATTGGAGAGGAAACGAGAGATGATGGGATGGAGTACATACTGCACATGCTCGACACCTTGACTGAGGATGGTTTGTTGAACGATAACAGCATCAATATCATCCCAGTCTCCATACTCTTGGCTGTCGTCCTCCGGAGGTTGCGCGACTACAGGAGCAGATGACTCCGTAGCAGAAGAGAGAGCAGTGTCTTTCCGAGTGTAGGCCACAATAATCTGTAAGGCCTCGGACACGACAACATTCACACGGGAGACTTTTGGGTTGAACAACGAGAGCAGGGCCTCGAAAGGAGTTTTCGAGATCAGCCGGTGTGCGTGTTCCAATGAAGGCGCCTGCTCCACAGCAGTAAGCAAACCACGAAGTGCCATGCTCAATAAACTCTCGATCTGTCGCTGGTTTTGAGAAACTGTGCTCTCAATGAGCTGCTCTGAATACCATTCTCCGTCTTTGCGCTGAGCTTCAATTTCATTACGAGCAAGCTGGTGCTGTTTCCGAAGCTCGTTCACGAAGTCGCTATGCCAGTCGGCGAATGGCTCTAAACCCGACACCTCCTCGTTCGTGGACAACTTAAATCGGACAAGTCTCGTCCACGACCGGAGGTTGATGCTGCATGTTTCACGATGGGAGGTTGCTGGGTTGACGAGATCTTTGATGGTCTCTAGCCGAGGTCGGTAGCCGTTAGGAACAACCCAGTACAAGGTACAAAGAAGATCATGATGGTTCCTCAGTGCATCGAGGTCTTCGTGGCGCAAAGGCTCGTCCTTCGGATACATTCGGCCGTGATTCGGAAGAAGACGCCAGGCGAAGTTTCGAATCTTCTTATTGTCGTAGCGCTGGGAAAGAAAGCGCAGTCCACTCGCGATTATTTTCAGCAATGTGTGAAAGGAAGGCTCCCCGGATCGAATCTCTAGCGAGGGGTTTTGGTCAAGCTCATCCAGAAAGGAAGGCGATCCACTGCTTTCCTCGAGTTTCAGGTTGTAGAGTGTCTTCTGAGCGAAGAAATCATACAAAGTATCGAGTATAGGCTTGCAGTCTCTCCAACCCCAATAGTTGATCAGACGGTGGCACCTTTGAAAAAGCGTGCGGCAGTAGGCATTGTACGAGATTGGTTGGGTTGCAGAGTTGATGCCGTAACTGTCAAGTGCTGGCGAGAGTAGCTTTTTGACAAGATTCCAATTATCATGCCCTGCCTTCAAGCGTGAGTTTAGACGAGCAATACCATGATCGTCCATTTCGTCAAAAGGAAGAAGCATAAACAAGCCATGCCACCCTGTCTCGAGACTTCTGACGTCTTTTTGATTGTGGACGATTGTCTTTGTGCAAGTTTCGGTTTTGAGCTCGCTGAAGATTTCATCAAATGCCTCTGAACTGCGCAAAAGCTGCTCGGTCACAACGTAGGCTTCTGCTGAGGGAAAATCCTCCCGAATACCCACTTCACGCTGTGCCAGGGATTTATTGCCATCTAGGAGGCCTTGGATTTGAGTTCTGCCTGCTTTGCTTAAGACCAAGTCGATGGCGTCCTTGGCAGAAAGTTTAGCTAGATACAGCGCCTCATTCCCGAGCGAAGGATTGACGAGGTCGTGGGTCGCTAGCTGGCGTATTTGATTGCAAAATACCATGTTGTAACTTGCGAGCCTGGACAGGTCCTTCTTGGTGTCGTTTTTGTTGTTTGCAATAGAGGCAGCCAAGGGATCTCTGAGCTTGTAGACAAGCGCCATCGCTCGACCAAGAAAGCCTGTCCGATCGACAGGGTCCATGAATGACAGCTTCTCAGTAACATAAGATATCAACGACCTGTATGCGAGTGACGCGGGCGTCAGCGGCGATACGGGGCCTATTTCGGACGCTGATAGAGAGCTTGATTCGACGACATCAATAATCATGTCAAAGACAGCGCCCATTTCTGACGATACTTTGTCATTCCAAGGCCCCCATTGCAGGGTGTGGTCCTTGAAAGGCATCGAAAACAACCCAACATCCTGATCGAAGTCCCGCTTCAGAACGTGTAGTGAACGCAAAAATTCTCCGCTTCCTATGAATGTTGATTCATGGAAGTAAGTACCGTCGCCCAAATGTGATATTCCGAAGTCTATCGAGTAGGAACGCTGCCAATTGAACAGTCCGCCAACGGTGAAAGTTGAAGGGCGGGAAGGACCGTGATTAGCCGAGGTGGGAACATCCGACTCATCAGATATTGGTATCACTGGTTCTTGATCCTGTACAAAATCATCCAGATTCAGATCGATGCGATTTGGAGTTTTCTTTCTCAGACGAGGACGAGACTGATGTTGCTTTGCTGGCTGTAGTTGAGGATCTAGCGTGGTTTTTGGATCTGTCGTCACCGAGGTAGTGACAGTGTCTTGTGGATGAGATTTGGTCGACGGTCCTGCTGGTCCAGTATCTGAAAGGAATCGATCGAGTGTCAGACTGGGCTTGAAGGTTCGAGATGATTGTTTGTGTCGATAATCTCGGTTAAGGAGAGTGAGTTTCTGCCGGAACATTGCCCGAGATGCTGGCTGACTTGCGCTGGACTCCGTCAAACTTCCCAAGGCAGGGCGGACATTGTTTCGCTGTAAAGATGATATCGCAGCATTCCTTTGAACTATCCATTGATGGCCTTGTTTCTTGGCTTGAGTCGATCGTGGTGTCTCTATACTTCTAGCAGACGCCTCCGCACGAGCAGGAGCGCCTTCGCCCGGGGATTGATCCTGGACAGGATAGCCATTGAGACTAAAACCATCATCTGGCTCTGCGATGGGGAACTGGCTCGTGATTCGAGGATGATACGACAGTGCACTACGTTTGCGAGTGCTTGATAGACCTGCGATGGAATGAGGCTTGCGAGATTGATGTTGAGGTTGGGAACGACGAGTGTTGCTTTGCGGAATCGCCCCTCGCCTCCATTGCTGTAAAGACTTATTCGCATCGACTGTGTCCGATTTTGAGGCTAGCTGCAGGAACTTCCGAGTCGGGCTCCGTCTTCCTCCATCTCGACGCGAGCGCGCTCTCCTTGCTGCAACTCTTAAAAACTGGGGTTGTTCTTTGCGAGATCGTGTAGCAACATCAGGGGCATCTAAGATTCCCAGCCGCGGTGTTGCGTGTTTTGAAGACTGCTTTGCTCGGCGACTACCGTAACCAGCGTCTGTGATTCTCGTTTGTCGTTGCAGGCGAGCCTTCTTCAGCTTTCTCTCCTTGGCATTCACACTTTCTTTGGAATGCGGGCGCTTTAGGCCTTTTCCTTTCTCACGAGATCCCGCAGTGCGAGATGCCGGCGCAAACATGCGGTCGATGCGGTTGTCCTCAAAGATGTCTGCGTCTTGGTCATCATCAAATGCAGAGTCAAACTCCGGTATCCTGGTCACTGTTTCTTCGTTGCTTCTCGTTCCTTCGATGGCTTCTTTCTCAGGTTGAGGAGTCCCCGTACTTTGGCTGCCGCCATCACTGTCATCATCGTCTCCGAAGTCCATCAGGCTTGACCTTCCGGGCTGGCCACCCTTTCGTACAATTTTTCTGGCAACACCTTTGGCATCTGGTCGCTGAGGATGAGCATGACGGTTTGATTGGGATGCTTTCTGCTGTTGCAACCGCTGTTGTGCTTCAATTCTAACCCAAGATGCGGGCAGAACACCTCGAGTCTGTCTTTGAATCCTTCGAATCTCGCGCTCCTCGGCAGTCTCTAGCTCATTACTAGATGAGTTAGAGCTTGTCTCCTCATCTGATCCAGCAGCCGAGCCCGGGTCTTCATCATGAATGATCTCGTCGGCACCTGGTGTTACGATTTTGGAATCAACAGCTGTGCCTGTAGTAGGTGGTGGAGTGAGGCCAGGAGGCGGTTGAAAGCCCTCGAAAGCACGTGGAGTTTTCGATACTGATGATACACTTCCTGAAGGTGGAGGGCTAGACGGAAAATCAAACACGGATAAGTCGAAGACGCTGGCAGGATGTGTGGGATTTGTGATAACTTGAGGTCGATCCATGTTGCTGACAAGGTATGTCCCATCATGCCAAGCTCCAGAGCGAGCCTTTTTTCTCCGTTTCGTCGATTGCTTTCGTCGAATTGTAGAAGTTTGGTGGTCAATGTCTTGCGCTTCGCGCCTAATCGTTCCTCTTTCATTCCTTCGTTCGGGTCTTGATGGTGGCAGATATTCTTCTGCAGGAGGACTTGAACGAATTGCGTGAGGGTCAAAGACATCCTGCTCCTGGCTTTCATCGGTGGTTTCAGCTGGACGGTGTCTTGGGCCTTCAGTAGGCACCCGAACTGGTCGAATACCCGCAGCGCGCATGAGCCTAGTGTATTTGGCAGATTCATAAGTGTAAGGATTCATCTGCTCGGGTCTATGGGTGCGAAGAGACCTCATGGGTCGTTGAACAGGTTGCTGCTGAGGGATTTTTTGAACTTCATGTTGAGAAGCATCTCGTAGCTCCATTTCTTGTGGTGGAATTTCCTCCTGGGGTGGTTCTTGTTGGGAGGATTGCGTGAGAAACTCCTCGGGGGCTTCGAGATCCAGTAAAACACGAGCAGGCAAATCTTCCGACGTTTTTGATCCAGCATTTTTTCTCGGGGTTTCATGTTTTCCGTGCTCCAGAGGCTCCGGAGAAAGCTCTGGAGAAGGCGAGGGCAAGTTTGACAGAGCTGGAGAGAGTGAAGACCCATCGTCAGAGCTTGCTTCGTTTGGTGGAGGCTGGACTGTACTATCATCATTGGCAGTACTTTCCAACGGCCTCCGGGGTGATGGCACGAGTACCATTAACTCATCAGGCGAAGAATCTCGTGATGGTACTCTATATTTCCGATTTGTGACTGAGGGTGTATGTTTCGGCGTGGAGGCATTGTTTTGTGGCCTTTGTGAGGATCTGGCCTGTCGTGCCGGTGAACTTGAAATGTCCCATATATTTTGTGCCAATGGGGATCTCGGTGGACCTTGTGCGAGATCATCCGTTTTCTTGGCCGAGGAGCTTCTTCCATATTTCCTGGTCGAACGTCGAGGTCTCGGAGTCCATTTCCCAAGAGCAGGTGTTCCTGGCGAACCCTTTGCTTCGCTGGAAGTTACTCCGGATTCCGGAACAGTATCGATTAATTTCAACTCCTCAACCACGTGAGTCGCAGCCAATTTCTCTCCTGCACTATCCACTTCGACATCTTCCTGTATCCTTTTGTTCTCCGAAGGTGTTGTCAATCCGCCTTCCGCGTTTTCTCGTTGCTGCGCCTCGGTGGGATCTTCGGAGTCCTCGGCTGAGGGTTTCACATTTGACGGCGAAATTGGGATATATTCGAGATCGGGGTCATCGCCAGTCGTGTCGACATTTTCTTTATTCGTATTCAGGGAGTCGAAGTCGTCGTCTTCGTCCGAATCTGGGACAAACCCTCGTTTCCGCCATGGTTCGATTGACATCCTTGGTGGGCTTCGCCCATTGCTCTAGAGAACCATCGAGTCGTTTTATAATTCTGGGGAGGTGAGGTCCACGAGCAAATCCGCTGCATGCCTCAGAATCAAGCTTGATGCGATGGTGGACGCGTCGACCAGGTCAGACGGTTTGGAGACGCGCCGCGGCGGTAATCAGCGCTGCGATAACGGGCGGTCCACTTTGGCCGAGCAGCCGCTAACATTCGTCGCGGTTGCTCCGACCAACCTGAACCCTCCGACGTCCTGCAACGACTCAACGACTCCTCGCCTCAACCCACCATGAGTCGCAATCTCTTCCCGGTCGTTATCGCTATCGGAGTCGGTGTGTTCACAGGTACGTTATTCCTCTGGTGGCTTTTCATCTAGAAACTTGCCGGAGTTCTGACGTCAAATTTCTCCGCAGGTTACTACACCTTTCAACCCTCATTCCAACAGCTCGCGATTGACAAGGCACACGGGGGCAAGCCTTCTACTCCTCAGTTTGACACAGGATCAGCCTCGCCTGCCAGTGGAGTTTCACCGAAAGTTCATCCTCAAACCTCGAAGCCAGCGCCTGGAGAACCTGACGTTGAAAGGAGCAAATGATATCTACGGCTCACAGTACTACAAGTTTCGTTGAGCGACAAAGAAGAGCCCCCTTGGCTGCCACTGAAATCGACGCTGATATCCTGGCTGCTGTAATAATATCGAATGGCATTGGGGCCACTGCGCGGTCTCAGTTGACAGGGCAAAGACCGCGGCGCGCCAATCGAGATCGTCAAGGTCTCTAGGCTTTCAAGCTGTATAATTCTCAATTGCAGCAGCCATTCCTAGTTTGACCCTTGTCAAGATTATGCTTGAGCGTTAGCAGAGCATTGTTTCCCAGATCTCCGCTGCACAATTGGGGCGGGGTATAATTGAAGGAGGCATAGGATGTTTGGCCATTTCCATGGTTATACTACATTGTGATTGATTCAAGACAGAATTGTGAAGAAGATTGCAAATCGATTAGTATTTCCCATGCTACCAAGATAGCTTTGAAAGGAATTTGAACGCCATGCCTAGTGTGAAGTACAGAGACCAGCGAGGCCAGTCGTGACAAATCGATATTTTTCCAGCCGGTCCCCAATAACCCCCAGGTTGATTCCAAAGACGCCGTATTAGATGTAAAAGCCTCGAAAATAAACCCTTAGATCTCCTCTACCATCTGACCGGTTCCAGTGGCTGCTGCAGGAGGGGCGCCGAATATACGACCGGCCGGAGTACCGAGCCACTCATCGGGCACGCTGAGCTTGCAGCCAGCGGCGTTGCTGACCCACCGGACCATGGTGGGATCAGCTTTCTCAGACTCCTGGGCTTCTTGCTCAGCAGGTGTTGTATCCGCATCAGCCACAGCGCCACGGCCGCGACGCTTGGGGGCTGTTTTCGGAGCAGTCGGTTGATGGTATCCATCTTTCGGATATTAGCGACGCGTCTTCGCTTTTGTCGAGACAAGACCTTTCGAGCACTTACCTTCTCTTCTTCGTTCCGTTTCTCACTGAGGTTTTTCCTTCGGCGGGCCATCTCAGCGCGTCGCATAGCACGCTCTTCGGCCGTCAGATGCTTTTTGACTTGCGGTTCTGATTAATTGTTAGCGCCAGTTCGGCTTCGGTTAATTCGTTGGTTATTGCTTACCCATTGGAAGTTGTAGGAAGTCATCACCTAGATTTCCCCTTTGACGCTTGGTCGTCTTGCCGCTGTTAAGAGCAAGCGCATCGCTGTCAATGTCTTCGTCCAGGTCATCATCTTCATCTTCCTCATCCAAATCATCAACATTGACGTCTGGGACAGCGCTTTCGTCCTGGTCATCCGGCTCGCCCTCCGCATCGGAGTCGGTTACATCGTCTTCATCATCCTCATCCTCGTCTTCGTCTTCGTCCTCGAGCTCCATTTCTTTGGCTTCCACGCTCTTGGTTTTACCCCGAGTGGGTGCGGCTGCCTTGGTGCTTCGTCTTGCCGGCGGTTGTGATGGAGCATCATCCATGTCCACATCGCCATCGGCGTCGGCATCTTCGTCATCTTCGCCGGGAGCATCCTCGTCTTCGACTTCGTCCTCTTCCTGGTCATCGATGTCCTCGTCATCGTCCGATGTGGCGACTTCCACGAGCTTCTTCTTGGTCCGACTGGAACGCGGTCCGGAGACAATGGGGTTTTCCCTGAAGACATTGACAGAGCGCCGGCCAGAGCGGCCGCCAGTGGCTTCCCGCAGTTTCCCAGTAGGCATTTTTACAGTCACGCGAAGAGACTTTGTCGATTCACCTGGGGGATCAGAAGTCGATGTAGAAGATCGAGAAACGGTCACTGAGCCCGCAGCTGTGGAGCGGGTTCGTCGCTTAGATCTAGTGTCGATGTTAGCATCCGATTCTGGGGACTGGTCCCGGGCTCGCGATCGACAAGAGCGGCGGAGATCTGGCGACATGACAGCGGGGTGAGGGGTTTCAAAGTATGAACAGGTAAGGTGACAGGTTTTGATGGCTGACAACCGATGCGGGGGAGAAGTCGCGGACAGAGTAGCAATGACAGGCGAGATGGTAGCCCTGGGGGGTAAGGGAATGAAGTGAAAGGGTCTCAAGTCACTGGCGCCCAGTCACCACGGGACGAGCCCAGCTGCGCACATCGGAAAGGCACAGTTCAGCATGTCTCGGGCGCCACGTTGGAGGGCTCGCGCTGCGGACAAAGCGCTGTTGCAGGGGAGCTGGCAGTTGCTCTCGTGGCTGCAGTGTTCCCGGGGTTGGGGGCTTTGGACGACGGAGGGGGTCTTGGTGCATCAAACTGGAGGGACATAGGATCACAGGGGATTGGGGCCAATTGGGGCACTCACAGGTACTTTTTCTCGCAGAGTTTCCAATCTCTACGAGGTCGCTGACGCTGGATGAACGAATGAAGTAACCAACATAATTCTGCCTGCGGTGACCGCCCGCTGGATACCCTAGGGAGTAACTCAGCTGTACGGCAGTCGATAAGTCTTTATCATCTTGACATTCCTTGAAGGGTTGGGAACTTGAAGGTGCTAACTTGAAACGTGATTTATGTTAAGAGCTCCTGTAATTGAATTTGTTTTGTACTATCTTGTTGCAAACCAGGCGTCTGTGAATCTAAGTAGATTGGCCAGAGTCCCACCTCAAATATGGCACCAGCGGTAATTTATGCTCCAACCTGAGCGACTCAACCGGCCTAGCCAGTCATATAAATGATAGAGATTATAACCACGGCCGACAATCGGAAAATACTGTAGAAATTGTCCGTCCATTCGTCGGGTTAAACATGATTCCATGAAAATTTGAAGTTATCTTTCTATGCGAGCTGGGAAGTTGCACCGGCGTGGGTCGGACGGAGACATCCGAGTTGGTGCAACAGCCGAGGTCGGCTCACATGGCCCCAACTGGAAGTCCGGGGAAAGCGGCCTCTCCTCTCCTCTCTCTTTCCATTCTCATCGCTCCGGCTCGGGTCAGATCTCAGCCCACAATGTCAGATTCATCCTCAAAGCCACCCTCGATCCCGTCATGGCAGCGACGGTCAGGAACTGCCCCAGTCGATCAATCATCGCCGCCATCGTCACCGTCACCGTCGCCAAACGCCGATGATGCGCCCGCAGCCACCAACCGACACGACCTCGTCACCCAGTCGTCGAAGTTTCTCGAGGACGAGTCAATTCGTGATGCTCCAACTGATCGCAAGATCTCCTTCCTTGAATCAAAAGGTCTTGCCTCCGACGAAATCGAGAAGCTCCTAGGTGTTTCTCGAAACGCGGAGGCGAGCAGCACAAGCACCGAGGATAAGAGCAAGGAGTCACCACCGTTAACCTCTTCACCCTCCGACCATATTAACGCCACCTCATCCTCGCCTACCAATGTACAATTATCGCCCAACACTACGTCCCAACCGCGCTCGAACGCTCCTGCAAACCCCGCCTCCACACAGCGCGATGTTCCCCCGATCATCACCTACCCCGAATTCCTCTTCGAGGCCAACAAGCCACCTCCATTAGTAACAATGCAGCGCGTGCTTTACACCATCTACGGTGCTGCTGGTCTCGGTGCGAGCATCTATGGTGCGAGCGAGTATCTCGTGAAACCCATGCTAGCAAGCCTTACGGGCGCCCGCCACGAGCTAGCTGACACAGCCAAGGAGAATCTGCAGAAGCTGAACGAGAAGCTAGAGCAAAATGTTACAGTCATTCCCGCCCATCTGACGGCGCGAAAGACCACCTCAGCAGACGAAGATGAGAGCAATGACACGGATTCAATCACCTCCGACCCAACGGAGCTTTTCCACCGTGACGTCGGGACACAGACAACACCAGAAGCTTCGCAGACGTCGCTTGCTGCCATTGAGAAAACCAGCCAGGCACCGGATGCGCCGACTAAGGCAGTTGAGAGTCATATGTCTCGATTGGAGTCCATCCAGTCACAATTGAAAGAGATCACCGACGTTGAGAAGGACACGAGTACCCAGGATGACACTTTGCGCAGCAGCCTTTCAGATCTCCGTCACTACCTGGATGGACTGATCTATGCAGCGCCAAGTTACGGTGCCTCTACTCCTTCGTATGGCCTTTACAGCACTACCACAAGTGGTGTGGATAGCGCCGCGATGGGCGTGAAGAAGTCCGAGGATGATGCCATTGCCAGTTTCAAGGCCGATATTCGTGGTGTCAAGGGTGCTCTGCTGAGTGCGAGAAATTTCCCAACGAGCCGGGGTGGTAGACTTGGGGGTATGGCTACTGCTGGGCGGTGATAATATGGCCTGTTTATAGTATGCCACAGTATACAAATGTATGGATGTAGTATGCCTTAATACCCTACATATTTGAAGAATGCAGTGAAATTGATACCTGTAGATGTCCGTTCTAATCTCAAGAGAGGGCATAAATTAATGCACTCGTCATTTCGTGCCATGTCTATTTGACAATCTAAGCCAAAACCCACCATGCTCATGAGATACAAGGACCTTTTTTCAAAAAACCAGGGGAAATTTTCTTTTCTCATGACAAGTAATCGAGCAGACTAGTTCCCGAAGGCGCAACACAAGAATGAAATACGAGGGCATTAATAGTAAAATGGACAAAAAGAAGAAAATCCCAAATCCAAGCGCGATATACCGAGTTCTAGATCCTCTTCCTTCGGCCAAGGATTCATACCGTTACACGCCATCACTGCCACATTTGTGATTCTGAAAATGACATTCAAGGGGTAGCCTTACTCATGCTAATCAGACGCTTGACACCGACCTGCGAACACTATGGTTAGCTCATTCTTTGAATTATTCGTTGTAACATAAGGACTTACCATCCAATTACCGCACTCATCAGTTCGGTTGGTCATGATATCAACGTGGACGGCACGTGCAGTCTCGTAGTCACGGCCCTGAATAGCGCGAGCGAGGTTCGCCATGTCTTCCACGGTGTTCGGCTTGAGCAAATCTTCATTGTTCAAGTGATCGAAAAGAATGCTCAAACGACGCTCGGCGTCGTCGACCTGCGCCTTGAAGGAAGAGGGCGCCCGAGCCTTGACACGCTGCATGTCTGCAGAGAGAATCTCGTAAACGGGCATTGCACTAGGAGGGATGTGGGAGCGGTCGCCGGGTGCTAAGAAATGTCAGTTCAACTGGCTTCGAGAGGTGAGTGTATAACTTACGGTACTTAGGGGTAGAAGGAGGAGCAGCTCTTTGGGACTGGGCCGTTCCAGGGCGAGACCCCTGGGGCGGGGGCGCAGCCTGGGATGCCATGGGAGGAGGAGGGACATGGCCTGCCATAGGCGGCGGCGGGACGGCAGCGGCGGCAGAGCTGCGCGTATAGGGGCTTGGACCCGAGGCCGGCGGCGCTTGGGGAGCATATGGCGAGGCAGCAGCAGGTGGCGGAGGAGCAACCGGGGCATGCGTCTGCAATTGAGGGCTTGCGCCCTGGGCAGCCGGGCTTGGCGCATACCGGTTAGTTGGCGGCGCCATGCTGGGCGGAGCATTGTAAGGTGAGGGTCCTCGAGGGATCGATGCCGGAGGGGCCATGCCTCCTGTAGGCGGAGATTGAGGAAGGGAGGCATATGGGTTGACTGGCGGCGAAGGCGAAGGGCCAGGAGCGAGGCTCGATGTCAGAGGAGATGTCACACGCGGAGGAGGCGCTCCACCCTTGGGGGGAGGAGGGACAGAGGGAGCTCTCTGGGAACCAGTAGGTGGAGGCCCTTGGGACGGAGGACCTTGGGCTAGAGGAGGGGACTGGTTAGGGAATGGCGAGCTAATTGTCGCGGCGGCAGCTGGGGTGCCACGTCGGGGGGTAGGAGCCTTTGCAAAGCCCTCTGGCAAGTCATTCCAGGCAGGAAGACCGGTGGCCGTAGTATAAGTTGTGATATTGTTGGCCGGGGATTGATTTGAGGCGCGCGGAGGAGGAGGTACGCCAGTAGCCGCAGGCTGCCCAGTGAACGGGGTCGACGGGGCATAGGCCGCTGGTCTCATGCCTTGAGTAGACTGGTATCCAGTCGGATTGTAGCCTCCACCACTGGGAATAGCAGCATACGGGTTGGAAGGCTGAGCCGGCGAGGCTGCTTGAGGGGCATACGGATTCACTGGCTGTTGCGGAGGAGCAGGAGCCGGGCCGACAGGGGGCGTATAGTTCCGTGCACCGACCGCAGGAGTGGCAGCCATAGGGGTAAATGTTTGCTGGGGCATATACGCAGTGGGCTGCTGCGGCAAGGGCTTGAAGCCACCTCGAGCAGTGGTGGCGGGCTGTGTCTGTTGAGGAGCTTGTCTCGTAGCAAACTTGATGCGGTTGCGAGCCACCTCAGCCTCGGGATGCTTGTCGGGGACAAGATCAAGGTACTTCTGGGCAATTTGGAGACGACCGTGAGTGGCGACAACATCCGCGTACTCGATATATTTCTCGTACAATGTGCTGAGACGCCAGTCGGAATCCTTAGTGCGCTCCGTATCCTGGAATTTGGTCACCTGGCGGAAAATGGTGACCTTCTCAATCAGGCCCTGCAAGGCACGGACATGGATGGAGAAGGTGGAGTTGTCAGCATCGGTTTCAATGCCTCTTTGCTCGTTCTCGCGAAGCTCTTCCACCCAGATAGCAACGACCTTCTCCAGCTTAGAGCCGGCCAGGTAGCAGAATGATGCGTCCTTGCGAGCAGTCTTGTCCTGAGTACCACGAACCAGTTCTTCAAGACGATCACCCAGAGCATCGCAGAGGTCAGGGAACTCTTTCTCATCAGCGAAAGTGCACAGAGCAGCCATAACCTCTTTCCAGTTGGAAAGCTCCGCGTTGTGGACAACATCCCACAGGTTCTTGCCCACAATGGACGCGAGCAAGCGCATATAGTTAGGACCGCCATCTTGCTTAGAGAAGTAGTACTCCTGGGCCTTCTCAATGCATTTCTGGCCACCGCAAATGGCGATCATGAATGCATCCGACAATCTGTCCTCTTGAAGAGCAACATCGAGAGCCTTCTCAAATTCACCAAGAAGCAAAGAGCGGGTGATCTTTTGCTCCGCCTCGCTTTCCGAGCCATTGAAAATTTGGAAGGGGTTGTTGGTCTGAGCCCCCTTGGATGCAGCCAGCTCGGACATGAAGTTATCGCTATCAGGAGTTGCATCAAACATAGATTGAAGCCGCTTGTGCTTCTTTGCGGATGACTTCGGCTTCTCAACCTCTCCACTAGCCTCTTCCGAAGAGACTTCCTTCTTGTCTAGGCCAAGCTTTGCCAGACTGTCAGCAGCTTCATCAGCCTGATCCTGGAAGCCAAGGTACTCTACCAAACCCTTACGAGGGTTGTTGGAGAGCAGAGCTTGGATCACCTTCCAGTCAGCCTTCTCCTCTTCGCTAGAAGCGCCAGCAGCTCGGGTCTCGCAAAGGTTGCGCAAATCACCCTCCTTCAAAGCAGTCTCGAAATCCTCAGTTGCATTTCCGACGCTCTCATCAACTTCGAAAGGAGTGATCCTGACCTTAGACGCGCGGCCACCCTTTTCAGCGAGACCAACAGAAACAACACGGCCACCAAAGCCAAAAGACACACCGCAGGGCCGCTCGAGCCAGCGAGGGGGCTTTGGGAGGGAGAACTTGGAGACTTGCGGCTGTGTCTGGGCTTTCGCAAAGAAGTCTTCACCGTCAAGTGCCTGGTTGTGATCCGCGATGGCCTGTGCGTCATCGGTCTTAGTGTTCTGCAGGGTTTGGATCGAGATCTTGCCATCGAAAGATGCCGTAGCAAAGAAATTGGGGTTGTGTGGGTTCCAGCGAGTCTGGAAGGTCCAGTTGGTGACAACTGGGAACTCGCCATAGGGCTGGCCAATCTGAGGGTTCCAGCAAATGTTGCGGTTGTCTTTGCCGGAGGAGAGCAGGAGATCGGGATCATGAGCGCACCAGGAAAGTGAAAGCACACCGGACTCGTGTCCCTTGAGAGTCTATATACTGTATGTTAGAATCCCGATCCGCGCTAGCAAGGTAAGAAGATATACTGACTCGTTCTGGGGCATGCGAATTTCGCAAATCCCAAACGTAAATCATGGGGTCTGATTCGAGAGGGGTAGCGGTGATCAGCTTGGTAGGCTATAGATAGATATGGTTAGCAAGATGTCGATTGCGGATCACCATATATCCAGCTTACCTTCTCGGGGTCCCAAGCAACAGCACTGACAGCCTTGCGACCCATGTTGTTAAGTGTCAGGCTCTCTTTCTTCGTCTTGACATCCCATACTGTGACGAAGCCGGCGCTACTACCAGTCACTAGGATGTGTGCGACTTTCTTGTTCCAGTCTAAGCACTCGATGTCGTCTGTGCGAGCTGCCGTAGTGCCCAATCGAAATGGATTCTCAACGTTGTTGAGGTCCGCGATGAAGAGCTCGCCCTTCGCACCACCAGTCGCCAGGAGGTTCGAGTGTTTGGGATTGAATTGGAGAGCCTTAATGGCGCCGGAATGTTTCGTGGTTCGGGACATCAGCGGATCGCTAGAGAAAGTCAGCTTCCTCAATCAAGGTTGTTTATCGCAACAAACCCAACACACCTAGCTCCAGCGAGCAGCTTATCAGCGTTCCATAGATCCAGTGAGCCATTTTCCAAACCACCCGCAATAACGCCCCGCTTCGTATCGTCAAGCTCGGTCCAGGCCAGGTCGTTGAATCTAGAAGGAGTTCTCGGTCAGTATACCCGGTTGTTTGCAGATCTGAATTCATCCGTACATACCCAGTATCGGTGTCAATCTTAGCTACCGGCTGCAGCTCTTCACTTGCATCCTGGCGATCAAGACTGAGGTCCCACAGCTCCAGGCATGTCTTGTTCGAGAAATCGGCATCAACGGCACCAGCGCGGGTTCCAGTGGCGATCAATGGTGATGCAGCCCCAGGAGACCAGGCGAAGGTGGCCGTCCTTGGGATTTCCCTCAGACGGACCATGATGGCGGGGGAGGAAGGTTTGTGTGTGAGTGGGGGGCAGAATGAGTGTAAAGGTTTGAATAATCCAGAACCCACCCCTGTACAAAAGGAATCGACAACCGGGGGGTGTACCTAAGGTAGTTCAACCAAGTGGCCTCCTGGGCTTCGCGGGACCGGGGAACCCACGCTAGCCGCTTCGGGGGCTCGCCAAAACACCCCGAGGACGGGTCGCACGTGATATCATTCTCGGTCGAAGCTCTGCGGAAGAAGAAGCGGATGACTTCAGCACATCTTGAACTCGCCCAAGGGGTTTCTCTTTGTGAACCTCCACGAAAGCTGATCGCATTTGCCCGTACCTTTGTTCCCCGAAAGATCGGACCGAAATACCACACCGAATTCCAGCTTTGCTTCTCGACCGCATACCCCACCATGAGTGACAAAACCAGACTCAAAAGCACGGTCTATGTGGGTGGCCTTGACCAAGCTGTCACGGCCAACACGCTGGCTGAAGCTTTTGTGCCATTCGGAGAAATCGTCGACATCTCTCTCCCCAAACCGGATCAGCCCAATTCCTCCGACAAGCACCGCGGATTTGGATACGTGGAATTCGAGCACGCGGAGGATGCCCACGAGGCTATCTACAACATGGATGGGAGCGAAATCTATGGCCGTACCATCAAGGTTGCGGCGGCGAAACCCCAGAAGGATGTTAATGAGGGCCTGGGCAGCAAGACTGCCATCTGGGAACAGGTAAGTCTGGGTTCTCGCCCGTCTCGCCGTGGCAAACCAAAGCGACATGGGCCACTAATAACTCGTTATTTTCAAAAAAAAAGGAGGGATATCTTGCCAAGCACGCAGTGAGCGAAGAAGACCGACAAGCTACCGAACAGGCCCAGGCCGCAGGTGATCGTCCTCAAGACCCGATGCAAGGCCTGGAACAGCTCGACGTTGCGGGTCCGAAGCTCGAGTGAGGCACGAATTTACGAAGGCTACGACAATAATGATGAACGATGAAGCACAATCGGCTGCCAAACAAATGTAACACCATCTGATTTTCACTTCCATGAAGCCCGACTATGTACACACGCTGCGGTTCCGAGCACGTCTTGATTTTCTCCATTCTGACCGGGCTTCCAATCGATAGAAACAATACAAATCACAAAAATATTCAAAAAAGGGTTGTATTCGCATTCTCGGTTCGGAGCTCAAAGAAACGTAGTATGTAGTACATTTAGTGCTCACGGCTCTCGGGGCTGTTGCGGTGGAGACGGAGAGTCTTATCGGTCAGGAGCTTCTTGGTGCTAGAGTAGATGGCCGCACCGACAGCAACGCTGCAGTTAAGTGGTTAGCGCTAAGAAATAAGAAGGTTTCCAAATCCGGTCAAATGGAAAGATGGACAGAAAAATCGGTCCGATGCAACGCAGAATGGAGCGGAGAGGCGGAATTAGATAAATACATACCCAAGGACAACACCTATATGCCAAAGAATCGTTAGAGATCAGTTCTACCGATGAAGGTACCAGAGGAGAACATACCGAGGGGAATCAGCTCGGGAGGACACTTCTTGATCTGGCGCAGACGTTGAGAGATAGTGTGGGCTATAGGCCAAATCAGTTAGTTCAATGACCCTAAAATCACTCTTCTAACGACAGCACTTGGCGCAATGGCTGGCGAGGGGTGGTGGGCAACGAGAGGGACCGCATACCGCTGTGAGCCTCCTTCTGCAGACAGGAGTTAGCATTAACCGAAGCCGATCGTATGATCATCCGAGGGGTTGGGGTGCTGGGTACTCACGGGAGAGGGGCTGTAGAAGGGCCGCGAGGGCTGCATCCGGAACGCACGGGTGGGATACATGGTGTAGATGTTCGACCGAAGACGTGAAGTTGAGGAGAGAGAAGAGGGACGGGAAGAACGGGGTGGTAGCTAAGAACGTCCTGTGAGTGGCTCGGGTGTTTTGGGAAAAGCGAGACGCTCAGTGGCTCTCGCTTGACCGCCCGCGGTCATACCCGGCACTTCAGCTTCGATCACCCAACGTCTCGTCTTTGCTCTCTTCCCACCTCCCCCTCCCCTCTACCCTCTCCATTCCCAATCGTTCGTCCGTGTTCTTCACGAGAAGCTACACATCGCCAAAATGGGTGCCATTCCCGAAGTTGACCCCGATGAGCCCGTCGAGACCAAGCCCTTCAAGTTCGTGACTGGTAAGTGCACCCACCCCCTCCAGCGAAAACGAGAGCCAATCGCCTCACTTCCGAGTCAATTGCTAACTGATGTGAAGCTGGTATGTATTGTTCCGATTCTTATGTGGTGTGGCCGGTTCCTCGGTCCCTCTCAGACAAGGTTCCCCCGATCAACTCGGCCATTGGAGATTGACAATTTTCGGCGTGATCACAGGCTACGACGCCCGTTTCCCCCAGCAGAACCAGTACGTAACCTTCCAAACCTCAAGTTGCGGCGCTTTTCCCTAACAATATTTTCCTCAGGACCAAGCACTGCTGGCAAAACTATGTCGACTACTACAAGTGTGTCGAGGCCAAGGGTGATGACTTCCGCCCCTGCAAGCAGGTAATTTCGCATCTCTGCATCCACCCGACCTAAGCTTCGTTTCTCTAACGCACTTCCTACACAGTTCTACCATGCTTTCCGCTCTCTCTGCCCCAAGGCCTGGACTGACCGCTGGGACGGCCAGCGCGGTACGTACTCAATTCGCCCCTGGTCAGATATCCTTCTTCTGGCGTACTAATATTCGGTCTTTCACAGAGGCTGGCAACTTCCCCGCTATCCTTGATAAATAAATAGCCAACGGCCGCTTTGTGTTGGTGAAATTGGGCTCTAGCAAATTTTGTGTATTGACATACTTCCGATGTACTCTACCTGGTCATGCGGGGATACATTTCCTTTCTGTCGAAATGTAACTGCACTCTGTTTAAGAAGGGGTGTCTATAAACTCGCCGGTTTACAACGAATCGTATTTGATTAAGCTGACCTTCTCCGGTGTAAATTCATTCCACGGACACGCGGTTCGTGGGTAGATTGGGTGATGATTTTCTCTTGAACCTCTCTATGGGGACGCACCTTATTCAGTACACTGGTATACGGTCCGTGGCAGAAACAACGCCATAGTTACAGGGAAATTTGCATTTAATTCTTGCGAAAAATAGTCCGATGCGATTCAGGGTGTGGTCTATGTCTATCTATGATCTCTTAAAAATATATAATATATCCCAACCAACACACCCTATACATGAAATCCGTCGCAGGCTGCTAGCAGTCCAGCAGAATACTGACCTTAGCTAGACACTGATCCAGTCTGCCAACAAAAAAAAATCATCCAACAGGAATGCAATATGTACAAGCGAAAATGTTGCTAATGTCCCTGAGGTGCTCCGCCCAAAAGTCGTAAGGGATCAGGGTCATTTATATGGGGATGAACAGCGGATGGGTGTTCAGGTGGTAGGGGCGGCGTAGTAGAAAGCAGAGGAAAAGGGGCGAACAGACCTCTATATCAAAATGTTTAGATACCATTCAACTTCCGGTAGAGCTTCTTATGCTCCTCCAGGAAGAGGAAAGTGGCAATGGTATGAGGACCCAGTCGGATAAAACTGGGAACCCAACCACGGAAGGTCCAGGCCAGACCCTCTTTACGGCAGATGTCACGCAACAGGCCCACAATGCTGTGGCCGCGGCTCTCAGCTGGAGAAGCGGACATGATGCGAGTCTTGATCACATCCACGGGGCTGCAGACGGTGGTCGCAACAAAGCCGGCCATGAAAGAGGCAGAAAAGTGAGTACCCAAGTTGTCGCTCATGCCAAATTTCTCCAGACAGATCTTCTTGAAGGTATCGTAAGAAGCTAATTGTGACGCAGTCATCAACACTGCGCGAGTCGAGTTCGGCCAAACACCGCGGAAGAGAGAACCGAAACCCTCTGTCCGAGTCATCTGCACCAGACCATCGAAAGCGTGTTTATAGTTACGACGCTGTTCCACGGGCAAAGCAGCGTCAGACTGCATGCGGACGTTGAGGACATCGGCCGGGTTGCCTGCAATTCCACCGATGAACCCGGAGGTGCAGGCCATTCCGACAAGGGTAAGGAGTCCCGGGGAAGAAGATCCAGAGCCGGAATCGGGCTTCGAGAGGCGGCTCTTCATTTCTTCATAAATGCCAAATCGAGTAGTGGAGTATGTCATTTGACGCAAAATAGCAGCCGACAGCTATAGATCGGGCGCAAGTGCGCTTTCGTTAGCTCCTTTTTTTTTTTTTTGATCCGACTGCGTCATCGCAGCTCTCCAGAACGGAATCGCAACATACGCCACTGTATAAACCAAGAAATCCATTATGTCTCACGATATGTCCAAAGGTGCCCAGCATGGTCTTCGGGGCATCCGGGGCGCGTGTTTGTAACCGGACCTGCAATGCGACAAGGGCTTCGATCAGCATTCGATTCGAAGGGGCGACACCTGCGGACAGAAGTCCGGGAGCTGGGAATTACCTTGACTGAAAGGAACAGGTCAGCATAAGAACATAGAGAAATCACTGATCGAAAACATCGCACATACCCAGATCTAAAGGGTGCGTCACACCCGCCGCAAAACACGAGGCCGAACCTCCAAACCAAAATGGGTAATGCACCTTTTTCGGCTTCGACTGCGCAGGCGTCGAGACGGGCGCCACCCGCGAATGGGCCGGGGCCTCGAGCATCTTGCCACTGTCTGCCATCTTGTTTCCGAGAAACAAGCGACGGCCGTGTGGAGGAGGGGAAGAGGGGAGAGGTGGAGGGTGGAAGGTGGTTAAAGAATGGCAGTGCTCCTCATTTCTTTTTTTTCTACGGCTTTTATTGAGCGTGACTCTTGACGTAATTTTGAATCGCTAATACCGACGGAGACAAATCATGCCGCCGAAGCAGCGCTCGGCTGCTCCGACCGACGGCGTCTCACAGCCAATAATGTCGCTTCCCCTGGAATTCCGAGGGCTCCGCTGGTAGCCTGGCCCAATCACACGCTCGGTTTCGCGGGCGTTCGGTGGGCATACAGCCTGTAAGGAACATACCAGCCCTTACCCACCTGCCTGCCCCCAGGTGCTCGCGGTCGAGCGTCGGTCATTTAACTGGGCGCCGATGCGATCGCAAGGATAGCGATACAGGACCTGATCGACAGATATGGAGTGAGAGATGATGTGACGGGTGAGCGGGTATATTCGGTGGAATTGCGGAAGTTGGTGGCGGAAAGCTTGGAGTTACCGAGGAATGAGGGGTTCCGGAGACCACTTCCCTCGCGATATCATAAAACACATCAGGGAAATATCACATCAACGTGTCCTCGATACTTACGAAAGCCCCTTTTCTGGGCTAGCTTCCCTTTACTCTCGTATAATTCAATAGCACACAGTGCTACACTGCAACTAAACTGAAGTATGTGGTTTATGTGATATTTGGAAAAAACCCTCCCGGTTGAGTAAATATCTTACGTTAGACATTCCCAAAGGCACCATTTTAGGCACGAGACCGAGCGCTAGTCGATATCAAACCTCGATAATAAATCAATCACTAAAACTGAACAGCAAAACCAAAGCATACAGAAGTGGGCGATGGTTGTCGCAAATACGTCAAGCAGTCCCCGCAGTGCAGCTTGTACTTCGGCGACTTGTTTCCCCGGGCCGAGATGTTTTGGGAATGATCCCGCAAAGACCACATCCCCAAGTGAGTGACCGAGTCTCTATCACCAACCATGCGGTTATTTGCTACCGGCCGAGCCCTGCGAGCTAGCAGCGGTCGATGGTCAAATGTCGCAAATCGGCCCAGAATCCCAATCCCTCGTATATACCCGCATTTTGAGTCCTCTCCGGCCGTCTCTCGAAACTGGAGCTCAACAACAGCTCGCTGGTCAGCCAACCAAAACTCAAGTGCCGGGCAAGCCAAACGGCCCTCCGACCTCAAGATCGAGGGCGACTCCTATTCCACCGACAATTGGACAAATACCACCGATCAAATCCTGTCGCATGTCGGACGACGACTCTACCTTGACGAGAACCATCCTTTGGCCATCACCCGCAAGCTCATTGAGAGCCAATTCCCTTTCCCAGTCTTCGGGAACTACTCCGAGAAGAACCCCGTCGTTACGACCGCGCAAAACTTCGACGTCCTCGGCTTCCCAGCTGACCATCCGGGTCGCAGTCGTACCGATACCTACTATGTCAACGACAAAACCGTGCTACGAACCCATACAAGTGCGCATCAGCAAGCATACTTCCAGCAGATCAACCGGAATGAACAGAGTCGCCCAGAAGAGGTTGGATATACCGTGATTGCCGATGTCTATCGTCGGGATGCCATTGACCGCAGTCATTACCCGGTCTTTCACCAGATGGAAGGTGCCATGCTGTGGAAGAGGCCTGTAAATGATCCTCTTGAATCCTCGGCAGAGACCGCCGCGAATGTCAAAGCGGACTTGGCAAAGATCCCAAGCCATAATGTGCCCGTCGAGGATCCCAACCCGACCATTCACCCCCAGCGAAATCCGCTGCAGGCGGAGCATCACAGCGAGGAGGAGGTTGAAGCCATCGCGGCGCATCTTAAGCGTTCGCTTGAGCGCATGGTGATCAAGATTTTCACAGAAGCCAGCAAGGCCGCCGCCGCTAGTTCCGGAGGTGATCTTGAGCCCGAGCCTTTGAAGGTCCGCTGGGTCGAGGCGTATTTCCCCTTTACTAGCCCCTCCTGGGAACTGGAGGTCTTCTGGCAGGGTGATTGGCTAGAAATTCTGGGTTGCGGTGTCATCAAGCAAGACCTGCTCATCAACTCCGACGTCCCTCACCGCATTGGCTGGGCCTTCGGTTTGGGCATTGAGCGGATTGCAATGCTCCTGTTCAACATTCCTGACATTCGTCTTTTCTGGTCTCGTGACGAGCGTTTCCTGTCTCAATTCCGAGCTGGCGAGATCACCCGTTTCGAGCCTTTCTCCAAGCATCCTGCTTGCTACAAGGACGTTGCCTTCTGGCTTCCACCTTCCGCTGTCACGGGTGGTAGCAGTGCCGCAGGCGGCGGTGTGCCCTTCCATGAGAACGATGTGATGGAAATCGTTCGTGGGATTGGTGGTGATCTTGTCGAAGACGTTTCCTTGATTGATGAGTTCACTCACCCAAGGACTCAACGCAAGAGCATGTGTTACCGCATCAACTATCGCAGCTTGGAGCGGACTTTGACGAACGAGGAAGCTAATTATATGCACGACAAGGTTCGACAACAATTGGTCGATGACTTCGGTGTGGAACTGAGGTGATCATAGTGAATTGAGTCTGTACCATAGGATCTATCGGTACTCTGTATACCTGTGACTAACATATGTACAATATAACAATTTCTTTCATCTAAATTTGATATTTCCACGTTTACAAGTAGATATATAAAATTGTAGCACAACAAAGTAAAACACTACGTTCACATCACAATCCCATGTTACCCGAGCGCATAGCAGTCTTCACGTTGAGCACCAACATTACAGGCCGCTAACAAGCTTGATCTACTGACGCAAAGGAAAGCAGAATTGAGAACGAGACAACTTTGAAGCTTTCGAAGATGTATATTATACAGAGTGGGGAGAGAGTATCAGAAGACATAGATCACGCGAAAAGTGGACAAGCCACACCAACACGACACAACCCAGACGCCTCCAACCATGCAGCAAGTGTATCATACAGATCCAAGTGACAAGCAGATATAAGGAAGACGATTTTACACGCGACGGACAGCCAGCCGTATCCTATCCGAGAGCAAATCCCTGTCGTGATCATCATGTATGATATATGGTACAGAAAGAAGGAAATAGAAAGAGGAAAGAGGCATTAATGTCGACAGGTGAAAATTTAGGCGTTCTTGACGACACCAACCTTGGAGGCCTGCAGGAAAGGAAAGTGGTTAGTGAGTTGCCAACTGATAGAGCGGTTGGACTAATGCTCGGATCAACTTACCCGCAGAACGCGTCCATTGAGCTTGAAGCCCTTGGACTGAGTGTGCATAATATCACCATCCTCCATACCCTCAGCCTTGGTCATGAAAGTGGCCTCGTGAAGGTTGGGATCGAACTTCTGAGGCTTGCCCTCAACCAGCTCGCCGGGGTCGAAGCGCTCAAGGCCGTGCTTCTGGAGTGTGTTCATGAGGATGTTCTGGGTCATGTTCAGACCGGCGACGAGATCCTGAAGGTCCTTGTGGCTCTCAGCCTGGGCAGCGTCGAGCTTCTCCTCGGGCACGGCCAGCAGTGCGCGGTCGAAGTTGTCAATGCTTTCCAGGAGATCCTTGGCGAAGCCCTGGATAGCGAACTTGCGGGCGGCGTCCATGTCGCGTTTTGTGCGCTCTTGGAGGTTACGGAAGTCGGCGACGGATCGAAGGTATTTGTCCTTGATTGCGTGTTAAGATTGTGGTGAGGAGAGTGCGGACGTAAGCAATAGCAAAGCTTACCTTCAGGTCCACGACCTCCTTCTTGGCCGCCTCAAGCTCTTTCTGCACGGGATCCTCGGCAGTTTCGCCCTCCTTGGGAGCCTCCTTCTGCTCGCCATTCTCGGTAGAGTAGAAGCGACGACCAGCGGAATGGGCAACGAACGGCCGGGGCAGCTGTGTCTGGAACCGTGATGTCCGGCGGAGAGCGAGCGGCGCAGAGGTTGTGGAGGAAGAGGTGGCCAGAGCCGACCGGATGGCCTGAGCCTGTCTGAAGATGGATCGTTGGAACATTGCGAATTATAGGGGAGATGAATTGAAGGATAGATGAAGAAGCACGGAGAATCGGACAGACTGCAGGTATTGGAATAGTTGATCGTCGGGCAAATTTGATTTGACATCACCTGACCGCTTTAGTTCCGGGAAAACCGCGGGCCCGAAACCAGTCAGCACTACGATCATGCCGGCCCTCTGTACAAATTTTAGTCGTACTCTTCCAGAGGTTGCGAATCGGTTGATACTAGCAGCATTTATTATGATACAATTTGAACAGCTATCTACACAAATAGCTGCTCAGTGCCAATCCAAGCGCTTACTAGACTAGCCTTGGTCAAGAATGGTGAGTGCTTAGTAACTTTGGCCTTATCGTATGATCGTTGATTGAATAGTCCAATTTATACTCTTTTTATACATTATATTCGTCAGTCTGTATTTGAAATCATGAGATGGCTACTTGAAACTGTCTCCCGAGGGTTGCTACCGAGGACCACATTCGACCAAAGAACGCACGATCATCTTCCCAAATAAGCAAGCACCGACATGCATCCTGGATTTTCTTATCAAGTTGCGCAGAATTTAATTAGATTCATCCGATTATATTAGAGGAGAACTTATTAGGGGAGCTTATCTCTTGAGTAAGAGCGACATTTGGGAAACCAACATTCGAATTCTTGACCACGTCTCTGACCGTCTGAACCGCCGAATTGTCCCCGATCTGCCGACTTGGGGTGACCTTGAAGGTCGCCGACTTGAATAAAAGCCAGAAATTCCTGCTGCTGCGAGACATTTGCATTACGACTACTGTAACCAGACATTCCGACATTTCTGGCGACAATTATTCCTAATCGCAAAAAGAAAAGAAAACCCGTGTTTTCAACACCAAAACGATATTATTCGCCCGGCTGCATAAGTAAGCCAGAGGGTGAGTTCTCGCTCACTGAAAGAGCTCGACCTATTGAGGGGTCTAAGAAGGGTGCAGAAGCGGGCAATGTCAATGAGAAAAAATATGAACTGTCAAATAGGTAAATGTCAACGAATTGACAATACTATTAATGCTGAAGTTCTATACTACCTCAATTTTGGTTCGTTATGAATCTGGTAGGCTGGGTTATTGCATAAATGTTATCTCTAGGCAAGCAAGAAATCTTTCTATTTTCCTCTTAGCAGCCTGGGACCTTCGACCCCAACATCCTTGAGCAGTGACCAGAGTCGATACTTTGACCCTCAGAGACCATTGAATATTATGGGATTGAAGGTTTAAAGATAGACATACATTTTGAGACAAACGTCCTTCAAGGTTCTTCCTTACTGACTACAAAGACAAAGTTATTGAGTTGGGACGAGAGGAAGAGCCAAGTCAGCAGAAAACGGGCTAGATCTACCCAGTCTTTACACCCCACAAGCTATGACTCTTTCCCAGATTGGCTACCGGAGGATGCATGGCGTAGACCAATTTCCTGCAGCTTGACATCACCTTTCATGAACTAAAATGCGCCTTAAGGCAGGGTCTGAGCCGTTCGGGTTCGCATCAGTAAACAAACCCCTCGCGAGCGCCTTTTATCGGTACTAAACGATCTGGAGGAGGGCCTGAGCTGATACTCTCAGATTTAGGGAATGATACGATAGATCTTCACTTACCAATATCTGCTACGCTGGCAACTTAAGAGGAGGGTCCGATCATCCGGAAAGCGGGTCTCGGACGCGTAAAAGACTCGCCGGGCTGGGGATGGATTGGAAAAGAAGGAACGCGCCTCAACGCTACACGCGAGCACGTCAAAAAAATCATGATTCAAGCGCAGCAGAGCAGGGCTCGTTAAGAACAATCACATTGACTCGGATCGGTAATTTATACAAGGCTGGGTACCGAACATGTGGTTGGAAATGGACGTGTACGATTTGGATCGGACGGATCGCCTAGTAGCGCGCACGGATGAACTGTCCGAACTCCAGTTCCAATTCCCATTTGTCTACTGAAGACTTCGACTCCACTGGTCAGCATTCAATTGGCGTCGGATATCATTGATTCGAGACCGGATGAATTCGGCACACGCTATCGTGGCGTGCATCTAATGCCGTAACTGAGCATAAGACATATCGGTTTTCCCCCGACGGACTGGCAGATTCCCCTATCATTCTCAGCTCGCTGGCCAAATTCTCCTTGCTGGCTTCCCGGTTTGTAGATTGACTGGCCCCTTGCTTGGTTTTTACGTCGCCGGCAAACTGACTTCTCCCTGGCTGTCAAACTTTATCACTGGTGAACAGAATCGCGCTGCTGGGTGCGACGATGGGAGTATGGGATGAAAAAGAGGAACATGTAGATATCTGTCGAAAAGTGGATGCCATTTCCAGATCCCATATAAGAGCTGATTCATACCTAGATCTGTTCTTTAGGGTGGATACGACATGATGTACATGCTGTACAACACGGCGGGTCATCGCGTCAAATAGTTGCAGGAATCTGATACGTCTGCCTTACAGAGTGATATGTCCTAGAACATAAGTGGGAATTTCGACAAACCAGCAAGCTGTCAACGGTCAATGCACATCAAAAGTACGACTTTCGATCATCTGCGAAACCTGATTTTCCTCCCCAATACCTCTTAAAGCAAGATCCGGCTAGACTATTTACTTCCGTGGCTTTTATTGACATTGAGCCATTTCTCGGCGACTACTGCCCCCATCCCCGGAAATCGATCCACTTCCACCATTGGCGGGGTGCTCACGTCATTCTGCAAGAGGTCCACTTAACTCGATGGATATGATATCCCTCCCAAAAACGGCCTGAGCCGGGTCGCCCTATTCACGAGTGTATTTAAGTTAAGATGATTCCAAATCTTTCACCACCAATTTTTTTTTGCTCGTCTAAACTTGCTTCTGTTCCTTGGAGTGTCTAATCAATTGCGCACCATGAGTTCAGCACAAGATCACACGTGGTCCTCGGGTGACTTTGAGCACCCAAACCAGAAGATACGTTGGTCGATGACCGTGGCGCTAGTCTTCGCTTTCTTACTCTCTACCGTCGCCGTGGGTCTCCGATTCCTAGCCAGACGATTGGCTGGCGGAAGACTTTACTTGGATGATTGGTTGATGCTTGTGGCTTTGGTGGGTACTACTTTCCAACAGCCACACTCTTCATAGGGCGCGTACTGATCTGATTGAACTGAAGATTTTCAAATACGGATGCTCCATTGGAGTAACAACTCGTAAGTAATTTTCTGGCAATACTGAAGCCATTATGAGCAGAATTTCGATACTAATTGGATGTGCAGTCCTATACAATGGGTTGGGATCACATATCGACACGATTCCGCCAAAGAACCTCACATGGTACTTCAAAGTAGGTATTTTGACATGCCACTCAAAAAAGCCATCGTTACTGACATTCATTAGGTTGCGTGGGCCAATAACTACGTGTACCCCGGCTGCGTCGGATTCGTCAAGCTGTCGATCCTGGCCCTCTACAAGCGAATTTTCTCCTCGAAAAAGATGAACTACGCTGTCAACATCATGGCGTCCTTTGTGATTGTCTGGGTCATCGGCAATTGGATTGCCGGAACTGTGAACTGCTTGCCCGTGGCCAAGTTTTGGGATCAATCGCTCGAAGGAGCATGTATGGGTATTGCCGAATTCTCCTACGGCCAACAGATCCCCAACATTGTTTCCGATGCCATCATTTTGATTATGCCAATCAAGGTTGTTTGGAGTCTTTCGATCCCGAAATCTCAGAAAATTCTTCTTTCTGGTGTCTTTTTTATCGGTGTTCTGTGAGTGTCTTGCCCTTGAAAGATGTGTGAGGAGGTGTTTTAACATGGGCTCAAGGACCTTGATCTTTGATTGTGTCCGACTATGGCGCATGATCGTGCTGTCAGAATCTGGTCCCGATATCACTTGTAAGTGCAATCCATCCCTCCTGCGAGATCTTCATGAAATGAAACTCAAGCTCTATACAGATAACCAAGCCCCCGTTGTCATGTGGACATGTATCGAAGCCGCCGTCGGTATTGTGGCCGCTTGCCTCCCCAACCTCCGCCCGCTCTTCAAGTTTGGTGGCCGTGGATTCTGGTCCCAACTTCGATCCGGAAGCAGGGGTTCTGGAAAGTCTCATCTGAACACGAACACGACCACAACCACCACGACTTCGACGAACTTGAGTATTCAAAAAGGACCTCTGAACTCCCACGTTACCGAGCAGGGCATCGAAATTCACCGGTACAGTGACATTATTCGAGGAGATGGGGAGAAGGTTTAGCCTTCAGCCTACCTGCTTGAGAACGGGAACACATACTGTTCGAATATTGCCCGAATGTGAGGAAATCGAGCGGCAAAAGGAAGTATAATACATGAGCTACTAGGATGGACTTGCTTCAAAAAGGTGGGAAACTTGACTCAGATGTCTTAAATTCTCTACTGGCTAGGATTTTATTTTTAATTAATTTAATGGATACCCCTAATGTTACATATTATTCTATATTATCAAATGCTGCTTGATGATTCGGGCCAGTTTATGAAGCATATTTCTTTCCAAACAGCTTCACAGACGACAGATCAGTCCATTTACCGGAAAACGTAATTTCTTACAATCTCAGTTATCTGGCAAGATCTGATGGAGCCGAAGACGCGTGTCGATGTGGGGGAAACTGTATAATTGTATCGGGATGTGGAGATGACTTGCGGAGAAGACGCCGGGACTTTGGTACAACCCCAAAGTACACGACGCCGCATTCCTGTTCGGCTTCAAGAAGAGGCGTATTTATTCTTTGCTGAAAACTCTTTTTGACTCCGGGAGCCAGCTGCTATCTATCGGGATCCGCAGCCTGGAAGCACTTGGCTAGAGTAAGCCTCGACAAGTCCATTCATCGTTGGTTTCTGATTTGACGAACTGTCACAGCACCTCATGATGCCTGATCAAACTCTCGCAGAAAAAGTAGCCATAGTGAGCGGCTCTTCCTCTGGAATAGGCGCAGCTATTGTGCGAGAACTCTCCTCACGTGGAGCCAACACAGTAGTCAATTATCCTTTCTCCTCTCTCCAGGATGAAGCCGAAGGCGTGATATCTTCCTTATCACCCGCATCCGATGCAATCGCCGTGGAAGCAGATATGTCTAAGATCGAGTCGCCACAGAAATTGGTCGATGCTGCCATTTCCAGGTGGGGCCGTCTCGATATTGTCATCAATTGTGTTGCGGTCGCTGTCAACAAATCGTTCGAAGAACAAACGTTAGAGGACTGGGATCTCCTCGTGAATATCAACGGCCGCGGCACATTTCTCTTGACCCAAGTGGCTCTGCCCCATCTCACAAGAGGGAGTGGGCGAATCGTGAATATTGCGAGTATTTCTGGTCGTGGACCGCCACCGAATCAGACGATCTATGCCGGAACCAAGGGGATGGTTGACTCGTTCACGAAGTGTTGGTAAGCAATAGCCTGGGTCTTCAATATCATTCGACAGCACCTGCATCATATATTCATGGAATATGTAGGGCGAAGGAACTGCCTCCAAAGTACGGATGCACGGTCAATGCAGTCAGCCCAGGGCCGACGAAGACAGAAGGGTTTGCGGCAGCAGGTGAAGAGCAGATGAAGATTCTTCAACCGATCATTGATCAGACTCCTGTTGGGCCGCGCATGGGACAGCCGGACGAGATCGCATACGCGGTGGCGTTCTTGTGTGAAGAGAGGGCGCGATGGATCAACGGAGCTCATCTCATTGCCTCGGGTGGGCTGTTTATCGATTAGTCCGAAGCCTTATTGTTCTGCTCTTTCAGTTGCTATTACAGCTGATTCAAGATGCTCGTAGGCCGAGGCTCTTAGCTAGATTGAATAAATAAGAATTGCGCTTTTGATGTGACAATCAGTCTACTGGTGATTTTTAGGGCCGTTACATGGACCACCACTTTGATTTCAAAGATAGCCACCATCTGCAGATTGCTGTCTGGCCCCTTGCGAGGTGCCCGATGAACTGGTTGTCGTTCTTGGTCTGGACATATCAACGAAGGGCGCAATTTGTTGAGGAAGTATGTGCGCCGATTGGCTCAAAGAACCAGCTTCGCTTCGCTCCGCATATAAAGGGAGCAGCCTTGTCTAACGGGGCAGCGTGAATCTCGCACAACAGCGATTCAAACACCGAAGGAGCCTGGCAGCTTCGAAAGAAAGATCGTTTATCTAGATAACTTGACCAACATGTCTCTCGATACGATCCCGAGTTGCCGAGGCCATGGCGCCTAGTTTCGAACGCCTAGCTGCCTCTCCCCGGCCCAAAAATGACGGATCCGCTGGTATTTCGATCGATTTCAGAGGCCGGCTTGGACCAATGATGTCGAAATTCCCCCAGCCCCCAGATGTCCAACAAAAGGTCTTTCAGATCCGCCCCTACGATGGCGAATTGATCTCCCTACATCGCATTTAGAGAAAAGGTGTCGATACTGCTACTCCCGGCCCCGCTCTAGTGCACGCCCATGGCGGCGGTATGGCTATGGGTACTGTGCCACTGATGGAAGATTACATTGGGAATCTCGTTCAAGAAACCGGCACTCAGATCTTCTCGGTTGAGCATCAGCGAGCTCCCGAGCATCCGTTCCCCACGCCGGCAGAAGACTGCTACGCGAGCCTGGTCTGGGTGACCACGCACGCAGATCAATTCTCCATCGACCCTCATCGTATCGGTACGATGGGTTAAAGTGCTGGAGGAAATCTGGCCACGAGTATGGCGATGCTGGCACGCGACCGCAGCCTTTCGCCGCCGGTGGCGAAGCAGTTCCTAATCTACCCCATGTTGGACGACAGCAAGGTGAAGCAACAGCCCGCCTTGGAGGCAGTCGCGATGTGGTCGATAGAGAGAAACATCACGGCGTGGTCAGCTTATCTGAGGGCGGACTTTGGCACCGATCGCGTGTCACCGTGTGCAGCGCCCATCAGGGCGACCAGCGTCGAGGGCCTGCCCCCGACATACATGGATACGGGGACATTGGACCTCTACCGCGATGAGATTTTGCGACACACGTCACGAATTGCGGCGGCGCATATTGAGACCGAGCTCCATGTCTTACTGGGACTGCCTCACGTGTACGACTTGTTTGCGCCTTTCTGCGGGCCCTCCAAGCGGGCTATGGAGGGCCGGATGCGGCAAATTCGGAAACTGTAGTACAGACGGACCAGGGCTGTAAATAAACAAATTATAGTGCTGCCTTGCAGTCAGCACAATTTCAATATGCGCATCCCCTAATTGTCTGGCAGCTCTGGGGCAGTCTGTCGTAGTGTCCTGGTCGGAAGGCTGGGGTTGGACTCCGCCGCGGGCACTGCCCGGAGCGGCCAACGGATGGCCAAGCCTCCGCAGGACGTACGCCGCGTCGTAGGCAGATTCATCCAGAGGAACTGCGTTGGCGGGGGCGATTTGAGGCGGAGCGGAGTTGGCGCGATGACTAACGCCTAAAGCTTGACACACAGAGATGGTGCTATCAGGAGTAGACTGAGGGCTGCGTACTCGAGGTTGCCCCTTTTGGACACGATTGCGCTGTGGCTGGTGTACAAGGTGTGGCGCACCGATCTGTGGCGCATGCACGCTATCGGTTGAGATGGAGGCGATGTGTACGAATCACAGGCCGTTTCCGGCTAACAGAGCATAAAGAGGCTTAGCGACGAGCGTGGTGGATCGCCAGGAACAAAGTGTCTAATCGGCCTCGTCCGTGGTGGGTGTGGGCTGTGCAGGGAGCATGACACAGTGCGCTGCGCCTCCAACCGGCGAGACGGAAACAGCTTGGACACTCTGGAGATTGCGACTGGGGGCAGGATAAATACCTACACGCCTCTGGCTGGAGTCTGCCAGAATTCAACAACCCAATCTCTTCTGCCTCCGTGCCTCAGACACTTTTTCGACTCGTTGAAACAAAGTGTTGCCTCCACGCAAGATCTAGAACGCCCACGCTTATCCGGTGGCAACCCCCCTTTATCTACTCCGCCTCCGAGCACTTTAATTTATCCCGCCGCTCTTCCACCAGCTTGTCTACTTCTCGACAACCCTCTCTCTCCTACAGAAATTTTTTTTGACAATACAACATCATGGCCGAAGCTGCATCGCCTCCGCACTCGTTCGCTCCCTCGCCTTCTTTCCAGGCTACCCGCTCATCGCGGTCTCCGTCGCGGCCCTCCCTCTCCATTGACCTCTCCAACCTCCCCCCGCTTTCTCAGCCAACACCACCCTCCAACACGCTCTTGATCACCGACTTGAACGATCTCGTCCTCTTCCAGCCGGCATCGCTCGATTCCATCCGCAATCAGATTCTGGTCCTGGCCGCTCTGAACTCCTTCTCACCGCTCCCCTCCTTCCGCCGCATTGTCTGCTCCTTCTACTCTGAAGAAGACGCGATCACTGTTCGCCAGTCTCTCGAGGGAAACCAGCTCCTGGGACGCAAAGTCCGCCCTAAGATCTACTTCGGCGAGCCAACTCCCATCCTGAGTGAGGAAGGACCTAAGCTGCTGCAGGCCCCACAGCCAGACAAGCTCTTCTTCATCTCACCGCCACCTAGCCCACCGGCCGGCTGGGTGATGCGCAACGAGGACCCGCCCAACAAGGAGGTCCATGCCAGTGATCTCGCCAACGCCCTGGCCATGCTGAAGACCGACTCCTCCAACGAATCGTTCGGCGTCGACCCTGCAACCCCGGTCTCGATAACTTCCGACAAGCGCACCAGCAGCTGGCCCTTGGCCGGTTCGCAGCAGCGCAGCCGCAGCAGCACAATTATCTTCCACCCGGAAGATCATGGCAACAGCCCGAACCTGCCTGCCGTCATGGTTGAGGATGTGAGTCTGGATGTGGATGAGGATATTGATATGGATGCCGAGATGAGCCCCATTGAGACGTCTGTCAAGAAGATGCCACCCAAGACTTCTCGTCCGCCCATGGAGCTTATGATGGATTGAAGGACTGGGACAAAGCGTTTGTGTTTTCTTTTCTTGTGCATTTTTAGCGAAGGGTTTCTTATCATCGGCGTTGGGGAAGGACAAAGGCATTGTTCTGAGCTCAGCGATCTACGCTTTGGATTATGAAAGGAGTCGAAAATAGGCTTACATGTATTAATGCACATATTACATATTCACTTCCTTGTGATCCCTTTACTCGTAGTGCCCTCGTAGTACCTACGGCCCCAAAGCTTCTAATCTGAGTCTGATGGTCCGAATATTTCACAGTCTAGTAGAGTTATCAAACACCCACGCCTATCATGGACTTGACAGCCAGATATTCATCAATGCCGTAATGGCCAAGTTCTCGCCCATACCCGCTCTCTTTGATTCCGCCGAAGGGGCTCTCGCAAGCACTGAGCATACCAAGATTCACGCCAACCATGCCAACTTCCAACGCTTCAGCCACACGCCACATTCTAGAAATGTTCTCTGTGCAAATGAATCCGCCCAACCCAACGTCGCAATCATTTGCACGCTGGATGGCTTCTTCCTCTGTCTCGAACTTGTATAGTCCGACCACTGGCGCAAAGGTTTCTTCACAGGTCATTTTCATACTGGCGTTCATATCCTTAATGATAGTTGGCTGGAGGAAATAGCCTGGAAGAGTTTCTAGGGGTGCTCCTCCTAGAACGACTTCTGCGCCATGCTTTCGTGCATCTAGACCCAGTTAGATTTCTGTTATGCACGAGTGAGGGTTAATCTTACCTTCAATGTGGTCCATCGCCTTGCCCACGGCACGCTCATGTGTCAGCGGGCCGACATGGACACCGTCCTCGATCCCAGAGCCAACTTTGAGAGCTCGCACTTTATCAATCAGAGCGTTAGTGAACTTCTCATAGATGCCCTTTTGGACAAAGATGCGATTGGCAGTGACGCATGTTTGCCCGGAGTTCCGGAACTTGGCCATGATACAAGCCTGGATGGCCGTATCAATACTTGCATCATCAAAGACAATGAAGGACTGTTTCCACCAAGCTCGAGCGAAAGTTTGGTGAGATTATTGCTGCACTGGCTGGCAAGGAGCTTGCCAACCCGTGTACTTCCCGTAAAGCCGAGCTTGCGGACCATTTTATTGCTACACAGAGCTTGACCAACATCAGAGACTGAGTCGAGAGTGGTGATCACATTGATGGCGCCCTTGGGAAACCCTGCCTCCTCGGCTAGCACAGCTTGAGCCAAGCAGCTAAGAGGAGGATCCCCGGCCGACTTCCCACGGTCGTACACCCCGCGGCTAGCGCAGCGCCGCATTTGCGAGTAATCATGGCGATTGGGAAATTCCATGGCGCCATTCAAGCCGCAACGCCGAGAGGTTGCTTGAATGTCAAGATTCGTTGACCCAGATTGGCAGATGGGATGACATCGCCGTAGACTCTCTCAGCTTCGCCAGCAAACCAGTCCAAGAAAGAGGCGGCATACTTGACCTCGCCCTGGGCCTCTGCCAATGTCTTTCCATTCTCGAGGGAGAGGATCAGTGCAAGATCCTGGGAATTCTCCAGACATAGGTCGCTCCATTTTCGCAGCCACTGCGCGCGCTGTCGAGCCGACGTCTTTTTGTAGGAGTTGAATGCTGCATGTGCGGCTTCGATTGCTCGATTTGTGTCCTCAGTCCCCATTTCGGGGACTGTGGCTAATTTTTCAAGTGTTGCAGGGTCATGGACGTCGAATGTACATCCCGAGATTGCGTCCACCCATGAGCCGTTAATATAGCCTTTCGTTCTGAAGAGGTCTTGACGGACGAGATGAGCGAGGCTTCGGCTGCCATATTTGTTGTACTAAACTGGAGAAGAATAGTAGAAGGGGTTGTCGGTAGACCAGTCTGATGAATCTCCCTCGGCAGGTCACCTGGCTTGACTAGGGGCAGGCACAGGGTAGTATGTACATCATTCGGCAACTCGGTTAAGATATGCCTGTGCCATGCAGCCTCTCCTTTGGCTCCCCACATACCAGAGATGAAATATGGAAAGATGACTCTTCTTTTATTTATTATTATTATTATTATCATAATAAAAATTTTGTTCTTTTAAAGGTTTATTGGCGTCCGTTTGCTTCTTTTTACCTTAAGCCTGCCACTGGTTATACACCATCAGCCTCAGAATATACCGCTCGATATTGTCTTAGCTCATCCTTACCAGCACTCACAGATATCCCAAACCCCTCAATTTCTGCGACTCAGCTCTCTAACGAAGCCTACACGCAATATTCGTTATCTCCCGACCGAGATGATCCTCGAGATCGACCGTCATCTTGATTTATAGGTCTTATTTGTCTGCGATGTTCCTGTCAGCTCTTTCGTGCAAGAATACCACCACCGTCACCTCCTCTTCTGGAGTTTATAGAAGCAGAAACCAGCTCATTCGCTTTCTGGAAGGATCTATATGCCTGCTGACATTGTATGAAGCTACTTCCCCAAGCGAAGTTTGCCGATAATATGCTGGAAAGGAGAAGAGCTAAAATGGGGGTGTAACGCAAAACGGTGGTGTGTGGACTGCAGTATGAAGCCATCTCAGCGTAGAGATCGATACCTCCTGGCAAATGTTATCAGAGTCTTGGGGGAAACAAATGTCCTCTGCATCCATTGCCGAAGCGTAGAGAGTGTGCCTCAGAAAACGGGAAACCATTAACTGTGTGTCGAGCCTGCAACGAGCGTGCTAGAACTGAAACAACGATAACCTGGTAAGAATGGACCCGACAGTGAGCTGAACGAAGGACCAGAAAACGTGATACGAGAGCCGCTTCAACCGATAGTATGTTCACATCTAGTCCAGCATCTAGAGGAAAGAAGATGGAAATGATTAAGACTCAGACCGAAGCTGATATTTACGCGAAAAGCTCCAATGTGTCTAATTGAGCAGCTTGCGCGTGGTTTTCGCTCCTCAAAATTGCAGTCTCCAAGATGAAAGTTTGTCAACAAAGTAACAGACGTAATGAGACACTAAGCAGAGATCTTCAACAAAGAACTCTTAATTCTTTGAGCAAGGACAAGGCAACAAATTATCTGACCTCTTCCATTCTTGTTTTGTTGTTTTATATCGGCTCGAGGCCTTTTATTCCAGAAAAGACAAACGCCGAAGAACGAATCGGTAGCCAGTCACCCTCGGGTACATAGCAAGAGGCTCCATTGACTCGAAGCAACAAAGGGCGGTTCATTGGAGAGATACCAGCCCCCAACCTTGCCAAACTTGGAAATATTGTTCTCTGCATAATGCCATTGTTGATCAATAAAGGTCTATGTTCACGCATAGATTTATGCTCTTTGGCACTCAAGAGCCTCGTGAGCTGCCTCGATACTCGAAAATTTAAGATCGAAGCTCTCCCAGCTACAGTCGCTAGTCCAAAACACGCTGATGCCATCAAAATCGAAATTCACGCTAACATCAAAGCAGCTATGATTATTACTTTCGTTATTATCAATCTAGCAGTCGAACTGATCAACAAAATCCACCGACAAGATCGAAATGGGCTCGCTAGATTCTGATAGCTATCACACTACCCAAGACCTCCATGAACTCGATAGGGCCATTGTCTGGGAACGGGAGAAGAAGATCCTCCGAACTACTGTATATCCCAATGCAGAATCCCCATCCAAGACACACAGAGAATTTGGTGCACTTTGCCATCCACAAGGATGGAATCCCCCTCCACAACCATGTTCAGCTCCCACTAGCACTAATGCCAGACCTAGACAGAACTTTTGTACCTAGTCGAACTTGGCAGTTGGAAAATGTCTACAGCCCGGCCGCGAATAGCATGGCGATGCACTGGGTTGCATTGTCCATGAATTTCTACCACCAATGTCGTACCCAATCGACTTCTTGAATACAGTGCAAAACACTTGAATTGCCGAAGCGATGCGTTGTCGTCGGGGAAACAGGAAAGCTCCTTCGCATGCCTTTTGGATCCAAGTGCGAGGCTGTTTTCAAGATCTCGATGATATCCTGCTGCTGCTAAGAGACAAGCGAATCTTTTGAGACAGTTGGTTCTTGGTGGGTATATTGTTCTCGGTCCAGAGGTTTTAGGTGCGGATCAACAATCGATGTACGTACTTCCCCACGAAAATTGACTGCGCGATCCATTTGGCATCTATTTTGGGATTGCTAGAGTAGGTCATTGTTCTCTGTTAGCAGTTGTATGTGGGCGGATCTAGATGATCTAGCTTTTTAGCCTCTCATGTTAAAATATGCAATGATATCTGGAAATGAACGCCAGTATTTTGATTTTAGAGAATATTGAAATGAAAAACCTTTTTCTTTTTACCAAAGTGAAGAAATTATGAACAAAAATGAAGTCGAACCCCCGAATATCAAACCTACCTAGGTACCCTAGGAGAGGTACAAACTCCTAATTGCGCCACCAGCCGCCTTTGAAGAAGAAGAAGAAGAAAAGCGAGGAAAACTCCACTCCGCATGCTCAAGCCTGTATTGTATGTCGTCCGTCTCACGGCCTCTAGAAGCCGTATGCGTCGTTGCCGTAGGGCGTGGCACCATAAGGGGTCTGCGCGCTGGGGCCCCAGGCGCTGGCACCACCGTTGCCGTACGATGTCATGTTTCCATCCATGCCCTCCGGAGGCTCGTAGGCATCGGGATCGCCGCCGCCCATCATATCCCCTTCATCAATACCACCGGCCTGGTTCCCGGCGGTACCGTTGAGGTTTTGGATGGTCTCGATGAGCTTCTTCTGGAGAATCAAGAGCCCTTGCTGGATAATCATGTCTGGCTCGAGGTTACCGATGCTCTCCACATCGAAATAAAAGACGTTAGGCTCGGCGTCATAGTCAAAGGGCTGATCGGGGTTGGCGGGGGTTTCCCAGGTAGCGTTTTCGGAGATCGGCCTAGATAAGAACCAGTCAGCATTAGTTTTAAATGGCAGGTGAGGTTCAGGGCTCAGTGGGTTGTACGTACCATTCCTTAACCGGGTCCTGCTCGTACCAAAAATCGACGTGCTTGAGATTGTTGTGCGGGTCGTATTCGAAGCCCACAGCAGCAGTGGGCGCCCACTTCGCATGTTCCTTTGCAATGCCCTTCTTCGCCAAGCAGGTCAACTTGATCTCTTGTCCTTTGCTCAGCTTAGCGATCAAAGCACCCTTGCCCTCGGGGTCCTTGATGACAGGAGTGCCAATCAGATCATTGGATCGCTCGCCCTCAAGTACCAGATGACGCGCATAGATAGGCATATGGATCCCCTCACAACGCACGTGCAGCGACAGCGACACAGAGCAGCGCGGGCAGTGGTCTTCGCAGTCGCAGTCACGAGTGTACTCGAGCTCTTGGTCGCAGTTCTTCGCATTGAGGGGGATCATACCCAGGCGGTGGGCAAGCATTTCATCGGGAATGACGGAGGTGTTGTTTTCGATTTCGACCAAATCCAGCGCGAGGGTAGGGATATCAGCGAGGATCACGCGACGGAGCGAGTTGGCGAAAGAGATGTCGACGGAGCTGAGGCGAAAATCGACGCGGTATGGTTCAGCCTGTAGATTCTGGTCAGCCACGAGTCCCTGTATATGTCACAAATCTTTAAGCACTCACCTCGCGAACGGTCACCTGCGGCCCCGTGGGCTCCATATCCATCTCGTAATCCATCTTGTTGTCGAGGCGGTTGCCGGTCACCCGTCACTCGTGTGTGCGGGCCTGGAACTGTATTCGCTGACCGTCAAATAAAAAGAGTGCAAGGGAAAATTGGCGCCGTGGAGCGACGACACGTGAGCCAGCGAGGATGTGAAAGGGTGTAGGGTGAGGAAGTTGAATGTGTCGATGGCGCTGAAGCGCGGATTTGATCCTCGGAGCATGGCTTGGCGCTTTCCCTAATCGGGTCACGCAGTGACTTGGAGGCATTAACTTCGACAGCCACCCCTTAAGAGCAACGGAAGTGAATGAACATGTAGTGATTACAGCTTTAACTACGTGAATGATTTTTTTATTGTTCTTCAGGTTGAGTAGCTAGTAGCTGAAAGATGTCCAGGCTGTTAGAGAGGGGAAGACATGTTCTGTATTCCATTTGCGACCAGCAAGAATTTGGTGGCCATTGAAATTAGCTTGTCTCCATTGATCTGGGGTCAAAAGCTCACTTCACTGTTTGAACGTGTAAGAAAGCATGCTGGTCGGTAGATCCGACCAAAAGTAAAGATAAAGCAGAGAGCCCTCCAGCATTCACAGGTCCCTAGGCCAGGGCCCGTCGACGTCTATAGGAGTATAACAAGAAGCGAAATCAAAGCAAGTGTAACTTATGCGCCTAGCTAGAAAGAGTCGGGTAAGACAGCAGCCCGATCACAGAGGCGGCAGATGCGAATGCAGAGACAAATAGAACACAGGGAAAAAGAAAGATATAAGAATATAAGAAGCAGAGATTCAGAAAGCAACAAAGCCACCGATCTTTTTAGGTTGGGTCATATCGAGTCATCAATCGGGATCGCACTGCACAAGTGAGTACACCTACATTGTCCCGAGTATCAGTTGGTTCACATGTATGAGGCCGTGTGTATCGCAGGCAAACAAATAGAACACAGAAGATATGTACGGGCGGTCGCTACCGCTTTAATGAGCTGCGGTTCAGCGCTTCCAGCAGCTCTGGTCGATTTGCCAGGGCCGCGGCCGCCTGGGCATAGCCGACCCATTGCCGTTTTCGCTTGTGCATTTCGGGCCATTCGATTTCCTCGCGGTCGACCGTCACCTCGAAGAATTGGTAGGAGGCCTTGGGTGCTTGTGCGGTCAAGAGACCAGAGGGTCGCATGTCCGGGATCAATCCCAGATCCTTATTGACGGTGCAGACGACACCCGCTTCTTCCCAGGCTTCACGGCACGCGGCCTGTTGGGCCGTGCTCTCATCAAGTTCCCATCCACCCTTGGGCAGTACCCAGCCTCCGGGTCCTGCGGATTGGATCATAAGGACTTTGGTTTTATCGGCCGACAATGGGACGACACCTGCGACCAGACGTTCGCCTTTGGAACCGTAACCTAGAGACGCAGCGGGTTAGCGAGGTCACGAATGTCATACCGGGAGCCCTGGCCGGAGGGCTCAGGGCCGATCGCCCCCACGTGCCGGAAGGAGGAGGAACTTACGTTGATTCTTCCGCCCAACGCGGGCTTCCATCGAACGGATCTGAGCCATTGCGACGAAGGAAAATTCCCCGATTGCAAGGCGATGCGAACTGGTTTCGCACGGGGAGTGGATGCAGGAGAGAGGAAAAGTAAAAGGAGTGTGAGGGACCGTGGAGAAGGAAATCAAAGAGCGCGAAATACGGTCCAGGAGGAAAAAGGAAGAAAGGGTTGTCTCAGATGGCAAGCTCCCGCGGAGCCTGGACGGTCTCTGGGTTGGGAGGAAGCTTCAACAGCCGGGGGTACAATGGTCCTGAAAGCGGTCGGAGCAGGAAATTTTTTTTCCCTTGGGGGGTGGGAAAGAGGATGAAACGTGGAGGAGACGCGGAACACGGTTAGGTCTTCCCATTCAATCCCGCGGCGGACGGGAAGGACTGCGGAAGAGTGGTAAAAGGCATGATGGAACAGAAGTAAGAGAAAAAGGGATCTGGAGCTGGAAGATGGATGAAGGTGAAGTGGGAATGGAGGGGCAGCAGAACCGGCGCAGTCCGTCCTGACTAAGTACGGTACCGTAATTACCGTCTCTTATACTAAGCATCCCCGACGACAATACCTGCCCTGAGGGAGGCATGGAGCATCACAGGGAGAGAGTTCCGGTGCTTCAGACGACGCGTGCATTGCAGGATGCGTGCTGGCCTGTTTTTATTATCCATCCGATGATTCGCTCTGGATCATGTGACCCAACTCGTCGACAATAGCGGACTTGGAGCCTGGGTCTATACTCCCGTATGGAGAGCCTCTCCGAGGTACACCTCCAGTAGGGTAACTACAGTACTCTGGTACCGAGCCTGGAATCTCGGAGCGATTCGATACAGTCCTCCCACGAATCTGGCAATCGAGCACGGGGTGCGATCACTCCCATGTTCTCGTAGTTAAAATCTCCCGTGTCCGTCTGTAGTTAATCTGCCCTCCAATTGAATGCCATCACCGCCCCGGAGAGCCTCCCTCGCTGTATACAAAAGGGCGTATTACAACCCCGCCACTTCTACCCATCCCAACCTGTCTTCTTCTCCTACCTTCCCCGTCTGCACCGACACCACATAGTGACCCCCTTCCTTCAATTCCGCCACGATCCACTCGTGTCTGCAGCTCTTACTCGTAGCGAACGAAAGATTTCTTGCTTCCGCCGGGACCGCCAACCGACCCGGACGGAGTGAATTGATTGCTCGATGGAGCCAGTTGACGCCGAACGCGCGCGACAGCTGTCGCTCTTCCGGCCACTAGGTACGTCCCACTTCCCTGCAGCGAACCACTGAGATAGACTTCCGTTACCCCGTGGCGCTTCCACTGGTTCTGGTGACTGCGTCTTGGGGACAACTTGGCCGGGGATTATCAACTGCCTGCAGGGCGGATCATCGCTACGCCAAAACTCTCCCATGCTAACTTCACCTCCGCACTGGCTCAGGCTACCAGCACAACTCGTGTGGCTACTGCAAATCTGAAGATGGAAGTCAGTTGCTCTCCAACGTGCCTTCGTCGGCTCCTCCTCGAGAGGAATGAACTGACACGTCATGTCTAGGCGCATCATACTACGCAAGCTCCCAGGTCGTGCGGCCCGAGCACTATGAAGAGCTCGTCAATCGGGGCTGGAGACGGTACGTTTCATTATTCTTCCCCCCTCCTCCTATAGACTAAACAGCGCAATGACTCACGTTATAGATCGGGCACCCTGTACTACAAGCAGCATCTGAAGCGTTCCTGCTGCCCGCACTATACGATGAGACTGGAGGCCTCCGCCTACCAGCCGCGTCGTGATCAGCGAAAGGCCATCAACCGCTGGAACAAATTCATTCTGGGCCCCGAATACATTCGGAAAGCCGCCTACCTCTGTCCACGCTCACGAGAGTATGCGCCCCCACAACAAAAAGAAGTGGCGATCTCCGCTGACAGGTTGCAACAGGGAAAAGAAGTTCCGCAAATGCAACTTTGACGTGCAAGCGGCAGTGCATGAATCCGAGTATAGTCATGTCAAGCGTCCGATTGACCCGTCCACAAAGCGAGCCATAGAGCCGGCGCATCGCTTCGAGGTCAATATTGAGGGCGACTCCGCGTCGCAGGCGAAGTATGAGTTGTTTCGGAAGTATCAGACGATCGTTCATAAAGACGACCCCTCTCGCTTGAGAATCAAGGACTTTGAACGATTCCTGTGCTCAGGGATTAAACGGTCCCCTACGAAATTGACCAAATCGAACGAGTCGGAGAAAAAGCTCGGCTCATGGCATCAATGTTATCGATTAGACGGGAAACTGATTGCGGTTGCGGTTCTTGATCTGCTTCCAAGCGGAGTCAGCTCGGTCTACATCTTGTGAGTGCTCTTTGAGTCTTTCTCATGAAAGCCGGGGACTGATTCTGATATAGCTATGATCCCGAATTTGAGCAGTGGGAACTTGGAAAGCTGAGTGCCATGCGCGAAATTGCTTTTGCGCATGAGAATGGCTATCCCTATTATTACATGGGTTCGTACTAACTGATAACATGGATTCTAGGACATAAGACTGACGATTGCAGGCTACTACATTCACAGCTGCCAGAAGATGCGGTACAAGGGCAACTTCCGGCCTCAGTACATCCTTGGTATGTCGCAACACCCAATTATCTCTTTTAATGAAACCTTCTTTCCTGTCTTAGGTGGATTGCCCATTTGACAATCTCAAATAGACCCTGAATCTCACAACTGGGACCCTCTTGACGGCGAGCTGTCTCAGAAGCTGGACACTCGTCCTTATGTATCTCTGTCACGAGACCGCTTCTCCGCCAATACCGATGACTCTAGCTCGAGCGTGGGTCTGGAGAAGGATGTTGACGAGGCACGACTCTCGCTCTTCGATCTCAACATGCCGGGCAATCTGAGCTTGGAGGAGGTTGAAGCCTTGGACCTTGGAAACTGGCACCTTCTTTACCACGGAGCTTTTGTGCAGATGAGCGTTAGTTCTACTCCCTGCTGAAACCCTGGGGCTAGGACAGACTTACTAACGAATAATAGGACCTCGTCAATTGGGAGAAAATGAAGTTTAACGACCCGCAGTCCATCAAGGGTATTATTGGGGAACTGGCTTCGGTTTTGGGTCCTGAGGTTGTCAGGAACAGTGCCGTGGTACTATTCGACTAAAGGCTCGGATGGTGACATACGATGATCATTTTACTAATGCCAGTCTTAAGATGGGGATCATCTGCGAGTTTTGATAGCGTTGAACGTGAAGTTTGATAGAAAGCATAGAGGAGCGATTGCAGACTATTGATGGGTTGTTAAACCTTGATTTGATGTGAAGATTCGCGAGGATGTGAAATAGCTCATAGTAAGATTCAAGTTACTTTGGTAATAGGAAAATTCGGAAAAGTATGACTATCGGTGGAAGCCCATCCATTGATGAAGATTGGTTCTATACATCAGGCTAAATCTTCAAATTTAAGCACAAAAGGCTGAACCACCTCCGCCGGGTCAGATACAATCGCCAGGGCAGCACTCGTCGTCCCCCAAACAAGGCTTATTTTCTGAATTCATTTAGCTACCATGAGCCAAAAGATCAAAAGAGAGCTTTTACAAATTCTTTGTACAGCGCGCGTGTCAATGGGTGCGCTAGCAACAGAAGCTGTCGCAACAGAAGCGAGAACGTAGAGCATGAACATAATGACAAGATTCATATTTGAGGGTTTGCGTTCGTCCAGAGATTGTGACAATGATTTGAAGGTGTTGATTATGGAGGTTAATCTTTCCTAAAACAGTGGGCCTACTTAAACTCGGGCCATCATTCCTCTTCCAAGGTTCGCCCTCGTTGGATCCCTTAGAACCAGAATTACCATATCATGTACATTTTCGGAGGAAATAGTTTCCTAGTGGAGATGTTATGATTGGGCGTATTCTTTCGTGGTTGGACATTTACCAAGAATAGAATGGCGGGGAAAACTTCGTTGGATGGCCTGAAGCTACCTTACCCTTGAAAAACGCGGTCTGCTCTATCGTTATTTATCAAAGCAGCGCCTTGATCATATGAGAGTAAATTTCATTTAAATAATTCTACGATCTTTCAACAATCGAACTGAGAGAATGAGACTCAGGATGGTTGTTTCTAAAAAATGGCCGAGGGCATCTTGAAGGTCCATGAGGTTATACAACATAGTATCTTAGGGCACACGCTGCACTAGTATACCCCGCAAAAAAACGAAAACAGATGGAATATTAGTCTTAAATTTGGTGACCCCAATTGGTATAGTAACAGTTCTTGCTCAGACATATAGTGCCTTGACTAAGAGGTTTTCTATTGGGAATCTTATTTACTTCCAAGATTGTTTCCATCTCAATTATTCCATGCCAACATCGACGGCAGAGATCCTTTACCCAGCTCGATTATCTGCATCATAGATAGATGTAGCAGAATGGGCCAGCAGTTGTGCTCATGATATTCTTCATCGCAATAGGATCGCCCCCAGCGTAGCCGACATTGATGACGGTCTCGAGCGTGGTATTCGGGGTTGGTGGAACATTGAGAAAAGTACCAGTACCCGAAATATCATATTGTCGGTTCTTTAAATCCAGATTCTGCCAGATCCACCACACACGGTCAATCATGTTGTGGTGGTGCCAGAAAGCCGGATCGCCCGGACTCACATAGACATCGCGCCCTGGATCGCCGCCCATCGAGAAATGGCCCCCACCGTGTACCCCGATGAGTCCCGAATCCGGGAATCCTTGCATGAGCATCTCAAAATCCCACACATCTTTACTCTGCACAATCAAATTCACAATGTCGGGGTAGGTGTTGAATTTCCGCAAAATGGCGCTGGTCAAGTCACGTCGGAGACAGCGCGGGTTATATGTGAGCGGATGCTTCCTGGTGCTCACGTTGCGACCAGGTACGACCAGATCAGCGGGACCCATGCTAATCGTATAATTTTTGAATGGGCCACTGGTTACGCAGCCGCCTCCGGTACCTGCAGGTAGAAATATATCGGGATGACCTTCCAGACTAAGTCTGACCTCAGGTTGTTTTGGGATATAGGCGCCATTGCCGGATAGTGAGGTGTCGCTTCCATCAAAAACGGGAGATTTCTCCATGGCATCAACATCGGCTCCCCAGTCCCAATAGCTGTTGAGCATGGACTTTTGTTAATTTGACACTTCGTGAGTAGGAATCATCGTGGGTCCGAACTTACGGGTAGTCGCCAGTATAACCGCACTCGTTGCGCAGTGCTTGCTCGAATGTCCAGATAAAATATCGGTGCCATGCCAAAAATGTCCCCTACCAAAGCGTCAGTGATTGGGAAAATTTATATCTGCTTCTTGTATGAGCTTCGAAAAAGTAAAACGCACTGTGTAGTGGATTTCTAAGGTCTGATTGATATGAGTAGCCACGAAATCATCATATCGCGACCTGGTCCCAGGCGCAAGGTGGTGTGGTGTTTGAGAGGGCAACTTTTGCAAGCAAAGCACGGAGTTGATATAAGCCTTCTTCTCCCTGCGAGTAAAGGCCCTCCAATCACGACGGACACTGAGGGCTTGCTGAGTACATCCCTCGTGTTGCAGGGGTCCATGTGCGACATGAGAAATAGCCACACCACGCGCGATCTCAGCTAGCCGCTGAAGCTGAAGATGCGCTTTTTCGGCAATGATGCTGCCGCCGAGGGCACCGGAAACCCTGACGGTTGATTCTGCGCCAGCGTATATAGAAACGAAGGCATGGCGCAGACCTGAAGGGCCCACAGCCCTACGGCGAGGATTTTGGCGGCAACCATCGTGGCGCAGGGAAGTGAGTGGTATAACGATACTCCCACAATGCAGATGAGGAAGACAAGGGCACACAAGAGCCACGAGGGATCTCAGCTAGATAAGCGGTTCCATCGAGTCTGCATGATGCATTGCGCACTGGGCTGTGTTCGCCGATTTATTTCGGACCAGTGGGGGCAGCATTTCTCACCGACGCTGGCGCGAGCCTTTTCAGACCAGAGGATGCAGCTACCGGGATCTGCTGGCCAGAAGATCAGGCCCCCGGGACGATGGCCCCCTCGGCGACTGAGCCCTTTTGGCATGACTCCACCGTCCCGCGTGCTTAGTGTCCGGGGCTGCGTTGGGCGTGGCTGCGACGAGGGTTGAGACGACCTGAAGGCGGGATTGATACCCAATCGTCCTTGTCCTGATAACCATCCCGACAGAATCGAAACCAGGGGACGAACAGGCGCTTTCGTCGAAATTCCATGGGCCAAATGCCAATCTTGGAGATCAATGAAAGAAAACGAGGGTCCAGATTATCGTACCGGATTGGATCGAGGTATCCACTTAGCTGCGTCCTGCTGCATGATCTAGGGCTCGGAACAGTCAGGGTCGACACGTTATGCCGGGCTAGCGTGAGCCCAGGAAATCTTGCTAAATGACTTGTAGATCAACGGTGCACATTGTCTTCCGTGCCGATCTCCTGACCGGCCTGATTCGCCAATTCGATGATGCCAGGCCGCCCATGTTGGCTAGAAACTCTTCCCGTGTCCAGATCTAGATGAGGCGGCTCGGAAAGTCACCTTCCATTCGTGGATGTTTTGCCATCATGTTAGATTGGTGCTGGGAGTATCGAATGTTTAAGGTCCTTTTGATAATAATTATGATGGTTTTATAGGCTTTGATATGGGGTATTCTTCATCCCCGAGGATTGTTCTCATCAATTGAAAACTCGAGTGGTGATATTCATAGCGTCTGCGATCTATTGGTCTATGCAACAGCCTGGAGGATTTGTTCAAACAGCTGATCCGAGTCGGGGCCAGTCGGATTAGCCATCGTGAAGGCTTCCGCGACATCAGTCGGGGGATAAATCAACCTCTGGTTGATAAAGCACTTCACTCGTTTGGCCAGATCCCCCGTCAGCTTGACCTCTCGAATCCATCCCTCAGAGATAACCGTACCCCAAGCGCCGAGGTCCAAGCAGCAGTTGTAGGATGTCTGTTCGTACGGCATCAGAGACTCGCCAAGAAGATCCGCCGCAGCGTTGTGGCCCGACACACGACCCATCGGCAGAGCATGCTGGCAGGACATCAGGGCAAAGTGGCCATTCGTGTCGGCAGTCGCATAAGCAGCGTCACCAGTGGCAAATATGTTGCCCACAGATGAAACACGGAGGTTTTGGCCAACATGGAGGCGAGAGAGTCCATCCCTGGGAGCGGGGATCTGCTGTGTCAAGGGGGGTTGCTCTCACTCCGGCAGTCCAGATAGCCGTCTTGGTCTCGATGCGCTCACCGGACGCAAGGGTAACACCATCAGCATCGATAGCGGTGACCGGAGATCCCAGCTTGAACTCTATGCCGAGTTCATTCAAAGCTTGGGTGATGATGGGACGCGGGCCCGGACCAAGCTCCGGACCAAGCTGATCGGCGCTCTCGACCATCACGATTCGGGCATTGAGGTCTTTGGGCAGACGCTTTGGAAGCTCAGTGGCAAGCTCGATTCCAGTAAATCCTGCGCCGCACACGACAACTGTGTTCCGCGCCGGACTTGAGGGAAGCGAGGTAAGGTTCTGCAGATGGGATTCCAGTTTGACGGCAGAATCGAAGGAGTCGATGTCAAAGGCATGCTGCTGAATTCCGGAAATAGATTTTGGCCGTACGACAGAGCTTCCAGCTGCGAGAATCAGGCGGTCGTAGCCAACAGTTGAAGCATCGCCCGAGATGGATCGGACAAGTACCGTATTGTCTTGGGCATTGATCTTATCAACGGTACCGGGAATGAATTCGATCTTTGAGTCCTTGAAAAGAGCCTCAACGGAATGGGTCATGCCTGACGCGTTTGCCTCGTAGAGTCGAGGACGGATAACCAGGAACGGTTTTGGCGCAATGACGACGATATCGATTTCGGTTTCTCTCTCGGTGAGCTTGGAAAGACGCCTGGCGGCGAGGGCGCTCCAAACACCGGCAAATCCGGCACCAATGATGACGATTTTTTTGACATGGCTGCTGGACAATGTATTGTATGACCAAAAAAAAATGTTCGATAGTGTGATAAATTGGAGAATGCAGTTGTAAGGCTACGTGATGGATGTGATGCTGTTGATCTGTTTAGCAGAAACGAATGCACTTTTATATTTCCTCAGACCCGAGTCTTGGTCCGATAGGCTTTTTTGTAGGCTTTCAATTGACAGACTGCGCGGCAATCCGGAAAATTGATGAAGTACCCTCCTCGATCCCCAGCCGCCTTGGCAGGTACTCTGCGGAGTTGGAGTATGCAAAGGCCATGCCTGCGGATATCCGGCGGGTACCCGAGTAGCCGACCCGCATTTCAACTCCGACGATCCTCCGTTATAGCCTCATCTTCAGACTCATGACCACTCCCGCGAATGGAAGAGCCACGCGCTCGTCGCTCGCCTGCCTCCCCTGTCGCTCGCGACATTTGAAATGCGATGGGAAGCGACCCTGCTGCAGCCGTTGCGCCGAAGCCGCGCAAGACTGTCACTATGCGCGATCGCGTCGCGGCGGGCTGGACCGAGCGGCGCTAGCAGAGCGTCGCAAACGACTTGCGGGGACGGGAAATGTCATGGCCACACTCGATAATAATCCAAATGTCCAGGGAGATTCGGGGGCACCGACGCAACCTGCGCTGTTCGATATCTCCTCCTACCCCATTGACGCCTCGGCGAGTCTCGCTGACGGCAGCTTGCTCGACGGGGTCATTCTTAGCAATGCAATATCCAATATCGACTCGCCGGGATCAACGGCCTCCTTTCAAGTGACAATGGAAAGCATCGAGAAAGATACATTGATCGATTCGTATTACAAGAGTTTCCATAAGTTCCATCCATTTCTCCTACCGAGACGACACATGATCAGGCATTACCAGGATCCGAGCAAGCAAGCGAACCTCAGACCATTGATCGCGGCCATGCGCTTGATTGGATACATATACAGCTTCCGGGAATGGTCAGCCTCATTGAAAGACCACGTGGAGACCTGTTTCGCTCAGGCAACCCTGTCAGATCCAGTCATGGCCCAGGGTCGCCTACTATACTCGATCGCCCTGTTTTGGTACGACCATAAGAATCACGCCAAGACGGAAATCGACGCGGCCATACGACTTGCCCTTGACCTGCATCTTTTTCAGGAGGAAGTGTCGGCAGTATACGGGGCCGATGACCCGGTACTCAGGGAAAGCTGGCGACGAACCTGGTGGATGTTGTACACGATCGATGCATACTACGCGGGGACGCTGGGGACCATGGAGTTTCAAGTCGTGGACGTGGATGCAACCGTGGGGCTTCCTTGCGAAGAGCAGGAATACGAGTCGGGGGTAGGTTGTCACACCTTTCTGCTGAGCGAAATCCCAGCCTTTTCTCTTTTCACTGTCACGAACACACCACTGACCTCGCCGACTTCTTTGCAGGTGGTACCCGATCCCAAGACCCTACAGGATTTCGATTGTCGGGAATTTGCTGCCGAAGATGCGGTATTTTCATCCTTCGCATATCTTGTTGGCGCTGTCAGATGTGTTGCATTGGCAATATCAACCGTTCCGAAACATGCCGTTAAAGAGGATTCGACACACGTAATACAGGCCGCCGACTCTGCCCTGGATGGGTGGCTTCTTTTGTTACCCAAAGATCGCAAGCAAGTCCTGACAAAAACGGGCGAAATTGATGAGTTGATGTTTCAAGCGCATTTACTCATACATGTGTAGGTATTCCTTTTTAGCCCTGCGTTTGAGCACCTGGCTGATCTGAATTCATATAGCGCAACTATTGGCATCCACCGTCCCCTTTCAGACCTCAAGTTCAACCCTGTTGAGGATGTCTCCAGCTGCGCTCGACAACCACCCCCTGACACCCCCATCCCGGAACTCGTGAACGTACATACCGTCCGAGTGTTGCGAGCCGTAGAGGCACAGATCCGTCTCCTGGCTTTACCCGTTCGACCATTCCGTCATACTCCATTTACAACGTGCATGATCAGCGAAGGCACCTTGGCACTACTTTCTGCCTGTCATTTCCTTCTGAAAGGCTCGAAGTTGGCGATTGCGAGGGATCAGATACGAATGACAATCGGATGTCTTAAGGCATTGGGGGAATATTGGCCAAGAACCGCACGAAATGTCCGGGAGATCCAGACAATCGCTCATCACGTCTTACGACTTGGGTCCAGAATTACGAGCAGCAACGATACACCAAAGACTACCGACTTGCCACAACTCTCTGATGGCGATGGGCAGGGGAGTTTTGGATCAGAAGGGGGAACATCCAGTAATGATACTGACATCCTTCCTCTACTCGGCTCTATTGATGATCTTTGTGGATGGTATAATATTGGCGATCTTGGGCCGGATGTTCCATGGGAGATGGAAAGTAGTTTATAATCTTCTTTCGAATAATATATTCGACTTCGTGAAATGATCTACGATCACCTTACTGCAATATTTCCGTTTTAATTTTACTGGACTGTCGGAACTTGCAGTGTGAAGTTAATTCTCGCGCCGAAGCGCCTGGAAGGAACTGAATCTGTTGACTTTCTTCATTTGATTTCATATTCTCGTAGCTACACTCTCTTACTCAAACATACAGTCAAGTTTATGGACCTACTCAAGCAAAACTGATGACAACCTTGTGACCCCGGGCCCTCTGTCGAGCATAGTTCCAAGCCTGCTCCGCTTCTTCGAAAGGGAATTCCTTCACTAGCAAAGGTCGGACTACGCCTTGATCAACCATCTCAGCGGCCTTTCCCAGTCTTTCTGAGTTGGGGGACACGATGAAATGTTTGTATCGAACTCCAGGATGGCTGGCGGCTTCAACAGCCTCGCCCTGTCCAAACGCCCATGCTGGTGCCGGGTCGCCGACCGTAACAATAGCTCCATTCTCCTTTACAACCGTCCACGCCTTCTCTAGAATACCAGCACCAACTGTATCGAAGACCAAATCCACTTTGTCGAGTTGATTCTCCCACCCTATCGTGTTGTAATCCAGCACCTCATCCGCGCCGACAGATTGAAGCGCCTCGTGGTTGCGCGATGAGGCCAAAGCCACCACCTCAACACCAAACAGCTTCTTGGCAAGCTGCACAGCGAGGATCCCCACAGCCCCCGATGCCCCCGTAATCAGGACTCTCATGCCGGCCTTGATACCGCCGTGATCCAGCAGAGCCTCCCACGCAGTCAGAAGCGGAATGGGCAGGGCAGCGGCCTCTTCGTAAGATATCGATTTCGGCTTCAAGGCGACCTCGTCTGCGCGACAGATCGCGTAGTCAGCCTGGCCTTCGCCTCGGTCGGTTGATATCAGAACAAAAGCTTCTTGGCCGATTTTCAGTGGGCCGTTGTAGTCTGGGCCGAGTGCCGATACAACGCCGGAAATGTCATGACCTGGGATCCTGGTTTCTCTGGTGTAGGGCTCTGGCCAGATAACCTCGTCGCCTGTGATGCCGGCGGCGTGGACCCTGATGAGGATCTCGGCATTTTGGGGGGTTGGTTTGGTCATTGCATAGTTGGTGGCGACTCGGGGGGAGGAGATGTCCCCCAGGATCTGGATTGCTTTCATTGCGGATATTGATGTTTACGTTGAGTTGTTTTGGATTTAAATTTGGATTGGACGATATTTTGGATCGTCGATGTCGCGATGTGCTGCCATTTATTTGATGTTGGTATGGAAGGATGTTGTTCCCGGAACCCAGCGGGTTCCCGGATACCCGAGCGATGCTTGGCCGTTGCTTGGCCACCCGGTCTTGGTAGCCATTGGATGCCAATAGGCTATCCTACGTCCGACGAGGGGCTACCGCCGGGAATGTGGGATGCTGGGGGCTGAATACCAGAATATAGAGAAGCAGATCAATCATAACACAGACGACATATTACTTTCCTCGTTGCTGGGATGGCTACCAGTAGCCTACCCGTGGATGCTGTCTGAACGCCACAATCTACTCCCGGTCCTGGGCCTATTCTCCTGTTGAACTCTCCCGTTGACGACCTTGTAGGGTCTGGAACACATGAGCTGACCCTGGGAGCTGTCGTGCTACTATGATCAGTTTTCTGCGTCCGGGGACTGAATGGAATACTTCGGGAATTGATCTAGATATCCTTAGGCTTACCACTGAGCTGAAGCTTTATTAGAGTCCCCCAAAAGCTTCCTGGTCCCGGAATGGGCAAGTTTAGTCCTAGGAAGGTGTGAGGGTCTCACGTATGCGTAGAGGTGGATAGCGTCTTGAGATGGAAGATCAGTATTAAGAGCAGCTATAGTCGACTCTAGATACAAGACGTAGCGCGAGGAAGCAAAAGAAAGGAGCTTCCTCGCGTTCAGGGGAACCCAGATAAGCTATGTGGGTCCGTCACTCCGTATATCCTCCGCTGATCGTATATGCTTCATGTATATCCGTGACACAGCTTCCAGCTTCCAGAGACAACAACAGGTCCTCCGGGGATCGAACGGAGTGTTTCTGGGATCGTTATGTAATTCCTTAATTGTTCCAAATAAAGAAACATCAGCCGCTTCGCGGGTTCACGGTTTCTATGTCTTGCGGCCTCTTGGAGCCCCATTTTGACATAAGCAATTGCCATGGGGATATCAGCGTACGTTCGGAATCGAGCCAGAGCAATGACGTCACCAAACCTTACTGGTGGATAATCAGTGGGGCTATGTGGTGATTCGGGACTCTGAATCAAAATAAGCCATACACCCTCAAGAATATGTACATACAAGGGCTTTAATATTGAACAAGGCGACTGTGCGGTCTACCATGAGGGCCGGTTCTACAAGGACTGCTCTAGTGGAGAGCACATCTCAACCACTAACGCAGGCCCACTCAAACACTACCAGTTCCGAACACAGCTGCTTCGTCGAAACAGACCGTTGCAGTCAGCATGTCAAAAGATGAGGCATACAATCTGTTGTACCTAAAATACCTGCACATAGTTTTAATTAAGATAAATAACGGTAGTCAACGGTGGAATGAGATAGTCAATACGTCAGGGAAATTTTGAGGCCTATCATGAGAAGCTAGTTAGCTCAGAATTTCCGAGGTTGACGGACCGTGGGATAGCTGAGGAGACATATCTCCGTTCAGAATACGCTTTAGACTGCTGTGGAAATGTCAGCATGTGTACATCGTGGGTGAGGATAAGGTATATGTGTACATTTAGCTGCCGTGTCACTTGATATGGAATAAAGGATCGTTTTCGCGGGAATCGGGCAATGAAGAACGAGGGCAAGAATTTTCAAAATATGAGGCATCTAATGCGGCGAATATAACCCGTGGAGTATCTACAGAAGCTTCAATTGATTGTACCCTCGGCCATGCTATCCGTCTGTGCATTCGGGCATAACTTCAGGTAGCTATCAATGCTGTTGGAGTGGGCCGAGGAGCTGTTAATAGTAGCAATCTTATAGAGCAGCTGTTGGATTTCTGGCATCGTGGTGATAGGATTTGACTTTATGAGGTCCAGCGTGATTCGGCGAGGCTGTGACCGAAATATTGTTTTGGCCCATGGTGAAGTAGAAGAAGACTTTTAATGCCCACAAAATCAGGTATGTAGGAAAGAATTTGCTGAATAATTTCCGGAGGCAGAGTCATGAAAGGATCCATGTAAGTGAGAAGATTGGCAAATCTCTCAACAACGTGTAGGTTTGAGGAAGGAAGATTAGAGGTAGGGAGACTCGAATTCCGTGCTTATCTACTATTTGTGGAGACCTGCAATGCAAAAGATAAAACACCAAAAACTTTCTCAAAATACTAGGTCTAAAATTCTGATCGCTCACTTGTACTTCACTTCTGTCTTTTCTTCAATTTTTGTCAACAGACCAGCGAGTAGCCATACAAAGCACAGCTTATTGGGGAGGGGTTTGGATATGTCTCAAGGCCACTGCCTATCATGTGACCTCCATGTACCCTAGCTCTCCATCCTTACCAGTACACACCTTCCAGTCCTTTGCATACTCCTCCCTATATACCGCACGTAGATGCCTAGCACATCAATCTCATCCCTGAAAATAAGCAAACGCCTTCTCCATTTGCCGATGAAGTAAGTGAACATGCCCCGGCATGGGCAGATCAAGATGATCTCCATTCACCGACAGTGCCAAAACTTCTCCAGCAGTATACTTCTCCCAGCCATTGGGCCCGAGGTCCGCCTCCTTCCTGTCCGGCACAAGACAGGCAAACGCACCCAACTTCGGATCCTCCATATAGCCCGGATACGACGTCGTCGGGATACCCTGGTCCGCCAGCATCTGCATCAACTTCTCGTTACCAACGACCCGATTAACCATCCCCTTCTCGGCCCAGATAACGGCCGTGTGAGCGGGACGTTCCTGTTCCGTCATATAGGGCGGGTGATATGCGTGCATGGCGACATGGTACGCCCGGAAATGGTTCTGGGTGGTGCTTCCCACGCTCCAGAGACCATCTTTGGATACGGCGTTTTCGAAGATGGCGAAGCTGGCATCGTCTTCGGAGTTCATCTTTTCCTCGTCGAGGAGACTCGAGCGCGGACAGCACATGTCGATCAGCACGAGACCGGATACCTGTCGGCCCAGTCTGCCGAGCTGGCGACTGACTTCGAAGGCGACGATCGAGCCGGCGGAGAAGCCGCCGATCATCATGGGGCCCTCGTGCTGGGCAGCCACGAGGGCTTCAACGATGAGCTTTGCGACACCCTCGATGCCGACTTCCTTGGTCAGGCGGGTTGGACAGCGCAGGAAGGGCGAGTCGATGCCGTAGATGGGCATTTTAGACTTGAAGGCTGGGAGGTGGATGTAGGTTGCGATTGTGCCGGTGCCGTCGGCCATCATATAGAGGGGAGTCCGCTTCGGCCCGGGACGGCCTTGTAGTAGGGTTATTCTGACACTGGGTGCGGGGGATGTGTCTGTGTCGATGACTTTGTTGATGAGTGGCTTCTCCTGTTGCTTGGTGTTGTTGTCTTGACGTTCTGGAGGGAGTGTTATTGGATCATCCTTTTCGATATCGACCACGCTGGAGCCCAGGGAGGAGGCTGTCTCTGACATGGAGATGGATTCGGGACTGGGGCTTGATGGGATAGAGGCCTGAGAACTGGAGGGAGTTAAGATGGCCTTGGACTTTGGGGCTTTTGGTTTATCCGCTCCACCAAAGGCGCGGCGGAGGTCGCCAATAGTGGGATGGTCGAGAACGAATGTCGCGGGGAGATCGAGACCAGATTCTTCCTTGACGGTGGCGACAACCTCAATTGCCATGATGGAATCGACTCCAAGGTCGGCTACCATAGTGTCATCGGTGAACTCGGAAGAGGCGCTGCCCGTAGCCTTGGAGATGCTGTCCAAGATAGCATCAATCAACCCTTCATCTTGGGGGTACTCGTCGTCGTCGTCGTCGTCGTCCTCCTGGGCCTCAGTTGCTTGTGGCTGCATTTTCTCAATGTCCAAAGTCTGTCGACTGACCTTGACAGTTTTCTTGGTTTCTTCCACAGGTGCTCTGTGGGTGGGTGCCGAAGAAGTCCCATGCGACTTCTCGAGAACATGCTTCCAGGTGACTCTGGGGAGCTCCTGGTATCGCAGGTCGGTGCATTGGAGGATAATTTTCGACGTCTCGGGTTCAAAGACCACCGCGTCACAATATGCTGTGTCCTTGACCCATTTAGAAATGCGAGTGTAGGCTAGGTACTGCTTCCCAGGCACTAACGGGACCGTCAGCTCCACGCTTTCGAATCCCATCACAATAAATGTTTTCTGAGGCGATTTGCTCGGATTTCCATTCACCATGAAGCCAGCCAGGTGCACCAAAGCCTCGCCCCAATACGGCGAGAAGGTGAATCGAGTACCAGCAGGATCGTGCGGAAGCGTAACCAGTGCTGCGGCCTCCTGGAAGTCTTTGGCGATGTAGGCCTCGTCAACGCCCTGGAAATCCGTGCTAAACTCGACGGAATTGCCGAATAGAGCATAGAAGACTTCCGGTTGCATTCTATGTCCGGGACCCTCTTTGGCATTCTTGATCACCTCGTCCATCCTGGCTTGGATGAAGTACGATACTCGGTCCCAGTCTGCCTGGGTCTTAGCCGGGTCACGGAAATTGACGATGGAAGAACCGAGCTCATGCGATGTGCCTCCTGATGTAAGCTTGAATGTAACCGAGATCCTGTCTGCTGACGGAGAATCCATCATAGCGGTGGTAATGAGACTTCCATCAGCGCCAGCGAGCTTCTTTGTGAGGGGCAAGAGCAGCTCGGGTTTATGAAGTGTGAGCCAGGACTGGTCCACGTTCTTTCTGCCACTGTGCTCGAGGGCATACTTGGCCACTGCAAAAGCGGCCTCGCAGAAGACGCTTCCCGAACAGAGTCCGATTCCTTGCATTTTGTGACCGTCGATGAGTCCCATGAATCCGGGATCAGAAATGGAGGCCCGGAAAACCACTTGGGTCTTCGGGGAGGATGACTTAGAGACAAGATACTGTGCGCAAGTCGAGACAAACGGCCCAGATTCAGTGACCGAATATTGTTCCGGCACAACCTCGGTGACTCTGTCGGTATGAGTGATCCAGTAGTCCTTTACATCCCACGCATAGGAAGGGAGCGTCA